AAATAAAGGCTAAGTTATGAGGTAGAAAAGAAATTAAAAACTAAAGTGTTGTAATTCTAAATCAATGTAAAAAATTTAGATGAATGATGATGTGGCAGATGATGTGGAAGATGATGTGGCATAAGGAGAAAAGAGAAAAAGTTAACTTTATATATATAGATTATGCAAAATCTATTATATAAGACACATACGTAGTTTTAGAAAACAAAATTACAAAATATGTTTAATTGAGAAAAAAAATAGGTCATTGTAAAATTTGTGTCGATATAACAACAAAGAATATATTAATTTTGTAAAATATTTTTAATGGTTGGATGTGATTGGGAAATCAGTCACGAACTCTTGTAACACACTATACTGATTTCTCAATCTAATTGTGGTCCATAAAGAGAAGCTTTTAAGAATTGATTACATTACCTACATATATCACTTATAATACATTTAGCTTTTAGAATTATATTATTAGAGTACTTATAACACCAAATTATATTTAACTTTTCTATAGCCATTAATATCTTATTTTTTTGTTAAACTATCGATTCATAGTGTTTTATATAAGCGATATAGGTAATGTAATCAATTTTTAAATAATGTTAAAGAATAATTATTTTTCCCGAGAAAGAATGATAATTCATGTTTTAGAACTTTATTCTTAATTAATAGTTCATGAAAATTATTGAGTCATAAATCAATTTTTTGTTGTTGTTAAAAGATAGAAATTCATTATTTATTTAAGAACAAGAAGACTGTATATTGGTCAATTAGTGAATTACATTGTATAGATAAGAACAATTAAATGGATGGTACATAATGTAAAACAAACAGAACCAATATGGTGAGAACAAAACAAACAAAATGGACATAACAAACTAGCAAATAGCTAGTAGTGAAGATGAGTAAATCAAAAAGTTGAATGATCCCATTATTGTATTCACAAGATAGAATAGGACAACATGTAAAAAGACAACTCAAACAGATTAAACCAAAGTTTAATAGGTTAAAAACTTAAAATATATATCTTTTTTTAATCAGCAAAAACATATCTAGTTAATAGTAAGTAGTAACCTATCATAAAGGAACATAAACACAAACCGTTTTTAATGATAAGGGTTAATACTAGTTCCACTTTTTACTGCAATTATGATGTTCAATTATTACTTAAGACAAGAAACTAATTAATCCTACAAATATCCCCAACTTCACATCACAAACTTAGATGTAACTTGATTTTTTTCAACTTCCTTCAAATGACATTTGTAAAATTGTATACATAGGAGGAAAATAGTAACCATCCAAGAAATGGTAGGAAAACGGAAACAATATACATTTTCTTTTCCAGAACATAATTTTCATCAAAAGTTAAAGACCATAGTTGAAGAGGTAAAGCTCTAAAAATCTATAAAAAGTGCTTCGAAAAACAATGTTTAATTTAGAAAGAAAATTGAATATACAAAATCATAAAATAATTTTAAAAAATACAAATGATGTGATTATATATGTTTGTTTCATTGCCATCATAGATAGGGAAAACATTTGAAATTTAAGATCAGATTCGGAATCTAATATAATCAACTTTAAAAGATATCAAATGATAAATCCACTAAAAATATGTTCATTACAAAAATAGAGATTCAGAATCTAATATAATCAAATTTTAAAGATATCAAATAATAAATCTACTAAAATTATTCTCACACTGGAAAATCGAGTCATGCTCATTACAAAAATAGAGATTTTGTTAATGGGCCGGCCGGTTGTGATCCGTTGTTGGAAAAAAAAATATCACATATCTAATTTTACGGTTCTTTATGTTTGTTTCAAATTTTTAAACTGTTGTATAAAATAATTAGTTATTAAAATTGACGATTCATATTGAAATATGTAAATATCACAATTTTTTGGACTGAAAAACCAAAATTCTATTAATGATAATATAGAAGGCTAGAACAAATGAATAAAATGGAACCTTCTTCTAATCTAGATGTTTTGAATCTAAATATTTAGAAAAATGGACATGTATGCAAATGCATAATAATAAAATATGTTTTCAAAATAGTTGAATAATCCACCTCATTTTGTTTCACAGTTTCGAACTGAATTTTATACTGTTATTTATTTATTTTCATTATTTAATAAATAATATATACAAATCATGTGTGATAATTTTTTTTATTACTATCATAGTTAGAGAGAGCGTTAAATGGGATTCATAATCTAATATAATCAACTTTAAAAAATAAAAAAATATCTAATATTGTTACGCTTAATTTTTTTTCTCATTTTTTTATGTAAAATAATTAACAACTAATTTTGACGAATTCAGACTCGAGCATGCAAATATCACAATATTTGGAATGAAAAACCAAAGTGATAAATGATTAAAGTCTAGAACTCATTGATTCAAAGACAAATATGGAAACCAATTCTAATCTAGATTTGAATCCAAATATTCCAAAAATTAACAAATGGATCTTATATGTTTTCAAAATAGTTATATAATCCACCTCATTTTATTTCATCAAAGTTGAATTATATACTGATTTTTTCCTTTATTTATCTTCTTCTCTTTTCTTAAATTAATAATAAATAATTATAAATAATAAATAATAATAATACTAGTTAAATCCAAAAAGAAAAAACCAACTTTGGGAAGCATAGAGAAGTGTGCTACGTGTCAATCAGGTATATTAGCTTGTAGTAGTCAATTTATTTCCCCCAGACGTTCGTGTTACGGTAAAGAGATCTTTTTTTTTTTTTTTTTTTTTTCTTTGATTTTTTGAGTTTTCTTCCCCAAAGAAGCAGAGAGGTCCACATGTACTCTTCTTCTTCTTCTTCTTCTTCTTCTTCTTCTTCTCACATCTCGTCGTCTCTCTCGTCTTCTGGTTAACGTTTCTCATTTCTCTCGGAGGTGACCGTTTCTTCACTCCTAAAAATCGAAAGCTTGATTCACTCGTAAGTCGATTTCATCATCCCCGTCTCTCTCATTGTGTTAGGTTTTGATTAATGGCTGATTTGATTTTGCTTTTATCATCACGAACACGGATTACTCCTTTCCTTCTGTGGAACTCTGATTTTGGCTCTGTTTTGTGGGGATTTTGATTTTTTTTTTTTTTTTTTGTGGATCTTTGGGATCCGATTTCGAGGTTTGTGTTTTCTGTTTTTTTGATAGTTTGAGGATGATAATGTGAGATTTAGGGTTCTTAATTTACTTTATTTGGGCGTTAATCGCATTAAATGTATGAGATTTAAGAATTTGAATCTGAATTGGGTTTTTTTTTTTTTTTTTTCGGGATTTTTATCCACGATCGAGTCGGTGACCATCTGTTTGAAATTTGAATTTGATTTATGTTAATGGTTAATTTTTTGGTATTTTCAGGTGTTTGGTTTGAGTTGTATTTGAGATTTAATCTCAAGGAGGCAAAGAGAGAGAGCGAGAGAGAGAGAGAGAGAGGATTTATATATTTTGGGTGGATAATGTTCTTGGACGATATGCAAATGGTTCCAGTGCAGCGCGGCTTTAAGCGTCGTGGTCAGATGAAATATCTGAGGTATTGAAAGAACTGATGAGCTCCATATCGGTTTTTGAGTTATGATCTGGTCTGGTCTATCTGGAGAAGCAACCTTTGTGTATATTTTGTAGATAATTAGGTTTTTTTTGTGTTCCTAATACAGTTAAGAGGGGTTTGTTAACGATTTGTCTAATGGCTATTGCTGGCCTGCAAAACATTTTGGCGATTGATTCATCTTTCCCACGGGATTCTGAGGTTCGGGGTTCTAGACAGAGGGAAAATGAAGGAAGGACAAGCGTCCGGGCATCCTCGCTTCTACAGATGTGGAGGGAACTTGAGGATGATCATGTGATGGGTCATGCTCGTGAGAGAGATGGTGAGAGGAGGAGTGCTTCTTCACCTTCTAATGCTTCGAGGGGAAATGGTTGTGACAGTGATATTAGTGCACACGATATTGTTAGAGATAGTGTAAATCTGGGTGAGAATGAACTTGGTGGATGGTCCCCCACCCCGAGTCATGTTGGGTCACATAACTCGAGTGACGATCTCGGTCCTTTTCAGAGCGAGCACTTTTCTGATCTGGGGATGGTTGAAAGGGAAAGAGTTAGACAAATTTTTCGTGAGTGGATGAGCTCTGGGACAGGGCAACATACTCCCTCTGATTCTCCCACAACCAACAGCTCAAGAGCAGAATGGCTTGGTGAAACTGAACAGGAAAGAGTGAGGATCATAAGGGAAATGGTTCAGATGAATAGCCAGCAGAGGCCTGTTCTTGGTGATTTGAGGGACGAACAGCCTATTGAAGTTGTTAACCAGATCGAAAGAGTACTTGATGGAAGGGTTGTTAATGCGAACTGCATCCAAAACGAAAATGCTAGAAGAGGTATACGCAAGTTATGTGGTAGGCAAGTGTGGGTGGATATGTTAAAAATGGCTGAAAGGGAAAGACAAAGAGAGCTGCAGGGTTTGATGCAGCATCATGCTGTATCAAACTTTGCTCACCGCAACCGCATTCAGGTTTGTTCATTAGACTTCTTTGCTGTTTCCTGCCTTTCTATTACTGTCTCTCTGACATTAAAATGTGCTACAGATTGTCCAAAATCACTATGTCAGACACACATCAGTTGACTCAATAACCCATTTTCCTTCTTCAATCTTTTGTTTGTGTATTCGGAAGAAAATGTAGGAACTATGTTGAGCACTAATTCTAAATACAACTTTGAACCTATGTCTAAACAAACGATGACTCATAGATGTGTAGTCACATTGTTTGTCTAATATGATTAATGAAATTTGTAGTCAGATGGACGATGAAGACATACTTGAGGGACTTTATGTTAGCTTTTCATTCTTCCTTATATACCCTTCCTTTCCTGTTTTTTTTTTGTCATTTTTTACTTCCCTGTAAAGAGATTCTAACTTGACGTTTAAGTCATCGGAGTTGATAGATATGCTGAGCATCTTAGTTACTTCTTTATATAATTTTTTTGTCTTTTTGTTCATCATTACAAGTCAGCTTAACTGGCACATTGGTTGTTTGAAGGTTCTAGAAGGTGTTGAGAGTTGAATCTATGCAACTCTATCTCTTGGGTGTTGGTTGACATATCTTGAGACCATGATCTTTAATTGCTTTTGCAGGCACTGCTAAGGGGAAGATTCTTGCGAAATGGTGACAACGATGATAAAGAGAAACCAACGTCATCTGCAGCTTCTGAGTTGGGCTTTCTAAGAGAGAGACACACTGTATCTGAGCTGAGGTAGCCAATTTTTATCTGTGGTAATCAATTCGTGTATATCTTTGTGTATTTTGGAAGCTTTCCTTGTTTTCTTCTATGTATTGCCATTTCGTAGGTCATATATATGTGGGTCAATATCCTATAAAGACCTATGCTTTCAAACCTTTAAATTTTTGGAGTGCTTCTATTCCTTGTTGGTGTCCATCCTGAAGTGAAATGCCAGTCCCATTTTGTATGAGTCTTTCTATATACTCTATGTTCCATCTTATAAGTGCAGCTAGACCCAGAAACTGAAACTTTGTTGCTTTTGAGGGATTAAGATCATAATTGCTTACTGTGTATTTTCCCATCCCAGGGAGGAATTTATATCCAGACTTGACCGGTCTGTCTCTGGTCAAGCAAGCAGCAGTCACTCAGAGACCTCATCAAATGCTGGAACTGTTGATAATAGAGGTGAACAAAACGATCTAAATTGTCTAGGTAGCATCAATGATGCAGACGGTGGCTCAGATCAAAATGGCAGAGAGGCTGACAACCAAAGTTCACTGGATGAGATAACTAATTCTAGACGCAGTAATAACCGGAGCATAAGTTTGGAAGAAAGGACTGCACGTGTTGAAGATTGGCAACGGTCAGAAATTGATGATTTTTCTCTGGGAAGAAATGATGCTGAAGTGGACTTGAATAGCCATCAAAGAGAGGATACTACTGAGTGTTCATCCTCTTCAATTCATGGAGACGAGATCAGACATGGCTGTCAATTACGAGAAACTATTGAGATACCTTATGAACAGTCTCTGCAATCTGAACCTATTGCCACAATGGGACTGATAAACAGGACAACAAATTTCCAGGAGAATCTTGTTGAAAGCATTAATCTAACTGTCCCTCTAGAGGAACAAACCGAGGAGGAGATTATGGAAAACGAAGAATCTGATTGGCAACTTATCAATGGTGAAACCAGTGCATGGAGAGATGATGCTGAAGACGAGGCAGATACAAATGTTCCTGTGAATTTTCCAAATCAATTGTCCCAGATATCATCCGTGGATGAGGACAGAGACGGCCACACTCACACAGAACTCACAGATATGCAGCCTGATGATACTGATCGTCAAAGCACAATACAAGACTGGTCGGAAGAACATTCTGATCAGGACACAGTTTCAATTGGAAGGGCTGCAACTTTCTTTCCTCCGGATGATGGTAACGAGAACATGGAACTCAGAGAACTCTCAAGCAGGTACTAATCTAGTAAATTTCTACAATAATGACCACACATTTCAACCTCATTTTATGTATCTGATGGCTCGCTGTTGGCACTACAGGAGACGTGTCTCAAATCTTCTTCAAAGCGGGTTTAGGGAGAATCTTGATCAGTTGATACAATCTTACATGGACAGACGAAGCCGAAATCCTGTCGACTGGGAAGAACACGAGACTTATTCTGACCATACAATAGTAGGTGAAGAACAACAAGATGAAGCCCAGAGTGGTGTTCAAGAACTTGACGCTGTCGAATCTCCTCCTCTGTCTCTACCCTCCCCAGTAATCCCTATACAGCCAAGGTGGGACCATGATCGATCCAATTCAAACTGGACGGCACATGATTTGCAGCACGGCATTGGAATGGTAAGACTAGTCTCAGAGTGGAACCTTAGGGTGAAGTGTACAAAAGCAATTCTCTTTTTTAAAGATGGAGGAACTCATTGATTGACATATTTTTTTTGCTGTTGCTCTTATTTGTTAACTTGATCAATAATATCTCTACAGGATTGGGATTCGATCAACGATTTGAGGGTTGACATGGGTAGAATACAGCAAAGGATGGATAACTTGCAGAGAATGCTGGAGGCTTGCATGGAAATGCAACTTGAGTTACAACGGTCCATAAGACAAGAAGTCTCGGCTGCGATGCACCGCTCTGCTGACCAAGCAGGTTCTCTATTAGTCTCCAATCACTTTATGAATTTACATATGAGGATTTACAATTGCAACAACAATACACAACATATGTATGTTTTACGGTTTTCTTATGGAAACACCTTAATCGATTTACAGGTCCATCCAAGGACACCGAGAGCTACGAGTCAAAATGGGAGTATGTAAGGAAAGGGATCTGCTGCGTGTGCTGTGAGAGCAACATCGATTCTTTACTGTATAGGTATGACATGAATCATGAAAAACACGTTGTTGTAAACATGTTTCCCAATTGAACCATCGAATAATTATGTTTCATTTGTATCTTGTTTCGTTCGGAAACAAAACAGATGTGGACATATGAACACTTGCGAGAAGTGTGCAAAGAAGCTAGTGGAAGCTGGAGGAAAATGTCCCATGTGTCAAGCTCCTGTGATTGAGGTTGTTCGTGCTTACTCTATTCTCTGAAGACGAATACTAACTAAAGTCTCTCAAGAGACACACAAAAATGACATTCTCTTTTTTTTAACTTTTACTATATACTTAACTTTTACTATATACTTAACAATGTAAAAGACTCATTGCATTAACGTACATGTACACATGTCTAGTATTTTAAATATTACATGCATGTTCATGTTCAAATTGTGTAGAGATAATTTATTACCCATGAGTATAGAATTTTTAGATAGGAGAATTACTTAGATAGACTACATTTTAGGTGTATTGATCAGAACCTACCAAATCTTTTTTTTATCTTTAGATGTTTTTTTATTACCAGCATGTCCTTTTTACAAGTTATCGGAAAAAACTAATTACGAAAAATGTCATCGCCACGTCAGACAAAATGGTGCGTGTCTCCAATAACTCAGCCATAATGTACGTTACGGCTGAGTTATGTCACGTTACGGTTGAGATATGGACAACGGCTGAGTTTCGGGCCAACGGCTGACTTACGATCATAACTCAGTCAACAGTTACGGCTGACTTTTAAAAATCTGGATGAGTTATGAGAAAACGGTTAATAACTCAGCCGCAGTTACGGCTGAGTTATAGTCCGATGGTTGAGTTATCAGAAGTTTGGCTGAGTTATGTCTTCGACACGGCTGACTTAACTTTCTCCGGTTGGCTGAGTTATCGACAACGGTTGAGTTATCAAATGTCGTTACGGCTGACTTATGATTCATAGACATAACTCAGTCGTAATTGGCTGACTTAACGGAAAACTCAACCATGTTACGGCTGACTTATTGACAAAAGATTAATTACTAATATAGTTTCCAGTTACAGCTGACTTATTTAACGTTACGGCTGACTTATTGACTTTACGGCTGAATTTGGCATCTTAAAAAACTTTTTAGTAATTACTTAAATATTTTTCATGTTGTGGTTGATTTATTCAGGCTGAGTTACATATTCGTTTGGTGGCTGACTTGCGACTTCAAATGCATAATTCCACGTCAGCATTCCATGTCATCATAAACGAGGTGATTAAGAAAGGTCGCCCTCTTCAACATGAGATTTTCTTTCTTTTGTTACACTCTGTTTTTTTCCACCTGAGTTCTTCACTTGTTCTTCACCTGAGTTCTTCTTCATTTTCGTTGATGGATCTGGTTCTAGTAATTGTTGTTTCTGGTAATTGGGTAAAATCACAAATATGTATTTAACGCCGACGATAGAGGGTGTAGAGTTGTGCAGATAGATGATGAAAGAACACATGAGAAGCTTGTGAAGTTGGTTCTCGATGACTACGGATTGAATGAGTTGAGCCATCAAGTAACGATGAGCTACATGTTCTCGTTACAATAATTCAGCCAAACCTCGAAATAGTCTGTGTAAGTCAACCATGACGATGACATAACTCAGCCAAACAACAATTTATTTACGTTAAGTCAGCTATGTCGTTTGAATAACTCATCCAAACCTCGAATTATTCTGCAATAAGTCAACCATATGTCGTTGGCATAACTCAGCCAAACATCAAATATGGTAGATGTGAATATTTGATGCATGTATGTAATGAAAACACTTTCATAATATGTAATTAACACTTTTATTAACTTTCCATATGAAAATCATGAAATTAGCTCAGGTTTGAACCTTTTAAAACTTATCTAAAAAAATGATAAATTTCAAACCCTATACTTATCTTCTATTCCTACACATTTGATCAATATAGAATGTAAAAGAGCTATTATTTAAATTTTTATTTATTGTATTATAATATATTAAATCTCTACATTATTATAACCAGTGCTAATGTTAACATACAAGTGTCCCTTTAATTAAAGTTTTAGTCATAAGTCAACCATGAAAAGTAAATAACTCAGCCGTGACGTATTATTATATATTCATACACAAAACTTTGAATTATTTTGTTTAGAAAATTTGAATTCAAATTTTGAATTATTTTGAATAATTTTTTTAAAACATAATACTCTATGACTTTATTATGCATGTGTGTGTGAATATGTGTATGTAATTATTGTTGGTCTTTCCCAATAAACACTTTTTGTAATCTCGAGAAAGTATATCATAACTCAGCCGTAATGTAGCATAACTCAGCCGGAATGTGGCATAACTCAGCCGTGACGTATTATTCTATACTCAGACACAAAAATTTAAATTATTTAAATATTTTGTTTAGAAAATTTGAATTCACATTTTGAATTATTTTGAATAATTTTTATAAAATATAATACTCTATGACTTTATTATGCATGTGCGCGTGAATATGTGTACGTAATTATTGTTGGTCTTTTCCAAAAAACACTTTTTGTAATATCGAGAAAGTATATCGTAACTCAGCCGTAATGTAGCATAACTCGGCCGCAATGTGGCCTAACTCAGCCATAAGAGATGAGAGAGAGAGAAGCGACGAGAAATTGGGTTCTTCGCCGGAATCGCCGAGGTAGAGATATTTTTTCATGTGCGTGAACAATTACAAAAAAAACCACAACTCAGCCGTAACTTACAATAAGTCATAATATAACTCAGCCGCAATGTGGCATAACTCAGCCGTAAACGACGTTTCGTATTTCCCTGTTATTTTTGTCGGAAAACGAAAAGTCTCCACCCAAGTTGAGAAGAAATGCAACAGGAATGACGACGAGAAAGAGAATCCTTGAGAATCGAAGCGGCCAGAAGAGATGAGAAAGAGAGAAGCCGCGAGAATTAGGATTCTTTGCCAGAATCGCCGAGGTAGAGATATTTTTCATGTCGGAAAACGAAAAGTCTCCACCCAAGTTGAGTAGAAATGCGACAGCAATGACGACGAGAAAGAGAGAGACACACTGATAATAGGATAAGCGGCTGGAAGAGACAAGAAATTGAAGCGGCGAGAGTTAGGGTTCTTCGTCGGCTTCGAGAGAGAAGGAACAATTTTTTTTTTGTGTGAACAGTGTTGAAATTGTTCAGTTTCCCATTTTTTTGATTATTAAATACAGAATAACTGTTAATAATGATGTGGCAATTTCGTGTATGACGTGGCATTACGAATCTGACATGGCAATTTCGTGTATGACGTGGCATTACGAATCTGACATGGCAATTTTTAAAAGAAATATGACGAGGGTGTTATTGGATACTGGATTATAATAGAGTCTAACTCTAAACCAAATCTAGTGTTATTTAATAAATGATTTTAAATTCTTTACTTAAATCAAGTGTTATTGGTTCTTATAATTATAGAATCTTCATTAAATGAGTTTAAAATCAAGTGTTATTGGTTCTCATATTTATATTGTCTTTATCAAAAGAGTTTTAAATCAAGTGTTATTGGTTCTCATACTTATAATTATTAATCAAAGTCTTATGTTATTCAAGTTTGGTGGATTTTCACAAATGATATCATTTGAAAGGATTTAAAATGAACATGAAACTGATTTCATATGTAAATTATGTCAATCCAAAAACCAACCTTCTACATGAGATTTCACAATCAAATAAACAAAAGTTTCACCCTATCACTCAACGTAATACACATAACTCATCCACCCAACATTTTTCTCTCTTCCTCATTTTCTTTTACGTAGTAGTGTGTCCGTTAAAACAAATATACACACTACGTTCCTCATTTTTCACCCAAAATGAATCTGGTTGCTGTGTGATTCATTTTCGTCACTTTGTTTTTATACTAATTAATTTCCACCTTAAAAAAATATGCTAGAACTTCAAAACAGAAAATGAGAAAAAAAATGTGATAATAAAAAGTTTGGTAGAATTTCATTGAAATTGTGAAAATCATTTGTTATAGAATTCAATTCTATTGTTCAAAACAAAGGATATCATTTGTCATTGTAGAAATACACTTCCACGGATTTGTTAAAATGAATCATAATTCAGTTTAAATGAACCCATATTTTAAAAGTCTTATGATTTTTAAAATCTAATGGAGTTGAATTTAACTTATACAACCAATAACACCCCCTAAGGGTGTTTATTATAATTACACCCATCTCACTAAAAAGAATAAAAAAAGATCTGTCTGTTTAAGGAATAAACATACAATTGTGATTTATCTAAGTAATTTTTTCTTTTTAGATGGGGTGAAAAAATATTACCTACACGGCTACACCCCAACATAGTAGATGCTCTTCTTTTAGGCATGGACGAAGACGTTTTAAACGGAAAAAACCCTTAATGCCCCAACTTTGGTTGGAAAAATATACATCATTTCTTAAAAATACCTCATCTTTGAATTATTGCTTGATTTAAATCTAGATTCAATTATAATTAAATTTATAAATATAACTTAAATTAAGAGAAATATAAAAAGAGATTAAAAAAAAATATATTTTTTGAAAATTGTTTATAAAACTTTTGATTGCACTTCATGATTGTATAGGAAATCTATATATAATTTGTTACTGCCAAAATAATATGGATTTTAATTACTAAATAACTTAGGTTAAGTGTTAGTTTATATGAAAAACTTAATTAAAACTTTTGAATATAATAGTACATTCTTGATTGAACCTCATAAAATCAGATTCTCTATTTTTAAAGAAATCTACTTTCACAAAAATCTTGATCGGGTAAAATATGAGTTTTTGATAAACTAAATCGAAAATCTAGTTCAAAAATCTGAAAACAATCAAGGTGAATTAGGATTTTGTCACTTGAATAATATCGTGGCACATCCTAACATTAATAATGAATTAGAGCAACATATTAAAAACCATAATTTATTTCGTAAAATATGTTCGATAGAATATTAAAAATTTGAGATTAAAAAACTAGAACCTAGATGTTAGTTGTGTAACTTATTGTGTTTGGTTGCAAATTATAAATGACACTTACTCAAAATTGATACATTACTCATTTAGGGAGTACGACTTGACATCTATTTGTTTTTTTATTCAGTTTCAGTTTAAGTTATTTTTTTGATTTTTGATCTCTATAGGGTTTTTAATTTCTATGTATATTATATTATAGATTGCTACTAACTTATTCGATTGGCATAATCTAAAAAACTAGGCTTTTTATTTAATCTAACTAAATTTTAAGCTCATATTTTGCTTTATGTTTGCTCTTTGTTTTGCTAAATATATGATGAACAACATCAAGAAATAGAGTTTCTTCCCTGCCCATTAATTTATCTCTATGCATATTGTGTGATAATAAGCTTCACTGTCTCTTGAGGTAATTTCTCTCTTTTTTTTTGTTTTTTTTATTAGAAGTATGTTTAGTCTACTAATTTTAGCTTAGTGTTAAGCATACAGCTAACAGTTTCTTTCTATTAGCTTTGCCATTTCTGCTAATTTCCATTAGCGGAACTAAAAGTGATTAAAAAATGCTTCTTCTTCCCATTTCTTTTCATTATCTTTATCATCATGTTTTGGAAATATCTGATTTCTCACAATGCGTTTATTTTCATTATAGTGATTTTTGTACTTCTAGTTGTTGTAGTGGTTTTTGTTAATGTTGTATTTACGGTTTTTAAATGTAATGATGAAAATGCAGAGGAAGTCCATTGATAATGGTGTATCAGCTAGTCTCAGCTCTTACCCATTTTCGATTCTGACCAAATTTGTGTAATTCATCTTTTTCATCTTCTTCAATATTCATCATGTGGAAAATTATGTCTTCCCAAAACAAATTTATTTCTTTCTTTTGGTATTTTCTTTCCCAAAACCAATTTATTAAGGAATTCGAAGTCGACGATGTTGCAGAGGAGGTCGTCAACGTCGAAGTCGCAGAGGAGGTAGTCGCCGTTGATGTTGAAGAAGACGACGCAAGCGTGGAAGTCGTCATGGATTCATCCAGTGAAGAAGATTATTTTTGAATTTTGTTTTTTTAATTTCTGTTAATTACTTTTGTTTATGTGAATAAATAATAATAAAAAAATCTTTTATTCGTAATTGATATTTTGGAAGTCTATAGATTGAATTTGAAAGTCTTAAACGTTGTCACTAGAACAGTAAGACCAATGAAAAACTTAAATGACGTTTCTGGAACAGAAAAACCAATAAGTTTTAACCTTAATTACATAAATATAATCCACATAAACAGTAATAAATTCAACCTATGTCTTCTAGGAATCATTATGCATGTATATCAAAAAATTATAATAATCTAGGAATAATCTATTACTAAATTTTGAGTTATCCGATTTTATAATTTTTTTTAATCAAAAATGGTATATAATTAATTAGTTTTGACTCAAATATATTTACTTAGGTGAGTTTGAAACTAATGATGATAATTAAGCTTTGATTTAATCTATATTCTATACTAATTTGAGCTTAGAGTTAAACACACACAGCTTCGTGTGAGCTGATAATACTCAACAACTATACGATTTTGCACATTTTTGTTGACAAATTTAGTTTAAATATTATATGAAAATAATTTCTTAATTTTATATTTAGAAGACGGCAAGACTTTCAAGTTTTCTTGTTCAATTTTGTGATAACTTTGCCAATTTGGTCGTGGCAACACTCATGTCTTGATTCGTCAAAGCTCTTCTTTTGGATTGTTATTTATTTGTTCGTAGTTTTCGATTTTCTATATTTCTTTTTTTTAGTAAAGAAAAAAACACTCAAAAATGGTATATAATTAATTAGTTTTGACTCAAATTAATATATTTTGGTAAGTTAAATGCATGTTGACTCAAATTGGTTTATATATAGTGAACAAAATATCAATGCAGAAATATAAGTGAATTAAAAAAGTTAAACAATGGATTTAAATCTAGTGTTTGTTCTATCTTCTTATTTGTTTCTTATACAAATGGTTGAAGGAAACAGTGATGTGAGCTTTTTCTAACTTCTATTTTGTAAAAATTTAATTTCTTATAAGATTATATAATTCAATTTTCTCAAGAAATTTGTTTTTTAGTCAATTTTACAGGAATTTGATTGTGTTGATATATACAAACAACCCGCTTTCCAACATCCATTGTTAAAACACCACAAGATTCAAGTATAGTAGTGATAGTGGTTAATTTGATACAATCAAATGTGACTATGCAATTGTAAAATAATAATCTTGTAACTCTATTATATATATTCCTAATCACATTATTTTGTTTTGTTACAGGAAAATTTTGGTTTCAATGAAAACCATGAAATAGAAAATAAATATAAAGAAAATGATCTAAGTTGTCCAAAAGGATCTGTGCCAATTTTAAAGCAAAAATTTGGAACTGAGAGCTTTCATCTGAACACAATGGAATATTTTGGCCACCATGTAAATTTCTTGTTTTTCATATATTTTTTTCTTCTTTTTCATATATTTTTATTAAAAAAATTATATAAACTCATATAGTTTTTATATAATTCGCAGCTAAAAAAATGAATATAATAAATGTAAAATTTGTGAGCGATCGAGTCTATTTTTAATATACATTTTATATACATGTGATGTATAGTTGGCTACTATCGAGACCATTTTGGATGAGAGCATTTATCGCGGAGCAGAAGCTATGATAAGTGTCCACAATGTAACTGTACAAAATAACCAATACTCTAAAAGTCAAATTTGGTTAGAGAATGGACCTCGTGATGAACTCAATAGCATACAATTTGGATGGGCGGTAAGTTATTATCATTTATAAAAATGAAAGTTATATACATAGTGTGTATTATATATATACTTTAAAAGAAATTTATAAAAAGTATATTTATGCATATATATTCATTGAAAATTAGGCTTAATACTTTCTTTCTGAAAAGAAATATTCACACTTTAAATTTTGTTAATATTTTAAGTTAGCGTACACACGTTTTATCATGTGTTAATATGTTTTTATAGGTTCATCCAAGAATATACGGGGACACTTTGACGCGATTTACAATATATTGGACTGTAAGTGAATGAGTTTTGTTTTTTTTAATAGCAAATGATTATTATTTTTTCTACATGACTAACCAATAAAATAAAGTTGACTACATTTTCTATATATCTTTGCATCTTCATAAGAGATAATAATTTCTTTGTATGTTTATAAAATAAAAACATGTGTTGCATTTTTCACTTTGTGTCTACCTCAAAATATTTTGACTTTTTAAAAATTTCAGGCAGATGGATATAAGAAAACTGGATGTTATAATACAAATTGTCCTGGTTTTATTATTACAAGTCGAGTTCCCTCCATTGGAAGCTATATTAGTAGATCTTCTATTTACGTTGGTAAAGAAACAAGATATGTCACACCACAAGTTTTTCAGGTAAAATTTTCACATGTTATATGTCAAATAGTTTATTTGAAAAATAGTCTATTTCATCAAGTTTGTGATTTAAATGGCCAAAATTTGAAAGTTCGTGAATATAATATTTATCTATTTTCTTGTTAAAATAACATATATGCTTATAATATTCAACTATTTTTGTAATCATTTTTAGAGTTTTTTTTAATATTTATTAGGATGGTTTCACCGGAAATTGAGCGCTAAAAATATTAGATGAAATAATTGGTTATTGGCCCAAGGAATTATTCACACACTTAAGAAAAGGAGCTTCTTCGGTGCGATACGGAGGAAATACCTTCACATCTCCTAATGGAATTAGTCCTCCAATGGGAAATGGACATTTTCCAGTTATTGACTTTCACAAAAGTTCACATTATGTTCATGTTAAAGTGAGGAATTCAAATTATCAACTCGTTGACATTGAAGACAATAGAATAAGATGTTATGCAGATTCTTACAAGTGTTATAGAGTATCATTATGGGGTTACTTCAAGTCAACTGGAGTAGCTTTCTCTTTTGGTGGACTAGGTGGAAACTGTGGTAGTTGATGATAGAGGAATTTTATATATGTACCAACCAAAACTATATTAAATTTGCAACATAAATAAAACTTCACTAAACTACTCTCATCTTGTGAACAAGACGTTTTTAAGGTCTTTTAAACAAACACTTAAGGATGTGTGCATGAGAAAGTAATTCAAAGTCAGAAGATACCAAAGAGAAATTAAACAAACCACACTTAAATTTCTACTAACTTGGTTACAAATCTAAAAATTTAAGTTTCAACAACACGAACCTATTTTTATAACAAAACAAACAAAATGTTAAGGGTGTGGTGCCCAACATTTTTTCTTCATGTTGTATATATTTTCCACAATTCAGACATATTTAAAACTGTTTCGATAAGGATTGATATCTTCAATTCCTTACCTTTGGTGTCTTAAAAAGCTAAGACTGGGGAGACCCTCGAGGTCGGATAGAAGTAGAGATGATCGGCTGGATTGAGATTCAGTATTGTCCCTCTGGTAAAATTCTTGAGTCTTGACATGAGATTATATCTAGGATTTGTGCTTTGTTTGATCTTGGTCTGATGAAGTCATTAGTGGCATAGTATAATGTTCTAGATTTCAAACATCATCAAAATAAATAATTGTTCAGATCACAATGGACGACGTACCTAAACTATCCAACTGATTCATAGGATAACTTTTCATTCTTGGATTTATCATTCATGTTTAATACTTGCATTAATAATTTGTGTTTTCCTTTTGACAAAATATGTAAAATAATACTTTGCCCTATTTACTTTTTCGGAATCGATATTTAACATATATATATCTACAACTTTCCTTTTCTTTTTTTCTGAACATGTTGCTAGCTAGCTATATATATTGGGATTTATTCATTCTTCTAATCTTAAGTGACTTCAGAGATATCTTTATAAAACCAAGTCTAGAACCAAAAACACAACACACGATCTTCTATGGAAATAGAAGGAGACTCAGATCCCATCCCTGTTGACATCATTCTCGACATCCTCTCGAGATTGTCTGTTGAATCAATCGCTAGGTTTGGTCTCGCATCCAAGTTCTGCGCATCCATACTCACCTCTCAAGATTTCACCGAGTCGTTCTTAAAAAGATCCTTGACTTCTGAGCCACGTCTCTTATTCGCTGTCAAAAACTCCAATGAGTGGCGCTTCTACACGTCGCCTCAGCTCCAGAATCCAGACAAGAACAACTCTCTTGTAGTATCAGCCGATTTTCATATGAAGTTACGGGGAGATATCGGACAAGAGATCTGTGGTCCAGTCTCTGGCTTGCTCTATCTCCCTAATATGAAGAGAGGTGAAGTTCCGGCTATATGTAACCCTAGCACGGGACAGTACACGAGATTACCTCAACTGAAAAGGAAAAGGGATTCAAGAACCTTATTAGGGTATGATCCTATTGGCAAACGATACAAAGCATCAACCCTAAGGAACTCGCTTTATGGAGCATCTAATGATGAAGAGGGACAACATATTCTAACATTAGGAACTAAGAACGTGTCATGGAGACAAATGTATTGTCCGGAAAAACATTACCCTATAGGTGAAGGTGTATGCATCAATGGGGTTTTGTATTACATAGCTGGACAAGGAAAGGGTCAGAAGATAGATAAATAAACCGGCTAACCACAATTCTATGTTCCAGTTGTAAAGTCCTCCCATAAAATGATACTGAAGAAACTAGGAACTTAAATGCTTAAAGAGCATCCGAGATTCCAAGTCTAAATACTAAACCCCATCCCGTAAATCAGCTGGAAGATATCAATCCATAGACAATGATATAACTATACTAACACAATCTGATGAATACACACACACACTAAGCAACCAAGTTAGACAAACTGAAACAGAACAACTAAGCTTAAAGATACATAACAACGAACACAATGTCTTAGAAGATATTCAAGATTCTCGGATTACACAACTCTGTTAAGTCGAGAGTGAGGAAAATAAGAGAAGAAGAGAAATAAGATAAGATTAAGAGATAGAATAGACCTTTCAGCCGTTTAAGGAAAGAGATGGAAATTATTGTTCATTCATAAGATAAGGATACACTATAGAAATAAGAAAATCAAAACATTTAAAAATATAAAAGAATATTTAATTGAAAATTAACAAATATATAAAATAAAATTGATACAGTTAAGGTTTTTTTCTTTATGTTTGCTCATGTTTTGCTAAATTTATGATGAACAAGATCAAGAAATGGAGTTTGTTCCCTGAACTTAATCACATATACTAGCTATCGACGAGAGAAATATATATATATTTACTTAGGTGAGCTTGAAACTAATGCAGAAAATTAAGCTTTGATTTAATCTATACTAATTTAAGCTTAGAGTTAAACACACAACAACTATACAACTTTGTACATTTTTGTTGACAAATTTACTTTAAATATTATATGAAAATAATTTGTTAATTTATATTTAGAAGACGGCTGGACAAGGAAAGGGTCAGAAGATAGATAAATAAACCGGCTAACCACAATTCAATGTTCCAGTTGTAAAGTCCTCCCATAAAATGATACTGAAGAAACTAGGAACTTAAATGCTTAAAGAGCATCCGAGATTCCAAGTCTAAATACTAAACCCCATCCCGTAAATCAGCTGGAAGATATCAATCCATAGACAATGATATAACTATACTAACACAATCTGATGAATACACACACACACTAAGCAACCAAGTTAGACAAACTGAAACAGAACAACTAAGCTTAAAGATACATAACAACGAACACAATGTCTCAGAAGGTATTCAAGATTCTCGGATTACAGAACTCTGTTAAGTCGAGAGTGAGGAAGATAAGAGAAGAAGAGAAATAAGATAAGATTAAGAGATAGAATAGACCTTTCAGCCGTTTAAGGAAAGAGATGGAAATTACTGTTCATTCATAAGATAAGGATACCCTAAGATGGGATCATTCTTTAAATACATCATAGTTTAGGGCAACATTAGGAGAATTGTAAAACGACATAACATTACTCATTATTGAATCACAGAAACCCTCTCTTAGAAGCGGAGGCACTCCTTCTTCTTTTAACTTCTTCTTAGCCACTTTTAACTCCCACCTTAGCTCTTCTCCCTACTGATCTGTTCTTCTTCTTCATAAAAGCTAACAGAATGCGCAACCTATCAATACCCCCGGTTAGAGAACTGACCTTGTCCTCAAGGTCGAAATCCGGAAACTGATCCATTATCACTGTGACTGGTTCCCAAGTAGACTCAAATTCAGGTAAGCCTTTCCACTGGATTCTGACCTCTGTTTCATTTCCCTGAGGAGGGCGACGCACATCAAGTATCTTTTCAGGTTCTACTGCCCATTCTAAAGTAGGAGACAGGATGGCTGGGATCTCCTGAGCTTGTCGTCCAGAAGGAACAACAGCTTTAAGCTGAGAGACATGAAATATAGGATGTATCTGACTGTAAAGAGGTAGCTGAAGCTTGTAAGCTACCTTCCCTCTGCGTTCCAGGATCTGATAAGGGCCAAAGTACCTCTGTGCTAACTTCTCATTCCTTCTGTTAACCACTGAGTTCTGCCTATAAGGTCGCAGCTTCAAGTACACCCAATTACCGACCTTAAATTCTACATCTCTTCTATGTTTGTTGGCGGATTTCTGCATCATAGTCTGAGCGAGTTCCATGTTCTCTTTTAACTCTACCAACAAACTATCTCTGTCCTTTAGCAGTTCTTCTACTATTACATTTGCTGTTGGCACATCCCCATATCGTAAAATCTTAGGAGGTTCTCTTCCATACACAGCAAAGAAAGGGGTGGTCTTGATGGTGGAGTGGTAAGAAGAATTATACCAATATACAGCCCTGGGTGGCCATTGAACCCAAGTTGCTGGCTTCCTGCTATCAAGTATGTTTCCAAACACCGGTTGACTACCTCTATCTGCCCATCAGTTTGCGGATGGTAGGCTGAACTCTTGTGGAGAGTGGTTCCCTGGCTCTTGAATAATTCTGTCCAAAAACTGCTTATGAACACTTTATCTCTGTCGGAGACTATGTTCTCTGGGAAGCCATGATGTCTTACCACCTCCTTGATGAATGATTTAGCCACAGTTCTTGCAGTGAAAGGATGCTTCAGCGAAATGAAATGCCCATACTTACTTAGGCGATCCACTACTACCAGTATCACCGTGAACCCTTTAGAAGGTGGCAACCCTTCTATGAAATCCATGCTTATGTGGGACTAAATCTATGGCGGTATTGGTAGGGGTGAGAGCAACCCTGCGGGAGACAGTGTGGCCTGCTTATTTTCTTGGCAGATCTGACACTTAATGATGTACTTTGTCACATCTCTCCTCATTCCTTTCCAAAACACCTCTTATGATAACCTTTTATAAGTCTTCAAGGCCCCTTCATGACCCCCAACTGCACTGTTATGGAACTGTTCCAGCAAGGTCTGAATGATGGGAGATCCCTGAGGAATTACCAACCGCCCTTCCTTGTAAAGCAACCCTCCTTCCATGATGTACCCCTGTTGGTTTGGTTGCCTCGTTTCACAATCCTTGATTATGGCTGCTAACTCAACATCTTTTCTCAGCTGACTTGCTAACTCCTCCTTATCAAAATTTAATGGTGAATGTGCGCTTATCAGGCTGAGCTTCTCATCATGCGGTCTTCTGGATAGAGCATCCGCCACCCGATTCTCAACTCCTGGCTTGTACTCTATCCGGTATTTGAGACCTATCAACTTTGATGCCCATCGTTGCTGGACTGAGGAGACCCCTTTTTGATCCAACAAATGCTTGAGACTACTTTGATCTGTTTTAATAACAAACTCCTTCCCCGCTAAGTAGTGCTTCCACTTAGTAACCGCCTTAACTATGGCAAGGAGCTCCCTCTCATACACAGATTTGATTCGGCCTGATGATGAAAAGGCTTGACTCAAGAAGGCAATAGGTCGCTTACCTTGAGATAAAACTGCTCCAATCCCCAGCCCTGAAGCATCAGTCTCCACTGTGAACTCCTGATCAAAGTCTGGTAACTTCAGCACTGGGAGACTAGTCACTGCTCCTTTCAATTCTTGGAACGCCTCCTCTGCTGCAGTGGACCAACAGAACCCATTTTTCTTGAGAAGGTCAGTGAGAGGTCTTGCGATCTGTCCATAATTACGCACAAATTTCCTATAATAACCAATCAGCCCCAAGAACCCTCTTAGTTCAGTCACGCTCTGAGGAACTGGCCATTTCACCATAGCTTTGATCTTGTCAGGGTCTGCAGCAACTCCTTCACCTGAAATGATGTGCCCTAAGTAAGCTATTCGCTTACTACCAAATGAACATTTCTTTTTGTTGGCATAGAAGTGTTGCTTGCTCATAATCTCCAATACCAGCCTTAAGTGGTGAATGTGCGTCTCCAAATCAGGGCTATAGACCAAAATATCGTCGAAAAACACCAGCACAAACCTCCTTAAATAGGGTCTGAATAGGTCATTCATGATGGATTGAAAGGTTGACGGAGCGTTAGTCAATCCGAATGGCATGACCAAGAATTCATAGTGTCCTTGGTGTGTCTTGAAAGCAGTTTTCTCCACATCGCCTTCCTTTACCCTGATTTGATGGTACCCGGACTTGAGATCGATTTTAGAGAAGATCGTCGCTCCCTTCAACTCGTCTAACAACTCTTCTATAATGGGAATGGGGTACCTATCTGGAATTGTCACTTGATTCAGGGCCCTGTAGTCAACTCAAAATCTCCAGCCTCCATCTTTCTTTTTCACTAGCAGGACAAGGCTGGAGTAGGGGCTGATACTAGGCTTGATAATTCCTGCATCCAACATTTCCTGAACCAACTTCTCTATCTCGTTTTTCTGGACAAAAGAGTAGCGATAGGGCCTGATATTGATCGGTGAGGTCCCCTCATGTAGTGTAATCGCATGTTCTTTGTTTCGCACTGGTGGTAGTCCCTGTGGGGTCTGGAAGACTGTTGGAAACTGAGTAAGAAGTTGTTGAACCTCAACAGGTCCCTTCAGCTCTTCGACTTGTCCTTCTTCTTCAAACAAGGTCTTTAGTTCCAGGAGATACACTTCCCCCTTTCTGCGGATTACTCTCCTCATTGCACTGAGTGAAATCCGCCCTTTGCACCAAGCTTGGATCCCCTCTAATAGTTACCCATTTGTCACGTATCTTCCAACTCAGTCTGAATAGCTTCCAGTTGGTTTTTGTCTCCCCCAAGGTTTCCAACCAAGTATATCCCAGCACTATATCCAAGTCATCCAAATCAAACAACAAAAACTCTTCCATGATTTCCACTCCTTGTACCTCCAATAACTCTCCAGAACATTTCCATGTGCTATTGCTGATCTGCCCATTAGCAAGCCTGACACTAACATTTCTGGTTGCTGTGGCAGATAGACCCAACTCCGCTACTACCCTTTCTGACATGAAGTTAGAAGTGGCCCCAGAATCGATCAGAATGACTACTTCTCTGTTGCCAATCTTTCCCTTCATCATCATGGACTTCTCAGCTGTAATACCACCCATAGAATGCAGAGTCACCACTTCTTGCTTGCTGGCTTTCTGATTCTCTCTCTCCTGCATCTCTTGTTCATCCTCATATGCATCATCAAACTCCTCACAATCGTCTACCTCCATCAATTTAAACCGCTGTTTACACCTATGACCCGGAGACCATTTATCACCACATTGCCTTCACGGGTTAAAATTGCGAGCTTCCCCACTGCCCGATGGTTTCTTGTAGTCATTACTCCTGGAATAAGACTGATTAGGTGGTCGGCTAGGCTGAGAGAACACCGGTGTCTGAGCTGGCCTCGGAGGAGGTCTAGCTTGGTAAGTATTGGTTGCGTTCTCCTGAGATTCAATGAGTCTCGCAAAGTCCACAATCTCTGTTAAATCCCTCGGTCTGCAACGCAACACTTGGTCATGTATTGTTTGCTTCAGTCCACGAAGGAAAGCCGCTTCTAACACGTCATCAGTGACATGAGGTAACTCCACGGATAACTGCTCGAATCGCCCTCTATAATCATCCACACTACCTGTCTGGGTGATTTGCATCAGATGGTCTACAGAAGAACTCCCACGACTTGGTTTAAATCGAACCTGAAACCTCTCTCTGAAGATCTGCCAGTTGATGATGCACGTGAACGTTGCGCCACCAGGTAACTGCAGCTCCGACGAGACTAGCCACGGCAAGATCTAGCTTTTCAAACTCATGGGTCTGGTTCATCGCGAAGACCCTCTCTGCTCGAAACAGCCAATCGTCTTGGTTTGTGCCATCACACGACGGTAGATCGACACGCTTAAAAGTCATCTCCCCCATCTGGCGGGGCAATTCGACTCGCTGCGGTAGGACCGGCGACGGAAGCAAGCCATCCGACGGTCGTTGGGGAGGAAAGGGCATGGTGCGCTCCTGTCGAGTCTGCTCTTCAACGACAGGCGCTGGTGTCACCGGCGTTGGTGTCACCGGAACGTGGTTGTTCGTCCCGGAAACCGGAGTCGAGAAACCCACCGGTGTTGTGGAACGGCTCTCAAGTGGACGAAAGGACCGCATCGACTCCACCAAATAGTTAATCGATTCGCGCATCCACTGGATGTCCTTGTCGTGACGCGCCATGATCTGTTCTTGCGTCTCCGTCGGAAGTGGTGTGTCAGACGCATGAGACTCGAGTTCAGATCGATTAGTGCGTTGATCTGGAAGTGGTGGGGTTGACGCCATAGCTCTCAATGAAAGCACCAATTTGTTAAGTCGAGAGTGAGGAAGATAAGAGAAGAAGAGAAATAAGATAAGATTAAGAGATAGAATAGACCTTTCAGCCGTTTAAGGAAAGAGATGGAAATTACTGTTCATTTATAAGATAAGGATACCCTAAGATGGGATCATCCTTTAAATATATCATAGTTTAGGGAAACATTAGGAGAATTGTAAAACGACATAACATTACTCATTATTGAATCATAGAAACCCTCTCTTAGAAGCGGAGGCACTCCTTCTTCTTTTAACTTCTTCTTAGCCACTTTTAACTCCCACCTTAGCTCTTCTCCCTACTGATCTGTTCTTCTTCTTCATAAAAGCTAACGGAATGCGCAACCTATCAAACTCAACCTATCAAACTCACCCTTCAAAAAAGCAAAGTCCTTTCAATATGCATTGGAAGTCTATACAAATCCTCAAAACAATACGTGCAAAATCATCACTAAAGACCCATCAAAACGATTACACAAGAACACCCAAACTCACACAAACCCTAGAAATCAACAGAACATCAAATTGAGGAATCATTCGCATAAAAATTGAAACTTTGAATCATGGGTACTCAATAAACTTCGATAAAAACTGAAAATTTCGTATAAAAGAATCAGACAGAGAAATTGGAAACAAAAAAAACGAAGGAGACGATATCAAATTAAGATGAGATTAAAGTAGTTTTCTATTTATTCCACGATATCCCAACTACCCAATCTCAAGCCTCAATATTTAGACGAAATTTTGTTTTATTTTTTAACTAAAATGAAATTTATTGCAAAATTTGTTAAAAGAAAACAAAATTTCAAGCTATAACTTCGTCCAAATACATCTATATTAACATTTGTGGAGCAAGTTTAGAAAAAAATCTTGCTTTGCTCACTTATTTACAACCCTCTGCCACTGACTTTATTATATTAAACTTTTTTATCAACAACTTAACAAATAACACAACAGATACGACACCAAGCTTTGACTATTTAATTCAAATTCGTTTTAGTAAATCCTATTCTCCGTGAATCTCTCTATGCACATTATTCAAAAATTGAAACTGTTAATATTGCAGTTTATTATGCTAATAATTAGTTACTAAATTATTATCAAAAGTTCAAAACAATATATGTTTTGCGTGACTGTGGGGGAAAATCTTAAACTCCCATACTCTTCTATAAATAGCTGGCCGATTTACCCAACTTAAACTCACAAACTTGATTTTTCATATCCAGAAAACATTGTTTCGCTTCTACAGGAGATGGTTCTCTCCGATGAAATGGTACGAATGCTTTAACGTAAATATTGATTTTCATTTTAATCTTATGCCTTCCTAGCTAATATTTGTTTTGTTTCAATATTCATTACAAGGCAAGAAATTCACTTAATGAAGGGAAATGAAAAAAAAAATAAAAAAAATCAATGACCTTTGATAAACACTATGAGCCTCTAAGTTTTGAAGACTCAAACAATAAATTCACCTGTTTGCGGTGAACCGAGAGGGATGACCGGATATTAGTCAAGTAGTTTCGTTATTATTTTAATTAGATTTGTGTTCTACAAACAATTAAGTAATTGACAGAAATTAAGTAAATGTTTTTTTTAAAAAGTTGTTTACGATTTATTAGTTTTATTACTCTAACATAAATAATTTTACATAAATTTTATCTATATATCATACATATAATATTTTATGTTACAAACACCCTTAGAATCATCTAGGCCCTGATTAAGTGTTTTATGCGTTAGTTGTTGGGTTTACTGCCTAGATACTGATTAATGTTTCCTTGAACACTGATAGTAACCTATGTTTACTTTCACAACAACTAATTTTGATTGATTAAATTCTAAATGAAAATAATTATTTGCATAGACGTCAAGCAAATAAAATTACAAATATCTATATATTATTCTAAAAAGCTATAAAATTTAAAGTTTTATATTATATCCAAAATATGTTTTTTTTTAAATTATATAAAATAAAAAATATTAATCCCGCGGTGTACCGCGGGTTAACTGCTAGTTGAGTTTTAAATTTCGTTTGCAATATGGGGGTAACAAGAATATTTAAAATATAAGAAAATAAATAACGTTGATATTTGGGCTCTCTTATGGTTTCTATTATGGGCTGTTTGTTATATTGAGTTGGGCTTTTGTTTGAAAATTACGGCCTACTTTTGTGGTCATTTTAAACTATATTAAAAAAAAAAAAAAAAGTTGAATCCATCGAAGATTGGTCGTTCTTTTTTTTCTCTTTTTGTAAAACTGAATTTGTTCATTCTTCAACCCCAAAATAGAAAGAATTCACCGGCGGCGAAGTTGTTCACCTCTCCGGCGGAATCGAAAGGTATATCTCTTAGCTCAAATTTAGTAGCTAAGCTTTAGACCTACACGGAAGCTGTGAAGAAGGCAACATTCGAGAGAAATAAATTGAAAAATATGAAAATGAGATTTTGTATTTATTAAGGAGAGGTTATAGAAATTTTATTAAATATGATTATTTCCTAATTAAATTTTCCTAAAATTCTCTAAAATCAATTCTCTATAATCCACATAAACAGTAATAAATTCAACCTATGTCTTCTAGGAACCATCATGCATGTATATCAAAAAATTATAATAATCTAGGAATAATCTATTACTAAAATTTCTGAGTTATTCGATTTTATAATTTTTTATCAAAAAAAAAAAAAATCTCATTCACTATAGAAATAAGAAAATAAAAACATTTAAAAATATAAAAGAATATCTAATTGAAATTAACAAATATATAAAATAAAATTGATACAGTTAAGGTTTTTGCTTTATGTTTGCTCATGTTTTGCTAAATTTATGATGAACAAGATCAATAAATGGAGTTTGTTCCCTGAACTTAATCACATATACTAGATATCGACGAGTGAAATATATATATATTTACTTAGGTGAGTTTGAAACTAATGCAGATAATTAAGCTTTGATTTAATCTATATTCTATACTAATTTGAGCTTAGAGTTAAACACACACAGCTTTGTGTGAGCTGATAATACTCAACAACTATACGATTTTGTACATTTTTGTTGACAAATTTAGTTTAAATATTATATGAAAATAATTTCTTAATTTTATATTTAGAAGACGGCAAGACTTTCAAGTTTTCTTGTTCAGTTTTGTGATAACTTTGCCAATTTGGTTGTGGCAACACTGTTGGCTTCCTCATGTCAAAGCTCTTCTTTTGGATTGTTATTTATTTGTTCATAGTTTTCGATTTTCTATATTTCTTTTTTTTTTTTAGTAAAGAAAAAAACACTCAAAAATGGTATATAATTAATTAGTTTTGACTCAAATATATTTTTTGGTAAGTTAAATGCATGTTGACTCAAATTGGTTTATATATAGTGATCAAAATACCAAAGCAGAAATATAAGTGAATTTAAAATTTAAACAATGGATTTAAATCTAGTGTTTGTTCTATCTTCTTATTTGTTTCTTACGCAAATGGTCGAAGGAAACAGTGATGTGAGCTTTTTCTAACTTCTACTTTGTAAAAATTTAATTTCTTATAAGATTATATAATTCAATTTTCTCAAGAAATTTGTTTTTTAGTCAATTTTACAGGAATTTGATTGTGTTGATAAATACAAACAACCCGCTTTCCAACATCCATTGTTAAAACACCACAAGATTCAAGTATAGTAGTGATAGTGGTTACTTTGATACAATCAAATGTGATTATGCAATTGTAAAATAATAATCTTGTAACTCTATTATATATATTCCTAATCACATTATTTTTTTTTGTTACAGGAAAATTTTGGTTTCAATGAAAACCATGATATAAAAAATAAATATAAAGAAAATGATCGAAGTTGTCCAAAAGGAACTGTGCCAATTTTAAAGCAGAAAATTGGAATTGAGAGCTTTCATCCGAACACAATGGAATATTTTGGCCAACATGTAAATTTCTTATTTTCCTATATTTTTATTAAAAAATTATATAATCTCATATAGTTTTTATATGATTTGCAGCTAGAAAATATGAATATAATACATGTAAAATTTGTGAGCGAGTCTATTTTTAATATACATTTTATATACATGTGATGTATAGTTTGCTACCGTCGAGACCATTTTGGATGAGAGCATTTACCGCGGAGCAGAAGCTATGATAAGTGTTCACAATGTAACTGTACAAAATAACCAATACTCTAAAAGTCAAATTTGGTTAGAGAACGGACCTCGCGACGAACTCAATAGCATACAATTTGGATGGGCGGTAAGTTATTATCATTTATAGAAATAAAATTTATATACATTGTGTTTATTTTATATATACTTTAAAAGAAAACTATTAAAAGTATATTTATGCATATATATTCATTGAAAATTAGGTTTAATACTTTCTTTCTAAATAGAAATATTCACACTTAAAATTTTGTTAATATTTAAAGTTAGCATACACACGTTTTATCATGTGTTAATATGTTTTATAGGTTCATCCAAGAATATACGAGGACACTTTGACGCGATTTACAATATATTGGACTGTAAGTGAATTAGTTCTGTTTTTTTTAATAGCAAATGATTATGTTTTTTTTCTACATGACTAACCAATAAAATAAAATTGACTACATTTTCTTTATATCTTTGTATCTTCATAAAAGATAATAATTTCTTTGTATGTTTATAAAATTTAAACATGTTTTGCCTTTTTCTCTTTGTGTCTCAAAATATTTTGACTTTATAAAAAATTTCAGGCAGATGGATATAAGAAAACTGGATGTTATAATACAAATTGTCCTGGTTTTATTATTACAAGTCGAGTTCCCTCCATTGGAAGCTATATTAGTAGATCTTCTATTTACGTTGGTAAAGAAACAAGATACGTCACACCACAAGTTTTTCAGGTAAAATTTTCACATGTTTTATGTCAAATAGTTTATTTGACAAATAGTCTATTTCAGAAAGTTTGTGATTTAAATGGCCAAAATTTGAAATTCTTGAATTAAATGACATTTTTTCCTTATATTTTTTTTTGAATATAATATTTATCCATTTTCTTGTTAAAATAACATATATGCTTATAATTTTCAAGTGTTTTTGTAATCATTTTTAGAGTTTTTTTAATATTTATTAGGATGGTTTTACCGGAAATTGGGCGCTAAAAATATTAGATGAAATAATTGGTTATTGGCCCAAAGAATTATTCACACACTTAAGAAAAGGAGCTTCTTTGGTGCGATACGGAGGAAATACCTTCACATCTCCTAATGGAATTAGTCCTCCAATGGGAAATGGACATTTTCCGGTTATTGACTTTCATATAACCACTGTGTTTCTTTCCAAAGTATATGTTCAATATTTTCCTTTAAGTTCTTTTCTCTTTTCGGTTTGGTTTGGTTATTCTCTTTTCCCATGTATGTTGCAGCTGTCAGAAAGCAAATGGTTAATCATTTGTAGTGAATGATATATTTAGACAAAAGCGTCTAAATAGATATACTGTATAAGGGATGTGATAACAAAAGCGTTAATCACTCGCTAAGAAATCTATATATACATTTTTTAAGTACATTTGGTACTAAAATCTATTTAGGTTTATAACCTTTTATTTTAGAATATTTGCATAATCAAACTCTTGCCAATTGAATAAATAACAAAACTTAAAAGTAAAATTTGTAATTAAATTACAAGCAAATCGTAAAATTGGAAACAAATATTTATTACACAAAAAGATTTCCTAAAACGTCTCTCTCTAATTAATCGAATATCTCTCCAATATATTTATGTAATTTTATTTGTTTTTAATTTATATTATTACATAAAATATATTTATAATAAAAATACAAATTTTTTTTCACACATTTTGCAATTTAAAATTTTGAAAACGGGCGTATATAACTCAAACGATAAAGGAAAAAATATATGTACAACGTCTATAAGGTAAAAAAATTAGATAGTTCAAACCCATTATAAATAGTACTAATATTTTCACAACTTCAAATGAACATGAACTTTGATTTCTCATGTATCCAAATTAAAATTTTAAAGTTTTATAGAATATTTAAAATATAAAAAATATTTAAACTCGACAAAAATTTAAAATATTATTAATATTTTAACTCAAAATATTTCAAATATAATAATATTGTAAATAAATATGAATGAACGGTTTTGAGTTTATATAAATATGATTATATGTTTCTTACGGTTGTGTATATTAAAAAAGTTTTACGGGTTAAGGTAAAATATAAATTTTTATTTACAACAAATCATCCTGCGGTGTACTGCAAGTTTTTTTTCTTTTGTGAAGTGTATCGCGGACTGACCACATATATCTATGAGTCTACTTATTATACAAATTCATAAAATTATATAAAATTAAAATAATATAAACACGTATAAAACTATAGTATATAAACCAACTACAAAAATAATAAATCAAGCAAATATAATAAATTATGGACCCGTGGTGTACAACGGGATAAATCCTAGTACATATTAAATAGATAGAAGAGATGTAATAAAAAAAAACGTTAGTCCAACTGTTAGGTTCAAGCAATAAATATTCGAGAGAAATAAATTGAAAAAATATGAAAATGAGATTTTGTATTTATTAAGGAGAGGTTATAGGAATTTTATTAAATATGATTATTTCCTAATTAAATTTTCCTAAAATTCTCTAAAATCAATTCCCCTCCGATTTTGTATTTATTAGGAAGAGATTTTAGAATTTTTTTTAAATGTGATTATTTCTATATTTAAAATAAATGTAAATTGTGTTGTTTTGATTTTAAGGGAGAAAATATAATGGAATTAATTGTGTTGATTAATTACACAATACCAATCGGAGGGGAACTGATTTTACAGAATTTTAGGAAAATTTAATTAGGAAATAATTTTATGATTTTATGTAATTAATTGTGTAATCGAATTTGACAAAAATAATAGGAAATTATTTTTTAAGCTAATGGTATTTAGGTGTAAATATGTTTTAACCCTAAGGTTTTTTTTCAAATAGTGCTGCAAAAATGTTCTAATAGATTTACTTTCATTTTTTTTTACATGTTTTGTTTTCATCACAAATTTATATTTCTGTATTTAGTTATAAAAACCTCGAAAACGGTATTGAATTAATTAGTTTTGACTCAAATATATATATATTTTTTTTGGTAAGGACTCAAATATATTTTTTGGTAACATGTTAAATGCTTGTTGACTCAAATATATTTTTTGGTAACATGTTAAATGCTCATTGACTCAAATATATATTTTTGGTAGCTTGTTAAATGTTTGTTGACTCAAATTGGTTTATATATAGCGATCAAAATATCAATGCAGAAATACAAGTAAACTTAATAAATGGGTTTAAAACTAGTGTTCATTCTATTTTCTTATTTGTTTCTTACGCAAATTGTCGAAGGAAACAGTGATGTGAGCTTTTTATAAATTCAATTTGTAATTTTTAATTTCTTTTAAGATTTGATAAATTTAACTTTTCTCAAAAGGATTATTTTTTAGTCAATTTTACAGGAATTTGATTGTGTTGATATATACAAACAACCCGCTTTCCAACATCCGTTGTTAAAAAACCACAAGATTCAGGTATAGTGGTGATATTGGTTACTTTCATATAATCAAATGTGATTATGCAATTGTAAGATAGTAATCTTGCAACTCTATTATATTTTCCTAATCTTACTATTTTGTTTTGTTACAGGAAAATTTCATTTTCCACGAAAACCATAATACAAACAATAAATATAAAGAAAATGATCTAAGTTGTCCAAAAGGAACGGTGCCAATTTTTAAGCAAAAAAATGGAACTGGAAACTTTCATCAGAACACAGTCGAGTATTCTGGCCAACATGTAAGTTTTCTTCTTTTTCATATATTTTTATTAAAAGTTTGTATAATCTTGTGTAGGTTTTATACGATTCATTACTAAAAATGAATATAATACATGTAAATTTGTGAACTGAGTCTATTTTCTTATATACATGTGTTGTACAGTTTGCAACAATCGAGACCATTTTGGATGGGAGCATTTATCGAGGAGCAGAAGCTATGATAAGTGTTCATAATGTAACTGTGCAAAATAACCAATACAGTAAAAGTCAAATTTGGTTAGAAAATGGACCTCGAAGCGAACTCAATAGCATACAATTTGGATGGGCGGTAAGTTATTATCATTTATAAAACAAAATTATGTATGGTTCACATTTAGTCATGTGATATTATTATACATAGAACTAAAAATTACATTATATATATATATATATATATATATCCTTTACAAGAAAAATATAAGTAAATATAAAAATATATATTTATGCATACATACTCAATCTTAACTCGTTGTATACCGCTAGACAACTAATTCTTTTTTAATTCATATTTTTGAAATTTACAGATTTTATTGGAATTTACTTAATAATGATTAAGATTGCATAATATAAATTTCATTAAATAAATTTGATTATACATATTTTTTATATGGGTGTTATTGAAATATAAGATTAATGATATATTTTATTTTATTTTTAGTATTATAGATTTTAACCCGTCTTGTCATATAATCCGTTCGTATTAAAAATATATTGTTTAAATATTAAATATATCAACTATATTATTTTACAATTTCTTAAAGTTTAAAATTGACTATATCGAATTAAATGAGATACAACTTTACAATTTGGATGCTGATTAAGTAAATTTTATATAGCATAACGCTTAAATTTTTGGGGGAATTTCAAAAATACCCCTTTTCATATACCTCTTTTTAAAAATACCTCATTTTCAAACTTTATCAAAAAACCCACTAAAAAAATTGAAACTTATCCAAATATGTATGTAAGCTTATAAATATATACACAAATTACCTTTATATGTGTATAAAACTTTATATACCTTTCATAAATAGTGTAAAAATAAATTATAAAAACCTTATAAAAACCGTATAAACCCTTTTAAAAACCTTTTAAAAACCTTATAAAACTTATAAAAACAATTTAAAACAATTTAAAACATTTTAAAATATTTGTATCGAATCTCCCAGTAGTAGTTATTATATAGAAGTAACTTATAAACTATATTAAACTTTATAATTTTTTATATTTAAAAAGGGGTATTTTTGAAAATGGATAGATAAAAGGGGTATTTTTAAAAAGGGGTACACCAAAAAGGGTATTTCTCAAAAATTCTCTAAATTTTTTATACAGTTGAAATATTTGAAATATTTTAACCATTCTATAATGCTTAAGTATTTATAATATTTAAACCATTTAAAGGTTTTAATATATTTAACCTATTTTAAACTTTAAAGTCTATAAATTATAAAATTTTGATTTTTTTTTATAAAAGCTTGTAACTTTTACAAGTTTCAATATTGATAATATTTTAAACTTTTAAAAATAATAAATATTTTGAAACTCGTAAAAGTTTTAATTTGCTATTGTAAAAAACCGGATTAAACCTAGTAAAAAATATACTTAATAAATCTAGTAAATGTCTCTATAGTATTTTTTTTTCAAAAAGTGGTGCAAAAATACTATTGTAGATAAATTGAAATTTACAAAAAGGCTTAATACTTTCTTTTTACAAAACTATTAACACTTAAAATTTTGTCAATATTTTAAGTTAGTTACACGTATTTTATCATATGATTAATATTTTTCTTATAGGTTCATCCAAGATTATATGGTGATACTTTGACGCGATTTACAATATATTGGACTGTAAGTGAATTAAGTTTTCTTTTATTTATAGCAAATTATTATGTTTTTTTTTACATGACAAAAAAATTACTACAGAAATAAAGTCTTTACATCTTTATATCTTCATAACAATAAACCATTTGTTGCCTTTTTCTCTCTATAGCTCATAATATTTTACATTTTCTGAATTTATCAGGCGGATGGATATAAAAAAACCGGGTGTTATAATACAAATTGTCCTGGTTTTGTTGTTACTTGTCGAGATCCCACCATTGGAAGCTATATTAGTAGATCCACTATTTATGGTGATAAAACAACAGTTATTATCCAACCACAAGTTTTTCAGGTAATTTTCACATGTTATAAGAAAAATCTTTTAGTTGACAACAATGAATTTTAGTTATTACTACTTTACCAAATGCCAAAAAATTCAAATTCTTGGTTTAGGGTTCAGAAATAATTGCATTCATCCTCATTATAATTTTTCATCTCTATATTAGTAAAAGAGAAGTACAAAATAGAATGCGGGTCGGGTCAAGAGTAAAAAATAAACCCGATTTTAAGAATTAGATACTTCAAAATTGGATATTAAAATGGGTTTGGATACATACATCGGATACTTTTCATATTTAAGTTTAGGATTATATTATTTCCATAACTAATTTTAGGATTTCCTAATATTTATTTAATATAATATATTATAAACAATTATTATTCTTCTTTTACTTTTATTTGATCTTTCCTTTTTAATTTATGATATTATACTAAATAATAAAAATGTTTCAAAAAATTTTAACTTTTTATTGCATATGATGCAATTTAAATTTTTCAAAACGGACATATAATACTCAATTACACTCGGTTAAATATTTTGGACAATGATTGAAAATCATTATAAGTATGACCAATATTAAAACCATTCTTACATAAGCATATTTAAAATATTTGTTTTGAGACATAGATGTAAATTTGGAGACATGATTTTTATTGGTAAAATATTATATATCAAACTACGTAAATTTTAGATAGTTCACGGGTAGTTTGTTAAAATCACAATTATAATGGTAAAGCGAGTTATGAATAATGTTTTTACGATATGAATTCTGTTACGGGTTGGTTCTTCAAAAAATAAATTGTAAGTGTGTATTTTTTACATCTATTCCTACTTCTATTACAAAAATGGTCAAATTGAACAGTTTATCGATAAATATTCTTTCATGCTGTTAAATTTTCACCTTTTTTTAATTCTATCAAAACTCAATATATTATTATTTACTCGCTTTTTCCTTTATTATTTTATTTAAACTTATTATACAAATATATGATTCACTGTAATCGACTGCACTGTAATAAAATTAAAATGTAATATAATTTAATCCATTAAACTTTTTTTTGGTAAAAGTTTAAATAAATTATTTTTAAAAATCCGTTAAACATTATCTATAAGTAATTATTTCCCCCGCGCTGTAGCGCGGGTCCAAACCTAGTCTATATATACATTTTATAAGTACATTTGATGTTATAACCTTTTATTTTATAATATTTTCATAATAAACCCTTGACATTTGAATGAATAACAAAAATTTAAGGTAAATTTTGTAATTAAATCAAAACAGAATCACAAAATTTGAAACCAATATTTATTACATTAACAAAATTTCCTAAAATATCTCCCAAATATATTGAATATTTCTCAAATATCTTTATATGATCTTATTTGTTTTAAAATTGATAATATTACATATAACATATGTATAATAAATATACATTTTTCCGCATATGTTGCGATTTAAATTTTTGAAATTGGATATTATTGAATCTATAAAGAAGAAAAAGTATGTACAATATATATCACACATTGGGTAGAAATTTGAGAATTTTTGAGAAATACCCCTTTTGATGTATCCCTTTTTAAAAATACGCCCTTTATCAATCCATTTTCAAAAATACCCCTTTTTAAATATAAAAAATTATAAAGTTTTATATAGTTTATAAGGTACTTCTATATAATAACTACAACTGGGAGATTCGATACAGATATTTTAATATTTTTTAAATAGTTTTAAATCGTTTTTATAATTTTTATAAGGTTTTTAAAAGGTTTTTAGAAGGGTTTATACAGTTTTTATAAGGTTTTTATATGATTTTTATAATTTATTTTTCCGCTATATATGAAAGTTATATAAAGTTTTATACACATATAAAGGTAATTTGTATATCTATCTTAACATTTTTGAAGTACATTTTGTACTAAAATCTAATTTAGGTTATAACCTTTTATTTTGTAATATTTGCATAATCAAATCCTTGCTATTTGAATAAATAACAAAACTTAAACTAAATTTTGTAATTAAATCACAAGCAAATCTCAACATTGGAAATAAATATTTATTACATCAAAAAAATTTCCTAAAATATCTCTCTAATAATTTGAATCTCTCTCCAATATATTTATATAATCTTATTTATTTTCCATTTATATTATTACATAAAAAATAATTATAATAAAAATACAATTTTTTTCACACATTTTGAAATTTAAATTTTTGTAAACGGACATATATAACTCAATTGATAAAGGGAAAATGTTTATATAAGAGTTCAAAACCATTATAAATATGACTAATATGTTTTCAACTACAAATGAGCATGAAATTTGGTTTTTTAGGCATCCAAATTAAAAAAAAAAATTGTTTAATCCGGTTATATATTTAAGAAAACTAAATTTTTAAAAAGTTTCAAAATATTATAAATTTTATTTTCTTAGAAAGGTTTAAAATATTATAGAAACTCTTACTAATGCCGTAATATTCTAACATTTAATTGAAAGTATTATTAATATTTTAACTCTAATTTTTTAAAATAGAATAATATTGTACATAAATATGATTGGACGGATTTGAGTTTACATAAATAGGATTATATTTTTTTCTTACGGGTTGTCTATAATAAAATATTTTTACGAGTTAAGTTAAATTATAATTTGTTTTACAACAAAATTATTCCGTGGTGTACTGCGGGTTGACCACATATATTTATGAATCTACTTATAATACAAATTCATAAAAGTATGTAAAATTAAATGAAATAAATACATATAAAACTAGACTATATAAATCAACTACAAAAATGACCAACCAAACAAATATATTAAATTATGTACCCGTGGTGTACCACGAGGTAAATCCTAGTATATTTATAAGCTTACATACATATTTAGATAAATTTCAATATTTTTAATGGTTATTTTGATAAAGTTTGAAAATGGGGTATTTTTAAAAAGAGGAATATGAAAAGGGGTATTCTTGAAATTCCCCCTAGAAATTTTTACGCCATCATCGTATCATTATTTGAAATATTATACATATTTAATTAAGTTAATTAAATTACGATTATATAAAAAACAAATTTTCATGTAGTATTCCATGGGTTAAATTGTAGAATTAACGATCATAATACAATTGAACAATCTTAAATACTTTAAAAAATTAATCAACAAATACAACTTAAAATAAAATAAAAATATTATTTACAAAAAATATATCCAATGAGTTAAGTAATAAAATTCACAATCAAATTACACAATTTAAAACACTAAACAAAATTAACAAATAACTTAAATATAAATATTTTTAGTCAAAAAAATCGTCACGCGTGTACCATAGGTTAAACCCTAGTTTTTGAATATTATATCAATAAAATTACCTTGTTAAAATATATCCTTATAACATTGCCGTATTTTTTGTAATCATTTTTTGATGTTTTAATATTTATTAGGATGGTTTCACCGGAAACTGGGCACTAAAAAATTTTGATGAAGTAATTGGTTATTGGCCCAAAGAATTATTCCCACACTTAAAACAAGGAGCTTCTTTGGTACGATACGGAGGAAATACTTTCACATCTCCGAATGGAATTAGTCCTCCAATGGGAAATGGACATTTTCCGGTAGTTGACTTTCACAGAAGTTCATATTTTCTTCATGTTAAAGTCAGGAATTCAAATTATCAACTGGTTGATATTAAAGACAAGATGGCAAGACGTTATGCAGATTCTTACCAGTGCTATAGAGTATCATATTGGGGTTATTTCAAGTCAAATGGAGTATCTTTCTCTTTTGGTGGACCAGGTGGAAGCTGTGGTATTTGATGATAGATAAATAATTTATAATAAGAAGGAGAAATGTTTTCTTATATTCAATCGTATTGTCATATCTCTTGCAGCAACAACCACGATTTACATAATCTATTGCTCTTACCAACCGAGAAAAATAAATAATCAACAAAGCTTAAATTTCTACTATAAGAACTTGGTTACGAATCTAGAACTTCAAGTATCAAGCTAATCTATTTTTGTAAGAAAACAAAAAAAAAGAGAAATGTTAAGGGTGGTACTGCCCAACATTTTTTCTTCATGTTATATGTTTTCCATTCCTTAACTTTGGTGTTTTATTGATTGTCCCGTTCAAAAGAGGATCCCAAAAGAGAACAATGCTTAATTACAAAGTTTTCAACCTCATGGTTAGGTACAACGATCTGAACATTAAGCAATTTTGGAAGAGAGTATATATATAGCTTTAATTAGAACCATTCTTCAACGAAAGAACCATAAAGCCTTAAGAAGAGAAGATAAAAAAAACAACTAGACTGTGTATAAATTTACAAATAAAAGTAATACAAAATCCTGATAAAATAAAATAAATTGACGTAGATAAGAAACGCCACATGGATTCACCGGTTCACGTATTGTCTTGCCATGTTAGATATGATTCTCAAACATCATCAAAATAATAAAAGTTCAGATCACATCATGCATTATGCATATATATGTTTGATATTTACATTAATTTGTGTTTTTCTTGTGACAAAATATTAAAAATAATACTTTACCTTATTTACTTTTCGGAATCGAGATTTAACATTTATGAATCTACATTTTTTTTTTTTCCTTTTTTTTTTTACATGTTGCTCTCACCTCAAAATATCCCAACCTCTATCTATATATATATTGAACTTATTCATTCTTCTAATCTTAAGTGACTTTAGAGATATCTTTATAAAACCCTAAAACCAAGTCTGGTACCAACACACGATCTTCGATGGAAAGAGAAGGTAACTCAGATCCCATCCCTGTTGACATCATTCTCGACATCCTCTCGAGATTGTCTGTTGAATCAATCGCTAGGTTTGGTCTCGCATCCAAGTTCTGCGCATCCATACACACCTCTCAAGATTTCACCGAGTTGTTCTTAACAAGATCCTTGACTTCTGAGCCACGTCTCTTATTCGCTGTCAAAAATTCCAATGAGTGGCGCTTCTACACGTCGCCTCATCTCCAGAATCCAGACAAGAACAACTCTCTTGTAGTATCAGCCGACTTTCATATGAAGTTACGTGGAGATATCGGACAAGAGATCTGTGGTCCGGTCTCTGGCTTGCTCTATTTCCCTAATATGAAGAGAGGTGAAGTTCCGGCTATATGTAACCCTAGCACGGGACAGTACACGAGATTACCTCAGCTGAAGAGGAAAAGAGATTCAAGAACCTTATTAGGGTATGATCCTATTGGCAAACGATACAAAGCATCAACCCTAAGGAACTCGCTTTATGGAGCATCTAATGATGAAGAGGGACAACAAATTCTAACATTAGGAACTAAGAACGTGTCATGGAGACAAATGTATTGTCCGGAAAAACATTACCCTATAGGTGAAGGTGTATGCATCAATGGGGTTTTGTATTACATAGCTGGACAAGGAAAGGGTCAGAAGATAGCTTGCTTTGATGTTAGGTCTGAAAAGCTTTGGTTTCTTAAGACAGACGCTATCATTAAGAAGTTATTAGTTTCATCTTCGCGTACTAAACTGATTAATTACAAAGGTAAACTAGGAGTGATGAGTTGGTGCTGGTATACCTACGATGATGAGTATGACGAAATGCCTAGTTGTGAGCTCTATTTGCGTTTGTGGACTCTAGAGGACATTGACCAGCAGAAACAAGAATGGTTGGAACATAGACACAGGTTTCCAGTGGATATAGTCGTCAAGGGAGGTGTTTCCATGGTCGGAGTGACTACTACTGGTGAAATTATTTTGTCATCGGAGTATACATCTAAAGCTTTGTTTGTTTTCTACTGTAATCTCGGAAGAGGCACTCTTGAGAGAGTTAGTGTTAAAGGTTTTGAAGCGTTTAAGAATCCTACTAGAGTTTACACCTTTGTAGACTATGTTGAAGATCATAAGTTTATAAACAGAGACTCTAGCTAGCTCCACCATTTTGTTGACTTATTACATTGTTCTTCTCTATCTCCTTATTTTTGTTACATTACTATTTAAAAAATGTTTTGTTTTCTTTTATCAAAAAACTAAAATAAAAAAATGTTTTCTCTAACATATTTAATTGTATTTTCATGGAAAATACCCAAAATTCTCCATATGACTTGTTGATATCGATATTCGCTAAACAAACTACTTTGGTGACTCACTTATCTTGTTTATACTTAATCTAAGCAAACAATACAAAGCACCACCAACCATGATATCACTTAATGTTCATATCTTACTTAATCTAATCTAAGGTGAACTGTTTACGATGTGCTTGTGCATATATACATAATGGTATTACAAGATCAAAACATCTCGGAAAAATAAATGTAGTTCTGCTTCTGCTTGCATTGGTCAAAGGCAAAATCCTCTCCAAAGTGATCGAGTATTAATGCAACTTTCACGTTGATGCTGATTCTTCATATTGGATGAGACCACGAAAGATGATAGCAAGAAGTGGGATGCTGAGTTTATGGAAGGTTGATCATATATATCCACGCTCTTTGATCTCATGGAGGCTGCGAATTACCTTGACATCAAAACCTTGGTTGATCAAATACATTCTTTGTTTGTAAATTGAAAAAGTTAAAATAACATTGTTTTGATTTTTAACGATTTAGAAAGATTTGAGAGGAATTTCCTCCTTAAATATACATATATAAAAATCTCATGGTTTGAAGTGGAACTTAAAAAGATTTTACAATAAATCATATATCAACTTCCTAAAATTATCAAAATCATATAAAAACTCACGAAAACTCAAAAACTATTCATATTCAATACACCCAAGTCGTCCGAAAATTATCGAAAATAAATTTGATAATGTTTCAAATTTTTAGATGACAGACAATTAAAAAAAAAAGTAAAAAAGTGTCAAAAGCTCAAAATCCATCAATAGTTTTTTTATGGATTTCCAACGAATCATGAGACTGTTAAGAGTTCATAGAAGTCATAAACTCTATTACTTGTATAGGGATTAACATCCATTGATGTATGGTAATCATGATTTTTTGGTTGTTAAATCTGTTAAATTTCAATATTGTTAGTTTCGTTTTGTTGTTGTTTGCTTCCTTAGTTTGATCTTTGAATTTGTTAATTTTTTTTTGCTTCACTTGTTTATATAGTTCTTGTTCAGTATACCATTTAAGTTTGTTTTTAGAAGCAAATTACAAACAATAATTTTTCTTGCTTGTAGTGTCATAAATTCATAATTATATTCTTAATATCATATAATTACATTGATATGTATGATTGTATGTCCAAAAACTAATTCGAACCGTAGTAATTAGAACCTAGTTATTTTATAAAACGACATGATTATCAGATTAATGTAAATATCAGGTCATTATACGTACTAAAACAAGACCATCCTTAACGTAAAATTATACCACTTGAACGTAAATAAGTGAAAGTTTTTTTTCTTTTCTAAGTAACTGTACCTTTCAAATACCTAACACCTACGACAAACTATTTTTATTATAGGATAATATATATATATATATATATATATATATATATATATATATATATAAGAGCTTAGAATTAATGTCGAAAACAAAGTAGAGAAACACTTCATGTGTCTTTTACAAAACATATACACATTCATGTCCCTATTAGCAATTTATATATACACAATTATTGATCCCTAATTAAACCCCACAAAACTCTCATTTCTAAACTAAAATATTAAGTAGCTAGGATTGGTATAGAGACAGGTAACTTCAAACCACTAACTACATCGATTACTCGAAAATAAAGTATAAAACATATCTCCACCGACATTATCGTTCGTAGTCTAACTATATCCTAATATTTTCAAAATGATTCCTTCCTTTGCAAAGAGTCCTTTTTGAACTCTTGATTTTGTATAATGTGTTATAAAGAAAGAGATGAGACTTAATTACATGTAACAAAATAATAATTAGTGTATCAAACATAGTCCATCCCACAATCCTACTCATCTTAGATAAGGTATAAAATTAGCTAGAAAGGTATTTGATAATGAATATATATATATATATATATATATATAAAGAGTAGGGAAATTAGGATTTTTCTTCTATACAAATTGTTGTTTTCCATGTGAGAGGGTTGTGAGGAGTGAGCTGGACATTGTACAAATTGGGAATATATAAATACACCCACCCAATAACGCATATACTATGCTAATTTGAGTGGACCATTAAATGGGGTTTATTATCAAATAAGTTAAAGAAATGAATTTTGTATTATTCTTATATATTTATATAAATTTCTTGAAAAAGATTAGATTAAAAATTAGGAAGCAAAAGGTGCTCTATGAGGAATGCCTTTTCGTCGCCTAGAGTTAGAGGTATGAGTTGGAGGATGCGTGCCTTTGTGCGTTTCTTGTTGTCTTTCTTTACGCAATCTTTCTTCTTCCTTATTCTTCCTCATTCCTTCAACCTGACATTTTTATGATTATGATCATCATCTTCATCACATCTTACATTATGTAACGTTTATACATTTTTCTTAAGATCATAATTTATATGTGACAAACAACATGTATTATTATGCATATTTGAATATAGATGATTGAAAATGTTGTTGGTCTAGTTGAGAAGTATACTTGTTGTATCGATATTGACTTCACATTGGCTGATATAGTGAATTGTGAATTCAGAAATAATGTGTAGGGTTAACTAACCTTGCAACCCAAGGAACAGAAGCGGAAGGGATCAAGAAGTGTTCTGCAACATGTCTCGCAGAAGTAGGACATGGTTTTCGGGGCGGAGGAGGCGGCGCCATGGGAAGAGTTCTTAGGCTGAGGTCTCTCGTTTAAGAAGAGTACTCTCGCGCTATTGATGACATAAGTTTGCACTCCTCTTATGTCCAATGCCTTCTCTATCTCCGATACTCTCACCACATCATGATATGAAGATCTTCTGATCTGTCTCAAAGCCAATGATCATTGTTGATAAAGAAATTGGATTGAGTAAAAAAACTTATGCAATGTATGTTTTGAGAAAAATGATGGACCTGAAGGACGGGATGGTCAATGTGGAAAGAGGAGCGGCAGTAGAAGCAAAACGCAGCGTTTTTGCATGAGAGGCAGAACATGTTGCACTCGTTCCTCGGTGATTGGCGGTGTTTAGGACAAATGGTGAAGAAGTTTGTTCTTAAGAGACCTTCAAGCCATTTTGGCTCCTCCATTAGTCTCTGTCTTTTTTTGTTTCTCTAAGGGAAAAAACAAGAATTACAATATAAGGAAAGAGAAGATCGAGACAAAAACCTTATGAACAATGTAATAAGTAATGAAGAACACATGATCTTGCCATTGGCATTACCTCTATGAAGATGTTGATCAGTAGAGAGAGAGAGAGAAGAGGTATTAGATGAATTGGTTTTAGGCAAAAAGAGGTTTTAAGGGTAAGAGAGCAAGAGGAGATATACACTTTATATTATTGTTGGTAAATGAAGATTTTATGTTTTTTTTTCTTCTTCTTATATAGGGATTGGTAGATATCTTTTTATCTTTTAAAATCATTTAATATTTATTGTTAATTATTGGGGAGAGGATGAAAAGTGTATATAATTTAGATATGATGTTTTTTTGGTTAAGGTTGATTCCAAACCATTTGATTGGGCCATTGGCTAATGAGTCTGATGACAAGAGTGGATAGGTTTCATTGGGTAATGAGTCTGATGACAAGTGTAAAGACATAGATCAAACTTTTTTCATACTTGGACTTTTACAATCAAAACCAAATTATCTTGGCCAATCATGATATAATTAATTTGATAATAATAATAACAATAAATATTATTCATCACTTTTCTTATGAAAAATATGAAAGAAATTAAATAATATTAGTAAAAGTATATTTACTTTACTGCGCATAAATACATCAAATCTCATATAACATTATTAAAATTTATGTTTATTTTAAATTACATAACAGATTTAAGCCAATCAAAATTTGTACACGTGTAAACGGTCAACAAAATCAGCTGAATTTAGCCAGATTTCAGCTAAATTTATGATTTTTTTTTTCAAAAGCAACTGACATGTAGAGATATGTTCATTTCCAATAGTAACAAATATATATCAATAGTTTTTAAAATTTGAGATACAAAAAATATATCATAAAATTAAAAATAATAATATGTCAAATATAGCTCGATTTAGAACTATGTGTAATATGATATTTACCTAAAATAATAAGTAATATATAATATCCATCTTCATAATTTTACAATTGAAGTACAATGAAATTTGTTGTACTCAAAAATGTTTAATAAATAAAAATAGTCATGCTTTTAAGAAATAAGAAGATCACAATATATATGTTTAAGGTGGTGATACAGTTTCGATATAAGTTATGACAAGTCTTCTCTCCAATAGAGAGTTAAATTACAAAAAAAAATAGATGTCTAACTTAGCAATGGGATTTAAAATCAAAACATGTACATGCAATTGAAAACGTTTACTTCATTATTAGGTTTCTTCGGTTAATAATGATAAAATTATCAAAAAAATACAAACACGTAAATTAAATTATATGTACAACAAGAAGTATTAACATTAATAAAATAATAATCAGGACTAATCAGTGGACCAACTCGTGTAGTAGTGGCAAGTGTGATGGGAAGAATGTCCGCTAACTAGTCTGTGGGGATGGTGCTAAGCCTATGTGGTTGGGCGTGCCGTTCTGAGTCGGAGAGCATCCGATCATCAGGACCATTATAGACATTTTATGTCATAGATGCTTATTTTTGCATATTTGTTGTGCACTAACCATAATGAATGAAGCTAAGTGGCATACAATTTGGAGCCAAAGGAGAGAAAAAAGCGTAATATGGGTTGTCATGTTTATAAGTACCTGAAAACAAAGGTCTTCAAAGATGGGATGTAATGGTTTATACAATCAGAAAATCCAATTAATTTTATACTTCGACAAAAATAATGCTGATTTTAGCTTTCTAGCATGCCTAAATTGTTTATAAATGAATTTGTGAGGAAAAAGTTACATATACTTGAATATATAACAATAAGTTACGACAAACCCGAGAAAGAAAAGCCAAGCTTAGTTTGTTCGAGCCGAATAAAGATAACAGAGCTAAAATGCCGAACTAGTTTATATGAGCAAGTAGTTCGAGTAGAGCTCTGAGAAGGCGACACCGTGTATTATTCGATTGTTAAAGTGAAACTCGAGATCCCTCTCTTCTACATTTTTCTCCCTTATCTATTGGACAGATGGACAATAGCAGGCTTGATGCTGATTTTCATTTCTGTCCTCCCAAAATTGTTTTCTTGTTAAGCCGGGCTGACTAATTGGCTATAACCTAACTCTCTTTTATTTGTTCGAACTCGATTTGGACCGAGATTTGTTGACGGGCGTGGCCCATATCCAACAAACTAATCGAAACAATTAGTCAACAAAACGCATAACCAAAAAAATAATATTATATTGACGGGCTGACAGCCTATACTAAAAATCTTAAACAATTACTCTATTAATAATTAACAAAGATGTGTAATAAAATATTTACGAAAACAACAAATGTGTATTATAATGATCTGAATGTAATTTATAAATCCCTAAATTTTCTCTATAAACACGTGTAAACATTAGCAAAGAGTATACAATCTTTTCTTCCTTTGCCGCCGCTTACCCTATATGTCTTTCTCCTATGCTCTTTTCTCCGGAGACATTATCTTTGGTTCAAACATCAATAAAAAAATCATCTCACATTTTAGAGGATCTATAAGATATTCAAGAGTCTTATATATCTTTTAGATCCTGAATCTAGATCCTCTTGTATCACAAATCAAAATTTACTCAATGTTACAAAAATTGACTCTCATGAATTATAGTGTAGAGTCGCCAAATGCATGCTCTTCTTGATGGCTACACTCCTGCTAGACACATAGATAGCTCACATTTCATATGGATACATGGTATAACTTTTCTACATTGCTCTTCTAGAATAGATACATTCTAATTGTATTTTTAATTTAGTAATTTTAGTATATTTCTATATTGATGAATTTTGATTCCAATGTAAGATGCATGCATATTATACCTATTGAACGAGAAAATATAATTAATACTTCCTAGAAAATAAGAAATATGATAAATTAAGTTAAAGCTATTCAAAACAGATTTAACTTGTTATTTGCTTATATTTAGAATTTAAGCAAAGAAAGATCTCGATAAAATGATTTGGAAACAAAGTTTCATAAATATCTTTCTCCGCCTAAAATAAACTAAAATAAATAATAACTTTCATCTTTTTAATGAAATAAATAGGTATAAGATAATTAACACTACTTATTATTATTTTTTATGAAATAATTAACCCAATTTCTTGATCAAGATTTCCAAACACGAGTGAGAATCAGAAAATTTGAAAGTAAATTAATTGAGATAAAATATATACACACTACAAAAAAATGAGTGGACTGAATCATTTATTTTGTAACTTTACATTACTTATAAGTGATACAATGAAATTTTACATCACTTATAAAAGTGATACTTATATTGCCGATGCAAATAATACTCTAACTCAGTCACTCTTCCCTAATAACCATGAGATTAAATATTTGTGAGTTTTGTTTTTCATGATTTAGTTGTTTTTCTTAATTAAAAACAAATATGTACAGTATGTGTTATCATCAAATAAGATGATAAGTTTAAAAAATATTTTCAAAAGATGATAATTGAAATAATTGTTTATTATCCATTATTTGTATATATATATGTTCTGACATGAAAGCTAAGGCTCCGATTGGTAACCCATTTAGGAATAAAAAGAACGAAAAAGAACAAAAATAAAAAAGAACAAACAGGAAAAGAATTCTCATAAAAATAGGAATAAATGCTGAGGAAAAATAGTACAAATGTTCCAGTAAATGGTAACAAAAAAACTGAACAAGTAAACTTAAATAATATAAATAATTTATACAAAAAGTTATTTAATAAATTTAAGTTTAAAAAGAATTTTAGTTTAGAACTTTCATTTAAATTATAATACTTAATATATTAAATTTAATTTTTTTTTTATATTTTAAAACATTAATAAATGTTTTAAGTTAAAACCTATTTTAAATTTCTTTAAATATTTTTCTAATATAATATATAAATTCAAAACATTAATAGAAAGTGAAAATTATGATGAAATAATATTTTATTTAAAATATATAATATTTTTTTAAGTATTTTTTTATATAGAAATGTCAAAATTATAAATATAAATGTTTTTAAAATATTGAATTATAAAAAAACGAAAATAATATTTGTTCCTCGTTGTTCCTCTACAATTTTGAGTAGGAACATTTTTGAACTGTTGTTCCTTTTTATTTGAGGAATGAATAGGAATAATATAGATCCCACATATCTGAAAATTGAAAAAACATTATGTGTAAATGGTAGCAAAAATTGAGGAACAATGAGGAACACCACATTCCTCTTCATTCTATTCCTAAAAAGTGGTCACCAATTGGAGTCTAAGTTTGGCCATGTACGTATGAGTTTGGATATTAAATTTGCCTGAATATTCAGATGTACTTTTTTTATAAATTTAACTCTCTTTTATATATAATACTTTATTTTTACATATCTGTTCTTTAGCTCGAGAAAGTGACGCGATACTGAAGCCAACATGTGAAGTGGTGGTTGCATCGACCTTACGTCAAATTCCCCCGAATGGCTAAATTATCATATCACTTTTTCATATATTCTACTTTGGCAGCTGATCATTTTCAGTTATGGTATATTTATTGAAAGAGTATCAAACTTACGCATGCACCTAATCTTAATTCGTAGTAATCAATATCGAAACTCGAAACTACTTTTATGGTGTCATGCACCAGCATCATCTAAGGAGAGCAAACCAATGATATTTTTGTTTCTGAGGAGAATTGTAGAAGTATATTATTCACTCTTTTCTCCGGATGTAGTTGGAGATTACTTGCCTTTTCGGAGCTCGGATCCACTTGAAAACGGTTTGTTTTCATTTTAAAATCGGCATTTTTTAGCTCTAAAATCGGTTGTTGTACTACAAAAAAAAAAGTATTTCTCCGGTTTTGCTATATTAATGTTTCGGCGAAATGTGCGAAAATTAATTATTTTATAGGTTATGTATACTTTTTGAGGTTTAAAACTCATTTGGCCAATTGTAATTTTATATAATAGAAGTAATTATGTAAAATTAGATTAACTTGCACATAGTTGAATAGATTAAAAAAATGATATGAAACAAAAAAAAAATAATGAAAACATCTTATAAAATGAAATGAGTATTTTATATTACTATATTTCATTGAATATGTAACATGTGGCTTTTCAACCCAAAATGATACCCTGCTCACCAAAATTAATCACAAACCTTTTACTTATTTACCTTTTTTGTAATGGTTATTTAGTTTTGCAATTATTATTATCCATTTACTACCTACAAGAGAAGTTTCAAAAAATGCAAAAAAAAACTTTAATCTAGATCTAAATTTAATAATCAAAATATCTATACAACAAAACAAAATATGTATTCTATCTTATGCAATAAAACATTTCTTTTTTTCTTTTTTTCTTTTTGGTTAATGAATTTTTCTGACATTCTACACATACTCGTGTTTTCATTATATGGTTATGGTATATATATACCAAATAAGGTTGAACCAATAGCATTGACTTAACGACTTGACATTCCAAATATATATAATTTACTTCTTCCTAGTGTCTCTGTCTTTATCTCTCTCTCTCTCTCTCTCTCTCCCTCGCCCTACAATCACAAGATAGGAAAGAAAGAAAAAAAATTGATCCACAAGAACAGAGTCGTCTGAATGAAGAACACATCAGTTGTTGTTCATCTGTTACTTCTGCTATGTCTCATTGTGTCATGTACCAATGGAGAAACCAAACTTGAAAGAAGCAACTCTGATGGATCCGAATCTTGGGGATACGTTGAAGTTAGACCAAGTACGTTCTTTATCTCTCTCACACAATTTCAAGAAACTATAATGGGTTTTGTTTTTCTTGACTCTTTTTGTTGTTTCTAAATCAAAAAACATATATATATAGAAGCACATATGTTTTGGTGGCATTATAAAAGTCCATATAGAGTTGATCAAGATCCTTCTAAGCCATGGCCTATCATCCTCTGGCTCCAAGGTGGACCTGTAAGTTTATATATATATATATATATAAATTTTGTGGTTGTATCTACTTTTTTTTATATGTAACATGTTGTTGTTGTTCTCATCTCATTCGTCTTCTTCTTATACATTTTGGTTCTTCATTGATGAGAATGAATAGGGAGCTTCAGGGGTTGGAATAGGGAATTTTCAGGAGGTTGGTCCATTAAACACATTTCTCAATCCCAGAAACTCTACTTGGTTGAAGAAAGCTGATCTCTTATTTGTGGTATTATATTTTTTTTTTAATTTTTTTTTTCATTATTATTTGATATAGAATAAAACAAGATTGTAATATGAAAAAGTATTAGTGTTGCGTATTATCTAATTTTATGTTTTTTTTTTGGGATAAAATAAAGGATAGTCCAGTTGGGGCAGGGTACAGTTTCGTGGAGGAGAATGAAAAAGAATTGTATGTGAAAAGTGATGAAGAAGCAGCAAAAGATTTGACCAAACTGTTGCAACAACTCTTCAACAAAAACCATACTTTAAGCCAAAGCCCTCTCTTCATTGTTGCTGAATCTTATGGTGGCAAAATCGCGGTTAAACTCGGTTTATCGGTTTTTGAATCGGTTAAATCTGGTCAATTGAAGCTTCATCTTGGAGGTAAATTAGATATTTCTTTTTGTTTTTGTTTTTGTTTATATGAAATGAGACTCAAATAATGTAATAATGTGTGAATAGGAGTGGTTTTGGGAGATAGTTGGATATCCCCTGAAGATTATGTGGTGAGTTCTTACTTACTACTTTGTTAGAGTAAATAATTTTCAATAATCTCATTTATTTGTGATTAAACCATATTAATATGATTTTTGATTAATGATTTGTCACAGTTTTCATGGGGACATCTTCTCAAGTATATCTCTAGGCTTGATGACAATGGCTTGGTTCTCTCAAATAGGTCTTTCTCATTAGTCATTACAATAATATTTTATTCTAATTAGTACATAACAATTATTAATTATGTATCTAATCCATACATATATGTTACTGTTGTTTAAACAGCTTAGCTGAGAAGATTAGAAAACAAATCAAGAATGGTGACTACGTTGGAGCCACGCTAACATGGATGGATCTTGAAACCTTGATTAGCAACAAATCCAATTTCGTCGTAATTATTTATTCTTTTAATTTTCTTTCTATCCATTATAAAGATTTGAATGATGATATAAAGTGAAATAATTTTACATCTTTAGTTTTTAATTTTGTAGGATTTTTACAATTTTCTATTGGATGCTGCTATGGATCCTGTCTCTCTTACCACGAGTTTAGAAACCAAAAAAAAATCAAATAGAATAAAAAAGTATTCGAGTTACTTGAATGGTTTGAGAAGTTTGAGTGACGTAGAAGAACAAGAAGGTGACCTTAATACATTAATGAATGGTGTTATTAAGAAGAAGCTCAAGATCATTCCCAAAGACCTCATGTAAGTATATACAACTTCTTAATTAATCTTTAATAATAATCAAATATTTTAGGTGTTAATCAATTCTTAATTATGTGTTTTATGAAATTAACAGATGGGGGAACAGTTCTAATGATGTGTTTACGGCGATGTATGCTGCTTTTATGAAACCAGTAATCGAAGACGTAATAATAATATAATTCTTACTTTTCTTATATAAACTATGGTTTTAATTATTTGATAATTAGGAATTTAGTGATTTATATTATTGGGCAGGTCGATGAGCTTCTTGCCAAGGGGATAGATGTGACTATCTATAATGGTCAAGTAAGACTATCATTATCTTATATATAATTGTCAATTATTAATTGATATGAAAGATGAGAAATCATTTGTATTAATATATTGCATAAAGAAAACTGTTTTACAATTATTGAAATGAGATAAATTGACATGTTGTGGTTTATACAGCTTGATGTGATATGCTCAACAAGTGGAACTGAAGCATGGGTTCACAAGCTCAAGTAAGACCATTCTACTTCTTTTTCTAATCTTTGTTTACATTACAAATATAACATCAACAATATATAATAAAGTATATGGCTTTGAACGGATATTGCGGTGAGTGCGGAATAATTTGTCAACGGTTTAGTTTATTTTATTTTTAAGATGTATAATAAAATTATCGAAAAATAATTTTATCTTATTATAAAAACAATCCATAATTTGATTTGCGTTGTTTTTTTCTAATCCACACTCTTAAAAACTAACATTTATAAACAGTAGATAATAGTAGATGTATAATAAAATTATCGGAAAAATAATTTTATCTTATTATAAAAACGATCCAAAATTTTATTTGCGTTGTTTTTTTTCTAATCCACACTCTTAAAAACTACAATTTATAAATACTAAGATACAAACAATCTGGTCTATGGACGGTTTTGTCTGTTTGAACCGTCGTAATCATTCGAACTTTTGTATCCATCTATGACTAGAGATGGGGTATTATTAAATCAATGCTAATAAATAGGGAATAAAAGTAAGGAAATAACTCAACCAATGTTGTTGGTACTATTAATTACCAAGAAAAAAAAAGGTTGTTGTTATTACATGATGGTGATGGTGGTGATGATGATAATGACTGACGATGGATGTGTACATGTAAGGTGGGAAGGGCTAAGAGAATTCAAGAAAATGGAAAGAGAGCCATTATACTGCGAAAGTGACAAAGCAACAAGAGGCTTTACAAAATCATACAAAAATCTCCATTTCTATTGGATTCTTGGTGCTGGTCATTTTGTAAGTCTTTACTACTATACTTCTCCATTGTTATTATCCTTTGGTAACTTGTCTTCTTCATTCATAGATATTTTTTCCTTGCAAAAACTTGATTTGGTCAGTTCAGCCATCACAAAAGAAGTCAGAATAGTGAATAGTTCATATATATATTTATTGAATAACGTGAGAGATACGTGATGGCTCATGCATCTCTATCTATCTATTAAACGAAAGCACAAGTCTCTCTTTATGCTTTCTCTTTGTCTTTATATCAAGGGAAACATATATATCGAACTGTCTCTTTTAATACTTTTCAAACACTGTCTGAATCTTTTTATGATATTTTGTTTTTTTTTTTTATCAGAATTTATTTACTTCTGTCTCTTTTCTTTTACACGCAACATATATGATAGAATAATTTTGGAGAACTGATATATAATAATATGTTGAATGTTTTTTGTGGTAAAACAATGAACAGGTACCAGTAGATGAGCCATGTGTAGCATTAAACATGGTTGGAGAGATAACGAAGTCACCACAACTTTGACTATTCACATCACACAACATGATGATGACTTCTTTCACTTCTGATTGATTTTATAACTCAAAACGTTTCAAAAAAAAAAGATAATAAAAAGAAAAAATCAACAGTGATATTACTACACATGCTTTGTTCTTTTACTTATATATACTACAAAAACAAAAAATTAAGAAATATTTGATATATTTATCATCATTGTCTTTTATTCTTATAAAAAAAAGTTCATTCATCTATTACATTTAAGGATCCAATACTACAAAAATGCAAGAATTGGTTTAAGGATGTGATAATACAAATACTTAAGAGATTAATTAAGTAATTAAATGGAGGAAAATTTTGTGTGTTAAATGTACAAACTTCATGATGATCTTTTACACAAAACCCATAAGCAAATGATAGTAAACTACTACGCAGAAGGAAGCCTATCCTCAAATTTACACCACTCGATACAAATGCAAAAGTAAGAACAGACAGGAACAAAGACCAGGAGAAAAGAAGTATTACTTGTTGTTGCTGAAGTTTCCAAAAGCTTTATCGATTGTTCTACTACGCAGAAGCTGATTCGATCTTCTCGATAATTTCCAGCCGCGTTTTCCTCTTCCAACCTTTCATGGTGGCTACTAAATTCACCAGTCCAACCACTTGTGGCTTTGTATATTCCTGTATACAGCCCATGTTTACACATTTTCATCAACTAATTCAAGACGCAAATATATCGGTATGGTTTATGCAACACTGGAAATATAGAAGATTTGTTTATTTACCGGACGAGCCCTTGCCCAGTGAACATATTCTGTCTCTGGCAGATAGTATGCCTGCAAAAAAGAGTGACGATTTTGGTTTAAGCCATTAAAAAGGTAATGCGGATAGTATGCCAGCAAAATGGTGTGATGATTTCGGTTTAAGCCGTTGCAAATGATTCTGCTTTTGAGTCTGCACTTGCATATGAGTTTCTATTTTTCTTACCTTGATAAAGGTTTCGACGATCTGGAACTTCGGCTTCACATTTGTTGGCACAAAGTGCTGTAGCCCGTTTATTAGAACCTACAAGAAGATATATAATGTCTAGTCAAAATCGACACGTGATTCAATACATCAATTGCTTATGCATTATGTCATCAATACATAGCAAAGACTAATTCTATCCTGACAATCTTTGCAGCTATATTGTTTATATGATGTTTCTATATATTAATAATGGAATGCTGCCAATGTTGATTGTAAAAATTGTTATTCATGTTCTTGTGTAGAAGAGAATTACAGTGAGTAAAAATGAGGAAATGTACCTGCATATCTAATGACATGAGAACACGTCCTTCATCAGTACATCTTTTTATTCGAGATATACCTTCAACCAGAATCTCTGCAAATATTTCTACTCCATATTCCAGTAGGCGATTTTGGACCTATATATGGAAAAAAAGAGTTCAAAGTGGATACAGATTTCCCTATAGTTGAGAAGAAAACATGATCAATCTTATAGATTAATCAAATTGAATTGCATGCTGTCAGTTGATTTTCTATGCAGTAGAATTTGTTCAGTTTGATTGTGACACCCACGAACATAAAAAGGCAAAACCTCAACAGGTATCAACTATTAATTGGGGGATCAGGAAATCAGTCACCACTCATGTCTCAATCCAAAGATGCAAGCATTGGGTATTTCGGACAGCATAGTTAACTTTTGAAATTGTTGAATCAAAAAGCCATTTACCTCCTGTGGAATGCCTCCATGAGCAAGCCTTGTTTGGTAGTATTTAAATTCTCCCAGCATCAAATCAACATACCTGTAAGTTCAATGAGTTTGCTACATATCAGATAGCAGTGATGCAATCAATGGTCCAGTATGCCAAATCTAGTTCTAGGAGTATTAGCGTATACTGAATAACTCGGTACAACACAGACATTTGAAAAAAGAGTTTTAAAGATGAAAATAACTATATATTTTATATTTCATAAAGCGCAAAAAATGTATCAGATTGATGAAGTAACAAACCCATTATGCTCCACTCCAAGCTCCTTGACTTCCCATTTAGAATTAGCAATCCGGTCGACATATCTGTAAGAATAGTTGAAGGTTAATGAACATACATACCCCAGTGAGAACCGATAACAAAAAAGAAAAAAAAAAACACAATTTTCAACTTTAGCATACCAATTGAACTCACAGTATATACATTCAATGTGAGTTTTAAAAGGTCATTAAGAATAAGAATGAAAGGCACAAGGGAGGAGCGATGTAAGTCATCTAATAAAAAAAATTGAAACACAAGCTCGTAAGTAGATCGGCAATTTACCCATTAACATGCAGAAATATCCTCGCAGTGGTCCTATGTAAGTGCTCTGTCAGATCAGGTACAGAACCAACCTGATGAATCATTCCACTTAATGCAACTCCTTCAAATATATTTGCTACCACATATCGTATATAAATAGTTTTTCATTAAATAGAGGAGAAATTAATTTAGCAAAGGCATATAATGAAACTACTCATGATCAGGTCCTGCATAATCCATTGTTTGATAGTTGCCAAAAGCATATTAGATGCTTCAGAGGTCATTTTATAATATGATTGTATGTTATCAAAAAAAAAGCACAGCAAAGTAAGGCAATATTTCCAACCAGAGTTCTCCTAATTTAATGAATCAAAACTGAAAGAGATGCATACCAGTTGACCAAAGAAGTCTTCAACCAGAGAGCCATTTCTTGACATAAGCATTGATTGGAGATGAGCCTTTGATTTATGTAGTATCCGAGCCACAAGAGAAACAGTGTCCACTGCAGCACATCTTTCCTGCAAGCGATAATCATGCGTTAATGAATCCTTTTATTATATAACCTTGAGATAAAATGAATAAGAGGCTGCTCTTCTCTTCTAACACTTCATATATGAAGACGGAAAAAATCAATGAATAGGAATAGCTATATTTAGGGTTACTAATGGACAGAAAAACAATATCAATTGTAGTTAGTTCATATTGTTGAAAGCCTCGCTCCAGTTTATACCTTGAGACTAAAGGATACGCCTGATAAGTGACCAGAAGTATTTAAGGGACTTGCAGGAGTCACGTCCGCAAGACTAACTGTGTTGGGAAAGGCATGTGATGAAGATGGTGATGATGAAGGGTTAGGTTTTATCCATTGCTCACACTCTTGTGATATCCGGGATAAGCTGCTTCTCAGACGATCTGCATTTCAAAATTTTGAAATATATCTATATTGAGCAAAATGGATTTCCTCAGATATCGTAGCATAGGAGTCATACCACTACTCATACTGACGCTAGTTGGGGTTAACTTTACAAACAAAGAGGTGCATCAAAAGGAAACCAATCAGTAACTCACGATTAGAAGAGTCGGCAACTCCCTTTCCACCTGAACTGGTACTTTCTTGACCAAATACTTGATATACGAAATAGAAAAAGACACCAAACAATTGGCATATTCCCTATAATTTTGCAAACAGGAGTAAGAAAAGCTTAATTAGACTAGAAATCGAGGGAGAATAGTAAAGATATCTGCAGAATCCAAGAGTTAGGATTGGTACCTTAAAGAACTCAACATTAACAATTTCTAGCTTCTGCATAAGCCTCGCGTACTTATCCATTGATCTAAGACATTGAACACAGTAAATGCAATTCCACGTCATAAAAAGCGACCCAGGGAAAATATGCGAAAGGAAGGGTGTCATTATTAATATCAAACATTTGCTAAACCGTCTATATTACCTTAGAAGACAAAGGGATGATCCTGTTTGAGCTGTCAGATCATCATTGGTACTGAAATTTGAAGAAGAAGTCCTTGATTGACTACGTGTAAAACTTCTTCTTGGAAGCTGACTATCCTCATCAATAAAGTCAGCAAGAAGGTCTTCGTTTTCATCTTCTGAAACAGGACTACCTCCATTAATGCGTTTTTGATCTCTTATCTTGGGATTCACACCATCATCGTGAAGACTATCATTCCCTTCATAATCTCCAGAGACAGCTCCATTGACCGAGGAGTAGTCTTGATCTTCTCTATAGTGAGTTAACTTTGCTGAGAAGGGGTTTCCACTTTTCAGCCAATATGAAAACCCACTTCTGTTACCACTTGGATCAATTGAGTTATTTGACTTATTAGACTGAGGGAATCTGGAAGAACTAGTGGCACTTCGGGAAGAAATAATTAGGGGAGCCCCATCCCCCACAAGACCAGCAAAATTAATAGCTTGCACAGTATCAGGAGACAATTTTGTCCACGTCTCCTTCTCCAGAACCATTTTAAGCGCCTGTTAAGGAGAAAAAACCAACAAAATTTACCTTTACGTCATTATGTAGGAGAGGTGATACATGAAAGTAACTAAGTATGTGGTAACAGCGATGTCACTCCAATGGGCATATGAAACTGAACTTACATGCATGCTTTGTCTATGAAATGCACTGAAATAATTTTCGCATACACCCTTTAGCTTCTCCCTAAAATCAACAACTTCAAATCCACAGAATGCTTCACCAGCAAGGATAAAGATGCTCAGGTCTTCATAATTCTTTAGGAACTGATGTATACTTGTTGAAGAAGCACCTGGGGAAGAGAGCAAAACTGACACACGGCTCGTTGTAAGTTGCCAAAGATTTCTGCGTCCTCTCTGAAGAGTTTCTGAAACAAAAGCTGCACTTTCTTTTCGTAGATAGTACCATGGCGAGTCGCCACATGATACAGCATCTCCAGAATTCCTAGGCTCATCTATTGCACTATCAGACGCCTGCAGAACCTGCTGCAAGGAACTGGATGTTTCACTTTCATCAGACTCTTCAGCAGAAATGGGACAAGAAGGTATACTTCCCGAACACTTGTCTGACGAAAGACCACCATCCTGTGGGTCACATGAACTTCTAGTCACTGAATCAATCTTTTGAGCCGTTGCAGAACTTGGTGAAATCAAACTTTCTACCTGTTCCAATTCAGAATCTTAGCCCTTGTAAACCAACAGATATCATTTAAACGAATTAACAGGGAAAACATACAGAAAATAATATAAAGGAAGTCAATAACGTATAAGATAAGCCATCAAAGAAAAAATATTTTGTGACCTATTATCTTTCATACCGAAGACTGGAACAAAAAAGTATTGTACTGAAATCAAAGAAATTAAAATTCTTGAAAAATCAGTTGCCTCACTTGGAGTACTTTGATATATAGTATGACCAAACACTTAAGATTTGTTAACTCTGTAATCAAGTCATAGCCAAGACTTACACACATGATTATATATAATCCCTATCAATAAACCAGATATTCTTAGGAGTTCTGGACACCAGCAAAAATTAAACAAACACACAGAAAATCAATAAAAATATGCTAAGATTCCCACTAATTACAGCTTAAAAGAGAACTGATTTATATAATGCTTATAGGAATACTTCTGCTCAGATTATAGGTCAAAAGCCTGCACAGAGGTGTTTAAGACTATAAACCTCACAAAAAATATTATAGCACTGTTTCAAGAAACCTATTAAGGTGATCAGAAAATGTTAAAGACAAACTAAAGCAGGGGATGGAACCTACCTTCTCTTCTGGCGTGAAACTCATTATCTCATGGTATGAATATATTAACTGAAACAGCACAGCTAGTGTTCTCAAAAGACATTGCCTAAACTTGGATTCTGGTGTCTGAAGGCACAGATCGCTGTAGGTAAGTCTGAAATTAATTTACGAAATAATCAGCAAGAATATTAGAATCCAAAAAAAGAGAGGCCAGAGATAAATACTAAATACTGTAATAGGTACCAATATAACTCAGGTGCATAGAGCATACCTACTATATTGGGTGGCAGCATTGTTATCCTACAAAAACGAATTACAGAAAAGGGATCAACAGCTTGATATGTTGACTTATAAATCTAATTGGTTTGATACGTTGACTTACAAAACTCATTTCGTGGTCAGTATCATGAAGTCAAAAAGCATGATCGCATGTGAAAAAAATTGCATGCAGAATGAATATAAGATAAACCAGAACATGTAAAACAAACTTTAACCATCTTTACATGTTAAGAGAGAAGTGATGCCATCTATTAAAAAAAGACCACATTTGTTAACAATTCAATATATCTATATGTATACCCAATATTACTATTTCCATAAATTCAATTTTCTACTTCGTGTATCTGCTAGAATCAAAAGTTGCATCTAAGCAACACGGAAAAAAAAAAGATTGCGCCCTACACCACAGAAAAAAGGGGGGAAATGATTGCAACAGACACCACCAAACTCATTACATCCAGATCCAACCATCCATCTAACTATGCATGACTATAACACCCTACAGGAGAACAATTGAATAACTAACATACCTCCCCGACAATGGTCTTTAGCACCGAGTGGGTTTCTGAGATAACTTCTTGCATAAAGAAGCTTTGTATTTTCTCCGCAAGACCAGAGACATCACCGATCAGTGCATAAGCGTCAAGGACCTACAATGAGCACATAGACAAGTTAAATTTTGCCACTAAACAAAATTTCTTATTCTCTGACTGAACTGAAGGCCCAAAAATTGATCCTTATAGTTTAGATATCTTATGGAGATGGCTACGAAGATATAACATGAGAATTAGTTCGCTTACTAACCATTACATAACTATCTTCTTTGAACTCCTGGCAAACGCCCAACAATAGTGAATCCAGCTTATGAAGAGTTCTTCCTAACCAAACCTTGAAAAGAGTATGAGAAGCTCAACCAACTGACAGAAGAATTATAAAGACAATGGTTGGTCATGAATAAACCATAACTACCTCAACACCACGGGTCATCTCTTGAGCTGCCGAGAATTCAGATAGACTGTCAAGCAGCTGCAAATACTCTGATAAAACTTGAAACGCCTGCATAATAAGAAATATATCTCCCGTCTCTTGTTAGTTTCATACCATAATATCACAATAATTCATATAAGAAAACCATGGAAGTATACAACAGAGACAGAGGTAAACTACCAACCTTGCAATAGTTTCCTTCTTCAACTAGGTCTTCAAGAGTTGACCGCATTACTCTTGCATGGCGGAGATCGGTTAGTATAGGAAGCATATCCTGCAAGTACAGTAAATTAAACATTCATGATGCTATAATTACATGGTACTGAAAGAAGTAAAAAGGCATGCTAGAAAAAAAAATTACAGTATGTTTGGATATTAAGATAAACACTTAAGCCCTTGCTGATCAGCCAAGATTACACAGTAGATTGTATCTAAGAGAGTACTTGCATATACAAATCTTTAGAAATTAAAACAAACCAGATACTTAGCCACTTTCTAAAATTTGATAAGACAGAGTAATTTTCTAGACAATCTCAGAGCAAATTGATGGGAGTTCAGAAGGAAACTATATACTACATGAAATTTTTTCAAGAAAACAGATTAAAGAAACGACCACCCTAGATGTCTGAAATAAATAGAGAAGCCTACCAGAAGAGCTTGTTTCTTTTTGGAATGAGTGTGTACAATAAGATCTCTTGACGCCTCATTCATAGAAGAAGTCAAATTTCGTCTTCCATTCTGGCAATAAACACAAAAACGACCACAACCAAGTTCAAACCAGTAACAGATAAAATATAAAATAAATCTACTGTTTTGTTTATGTAACTTTAGGTTAAAAATATAGAACCCATACCTTGCAGATAACATTTGCAATCTTCAAATCTTTCTCCAATTCTCTTACCAAATTCATCCCCTTCACTGGCCAAAAGAAAATATCAATATAACCAAACGCACACTGTCTTCTCAGTCGACATTGGCTTTTCGTAAGAGGAAAAAAGAACAAGTCTTTCCAATTCAAGGTACTTACCCATTACTTCATGATGCTCCATAACATGGTGAGAGAGATTTTCTGCTACTCTATCCAACTGTACCAACCTCAAGGTAGCCTACACAGCAGAAAAAACCCTTATAAACTCCTTAACTAAAACGTTCATCAGCATTCTTGATTCCTTGAGAGGAGTTAGTAATAGTACCTGCTTCTCAAAATAAGCCAACTCACTTTGATCATCCGGCACATTCTCTAATATATGCCTTACCGGATCAAAATCCTACACGAAAAAAAACAAAACCAAAATGCCCCCTCTAAGCTTTAGTGATAAAACAAAATCACCAAGATAAAGCAGACACACACACACACAGACCTCTTCATAAAACCCTTCTTCAAGTTCTTCAACTTGTTGAGGAAGAGGTCTATTCCCATATATAGAGCTAAGCTCAGTAGCAGTAGAAGATATACTCAACCTCTGATCAGAAGGTAGTCCAGCCAAAGCACGAGCAACAGCAGCAGCAGCTGCAGCACGTGCAGGAATCTACACAAAGATTGGATTTTTACAAACTCTCCAAATCTCACAATTCTATAAAAACTCCAAAAAATTGGGTTTTTATAAACTTTCAAATCTCAAATTCACTAAAAAAAACTCCAAAGTTGAGAGATTTGATGATAAAAATTAAATACCTCAGGACGATCAGAGAAAGAAGGAGAAGGTAAGAGACCAAGCGAAGTAGCGGATTTAACAGAGCTGAGGAACTTTTCACCAACCTTAGACAAATCCATCCCACCACTACCTTGGGATAATAAGAAAGGGAGTAAGAAAAAAACCCTAGAGCTCTCGAATCCAACACCAGAACCAAGTTCGTTTAGATCTTCTCCGCCATTGAAGAGGAATGGATTGCTCAAAACTGTGCCGAATGGGAAGAAGAGATTAGGCTGCATCTCTCATCTTCGTCTTTATAGCAGTGAGATCAATGATTGATCCATCCAAATCTCAATACAGAGGAGGAGTAAATCGATTTCAAGATCGGAGCAAAAATGTCCGGCGAGTCACGAATCGGATCGGACAAGAGATCTAGAAGGAGACTTTTTTGATTTTGTTGGTTCGATTCGACAGTGTTGTGATTTTGGTTTTGTTTTTGCCCAACAAAATAATTTAACGCCACATTTTGTTTTTTTTCACACTTCTCTATTAGTAGTGTTTAATGATAAAATGATGATTTATGATTTCTATTAGTGTTTGTTCTAATCAAATTATGAGATTACAAATAACAGTTGACAAAAAGAAAAAAAAATATTGAATTTACAAGTGACAAATGATAATAGTAATCTTATATTGAACTTGAGTGTCTTAAATTTGAATATCATATAATTAATTTAATATAACCTAAATTAGACCTGAGACTTTCGAAACAAATATAATATATCCAAAAAAAAATGTAGACTTATTTTTATTTTTTATTTTTGATCAAAAAATTACTTAAACTGATAAATCTATCTATGGTTTTGAAATTACCTTGAACATAACTTGAATTTTCAGTTTCATCGAAAATTATGTTAAACTCAACTATGAAATGTAAAGAAAGATTAGTAATAAACAGTGGTCATAGTTTAAATTTCTCAAAGAAATAAGAACATGCCAAGAAACTAGATAAACATACCATTCATGTGAAAATTTCAGAGTTTAGATCTTTATCCAAAAAAACCCATAATTAACCTTTTGTTTTTCACAAACGACAAACTTAGTCACCAGACCATTGTCTACACCATAATTATAATCCTAAGAGAAAAAAGTTGGCCGAGTCTTTTAAAACATTCCAAGCCAAACCCCAAAAGAGATATAAACCCGAGAGCCGAATGTATATAGTTTTCTTCAAAAGTATTAACGGCTATTAAAACTAGCAAAATAGAGAAGTATCAAATCATATCACTTCATCAGCAATAAAACATCACATCCTTGACGTTGTCTTTTACTGCTGGGAGCTTCGAAGCGACTGCACCTGCAGTTGTGGTCGTGTTCCTCGACCTGCTCGAGCCTCCATCTGAGAACTCACTCTCCATGTAATAGCGAGCTCGGAAAGCAGCCAAGTGCGCATAGTAAGCTGGTGGCACAATCGACACTGCTTTAGTGCACCTTGCATACCTGTGCGTATATGGTTTTTATGTTTTGTTTAGCGAGATAAGTTCAGATGGTTAATCATGCCAAAATAGGAAATGTAACATGTTGTTGTTACTTACGTGTAGCAAAGGTTGTTGGTTAGTGTTTGCATTGCATCAGCTGAGAAACCGTTCTCGTCGTAAAGCACATGGTAGTGCGCCGGCCTGCTTGTTCCCTAGTACCATTCAAACATTCAAAGAAACTTAATAATAACTATGCAGGGACAAAGATCTCATTAATTGGGATTAGATTCTTGGAAGCAATCAATACCTGTATACCAGCGTGGCTGTTCAAATAGAAGTCAAACTCATTTGGATGACAGATTTGAGTGTCAACCACAGTACCTACGAAGAAATGCAAATATATTGAAGATTTCTGAATTCTGATCATCAGAAAAATTAAGTTGATCGACAAGAGGAGATTGTGGAAACCTGGAAGAATATTGCCACTCTTATCAGTCATATCACGATTCCCGTGTTCAGCAGGGAACAAACGAGTGTGGTGTCGTTTCTGGACTATTACGAAAGTGACGCGAGGAAGATAATCCTTCTGGAGAGAGTTACAAGCCTTGCGTATAGCATTCATCTCATGGAAAAGAACCTGGTTGAACTGCCCTTCACTGACACCATCACTACATAAAGAAAAACCAATTAGACAAACCTGGTCAATTACTAGACAGATTATTGCATTCACGTAAAGCCAAACATGGTCATAGACAGATTCTAACATTTCAAGTAAAACAACTTACCGGTAGAATATGATCCTCGAAGGTATTTGCCCCGTAGCCTTCCTGAATGCTATGAAATGTTCTCTGCAATCACAAACAGTGTCACTTTTATTTGATCTTATCAATCAAAGAACATAAAAAGTTGGTAGATATTGTGTTCATACCTTATTAAACCAGAGTGGATTAACCCTCGCTGTGGATCCTGTTCCAGCTTATACAGGTCCTGGATGATTTCTTCCCTATGAGCCTGAGCAGAAACTAATGCTCGGTATTTTGTTATTTCAGGCCAGTCCATTGAGGCTACAACCTGTAGTTTAAAAAACAGAGTTAACTTTTATGATGAATCACTGATATAATGAGATACCAATAATATTGATCAAGATACATACAGCAGCAATAGAAGGACTCGAGTCCTCTCCAGGTTGCGGGTGAGTCACATCAGCACCCATGATTATGGTTGGGCGATCAGTAATAAGAGGTATGTTTCTTCTGATAGCATCATTCAGAACAGTGTTCCTTCCCCCAGTCTGTAATACAAATAACCGTTCTACACCATCATACGGAAAAAAGAATTGAATGATTAAAGACTAAGATGCATAGATGGCCAGACCTTGACGTTAATCTTCAAGGCAACATTTTCCATGTACTGATTATTGAGTTTAACAACTTGTCTTGGTTGACAACACTGAGAGACGATCCCCAATTCTGTTTCACAGATCCTTTTGATTTTTCCTGCAGACAAAAAAAGAACTTCATGAACAGATGGTCGGAATAAATTCAGACCAAATATAGCCAGCTATATGCACAGACTTACCGTATGATCCAGTCACGTCAGGTAATATGACAATCAGTAGTTGGATACCAGCTGCCCTTTTGTGAATATCGTGAAGAGCTTCCTCGATTGATTGACGCGGATCAGAGATGAGTGGAATAACAGGTGCTGGATTAAATTGCTGGAAAGAATATAAAACAGTTAGTAACCATTCTGGTGTGAAATTGTGACTAAGAACCCAAAAGCATGAGATGATAAGTCAGACCATTCCTTTACTGACACACATCTCAGTCAGCTGATAGCAGAACTCTTCGGGTAAACGTTGGTCAATTCGCCGAGAGAAATTTACGCAAGTCCAACGATCAACACGTGCTCCATTAACCATTTTCTATAGCACATAAATATCACAGCCAAAGGGAGGTAAGAGATCCAAGAGTTTAATGACGCCCATTAAACCACAATAGAAGCATCAAGTACAAATCTTCGTAACAAACTTTATCTTCCACATCCAAATGCCAAGCAAAAACATATAAGATTTATCAAAAGAGAAAAATATAACTATGTGTCATAACTAGTTTCAAGTGCCTACAGAAAGCAAAGAGATAATGATAGTCAATTCCGGTATTACCTTGTTAATCATGTTCCACTGTCCTTGCCTCGGATTTACCATTTTCTCTCTACCACTATCATGGTACTTCAACTGTAAGACAGAACCAACATCGTGATGAGTATCATTGAAAACAAATGCATAGCAATAAAGCAAAGTAAAAACAAAAGTGTAGTCGAGAAATTCACCATTGGTGGAGGAAGTACACGAGCTTCAATCGAGGCTAGTTGGGAAGTCACTGACATCCCAAACTCCTTCACAAGAGGGCTGTCATATTTATTTCCCACAACCAACTAATTACAGAAAAAAACAAATGTGATGTTAAACAGAGGTGCAAAATCAAACTCCTTTTCCGATTGAAGAATTATTGTAAAAGTGATGCAAAGAGGACTAAACCTACTCTTTGTATTGATCTCTCTCTTTCTTCAGGTCGTTGGCAGGTAGCTTTTAACAATGCCGTCACTTGCTTCTCATTGAGCCTTTTCGTGTATCGCTGCTCTCCAACAATTTGACATAGCTGCAAGAACCAGAAATAACCAGATCTTCAATGATACATAATGCATCCAAGAAAATGATGAGGTAAAAGAGTAGATGTTTAAATTGAAATCATACTTCCATGGGTATGTAGACAGGTCTTGAGTCATTCCCAGTTTGGATAGCAGGTAGAGCCGGGTATCTCACCCTATGATTATATCTTTCAAAAAAATATTGTACAACCGTCTTCTCTGACTTGTCCTCTAAAGTGAACCTGAAATTATAAGAACAAAAGAAACATCAGCTACTTTACCAAAGATCAGACACCACTTCCAAGGAAAAGCAACCAAACGAAGTTCAATGATTTTGCACTTGGTTAAGGCTCAATGAAGTAAGCATCTTTACCTTAGCTGACTGATGGGACAGGTGGAAATCCCAGTAATCTTGGCAGTTTTTCCGTTCTTCCAATGTAGCAACTTAACTTTTACTGTCTTCAAAACTTTCTTCACCTAGATACCAACATATGATTTTCCAGATACAAATTATAAAAGACATCCTCTCTAGTATTATTAATAACTTAAATGTGGAGTAAAGTCAGATATGTACCTTGAGCCTATCTGAGTCATTAAGTGGTCTGCTCATGTCCCTTATATTCAGAAACTTGCTAATAAAGTCTGTGACAACAATGGGTTCATAGAACGATCTTGCTGAAACGTCTGCATCATAAGAAAATAACAGAGCTATAATGCATCAAAATCATAAACAAGTAGAATTAGAATCTCAACCAAAGAAGAAAAAAAGATCTAATCAACAGCATCAATCCAGGAAAACATTTAGCATGTTTCTTACCAATGTTAAGAGACAGGCCCATCTGAGTTAACCTTAGACTTTGGAAATAGCCTCTCCAGTACTCAACACCATCTCCAAGCTCACCCTTACCAAAAACAGTGCTGAAAAAAGACCTCCCAACAGAGACATAACTGAACAGAAAGCAATACAGGGAATGTTAAGTCTATGCATAGCTTTGATAACACGGAATTGTTAAGCAAATTCTAGATTTCCTACTCTTTAGAAGGCTGATCCCTTAGAACAACATCCAGCAGTTGGATAACATCATACGGAGCCTCTCTTTGCCTCTGACGCAGAAACTGTTGCAACTGATAAAGATCAGGTCTTGAAGCCACCTGCTTTATAGCAACTTTAAACTTTCTATCCTTCCTGCCAAAAAGAGTCACAACGCCAAAAAAACAAAAATGTAAATAAAGGTGCTTGCTACTACGAGTTTAATAAGGCATCTACGAAAGAGTTTAAAAAGGGCATTACCCAGGAGAACCATCAGCTAATTTTTCAGTCAGATCCACAACAAACTCTTTGGATTCAAAAGGTAAAGCACCAGCAGTGTAGATGCTTTTCCTTCCATCATACGCAGGAGACTTCCCTCCCAAGTGAGACTCTTTATACATACTAACCAGAGCTTTCATCACGTTCCTGTTCACAGTCTTTGATATCACCTCAGGATTGATCGTAACCTGTCACGACACCCCAAAAATAAAAGTTTTAGCCGTACATCTCCCTTCATGAAACAACAACAATAACGCTATATGACAAAAACGCAGCAGACACTGAAAAAGCAGACTCATAAGAACTTGGTGATGAACAGAAACGACAAAATAAAGTCCAAAACGCAGATACATCGTTCGACGTACAAGGTTTTACAAAAACTGAACCAAAAAAAATCACTACAACTTGGTGAAATAGAGAAGATTACCAAACAAGAGCAGATTCGTCGAAATCAAAAGACGAAAAAAACAACAAACAAGAGCAGATTCGTCGAGTAAAACAAAAAAGTTAGAAACTTGGAGAAAGAACAAAAAAAATCAAAAGAGACTCACATCGTAATGGTAGAGATCACGATCGGCGACTTGAACAAGGAAATGATTCGCACGAACAGTGATTTTCCTCCCAACAGTGCCACGCCCTGGTCGTAACTGAAGCGGCACAGCCTTTGACGACGACGGAGGAAGAGTAGACTCCGGTTTCGTCTCCGGCGGAGAAATCTGAACCTTCGCCAAAGCCGCAGCCGCGTCAGAAACCTCCGTAACAACCGTCCTCTCCTCCTTAGACGAAGAAGCAGAAGCAGAAGCCACCACCATCGTCTTAGAAGAAGACGCAACAGAAGGAACAACTTGACTCGCCGTCGGAGCTCCGGTGAAACCCCCACGTCCGACGTTACCACGACCTCTCCCGCCAGAAACTTGACTCGCCGTCGTCGGATCTCCAGTAAAACCCCCTCGTCCAACGTTACCGCGACCTCTCCCACCAGAAACAGGAACCTCCGTCGCCGTCAGATCTCCGGTCCCGACGTTACCACGACCTCTCCCACCAGAAACACCACGACCACCACCGGAGGTTTGTGGTAAACCAGGCCAAGCAACGGAACCAGAAGACTGATCTTGTCTCTGGTCAGACCTCCTTCCTCCTCTTCCGCCACGACCACCGCCGCCGTGACCGCCACGATTCGACATTGTTGAAAAGAACAAAAAAAAGCAGAAACTTTCCTGAAGAAGAAACAAAAATCTTTTTCTAAAACAGAGAGAGAGAAGATGAGAAGAAAATGGTTTTTACTCTGCGTAGTGTGTGGAGAGTCTCGGGGTTTTTAAAGAAACTGCAACATCACAAAAAGAGAGTAAAATGACTATTTTGCCCTTATCACATCGCCTCAAGTAATTATACCATCTGACTATTATACCCTTACCGCTTTGTCTTCCCGTTTTTTAAACCGTACAGAAACGTAACGATTTTTGCCCTTGGACCTTTGTCACCACGTTCTTTGGTATTTTTTAACTTTTATTTAATAAAAAATAAAAAAACTCTGATCATTTTTCATAAATAGAGGTATATGCTTTATGCAGAAATCAGAGTGGAGACAAAATAACAGATTTTACCACTATTGGACTATATGTTATTTTACTATTTAAATCAGACTTCAGCTTTTGTTATTTTGACTAACCAAAATATATATGACTTTGTATTTTGATATAAAAGAGAAAGAAGGAAAGAAAGAGAAGATGAATTTTGTATTTTCGTAATTGTATGATTTTTGAAAAAAAATTAAAAGGAGATTAGTTGATGTAGAAGAAAAGTGTGATTTGATATAATTATGATGATATTGATATGTAAAATCTGATACATTCATAATTCCTATCTTTAATAACTACTCACATCAGTATCTTTTTTTTTTACGGCAGGGGTGAAATGGTCACGACTCACGAGGTCTGATTCTTTTTGTTTTTTTTGTTTACTGATGGTGAAAGGGTAAAACCAAAAGTTTCAGGAATAAATATTTTTTGTTCTCCTTTACGCCCATGTCGTTGTACTAGGGAATAAAAGCCTTTCCTTTATTTGTTTTTTTTCTTTCTTTCTCATTAAGTTTGAATAATTACAAATAATCTTTGAATAATTAAAAGTTCAAAGACTCATGTTTTTACTACTAATAGACAAAATGTGAGTCAAAGTTTTTGTATAATTAACATTTTTGTGAGATGACTTTCTCTTTTTAGATACTGAATTGAGATAAGTCATGTAAGTTTAAGAAAAGTTTTGTTAATGGACGGTTAAGATTGAGTTTTGTAAGTCAAAAAGCGGTTTTTGGTAGCAAATCTTATGGGTTTATTAGTAGGGATCACGACTTATCAAGAACAATGAAATGCAATTGAATAGTTTTGACTAGAAATTTGTGGAAAGTTTTTGAGATAGATAGGATCGAGTTTAATTCGAGTTTGGACGACTCGTATAACACATGAAATGAATATACATTTTGATGCCATTATGCCAAGATCAGACACAACATGATGACTATATGATCAAGTGTATATATCTAATGCTAGTATATATATAACTTTTATATACATTTGTCACAATTCGAATTCATGTGTAATGCATAGATGATGACTCGAGACATATTTAGGATATATATTACTGCATTAGGGGATCTTGACTAATCAAGAAAGTGAAATGCATTTGAATAGTTTTGACTAGTAAGATTATGGAGAGTTATGAGATTATATAGAACCGAGTTTGGACCGTACGTATGTAACACATGAAATGAAAAGATACATTGATGAATATGATCATGCATGTTTCATAAGTTACGAAGTACTATTATATATACCTAATGCTATAGTATATACATTTGTCACCATTCGAATGCATATGTTATATAAAATGCATGTATATGCACTCGAGACATATTTAGAGTATAACTATGATTTCTTTTACGATATTATTTCCAACAAAACGACATCTCTCAAGCTTTTTGAGCAATGAGGAATTGAGAGCTTCAGCTTCTCAACACATATTGTTCAAATATTTTACTTTGAGCAAACATATAACGAAGTATATATGCACACAGTTTTAGAAGAAGAAATAGCTAGACATAATGAGTTTGAATCAAGTTTGGACCGTACGTGTTATATGAAACGAAGAAGCATATATAATGATGTATTGATTAGTCAAAAAGACTCAGAAGAAAAAAAGAGATCGATGATCGATGTTGCATGCATGCATATACACGATTTTGTGATAAGGAAACATTTGATGAAAACTTTTGTGTAAAGGCATAAAGCTATGAACAAATAAAGTAAATGAGTTCGTAAAATTGGATTTATGCAGCAACATCCAAATCACAAGAGAAAGAGTGTCGTTGGGGGTTTATATAAAATATTGTTCATTATTATTTTCTCTCTTTCTTTTCTGTCTCAATCAAAAAAAAAAAGGACAAAAAGAAAAATATTAGCATGTTCTATAGTTAAAAATTAAGATCAATTGTGTTAATCATGTGGCTATATCAATGGCTAGGTTAATCACATGAGATGAACCTAAGAAAAAAAAAACTATAATTGTTTCTTATAAATGAATTAAAAACTCGTTTATAATGAGATTTATTAGATTATTTACAATGGATATGTTTAGTATTTTCTACATTTGAATAGTCACAAACTCACAATGAGATAATATATATTGGATTTGGATATTGAAATGATATAGAAGTTTTGGTGTTAAGTAAATATTATATATTAAAAAAAAAAATATATATATATATATATAAATAAATCAATGTGATGTGGATTAAAGATCTCTTAAAACAGCTGAGTTACGTTCTATTTGGAAATTAATAAATAAAGAATATATAAAAAATTATAAAATTTGATAATATAAGGTAATTTAAAAGATATTTCTCGATGATATATACGTGAAACCATATTTTTTTAACACGTAATCATGTTATTTCATCACTTTGCATACGTACATGCAATTAAGGCTATACTTAAGAATGGACTGTGACCAGTAACTACTAAGCTTAAACTCTTTAGGAGCAACACTAAGAAACTTAAGATTCAAAATTTAAAATAAAACATTTTAATTTATCTATCACGATTTAATATTTTCTCCTTAAAATCGATTTTATTTTTAACAAAAATTGGAATCTTCAGTGTTACTTGGTCAAGTTTTCGTTTACGAAGAGAAGACTCTTTGTATTGATTCCAAATCCATTTCCATATTGATGTAAATATTATAAATTTGATTTCAATCAAAATTACAATTTTTTTAAAAAACAAATATTGTTTATCCTCCTTTTCTTTGACCTTTTTATGTACTATTTTATAATTAGTTCTGATGACGCATAAATATTAATTTGATTTTAATCAGAAATTATAACAACAAAAACTTTAGATTTTTGGGGTCAGATTTTTTGCTGCCGACATATATGCCATGAAAATATTTAAATGAATTATCCATGTGTTTATATAACAATATTTATCTACTTAAAATTAATTAACGAAATAAACACATGATTAATTAATTTATTATGTTAAACAAGTCATAATAAATAATCATTAGCCGAATAAAATTAAAAATTAAACAGATCTTATTAGCTCACACTCACAAGTCACAACTACTCTCAAATCACAACGAGATCACGTGGATGTACAGATAACGCGAGTACACACAACGCGCCGGTACCGAGAGTGAAAAGTTTCAATTTCGACGAATCCATTTGCCTCCGTTCACATGCGATGCTTCTCTTCTTCTTAAATATCCCACCGTCACCATTTAGCTCATTTATAAACGAAGGATTTGGATTCTCTCTCTGATCTGATCTGATCTTCTCAATGGCGACCGGAGCTAATAGAGTGGATCTAGACGGCAAACCGATAAAACCGATCACGATATGCATGATCGGAGCCGGAGGTTTCATCGGTTCTCATCTTTGTGAGAAGCTGATGACGGAGACGCCACATAAGGTGCTTGCGCTCGATGTTTACAACGATAAGATCAAACACTTGCTTGAACCTGATTCCGTTGAATGGAGTGGTCGGATCCAGTTCCATCGTATCAATATTAAGCATGATTCCAGGCTTGAAGGACTTATCAAGATGGCGGATCTGGTAATTGGATTTTGTTTTCTCTGTTCTTCGTTGTTTTTGACTTAGTGTGATGATTTTTAACTGTTGAGGAATTGATAATTATAGGTTAGAATGATTTGTGATTGATGATGATTGTTGTCTCAGATCTGATTCATTATCGGAATTTTGATATATTGATCTGTGATTTTTGGTTTTCTCAGTGTTGAGATTGGTGATGTTCTGATGTAATTCTGATATTTTGTGTTTTTGGTTTCTGCAGACAATAAATCTTGCTGCGATCTGTACTCCAGCTGATTACAATACTCGTCCTCTTGATACTATCTACAGCAATTTCATTGATGCGCTTCCAGTGGTATGTGTTTCTTACTTCGTTAATTACTTTGGTTGTGTGGAGCAGATTGAAGAATTGGAAAACAGTTATGTGCCTTATTATTAGTTGAAATTGATTGGTTGATGTGTTGGTTTTTGTAGGTTAAGTACTGCTCTGAGAACAACAAGCGTCTCATTCACTTTTCAACCTGTGAAGTATATGGAAAGACCATTGGAAGCTTTCTTCCTAAGGATCATCCCCTGCGTGAGGTAATGCCTTTTTGCACCTTTCACTTTCAACATTTTTTTTTTATCGATCTCACTAATGAATGTACTGAGGAACACGTTGAAGTTGACATTTTCTTTCTTTTTCCAAGCAATAGGACTAAGAAACACTCATCGGATTACGTTAAACTTTTTTTTTTTAGTTCAGTTAATAGTTTACATAACTAGTCTATATCACACACCTCTACAAACTTAGAATAATTAATATTATTTTATTTTAGGAATGTCTGGGATCTTAAGAATGTTTAAAACATTGTTTCCTAACCTCGAATTGCTTAAGGTTGGCTTCATTATTTACTAATGTCCTTCACTGTGTTTTTTACAGGATCCTTCTTTCTATGTTCTTAAAGAAGATATTTCCCCTTGCATATTTGGTTCAATCGAGAAGCAGAGGTGGTCATATGCGTGTGCAAAGCAACTGATTGAAAGACTCGTTTATGGTAAGCATTTTTTTGTTAGCTGACATGTGAGTGAATATAATGTGGTAGGAACCAAATGGTTTACACTTGACTTCATTTGTTTCTTGTGACAGCTGAGGGTGCTGAGAATGGACTTGAGTTTACCATTGTAAGACCTTTTAACTGGATTGGACCTAGGATGGATTTCATCCCCGGCATTGATGGTCCTAGCGAGGGTGTCCCACGTGTCCTCGCCTGCTTTAGTAATGTAAGTATCAAAGGCGTATAATCCAATGTTATTATGTATATACGCAAATACTTTTGGTTAATGCATTTTTCTTTCTTTCAGAATCTTCTACGTCGTGAGCCTCTCAAGCTTGTGGATGGTGGAGAATCACAGAGAACTTTTATCTACATCAAGGATGCTATTGAAGCTGTCCTTTTGATGATTGTACGTTCAATTGCTCATACCATTCTTTGTGGTTTTCGTTTTACAAACAGTTAAACTCCAACCAAGTTCCAACTAAAAAAAACCTGCACTGATATATGATTGTTTTTGTGGTTCAGGAAAACCCAGAGAGAGCAAATGGGCATATCTTCAATGTTGGCAACCCGAACAACGAAGTTACAGTACGACAGCTAGCTGAAATGATGACTGAGGTGAGGAAGAATTGTTGCAAAACAACCGAAAGAGTTGGATTTTTCTTTCTTTCTCTGGTTCTGAAATATCAAAGCAAATCATGTTTCAGGTTTACGCAAAAGTGAGTGGAGAAGGAGCCATAGAGAGCCCGACAATTGATGTTAGCTCCAAAGAGTTTTACGGGGAAGGTTATGATGACAGTGACAAGAGAATTCCAGACATGACCATCATTAACCGCCAACTCGGTAATTCCCTCATCTCAAATGATTGATAGATAATATGCTTAGAGAGTAAAGAAAGATCACTGTCTAATCTGATAGATTTTTTGACATTGAAAAATAGGATGGAACCCGAAGACATCTCTGTGGGACTTGCTCGAGTCGACCTTGACATATCAGCACACGACCTATGCAGAAGCTGTGAAGAAAGCAACATCCAAACCAGTGGCTTCTTAAAATTTCCGAGATCCCCAATTGTCAACAAAACTCGTTAAACACACACGCATCATTTTGGCATTTTACTCTATTCGATTCTATTTTTTTCCATTGCAGAGAAAAACCTTTCTTTCTTTTTTTTCAAGAAAACAGTATAATCACGGTGCTTCATTTCAAAGTATATGTTCTATATTTTACTTAAGTGTTTTTCTCTTTTCGGTTTTTTCGGTTTGGTTTTGTTACTCTGTTTGCCCAATGTATGTTGCAGCTGTCAGAAACCAAAAGGTTAATCGTTTGTAGTGAATGATATATTTAGACAGAAGTGTTTGCGTTTATACGAACATATGAGTTCTTTTCGTTCTATTTTTCTCGGCCATATTAACTTACATAGTCTCTCTTATCAGTCTGTGTAAAGTTAAAGTCAGTGTATCCTTTTGGAAGGAAAGGTTTCTTCTTGTGCTAGGAGGTATGAAGCATTACTTTTTGATGATCTACGGGTAAATTGAAGATGATGCTTAATGTTCAAGAATCTTTCACAACAAAGACAACAGGTTTCGTGTTACGAGACGAACTACAAAGCTACTTGCAAAGTTAGTTTGGTTTCCTTGTCTTTGATTGTGTAATGTTTCTTTTCTACAATACTTAGTGTCTAAATCATATCTTTGTAACTAAAAGTGCCTTAAATATGTTTCTTTTTACTTTCTTTATCTTTGGAAGTTGCTTGTAACTTGACAATATAAAATAGCATTCTTTGGAAAACAGCTTTTAAATAAATATATTAAATAAATATAAATCTCATAAACAACAGTTACACCAAAAGCGTCTGTAGTCCAACGGTTAGGATAATTGCCTTCCAAGCAATAGACCCGGGTTCGACTCCCGGCAGACGCATAATTAATTTTACTTTTTTTGCATTTCTGCATTTTATTGTGTCTGTTTTTATTTGTTTGGTTCGCAAAACTCTGCCTAATTTTCTCAAACCGTTAAAATGTTTCAAATATGCACATGTTACAGTTCAAATATTCTAAACAGAGCAAACGACATCTTAAAGCCTGATTAGACTCTAAAGCCCACGCTAGGCCCAACTTTATTTAGGGTTTTTATGTATCTTCATTAGTTGATGTGTGTTGTGTCGTGAAAAACTTTGTCCTTAACCTTTAGCCGCAAGAAATCACTCTGTCGTGTAGTTTCAGAACGATGACGACGGCAATGATCTCCAATCTTCCAAAGGATTTGTTAGAAGAGATTCTTTCTAAGCTTCCCTTTAACTCCATGAAAGCAGTGTGTTTAACTTGCAAAACTTGGAACGATTTGTCCAAAACTGAGAGCTTTGCCAAGATGCACATTTGTAAAGCAACAAGATGCACATTTGTATATGATGATCGCGATGATACCTCACAATCTTTATCTAATGAGCAGCTTCGTCGACGACAACAACAACAATCCATCTATAGAGCATAAATGTCAACTAAGATTCCTTAACAATCAAGTAAGCATATATCGAGTCTTCCACTATGAGGGTTTAGTTTTATGCATCTTGAAAGACGTTACTAGGATTGTGATTTGGAATCCGTTTTTGAGACAAACGAGGTGGATCAAACTCAGGTTCTCTCACCGTACAGACGTATGGGACACGTTTCGTTATGCTCTAGGATACGAGGTTAAAGGATCTTGTCGTAGCGTTAAGTTTTTGAGGTTTCTTGATTATTTTAGTCATCAGTTTTTTTGGTATGAAATCTACGATTTTGACTCGGGTTTATGGAGAAGTCTTGATGTCACTCCATACTGGTGTATATATTGTGCAGCCACTAGTGTTTCTCTTAAGGGAAACACTTACTGGTGTGCTAAAGAAAGAAACATGTCAATAGAAAGTTACATAAAACATATCATATGTTTTGATTTTACAAGTGAGAGATTTGGACCGCTTCTGCCTTTGCCGATGGTTAACAGTGAGGAGCATAACTATAATAATGTGACTTTATCTTGTGTTAAAGAAGAGAAGCTTGCGGTTTTATTTCAGAGCGAAGATTCAGAGGAATCGCAGTTTGAGATATGGATTACAACTAAGATTGATGTCGAAACGGTGTCGTGGATCAAGTTTTTGAGAATGGATAAGAGTCCTTGGATATCTATTGCAGGTAGTTTCTTCATTGACGAGGAGAAGAACGTTTTGATGAGTTTTGGTACGCAATATTATAATAAGTGTACCATTCGCAAAAGATCTGTTAACATAGTTGGAGAGGATGGATACGTAAGAAAATTGGATCCTGGAGTACCTATAGAGGGTCTTTGTAGGCCAGATGTGTGCTGTTATGTTCCAAGTTTGATCCAAGTAATCAAGAAACCTGTAGGAGGCAAAAGAATTGAACAAAGTAGTTTAGAAAATCGTCGATTTGATCAAAGCATGTTGAGGCTTGCCGCACTTGAAAAGCTATTGAAGAAGAAGCAACAAGGATACTGGTAGGAGGAGATGCGCAGTAGCGGAAAAAAGATGGTTAGTCTCAGTGTGGAAGATGAAATGTTTAAAAAGATAGCTCTAACGATGATACAAGTATTCTTGATTCTAGTCCTAGAAAGCACCAATGCTGCTGCAAAGGAGGATTTGAGACATATGTGACATCTTGCAAGAGGAGCTGCAGAGTGGATTAGCAAAGACTCTGCTTGAAGTTTGAGGCCGTAGCAAAGGAACTATAAGCTGGTCCATGCGTTTGTTTTTTGTTTCTCTGAGATATTTTTTAATGAAGTTGAATTGGTAATGCATATATAGTATGGTTTCTCTCATGTTTATCATTCAGACAAATGAGATCTTTTGTTCTTTGCTCATTTGTCTGAATAGTCCTAGTTTGTACTTTTGGATCATCTGATGCAAGTTAATATATAGTCAAAGTTTGAATTGGTTACTATTTTCTTATTGACATAAGTACAAAAATTTGTGAAAGGGTCTGCGTTGATCCCTGTTACTGCCAACCACCATATACTTGTTTTGCTTCACAAATTCACAAAATCGTTTCATTTCATTAAAACCATTACCAACATAACATATATTAGAAATAATCCAAAATATTTAAGAGCTCAAAAAGCCTCACAAGTATCTCAATTCTCAACCATTCACTAATAAGATCAAAATTTTCAATCAAAAGAGCAAAAAACTGTGACTTGGCACAGTCTCTAGTTTTTGCAGGACGAACCACATGGGAACGGACACTTCTTCTTCCCTCCTGATGACTTGTTCTGAAACGCAGCTTTAGCCTTCTTTGATGCAACTGTGTTGTTGTTCATTGCTTTACCATTCGGGATCTTCTCACTTGAAGGCTCCACCTTTAAAGCTGCTTCGTCCTCTACGTCTTCTTCATCCGACTCATCCTCATCGTCGGAACTTATCATCTAACCACACAAAACAGTAAAAAAGAAATCAAGATTAGCTCTTTATAGTGATTCATTGCTTCCTACACAAAAATCCTTACACAAAATCTACCTCATCTGAGTCGGAGTCAGAGTCTTCTTCTGAAGAGTCAACATCTTCTATCGGCTCGATCTCATTATTCATCCCATTTGGAGGCAAAGCACCTTTATAAAAAGGTTCAAGGTTAAGATTCATAATAGAGTCACAGAGTAAACTTAACTCACCGCAAAACTGTAGCTTAGTAAAGTAAAACCTACCAATTTGTTGTCCCATGAACTCGTCTAACTCAGAATCTACACACACACAAAAGACAAAAGGCAAAAGATTAGCTTTCAAGCTTGACAACAGATTAAATCAAATACTAACTAAGAATAAGAAACTCACCAGAATCAATCTCCTCATCCGTGAAGCATCAGAAAAAAGCAAGAGCAAAAGCAAATCAAGGATAAACAGACACAAGAATTCGAATCACCATTGATAAAATAGTAGAAGATATAACTAAAAAAGGACAATAAAATAAAAGGATATTGTTCGTCATCAGGGGTTTGGTTACCAAGAAGAAAGACACTGGTTTTAGAGTCGTGAGAAATCTCAAACTCTTGGTCAAAGAAGAGATCAAGAGAAACTTGAGGAAACTTGTGTGAGAGATTTCCAATAAGATACTTATTCTTATCATCACCATACTTCACATAAACGAGAACATTCTCATCTTCGTTCACCTTACTCAGGTCAATACTAACCTAAGAGATGGTACAACAAGTCACAACAGTCAATATCAATCATGTTCAGTTTGTTTTACAAAACGAGAGTTACAAAAAACTGATACAGACCTGAGAGACATGGATCATGTACCCATCTTCTGGTTCTGCCATGAGAGGCTTCCCAGGCTTAACTTCAATTCCTACAATTGAACATTACTCATCACATATCAAGTACCAATTCAAACTCACAAAGATAGATTCTTTCAAACCAAAACTCCCAAAAGTACTAATCTCAGCAACCAATCATACAATCTTGAACACAAAAGACAATGCTTATTGACTAACAGAGACATATCAATACAGCAAAAAGTATCAATTTTTATAAATTTCAACGCTAATATAAGCAAACATTTATAAAATTTTGAACCAAAACTATGCTTATTGAATAAGCAGAGAGAATTCAATGCAGAAAAACCAGATTTTTAAGGCATTTTCACAGAACAAAGTTAAGGAAAACAAAATTGAGTAATCAATAGAAGTAATAAAGGTATAAAATTTTCAGAGAAGCATACCCCAAAACTCCATAGCTAGTGAAGATGTGTGTGGCTGCTTTGAGAAGAAGAAGATTTAGGGTTCTAGAGTTGGTTTGAAAAAAAAAGAGAAACAAAGGAGCGGCTTTTATTTATAAGGATGCTCTTTACTTCTTTGAACTTCCTTTTAGCCAGTTAGTAGGGTTTTACGACAAGAACATACAAATGGAAAAACAAAATTAATCACCGCTTTTACTAAGTTAATGGGCCTTAATTCATATTGGGCCAGTTTAGATTCGGCCTTATTTGATGATGGGCTTTAGATATATCTATCCTTTTTAAGAAACAATCTTTAACTTATATCTATCCTAGAATTAGAAGGATATACGTATTTGTGATAATCTTGGATAGAATCAATCTATAAATAATTTTCTTAAATATAAATTTTCAATCTAATATTTATTTTGCAAATTAACCCTTAAAAATTAAGATATTTGCATAGTTATCTTATAAAAAAGAGGATTAAAACAAACCATTTTCTTAAAGCTAATAAGAGAAGAAGAGCAACACGGCAATGAATTGGTTTCTTCGATGGATCACAAATTCACAAATGTCTGAGTTTAGGGATAAGGTTGGCTAAAGTCGTTATTACACAAACATAAAAAAGCAAAGTTCTGTTATTAGATGTCCGAAACCAAAAGTATCTTTTATTACATGTCCGAAACCAAAAGTATCTCTTATTACTTTTTTTTTTTTGCTTTTTTTTTTGTCTTCTCTATTATTACAATTATACAAACAAATAATAATAAAATAACAATCATCTTGGCGTATATAATTAAATAAAAATAACATTATATATGTACCACTAAATCATTATGATTATTAGATTTATATATACAGATTTTTTTACCAAATTAAAATATGTTTCTTCCTAAAATAAATAGAAGTTGTAACAAATTTGGAAGGAAAAAAAAAACAATAATAATCCAAAATGTATTAAAAACTTCTAGAAACCGATAAATTTGAGCCAATGAAAACTAGTTTTAGCCGCTTTCTCAGCTTCCTTAGAACAAGACTCCGACGAAGAACCACCGCCGCCGCCGTTATTTTTCCGGCCACATAAGAAAAAGTTTCTTGATCCAAGCGATATCAGTTTCTCATCTCTTCCAATACTCTCAAGACTAAACTGAGAGTAATGAAGATCAAACCTTAACGGTTCAGATTCCGGTAAAAAAGGCCGGCGAGCTTCTTTAACATACTGCCTTATCGCGGCGTCGATTAAGTCACTCACGGTGGATTCCGGCGAGATGATAATCTGCACAGCTCCTAAACTCCCTTGAACCGTCACGTTTAGCAAAAGTTTCGTCAGACGCGGCGGGAACGACGACGCCGTATCCGGTTTTCCGGTGAAGCTTTTATCACCGCCGGCGGAGGCGGAGGAGAATAGCTCCGGTAACGTCTTGGGTCTACGAAGTAGCTCACCTGGATTAGATAACGGCGTTGAACCTCTACCGTGAAACGACATCGCTTTATCCGATAACAGCTTTCGACTCCGGTGATGATGAGACTTTTCTGTTTCCGGCGTTGCTTTCTTGTTACCGTTCTTCATGTTTTTCCGACGCCGGTCACCGGAAGAAGAAGCTTAACATAAGTTTTTTAAAAAGAGTGGCAGAAGTGTAAATAGTGGAGGGATGGTGAGGGTATATGGGAATGTGAGAAAGGTTAGTGTAGAAGGAGAGAAGTATTTATAGTGTTGTTGAGATGTGAAGATAATGAAATAAGAAATTTCTTGGAAATTTCTCAGTTTGAGGTGTGAAGGGGAACCGGCTATAGCAGGTGAACCGGAGATGCAATGATTGTGTGTAAGTTTGGTATTGAGTACAGGTTCAACCGGTGGCTTAGTATTATTGTTATTATCCATATGTTGTAGAAACCAATTTGGACTATGTTTTTGATTGGAGTGGAAGTGGACTATTATTTTTAAATTTTATAAAGTTCATTTTCTTATGTTAAAATTGAATTATGACAAATAAGGTCATTATATTTTGTTGATTTAAATTTATATTCATGCACATGGTTGGTTATTTTAGTTAGTTTATAGTATAAAATCGAAATGAATTTTGAAGATATACTCCAGTTTAATTTTTTTTATGAAATAGGATGTTAGAAGGAACGTTTTGTTTACGTTATGATTTGTACATTATATATGTTATGTGCTTATTATTATTATTATTATTATTACTATTACTATTATTATTATTATTATATGTATTTTTAAGAAAACTTTTTAAAACAGTTACATAATTAAAATTAGATAAAATTCGATTTATACTTATGTATCTTAAACAAAATTAAGTAAAGAAACGTAAAATTAAGAGTTGTTCTCTCGTTCCGTCGTAAAATTTAGATCAAAACTCGATAAAATCTTTTATTATTGGAATCAAATCCATTTTCAATCTATTATATAAATTTAATTTATGCATTTCAAAATTGGTTTTTTCTTTCTAAAAGTATATAACTAGTATTTGAGTTACACAACGTAAGATAGTCATATAAGACATAAAAGATATAGATCATGAAGAAAAACAAAATCTTTGGGTCAAATTGTAGTCCAATGGTAATTTGTAAGCTAGGTCTTGAGTATATTGCCATATTGGTAATACACAACCGACCCTTATGTACTAAATGAGCTTTGTTCGGATCCAAAGATTGACAAAGAGATATTAAGAGCTAAACTAGGGATTAGGTCATACAAGACAAGTCCCATACATACTTAACCAAGTTGAAGAAGATGTGTAGTAAATAATTGTAAAATAAAACATGGTTGTAATAAAAGACCAAAACACACGTGCCAGGCAGGAGGAACAGAAAGCGAAGATGGACCCGAACGCCGACATAACTGAACGATGCTGGAAGACGTGACCAATCTCATCCTCTTCACACCCAACTTGCTTCGTGATTGTGATTAGTAGTAGTACCCTCTCAATAATTGTAGTGATCACATCGTAGTTTTAAGCCTACAATTCTCTTTTTAATGATTATCAAATCAAAGGATTCAAGAATATATACTACTAATAATTGCAACTAAACTTAGACTAATCAATTATATCATTGATACAACAACAACATATACCATTACGTAAGTGAACCTCATATGGCTAAATAAATGATTATTCATTGTTGGGGCATATCATTACGTAAGTGCAACCCTCTCATGTCTATACAAGATTATTATATGATCCAACCTTATATGTGAGGTTTAACGAAATAACTAATTTCTAAACTGATTAAAATAGGAGTGCACCTAATTATTAATGTGTTTCTCTGGTAAATGTATAATATAATTATTGTTGATGCTTCACATGTGACATGGCCTAATTATATTTTTATCTTATCTACTTGTTTTCTGCAACATAGAACCATACAAAATGCATAATGCCGGACGAACCATTGTTTTCTATGTTTTTTTTTTTTCCAACAATCTTTATTAAAGACTAAACAGCGGTTCAGAACATACTTTGCGAATCGAAAAAATATTCTAAAATAAACATTATAAATAGATGGAAATAAATAAGAAAAATTGATTGAGTGTGATTATGTATCATGTCTAAAATAATAATAAGAAGAATATTCCTTAAGGAAAATGATAAATAGAAACTTGGCTATGTGTACAAGTTTTGATAGATAGCCTTCCACACGATTCAACACCAATTTGCATTTGAATAATGATACAAATGTTTTTGGTTGTTTGTTTAGGGGATGTTGCCTCCCCCGGATGATGATGATAGCTAACTCAAAAACTTGCATTGTTGTCAGAAGTTTATATACATTAATGGATGGTGCTTTGTTACAACAATCACATGAAAGGTTTGTTTATGTATGGTATTGGTAAGTATGGTCAGCTGTATGATATGTATGTCTTCTAGCTAGCTACACGCTCTCAAGCATATCTCTGATGAAATATACTAATCTACTTAGAAGTCAACATTAATCAATCAGTCACAAAGTAAGACCATATTCTCATATCAAACATCATCTTTCATCACTCTTGAGATAATCCCAATATTACTTGAGATTTTTCACTTTAAACTTTTACCTCATAAACCACAGAAAAACACCATAACTAATGAATGTATTTGTTATATGAGATCAAATTCGTCTAAGTATAGGTTCAAGTGATTCTATCTACACGAATAATGAGTCATTTCGCTAGGATCAACAATTAATTAATGAAGTTAACTACATTCGTTAATATTACGTGTATATGAAGAACAATGTAAACGACATAAACTTTCAAATTCTTATATTTTTGAAAAATAGTAAAAAAAAAACAAAAAAGCTTCTCTCTAGAAACCCTTCTCTCTACAATTTATAAGAGAACTCTTTTCTTCTGTTTCCCTTTTGGTTCCTCTCGTCGTCGTCTCTTTCTCCTACAGCAAGGTTGTCGTTCAGTTTTGGCTGGTTTTGTGGTGGTTCCTGTAAGGTTTTGGCAGTAACAAACATTTCCCAAAACGTATTAAATAAAATCTGTCTAAACCCAAGACCGAGTCATATGGTTGAATTCTCAATTACCTTTGTAAGAGCACTGATATGAATGCCATAGAATAAACTACATAAATTTACTCTATGAGATGTAGTTCATCGTGGAAAAATAAAATAAAGAGTTCTTGCGCTAGAAAGTGAAAGGGATTAAATTAAAAAGAATAAGAAAATGACTGTTTTTATTATTTTTGTTAATTAATTTATAGGGATATAAATGCGCCGTTTCTAAAAATTTATAAAAATTAAAAGAAAAATAAATCATATATTTTTATGATGACATGGCGCTCGAGCTTCTCCTTTTGTATTTCTTATTTCATAGTTGACAAAACGTGAGGTTAACTATTTGCACTTTTGTAAATTACAAATGAAATTGTAATGTCTCTAAACTACTTTCAAATAGTAAATAAAGTTTTCATCTTTAAAATTAATAACATGAACCAAATCAGACTATTTCCTCATTTCTCTATGAATATATAGTTTCATCTTACTAGCTTTTTGTCATTTTCGCACAAGATAGTTATATAACTATAATTCAAGTAATAAAACAAAATTAAATTACAATTTCTAATATCTTAATTGACTAACATATTAATCTACTGTACACATTCTACACCACACGTTTATATACTATAACAATGACAACAAAATTAATTCTAATAGTTATTACTTTATTGAGATTTTTTTTAATTTGGTAAGTTATTCAAAATAAACCATTTTAAAATTTGATAGAATCATTATAACTAATAATTTTTAAGAATTTATTACAAGGAAATTAACAATTATAATACCTTGAAAGAGAACACTAAATTTGTGTGATATAGTAAAAATATTAGAACTGAACCAAACAAAAATCAATACACACATACATGATGATCATTTTTATGTAATTATTAATTTATAATTACAAGGAGTTCTTAAACAAATTATTATCTTATTAAGTTATCAAGTTGTGCTCACAATAGCATTTTTCCAACTTGGAACATGAAGAAATTACTAATTTATAGAGGTTTTAGTTTCACTATATATAGAGATAATTTTTTTTCTCTCTCTGACATTCGTTTGAAAGAATAGATGAGACGATTTTGTGTTTTTGAAATACATATTTAAATTTTTTAAGGATATTAATATTCGTTTAAAAAAAATTTGAAATCTATGTCATGATTATAATCTTCTTTTTCAAAAAATTACAATTAATGTCATGATTGTAGTCTTCTTTTTCAAAAACTTTACAATCTATGTCATGATTTATATTCATATCGAAACAATTTTACAATTAATTCTCTCTAATATCTATATAATCAAACACAATAAAAATATATTAATATAAATTATAAACTAGAAATGTCAATATAATGTTCCATAATTAATAATATAATCTAAATCTAAGTGAGCATGAAACTTCATCTAATAAGCATCAAAATTTAAAATTTGTATGTATAAGATTTAATTGGGGTTGTAATTATTTTATTAATTTGGGCCATAACTGCCCATTTCATTTTAATATATAACAAGCCCATTATATATTTCTTCATTCTATATAGGTTACTTAGGCTACAAGCCTACAAGGTATGTAGATACGTTGTCCCGCCCTTTCCTCCACCTGTGTTTGTCCCTCTCCAAATTGGGCCTTTGCAGCTTACCCATCAAAACAATACATTTCTCAACAATGTAATAATTTTCTGTTCTTGGGGTTATGTTCAAACGTGGAGAAAGTTTAATTATTGATATGTGAGTTAATAATATAAATTGTAAATATCTTTATTGGTCAAATAGAGAACAGAAAAAAACACACACAAAAGATTGTCACTAGAGAACTAAATAATTTATTTTTCTTCAAAACAAGTTTATAACTTTCAATTTCCAATTTACATTACCAATTGAATCATCACTTTGGTTTCGATTAATACTAATGTCACAATGAAAATGTAGACGATGACGACGACGATGATGGTGACCAAGAAGTCATATCCATAGGATAACTCCCTAAAACACGTAAGAACGATGTAAACTCCTGAACCTCAGCTAGAGCGTTCTGAGCTCGCGGCTCGGCCATCGAAGCCTCGAAATCGATATAAAACATGTACTCGAAATGCTTAGCCGTGCCAACGTTGGCCTCGTCGACTAGCCTAATGGGAACGTTATGGTTTGGTCTAGACTCGATCTTGGTCAAGCTAATGTTCCTAAACGCAAACGCCGAGAGGACTTTAAATAAAACGCACGTGCCTTTCTCGTGCGCGAACACTATACTCGTTTTAAACGGCCGATCAGTTCTCGGTATGATCGGTTCACGCGCTAACATCACGAAGCGCGTGACGTTACTCGCGTCGTCTTGGATCCCGTCTTCCAAAATCTCCAACCCGTAGATCTCCGCCGCGCGTGCGCTGGCGATCGCGGCCGTGTCGCGGATGTTATTCGCGGCGATGAACTCCGCGGCGCCGGCTGTATCGTCGACGGCTTCACGCGCGACGTTGAGACCGAGTTTAGTTAACGTGTGTTCGCACTGAGCGAGTCCTTGAGGGTGAGAGATAACGCGAGTGAGAAACTCTTTCCGTACGCCGGGAAGAGCTAAGAGACAGTGATGAACCGGAAACTGAACTTCTCCGACGATATGAAGACGGTGACGGAGGAGAAGATCGTAGTTCCGATGAATCGAACCGCCGAGAGAGTTTTCAACAGGTAAAACAGCTCGATCGGCGATCCAAAGCTCAACCGCTTGAAACGCGACTTCGAATTGATCGCAAGGAATCGCTTGACAGTTAGGGTAAGCTTTACCAGCGGCGGCTTCGGAGTAAGCACCGGGAACACCTTGATAAGCGACTCTGAGATTAGATCCGTGCATCGGAGCTGGAGATAGATCTGTAATACTAAGAGGCTTCTTCTTCGATTGAATCTTACTGTTGTCATTATTGTCATCGAATGGTACTAGATTCAAATCGGAGAAACCAGCGGCGGAGTTGTTGTAACCGTTGACGGCGGGGATTAGGGATTCGGATTGTTGTTGTGAATTGACTTTACTGGAGAGAATAGCGCAGGAGCTTTGCCAATCGGAGATGCTTGAATTAATGGTGAAAGAGTCAGATCTCTTAGCGGAATGTATGAAGAAGCGTCGTCGAGGAGTTGTAACCGTCGCCGGAGTATGGGAAGAAGGTAAGAGAGTTCTCATTTTTTTGGTTTGAAGAGAAGGAAGAAGAAGACGAAGTGGTTAGAGAAGAAGAGAGTGTTGTTGTTATAGGAGAAGAGAAGACGAGCGTGGAGTGTTCTTGTGCCTCTCACCATACTTTACCTACCACCACCATATGCTTTTGTATTTCTTCTTTATTTTATTTTGGTTTTATGTAAAAAAGTAATGGTGGGGAAACTAGGATAAGCACAAAGCCATGTTATTGTCTTTTCTTAATGCTAATTTTTTTTATATGAAATAATAAAAATAAAATAAATTGGAGTAGCTTTACATGCTGAAATGAATCTTTTGAATGTTATTATGAATTTGTGTGTGTCGTACTTTAAAATCTTGGATTAGATTCGTAAAAAAAAACAAAGAAAGGTGATTTTGGCGAAAGAATATGCTGTAATTATTTTGGAGAGATGAATTAATACGGAAATATTTGAACGTAAACTTTCTAAATTTGTTTGATAGTATGCAAAAAAAATATTATTAGTAGCTTAATATTTTCTCCAAAGGTCTAAGAATGAATATTTCAATATCGGTATGAGTTGTTAACAACGTTGTAAAATATTAGATTGATCTTATAGATAATAAACTAATAATCTCGCGAAAGAATATGCTGTAATTAGTCCGCGTCGATAAATATACCAAGATATACGAATGTAATTTAAAACTTGTAAATTTTATCTAGATATTCTGAACATTATAAAATAAGAGAAGATTAATCTCTCCTAACTATGAATTGTTTAATTCTCATTTTTACATCATTTTTATATGAATTAAATGAAATCATCTTTAAATTTTTCCAAACAATATGACTTAAAGCACGAAACATATTTTATCCAAACTTGTAATCTATCCATTTGGTTTCGTAATTTTTAAGGTGTTATTATTACTACATTTGGATTCAAATCTTGTATTATAAATTTTAAACCATATAAAAAAAAAAGGACGTGTATGAACTATATAGGATAACTAAAGTATTTTGTCATATTATTATTCAACTCAAATTGTATTTGTTTTAATTATCCAATTTATTTATGTTATACATATAAAAATAGTAAAGGAAAAGGTTAGATCTCATCCATCTACTTTTGTTTTCTACTATTTTTAGGTACCAAACTCTTTCCAATAATTGAATTTTTTTTATACCATATCCTATCTCTCTACTCTCTAGGCTTCCTTTTAAACTTGACATGGACAAATATACTGAGAAAAAAAATGAATAAAACTCTCATAGTTACAAAAGCATTTGATCATAATCTATATAACTTACAACAACATCATCATTTTTCTCTGTTTCAACCAAAAAAAGAAACTCTCCAATAGACAAACTTGCGACCCAAGGCAAAAGCTTCACTGTGTTATAAAATTGAGAGACTGACTAATCAAAAGAACAGAGAAAAAGAAGAAAGAAAAAAAAAGAGAAGGGATCTCTCTCATCTGACATATTTACCACTTCTGTTGTTGTTTTTATCTCAAATGCCAACCCATTTGACCCATCTGAAAAACCTCCCCACTCTAAACGGCAGCTCATAGTCTTTAGCAAGAGCTGGTTCTCTCGTTGCTGTTTCGCTATCCGACCAAACGTAAACTCCGCGTTCTTGCTTGCTCCCCGGGACTGTGTTGTCCAAAATCACAGCTATGATGAACGCAATCACCATGTTCATTGATAAGAGCGTGTTCATCACATAGTTCAACTACAAACAATCACACAAGAAGTTATAAACAATGAAGGTTCTGTGAAAGTGGAAGCGAACATGAGGGGAAAGCGTAACATACCCCTTTATATTGGCTTTTGAAAGGCCCATGAGACGAGACAATGTAAGGTTGGTAATAACTTGGAACAGAGAGGTTCGAGTTTGGAGATATGCCATACTGCTGGAAGTAAGCTGGGACAGAGAGAGAAAAGAACAACGCTAACCCAATAATTATAATATTCCGCGAGCTTCCAGCTTCACTGTAGCGTAAGTTGGAAAGACCTAAAGCCGTAAACATTGCCCACATAAAGCAAAGAAGAGAAGCAACCATGACTTGCGGAATTGATGCAAGAAACCCTCCAACCTTACCTGAGGATTTCAAAAATTATTTTAGTCAAAGAGAGTAAAAAAGTTGGACCTGTTGAACAGTTGAGCTAACTTTCAGATACATTTATTGATGTATAATAGTATAGTTACTTGTATTTGCTAAAGAGGTCATGTTTGAAAATAAAATAGAAAATTTGAAACTTACGGATACTAGTAACTACTTACCAACCAGGGAAAATATAACCAAAACACATGCTCCTAACTCAACGACTCTGCGGCTTCCCATTTTGGTCACAGCAATTGTGTGAACGTTTTCCGTTAGAGTGGTTGAGCCAGTACCCGTACCCCAAAGACCAGCTAAGACACTTGTGAAACCTTCGAGACCGATTGCCCGACTCACAACACCTCGAGTTGGAGGTCTCGATGCTACTAATAGAGAAGACGCATGGTACGAGCCAACCTGCCCATAAAATAAAAAATTACCACATATGCATATACCATATCATAAACAGATAAGTAAAAATGCGACATTTGGACTCCTAAACATAAAATTTGGTGGTGGAATTTAAGTTGATAGAAAGCGCTAACCGAGTCTACTGAAGCAATTATAGAGACCACACACATAACAAAAGCCATTTTCCAGCTGAATATTGGCACACCCCATTGCAAGGGGTAAGGAAACCTAAACCAAGGGGCGGAACTCAGTGCATGAGAAGTATCAACCCGACAATACTTCATTCTGGTCATGTATTTTCTGCAGCGGCTTGAAACAACATTTGAGACAGGAACGTCTGGGTCACAACCTTTGTAAGTGTAAGCTCCTGTTTCAGTTAAAAGGAATGCAGCTGCCCAAGTAATTGCAAGACTCAATGGAACCTGTCAGTAAGAAGCTAAGAAAGTCAGTCAAAATCACATGTAGACTTGACGAGTGGGAAGTGGCAGATGAGATGACTACCACATTATTTAAGTTGATTCAATTGCGGTAAAGGTAACTAGAGTACTTCCCTTTTCTATCTATCATAAGAGATAAGGAAAAAGCAGACATGGATTTACTTACCGCATAAATAAGGAAAATACGATGGCTTAAAACAGAGATTTTCCGGAGGTACTGCAACAAAAATTGTAAAATATCAAATTGTGTTACATGAACATAACTTCAATAAGAAAAGCAAAATTTGAAATTAGCATCCAAAGAAACTTCATTTGCATGGAGGATGCGTAAATGTAAACTTCACTAAACTTACAAGAGCAAAGATGATCACAAGTAGGATCTGCACTACACCAATCTCAAGACATTTACCAACAAGTGGAAAACCATAGCTGTAAAACGAGAGTCCAACAGCAGCAATCGTTGGAGCAACAACTACTGGATTGACCAACCTATATAGAAAGTCAAAACATTATGAAAACAAGTAAATACAACCCCAGAAGAAGCCACAACCACCATGCATAGATAAACACCAAACTGGAAATAATAACTAATGCTTTATTTATATCTGAAAGGTGTCAGCTTTGGACAACAGAGAAATTTGTACCTCAAAATCAGCGACATTAGACCACTGTATCCGAGCACTGCTTGAAAAGCTGAACCGATTATGATTGCACCTTGCAGCTCTCTCATGATATGCTTGAAGTTCTACCGTATTTAACCAAAAAAAAACAATACTTGATGTCACATTCTTTATACAAGACAATCTAATTCTCACTAAAGAAAACAAAACAAACCAGAACTAATTCACAAATTATCAGTTGCATTGAGTACATCAATATTATAGACAAACTCATAAGCATAATGACATATCCCAAAAGTAGGAAAATATGATCGACTGGTGCCTAATGCAGAATTCTTCCTAATAAAGATTCATTATTCCAGGCTAAGTTAACTATGCCATAAAAATCGAAGGAGAGCTCCAACGGTCTATTTGCATGAGTTTTACACTAGCAACCAAAACAAATTGTCAAACCTAAAGAGCAGTATATGATTCCACTAAAACTTTACGGGGCCACAATCTGAATAACAGTTACATTCGGATGGCAAGACAGTATCCTTAAAAGGAACCAAAAAAATTGACATCTTAAGTTAGACACAAACAGCAAAAGAGGTTTTTGGTTTTCTAACTTACATTATTTCCATTCAAACCTTGAAACTCTGGTGAGTTAATGATAGCCAAAGCTGGAGCCAGAAAAACAAAGGAAGGACCTTGAATCAAAGGAAGCCTCGACCCAAACGAAGTATGCAACAATGTAGTGATCCCACAGACAAAAAGCACAGTCGAAACAACATTTGCAATGTCCTCCTATAAACCAAAAACAGATGGTCAAAAAGATGAAAAATTGCAATCCACATAGATCAAAGTGGAGGGTCCAAAAGAATCACAACTTACGTGCGAACCTCCCATTGCAGGAACAATAACAAGTGGAACCAGAATCAATGAGCCTAGCATTGAAAGGTAATGCTGCAAACCATAGAACCCAATTGGAACTGAAACACACAAAACAATCATTAGCCAAACCACAATATAAACAATAAAGTAAGAAACTTTAAAAGATCCACAAAAATTCTGAGTCACTATCTGACATCAAACAATTGAATTAAGAATATAAATTTCCCAAATGGAATCTACCTATATAAATATATATATTAATTCCCAATTATATAAAGTCACAATCGCAAATTAACCAAATATATAAAATCTCACCAAGTCCAGGAGTATCTCTGAGACCATACTTCATATGCAAATTCCTAGCCACTAAATCATCATCCATACTCTGAGGCAAAACCTCAACTGTCTCTTCAATACGACCCGGTCTTCTAACCGGGTCGCCTGACCCATTAGCTCCATTTGATCTTGCAACAACCCCATCAGAATCTCTTCTCCTCTTAACCGGCTGATCCTTAACCGGAACAGAAACAGAACCGGGAGGTGGTTGCGGTGGCGCTGTTGTTGTTGCTGTTGGAGGTGGTGGCGGTGGCTTCTCTCTCTTATCCTTATCAGTCTCACCGTTAGCTACGGCGGAGGCAGGAGGAGGACGGAGCCTAGCTTGACCAGCTTCAAGATCCGGTTGGGTCTCTTGTTGTCTAGCTCTAACAGGTAATGAGAGCTGACCGGAATCAGTGGCGGTAGTCTCGCCGGAGAATTTAGGACGGAATCCGGTTTTTTTAGCCCAGGAAGACGGCGGCATTGCGGCTGATTCAGGAGCTGGTGGCCATTGACCCGGTTTGGATCCGGGTTTCGGGTCGGAGCTTGACATTTCCTTAGTGGGTGTTATTTTCTCAGGATTGCATAGTGAAAGGATGAAACTTTATCTTCCTTTAGATCCACCCAAAAAAACAATCTCCTCTCGCCGGAGAAGACGAGTGAAGAAACAAAACGACAAAAAAAATGAAAAATTGGGAATTAGGGTTTTCTTCAAATCACCAGAAGAGAGAGTACAGTTGTGTGTGTGTGTGTGTGAGAGAGAGAGAGAGAGAGAGTGATGAGAAGTTCTATGGAGGAAGTAAGTAACAGTGAATGTGAAATAAATCTAATTTTTTTATTTTTTTTGTTGGTTGATAATAAAATCTAATCTAACATAAGATTTAACATCTCAACTATTTTTTTTTTTTAATTTGTGTTATAAAAAATTACATATGTCTGACATAACCGTGTGATGTCATAAATCTATTGTGTTAAGATGAAGGAGTAGGAGTTAACCGAACCAAACCAAACTAAACCGAACTTCAACCGACCCAAACCAGACTCAATCTTACACTCAAACCATTTGATTGTGTTTCTTCAACCCAAATGGTTCGGCCCGAACACAAACCAAACCAAACTAACTTTGGTTGAGTATGGTTAATGTTCTAATAAAACCGAATAAACTAAACCGAACCGAATCCGAATCAAACCTGAACTTAAACCGAAATGCCGCGAGAGTATACTGTCTTTTTCTGTCGTCATAAAACCCAAATTGTATTGTATACTGATTTAATACAAATGCATGTAGATTAGAAAAATTTTAGATAACAAATATTTTTAGGCATGAATTTGAGAATATATATATACTTGTATAGTATATAAGAACTGAATCATTATTCTATTTTATTTATTTATTCAAGAAAACTAACTAAATACTTAAGAAAATTTTGATAAAATACTGAAAACTTATTAAGAATTAGAGTCAAAAGCCGTTAAGATCAAAATACATTAATATACTATAATTGTCGTAAAAAACTTTGAAGAAAAAAATAACCAATAGAAATATTTATATCCTTAAGAATTTATTTTCTTATCTCATATATACGAAGAACTTATGCAACATAGTTAAAAAAAAACTTTTTGTCAATTTAAAATCGTATTGGCTTAAAATGTACAATTGTAAATTCATATTTTATTGTAAATGCGTGTGGATTAGAAAAAGTTTAGGTAACAAATATTTTTAGGCATGAGTTTGAGAATATATAAACTAAATCATTATTTTATTTTTATTTATTTATTCAAGAAAACTAACTAGATACTTAATAAAAATTTGATAAAATATTAAAATATATTAAGAATTAGAGTCAAAAGTGGTGAAGATCATAATACATTCTAATTGTCGTAAAAATTTGAAGAAAAAAAACTCAATAGAAATATTTATATTCTCAAAAAATTATTTTTCTTATCTCAAATATACGAAGAACTTATGTAACAAATTTAAATATTAATTTTTGTCAATTTTAAATTGTATTGGCTTAAAATGCACAATTGTGAATTCATATTTTATTGAACTTTAAGAAATTACTTTATAAAACAACCAAATCTTAGAATAGAAAAGCAAATAAACATTACAATTGTCTACGCAAATATATTCATAGTAATAATATATGTGATGAAATGCTAGAAGAAGGCAATTTTTCATTTGTTGATTACATAATAAATAAGTTGAGAAAGATAATAAGGAAATAAAATCATATAAAAGCCCTTCTTTTAAGATTACAAGATGTTTCTTATTCCACTACAACTTATTACATCCTCTATTTTGATCTTTTAAGACTCGTCGTGAGCTTACAATATCTGTTTTTATTTCTTGCACGAAGTCTCCGAGCTTTTTCTTCGATGTTCTCACTCTTGTAGTGAGATAACATATGTGCAGCAAATTTTTGAGAAGTGTCAAACACATTATTGCACTTAGGACATGTATATGGACCATATTTCTTAGACGATATACTATGCGTACGACCATCATATTGATCATCATCACTTTTCTCATCTTCATCAGAATCAACATAATAAGTAATTTTTGGTTTGAGAATTTTCTTCATAAATCGACTATCTTGAGGAATATGATTACCTTTTGATGGCATGGAAACCATATCTGAATGACGAAGATCATCAAAATCTTGGTGTGGATAAACAACACTAAGAGGTGTAGGACTCAAAACTTCACGCTGACTATCGAGAAAATTAGGAGGATGAGATACATAATTCCGATTGATTTTTGAATCCATGGAACGTTTGACACATTCAGTGTCATATTGGAACTGTGTATTGGTAGGAATAATAGTAGTATACCTATTTGTGATGGTTTGGTTGAAAGGAACTTGAGTAAGATGAGGTGACAAAGAGGAATGTGAATTTTCGGCACCAGAAACAGAATCAAAGTTTCCCCTCATCAAATAATGAAAAGGAGGTGAAGAGGCATTTGAATTTTGAGGATAAGAAAAAGAAAGGGGGGAAGCAAACAAAATTTCATGGTTCATACGATTAAATGTAGATTGAACCATTTGGGAGTTGTGTAACATTTCATGATGGTTTATGGAATCATCACTGTAAATATTGAACATATTTGGATTGGAAAACATGTTTAATCTTTTAGTGTCTCTTACACCATTTGCCTATGTATCCCTTTATATGATTTTCAAGTAATAAAAAGGGTAATAAGTTGAATTCAAAGTCAATAGATTTTATTATGTAGTTAATTTCAGATTTGGTGTGTTATTCATGACTATGACTAACTTATTTTGGCACATTATTTATTTTTGTTGACTTAGTTAGTTATATTTTAATATTATGGTTTGAATAGTACATTATTTCCTTTTAAATTATAAGATACTTTTTTTTAATGTTGAATATTATTATTCTAAGAATTTTAGTATAAGAATTATTAAGTCATTGTCAGAACTTGAGTCGAGCTGATAAAGGTAAAAAAGAGAATGGAACTTGAGCTATTGGTTCATCCCAAAAGACGTTTCCAGCGTTCAACTTAGAGTTGGAAGAGTTGGATTAGGAGTTTAAACCTTTTTAAAAAAATTTACACATAAAAAACTCATATTTTACCATTATAAAATCGAATGATAGTATACGAGTTAGGATAATGGATAAAGATAAATTATAAATTCAAATAGGATAGAGACTCCATATATAGTTGACAAGAAAATCAAAACCCTAACAAATTCCATCTCGTTATTAGAGTTGGAATACGATTTTAATTTGAACGTAATAATACCTCTCATAAATACACAATATAAGGAATCATGAGTACCATATTAATTAGGTAGTACGTATATATATTCACCATGAAGGAGAAGAGCGAAACGATACATGAATCATAGCGAGTGTTCTAATGATTCTGCACATTCTTGTGGTTATGCATGCATGCGACTATTTGATTTTTAACAAATGGCTAGCTAATGATTCTATATAATGTTTTGGCATGGCAGCTAGGAAGCAAATACTTTACGTCATCATGCATACACATACTCATGATCATGTCGTCTCTTGGAACTCTAGATCACCAAGATATATATTTGGGTATGGAAGCTCTTTTATTTCTACATCGATCAATGCAGTTTGTATGGGTTCCTCAGGTTCGATCGGGTTTCTTCTTCGTCGAATGCGTGAGTCATATCTTTGGACTTGTTCTGGTCGTGTTTCTCCTCTATCTCATGCTCACTTTGTGTGAAGAGAGTACTCTCTTCTGTGTGGTTCATATATTGCCTTATTTGACGTCTATCTCTGTATAGCCAAGGAGGATCGAGATAACGAAAGTAGGTAGTGGCGAAGCTAGGATTTATGTTTATGGGGGTCAAAATGTAAAAATAATAATTATAGGGGTCAAAAAAAAAAAAAAAATTAATTATAGGGGTCAATCTCTTTATTGTACTAGGGTTAATTTTAAAATTATAACTAAAAATTAACTAAATTTCAAAGTTTCATGGGTGTCATTTGACCACCATGACTCATAGGGCTTTCTTATATATATATGATATCATGTTTAAGGTTTTCTCTTCTTTGCAGACACATGACATGATGCATTTGATTTGAGTTCATCATACAGGAAATGTGTTAAAGTAGGAAAATTTCAGATATTATCTACTTAATTAAATAAGCGAAAACCAAATAATTTTATTTATTTATTTTTACTTTACATGATAATAACTTTCGAAAACCTAAATATTTATTTCAAGTACAATAATTGTTGGAATAAATGTCAATTAAACTCTAAACTTACTGGCTATTTAAACCTTGAACTCTGCCTACGGCCATGTAGTTTTGCTTGACTTTCATTATCAACACCAAATTTTGTTGACCAAGCCAAATAACACATTTGGTAAAGTGATTAATTGGAGCAATTAAACCTCATTTAACATTCGTTAAACTATCTGTTAGCTACTAAACAAAACGTTTTGTCTGAGAAACAAAAGATATAATATCCTCAAATCAAAATATACAACCCTAAAACACAAAATCGATTTCCCAAATTCGAGTTTCTTCAACACGATTTAAGCTGGAATTCTTCTGCTTCACACCTTCTACTCTTCACGATTTTGTGATATGAGTTGCAATTCAAGCTAATGGAGTGGTGAGAACAGAGGACGCGGGTGCCACGGTTTCCCGTCGAAGTGTCATTGCGGCTTAGATGTTGCTATCTATACATCGAGCTCAATTCAGAACTCATGAAGACCTTACTTTTGTTGTCCAACTAGAGGAGATGTAAGTCATGCATTATGAATTTGTGTTGTTCTGGTTATGTTGATAAAAAAATTTGAATTGTACTTGTTAAAATTTAGGGTTATTTGGGGATATTTTTATAATCTTTTGATTCACAGACAAAACGCTTCGTTTAATAGCTAACAGATGGTTTAATGGATGTTAAATGGGTTCAGTTGATCCGATTGATCATTTTATGAAATGTGTTATTTGGTTTGATAAACAAAATTGTTTAGACTGGTAATCAAACAAAATTACATAATTTACCAGTTCATGGTTTAATTGATATTTTTCCAAATAATTGTTGGTTAACTTGGGTTATTACTTTTTCGCATTCTGGTAAGCCGACGTCGTTTTCTATGTTCTAGGGGACGACATCATTACGGTCTTACCTTTTTTCCTCCTCTGCTTCGATTTCGTTTCTCTGTTTTTGAATATCTGAAATTAGGGTTTTGGGATTTCGAAATTTTTAGACTTGGTGATCAATTTTGTGAAATCAAAGTTTTTTTTTTTTGGTTTTAATGTGAAATGTGAAATCAAAGTTCCAACCTTTTCAATCTCCTTGCCTGATTAGTGTAAAGAACAGAGACCGTTTCATTCAATTTAGTCTCGAATTGATTTTGTAATAGTTTCTTCGATTAAGGACTGAATCGTGTACCTCTCAGAATGGTTCGATACAAAGATGAGTCCCCAGCTGTTAGGGTTTATACAGTTTGCGATGAATCAAGGTGAAATTTTTACTTTTTAAAACCAATCTGTTTTCTTTCTTCTTGCTTTATCTGCTTCAATTTATTGAAAGTTTGAACCTTTTTTGTTGGGTTTTTTCCAGATACTTGATAGTACGTAATGTCCCAGCTTTGGGTTGTGGTGATGATCTCATGAGATTGTTCATGACTTATGGAGACGTTGAAGAGTGAGTAGTGCTCTTCTTGCCTCTTTATGTGTTTTATCCCAAGGTTTCTTATGGACTATGACTTGGTTTGTGTTTTTTGATTCGTGTAGATGTAAACCTATGGATGCAGAAGACTGTGAGGAGTTCACTGATGTCTACTGGATCAAGTTTCGTCTCATTACTAATGCAAGGTTTTTGATTTCTTCTTTTGGCATCACTGAGAGATTACTATTTGGAAATTTATTGATTAAGGAACTCTAAGTAATTTTTGGTGAAAACTCATCACTGTTTTGTCTTAGTGATCATAGGATTTTTATGTTTTTTCTTGTCTTTGTGTGGCTTCATAGTGTAATGCTATCTTGATTACTGCAGCTGAATCTGTTGAATTGAACTGCGTGAGTCGTTTTGGTGTGATGTTTTTATCTAATGTTCTGCTACTTGTGATTTGGGAATGAACAATTTTTTTGGCTTAGATAGGTTTATGTTTGGTAGGTTTTCAAAGATAGAGAGGCCTAAGAAGGTTTATGATATCTGAATTTTAGTTTTGTTGGCTAATACTATCGAATTTTTATCTGCATAATTCGTTTCTTGTTATACGTTCGTCTATTTTTTGGTTCCAAAGGGAAGAATTTTGTTTGATTAAGAAATGGTTATGTTTGATAGATTTGCAAAGAGGAAGTTGGATGAATCAACTTTTTTGGGAAATCGGCTCCAAATTTCGTATTCTCCTGAATTCGAGAGCCTCAGTGACACGAAGGATAAGTTAGAAACCAGGAGGAGAGAAGTGCTCGCTAGACTGAACCGTAAGCTTTCTATGTCCATGTCAACTAATCTTACTGTCAATTTAAACCTACTTGGAACAACGATCATTGGAGATATTGGATAGAAATTGTGTCTCCTCTGTAGATTATGAACTTACAAAACTCGCAACTAAGAATCACTCTTTTCCAAGTGGCATTAGAGGTTTCATTGTACATAGCTGATCCAGCAAGACATAGGTTGAATTTATTACTGTATATGGGGATTATATTTATGAAATGTTTAAGTTTAGGTTGAAACTGATTGGTTCTTCTTTTCTAGATTCGTCATTTAAGATTTTTACTAGTCCTGCTGATCTAGTGACAAATTTCAAAATCAACACCTATAGGCTGAACCTTAGTTCATTGGTTCTACTGTTACAGAGACAACGTTTAAGCTGTTCAAATCAAACTTCAATCATCACATGTTGCAAAAGCTAACCTCAAGTGTATTTTATAGCATTGTAAAGTGTTTGGGGTTAAAAATACATGGACGGGGTTGATATCAAATGAACAATATAAACTGTTAAACGATTTCCTGCGTGACATCACAAGTTAAATATGGTTTTTATCTTGTTAACAGCCCAGAGAGAAAAGAGCACCTCCCAAGTTGCAAAATTAGCTGGACCGGCTTTGACCCAAACAGACGATTTCTCCCCACAAAGGTTAAAAAAAAAAAGATGGTTTATTTGGTCAATTTTATGTATCGATGAACACAACGAGTTAGTGCATGAGACTGCTTCTTTTTTTCATTAGGAGAGTGATGGAGTACCAATTCCATAGACGAAACGCTCCTATTCCACGAGTTTCTTCTAACCAGGTCTGTGCTTTGTGTTTTTGTATCCTGCTCACTTGAACAATTGTGTCAAAAAAACTTGGAGATATCTGTCATCTTTTACTGATACGGGTTGTATCGAATATGTAGGAGTATTTTGCGTCCTCTTCAATGAATCAAACAGTTAAAACTGTTAGGGAGAAACTCAACAAGGTAAAAGAACCTATGAAGTTTGTATTTTACAACTACAGGTTAAACTCTTCAATTTTTTTGACTCGAGACTAAAACATATCGTCGATGCTACATTTTGTAAACAGATTGAAGAAAGTGGTAACCAAAAGAGGTTACAACCGAGCAGCCAAACACAACCTGACCTCAAGAGAACACGAATCGATAACCGAAGAAGAATCTAACTCAAGTTTTGTTGTTGTCGTATCTGTTTCTAAAACTCAGCCAATTTTGAAAACAGAGTATTCTTGTGTAACTTACTTTGGTCTTGATAGTGTTCTAGCAAAACAAATTGTGAATATTGCAAGTTTCAAGTGAAACTAAATCATCAAGCCATCTAAACCAAAATTGTACCAAAGTAATTAGTCTTCAAAACCAAGGCTATAATTGGTAATCCTCTCTCGAATTTGCCTCCTAATTCCGGTTTAATTTATACGGTTTATTCGAACCGGTTTATCAAGTTCCTACGGCAGGGTTTCCGAAGGTTTTGTAGAAGCAATAGAAGAAGGAAGAAGCAGCGGAGAGGGAAATGGCTTCGAGGTCTACTACGTCAATGAGATCCATCTTCAGAAACGCTACTTCACGAAGACTGATCTCAACCAGAGCTAAACCTTCCGTCCCAAACCCTAATTTCACTTCCCCACGCTTCAACACTTCTTCACGAACCGAAGGTTCTGTTCCCAGGTGAATCCGATGTCTTCCGATGTGAATCTGCTTTTTTTTGGTATCTGTTGTTGATTTTAGTGATGCCCTTGATTGAAATTTTTGATTTTGATTTTTGAATCTGATAAAGGTTTCTTCGGCGACCATTTCACAGCCTCGTTGCTGCTGCTTGCCCTGTTTCGAAACTCTTCTCCGATGTCACCTCCTATGAAGGTAATAATACTAAAACCTGCTTTGGATTTGGTGAGGTACTTGCGTTTCTCTGTATCTGTGATTATTTCGTTGAAATGGTTTCATCAGCTGTGCAAAATGTATTCTAATTGGGAGCTTTATTCTTGGAATCAAAGTGTTAGGTCGGTCATCATCTGTGTCTATGTATATACAATACTCAACTTCGGCTCCAACACGTTCACTTCGAAGGAGAATCAGTAATAGAAAGAAAATGAGTATGAAGCCAGTTCTTAATGAATCAAAGTTTCAAGAAACGATTTCGAAGCTTCCACCAAGATTCACCCCTGAAGAACTAGCCGATGCTATAACTCTTGAAGAAGACCCGTTTCTGTGTTTCCATCTCTTTAATTGGGCATCGCAGCAGCCGAGATTCAAGCATGAGAATTGCTCTTACCACATCGCGATTAGGAAGCTGGGAGCTGCAAAGATGTACAAAGAAATGGATGATATTGTGAACCAGGTACTCTCGGTTCGTCACATTGGCAACGAGAATCTATACAATTCGATCATCTTCTATTTCACGAAAGCGGGGAAGTTGATCCGCTCGGTGAATATATTCAGACACATGGTGACTAGCAAGAACCTTGAATGTAGACCAACGATTAGAACATATCATATTCTCTTCAAAGCCTTGTTGGGCCGAGGTAACAATTCTTACACAAGTCATATGTACATGGAGACGGTGAGATCTTTGTTTCGACAAATGGTAGATAGCGGGATTGAACCTGACGTATTCGCTTTGAACTGTTTGGTTAAAGGTTACGTGCTCTCGCTTCACGTCAATGATGCTCTTAGGATATTTCACCAGATGAGTGTGGTTTACAACTGCCAGCCGAACTCGTTTACTTATGATTATCTAATACATGGGTTATGTGCACAAGGTAGGACTATAAATGGTAGAGAACTGTTTAATGAGATGAAAGGAAAAGGATTTGTTCCAAATGGGAAATCTTATAACTCTCTGGTAAATGCTCTTTCGCTTAGCGGTGAGATCGATGATGCAGTGAAGTGTTTGTGGGAGATGATTGAGAATGGTCGTTTGGTTGATTTTATTACGTATAAAACACTTGTCGATGAGAGTTGTAGGAATGGGAAGTACGATGAAGCAACAAGACTGTTGGAGATGTTGCAGGAGAAAAAGCTAGTGGATAGAGATTCGTATGAGAAGCTTGTGAATGTTCTTCACAAGGATATGTAGAAGATGTACAGAATTGTGTTTTTTAGTTGATATCAAATGAACCTTAACCTCTTTATCTGTTCAATTTCAAATTTATTGCTTCAGAACCAATTTAATTACCAAAACCATCCAAACCAAAATTGTACTAAACAATCAGAATCAAACAAAACTACACAAACGAAAGCTATAAATAGATTTTGTCCCAAACCGGGATAATTCCGGTTTAATTTATACGGTTTATTCGAACCGCGTGCCCAGTTCCTACGGGAGGGTTTACGAAGGTTTTGGGGATTTTGCAGAAGCAATTGAAGAAAAGGAGGAGCAGAGAGTGAAATGGCTGCAATTGGAATCGCTTCTAGGTCTACTAGATCCATCTTCAGGAACGTCACTGCACGGAGATTGATCTCACCTAGAGCTAAACCCTCCGTTCCAAACCCTAATCTCACTTCCCCACGCTTCAACACTGCTTCACGAATCGAAGGTTCTGTTCCCAGGTGAATCCGATGTCTTCTGATGTAAATCTGCGTTTTTTTGGTATCTAGTCTTGATTCTTGTGATGCCCTTGATTGAAATTTTGGATTTTGATGTTTTTGAATCTGTAAAGGTTTCTTCGGAGAGAGCTAAGCACACAACAACCATTTCACAGCCTTGTTGCTGCTGCTTGCCTTGTTTCGAAACTCCCCTCTGATGTTACTTCCTATGAAGGTAATGATACTAAAACCTGCTTTGGATTTGGTTAATTGTATTACTCTTTCGTTTCTTGATTAAGCTACTCTCTTTCTTGTGTAAGATTAGTTTCAGTTATTGAGTTTCTGCAAATCCAATCTCTGTAGTTACATTTCGTCAAATGAAATATGCAAATGTGGTTGTCTTGGGCGTTTGAGCTTGTTTAGGATGTGGCTTAGATCATTGAGACATACCCATATCATTTATTTAGCATCATCTGAACTTGGCTGTGCAAAGGTTACTCCTTTAGAGTTGTGTTAGATGTCAGGAAGGAGTGTAAGATTTTTAACAACTATCCATCTTTGATGACATTGACAGGTAGATTTGCAAACTATCTCAGTCCCATCTAGTAACAGCACCTGAAGTTGATGGGTGGCTTAACATCCCGGGGATTGTTTTGCGCTAAGTTTGAGGTTTTTAAGGAAATTCAGGTTCTTAAGTTACATTCTGTCAACTGTCTCTTGCAATCTCTCAGTTTAGATTGAACTCTATTACATTTTTTTGGCAGAAGTTATTACTTCCATCTAGTTTTATTTGGGTTTGTATCTTTTTAATCAGATGATGATTCAACCATAGTTACTGTCAGAGTGTAAGATAAGCTCTCCCTGATTCATCCACTCTTTTTTAAAAGAAAATAAGATCGTTTGTATGAGATGAGACCTTTACGTATGTACCATTTGAATTATGTTCCATGGCCTTGTTTTTGACTCAAATAAGGGAAGTGATAAGCCTATGCACATCTATCCACTTGCTTGTTATGAAGTATCTGCATAGAGACTGTATCAAGAACAATCTCCTATTAGAATTCATATGCCATGTTGTGAGAATAGCTGACGTTGGTACTAATTTTTCTCTGTTCGATTCCAAAGCATGAACGTATTTAGGATATAAACTGTGATTTGTGGTCCCTATTGAAGGAAAACCTCAAAGGACGAAACTAAGTTTTACACGCTATTTTTTGTCGAATGACTCTTGTCATTGCGTGTATCGTTGATTTGGTTTGTCCATGAGGAGACCTTGATATGTAGTATTTAGCTTCATCTCTCTTCAAGTAGGCATGAGTAGTAGAGAGATTTCATTTGATGATTTGTTTGAGAGAGACTTGAAACCAGCCATATTACCACACAAAAACGGTTTTTCGAAGACACGAAAGTGGGTATGTTCGTATGAGTTGTTGCAGAAAGTTACAAACTAGAATACAATACAATGATGATGATTATTTTGCAGGCTCTAGTTTTGGGGTATGAGTCTTTGGGCAAAATTGAAATGGAAGTTTCTCTCAGGGACCCCAATTTGATACCAAAACAAGAACAGTCTTTGTAAAATGATTATTGAATGGTCATTGTTTGGCTTTGGTTGCCACCATGTGCATTTCAATAAAGCACTTCAGTTCGTTTTCCCTTTTCGTTACCATACCAAGCCAAAGAACTTAGCTTCTCTTTTCTATTTTCCACGTCGGCCAAGATATTATAGAATTGCCTTAAATTGTTGGAATTCTTATGAAAAATGTCATAATTTTACGAATATATTATTTTTACCAAAAGAAATATAAATATATTATTTTAAAACACTTATGTTTGTGATTTTTTTTTGGTAAAATACACATTTTATAATATATACTAAATTTTAAAAGTAAACAGAATTGACTAAATCCAAATATAACGAGTAAAATGCATATTTTATCGTATTTTTATATCTTTAAAATTTTACAAAAATGACAAATCCTAAAATTTGCTTAGGAAAAAAAAACAAATTTATAATTGATTTTAGATTGTTTCACACTAAATTCTCACGTGTGTTTGCGTTTACATGAATATTTTACACAAACGAAAAAAAGAGAGATTAAGACAAGCATTATAAAGTTATGGAGAAATAAACAATTGTTAATTTGTAGAAACACAAAAAAAAAATATCTGAAATTACAATTTTTCATGTGGGTGTCTGTCAAGTGCTTCCCACCAAACTTGGTGTTTCCGACCTATATATAAAATAAATGATTTTGACAAAACCAGTTTTGTATATTATTTGTTAGTAATGTCAAGTTTGTCTCAATGAGAAAGTGATCAGCTAACAAACTTTCAACAAAACCTAGAAATCTTACTAAGAGACACTAGCTAGTGCATAGTGATTTAAAAGACAATTTGGGCTTATAATTATTATTAACTCCTCCTAATCTTTGAGAGTTAGTTGTACATATGCGACTAATATGACAACAAAGCAACATATAAGTTAAATCAAATTCCTCACATTTCGTACCTCAAATTCAGCTTATCTAATCTAAACAAAGTTTGGTTTGGACATTTATCCATAAACGACGCCGTTGATCAAGGCCATGGTTCTATGATCACTTCATGTAACTCTCTCTTTGTTTGTTTTTTTTAAAGAAAAGAAAAATAAAACATACTTTTAATTTTTGTTTGCTAAAGAAAAAAACTTAGTTTTAATGTGAGCCAAGTTGTTTTCATATTAAATATGTGGTATTTTTCTGACTCAAATTCTAGAATTAGAATTAACATTCGAATCACTTGAATGATCTTTAATGTTATTTTTTATTATTATTATTTTCGAACAATCAAAAAGGTTATGGGCCGAAACTCATACATCCGCTCAGCCCCGAGAGCAGAGCATGATATATGATCTTATTCATTTGTGAGTCTTAAAGTTTTGTGGATTTGTGTCCAAACACTATAAGTTTGGTAGCCAAGTGATAGTGGTTCAATGGTTTCCGCTAGGTCTAAATCAAGTATGAAATGTTTCAATTTTGCAAACGTTAACAATCATACCAATAATTTTTTTTTATAATTTCGAAAAGAAATATTCAGTTTTCTAACAGTGAAATGTAATAATACGATCTTCAATTATCATCATAACTTTCAAAACACAAATAAACCAAATTGATCATGCAATCTAGGTAGCACATGGTTCGACCAATGTTGTCTAGTAAAAATACAACTTGTAGGGGTGTATGGTCAATAGATCTATACGAACTAACAATTGAACCAACGAAAATGCTATACAAATAATTATTCATGTATATCTCTTTCTGATCAAACATTTTGATTCTTAATATAGTCACCAATCTTGTTTCTCTGTTAAATGATTACAAACCAGTAATCAAATCGTATAAAGGAACCAAATAAACACATTTTCTCATCAAAATTAGTTTCGACAAGTTTACCACATCCACCCCTAGATCTTGTACGTCCACTTCTTTATCTAAGCCCTTTCGTTATTCGGATCTCGGCTAGCGGTTTTTGTCTTTCGTCGCATACACCAAGCCTAAAACATTCCCTTAATCCGCTTAAACGGATCATTTGATTCAATTTCGGAAATTAGTCCATTTAACACTAGCTTGAATGGGTGATCTAAAACTTAGTAAAGATAAATCAATGTCTAAGTTCTTGAGTAAAAAAACCAACTTATTACAAAAGGTTCGAACAATTCAAAATAATTATTTTGTGGTCATATAAGCGTGCGGCTTGATGCGTTAGTAAAATCTTACTTCGTTGAGCTTTTGTTTTGTAATGTTTTGTGCAAATCAACATACATATAAAATTAAATTATACTTTTTTATGCTTCCACTGAAGAAACTATACACTCACATGTTTTGTTTTCACATATACAAAGTTTTAGTGGAACTTGCTGCTATATTATGTTTTGAAATTGACCAAATCCTCTCACTTTATTTGGATTTATTCTCTAAGATAGAAAAAGTGAAGTCACATCTTAGTTCCTTCACTTTGCAAAGTATATCTCAAAAGTTCAAAAACAATTATGAAAGTCACGACGTTGCAATAACGATGGCGAGCACAACTCTTAAGTTCTATTTTCATGCATGCCCTCATGACCTCACAGCAAAATTGTAGGGCAGAAAAAAATGATTCGGACCATCGATAATACAGTTCGAACACTAACAACTCTTTGCACGAGTGTGTTCATATATTTTTCTTTTTTGATATTTGAGATTTCAAATTTTAATCTTCTTTTTTTTGATATTTTTCGAGTTTTTTTTGTTTCCCTTTGTCAAAATAATTTTCCATTTTTTTTGTCAACAAGGAAAGAAATTAGCTTATACGAGCCAATTTAAAGGACAATTGTTTACATACTTAACCAAGAACGGAATGGTGCAAACATTTCGCACCAGAAAATCCACTTTTACATTCAGGTTACATAATTTTTCATTCTTATACTTGTTTTCACAAAAGCTAAAGAGTTTTCATATTATATATAGTTACTTACTTACTTTCTAGATATCATATTATAGAAGGAACATTGAGCTTACATTGTCTTTACAACTAAAAAAAAATTAGTTACAATGTTACCCGATAACATGTTATACTATAAAATAAACTCGGTTTTCTATAGCTATAAACGTAGGAAAATCGTAGGAAACATAGCTACTTTCGTAATTAATTTGCGACTATTATTAACTATGATACTAGCTAGTAACTTACATAAAACTTGCAAAATGATAGATTGAGAATAATAATTGTATATTGTAGTTCTGAAATAAATGATGGTTCTCCATTGTGGGACACTAAACACAAGACCCTCACAACTCACAAGTGGATAGGGGACCTTGTAAAGCAAATGCTTGTATATCGTATCGTAGGGTTTGCTGTCGATGTTCTCAATTCATTTCACATATTGTGTCTTCAATGTTCCTATCCAATAGAGTCTTCTCTTTTTAGCTGCCTTTCATGTACTCATATATCCATTAGCCGTAGATATTAACTCTTTTCATGTCCACTTTCTAAGAGAACTTCAAATCACCTTTGAACAAAACGAAATCGATTGAGAGAGCATTGATGGCATGCAAATTGTTTACCTATCATATATATGGTGTGGGTTTGAATCAACGTGGTAATGTTATGACAAGACTAGCACAAGTCATTTCTATATATATGCTACTAGGCTATATGTCTTGGTCAATGATTTTTATTTTGTTTATTTTGTTTTGTTTTCCATCTTTTTCACTAATTAAAATGTAGTAGTGCAATGCTCCAAATTTCAATGTGTAAAAATTAGCTGAGAATAGATAGAAAAAAACCAAAACATTATTATTCTGTCAATGTCTAAACATATGTTTTCAACTTGTGCAAGTATATGCCCATCATATATACCCATTCATCTTACTGGATTTTGGTAATTGATGATGGTGACATTTTGCATTGCTAAAAGAAATTATATATGATCTCTAGCTAGCATTACATGACAAGCTTTGTCTCATATCATCCAATTTCTTTCTCCTTTTCGGTTTTCCGATTTTTATTTTCTTTTCGGTTAAAATTTTCCGAATTTTTGGTTCCGTCTACTGAGACTAAACCACGTAGTGGATTCCATTCGGAGCCATCGTTACGCTAATATTAAACTTATTCTTTGTATATATAATACTTAAGATTGTAAAAAGTCTTAAACAACTCCAATGCTAGTATGCTATAGAATTTTTAAAAAGAGAGAGTAGGAGAATAGACTCATGGGAGATGGAATTGATTTCGACGTACCTTCATACCACATGCAGCCACATGACTTCTAAATTTGTTTCTGAAGTTTTTATGAACCCAATATATAATAGCATTGACCTCTCAATTTAATGTAAGTTCTCTTCACTGCATCTAACACCTATTGAATACATTTTTGTACCTATATTCACTAATTTCGTTATGAATGTCATATGCCAAATCATCCTTTCTCTTAACTAGGTCAACGGCTTTGTAGACAAACTTGATTTGCCTACATAATCACGTAATTAAGAACTTTCCCAGCAATGAACTACTACTCTAGAAATATATTGATTTAATAGTAAGTATGAGAAAACGTTTTTAAAAATAAAATATAGAAAAAAAGACAGAGTACATGCATTTGTCAGACTTGATTCCAAATAGTTTTGTATTAAAAAAATCGATGCTGTTTTGTCATATTATGAGTTTAAATCCAAAAATATATATGTTGTGAATTGTATATACACTACTTAAAAATATAGACATGAATATTTGTTTATTATAAGTTTGACATTCTAATAGTATAGATTAGATTAAGCTGAATTGAGATGGAAAAAAGAAAGCAAAAAAAAAAGAAATTAGCTCATTTTATGTGGTACTTGAACAAATAATTCAAGATGTTATTATCATTTATAGATATTAGTTCTAATTTTTGCTAAATATGATACAAACAGAGACCCACCTAAATCCATTTAAAATAATTAATAGTGAACCATATTTAGCTATATGAACAACTAATTAAATCATTTAATTAATTCACATACAAAACATATTTTAATTTTCTCACAAGAAAACTCACTTTTCCTAGCTATTCTATAAATATGTAGCACAAATTCAAATGCGCAAATTAGAATCTGAGTATATTATAAAACTTCAAGATCGAAACATAAGTTGAAAACATTTTGATTTAAATAATCAGAAAGCTCCAAAAGCAAGATACTTGTTCTCAGATCTCCAGATGTTAGGCTGTCTTCATAAACTCTTTTTAATTTATTTTATAACTTATCAAACATAATTATATATCTCTTCTCCCAACAGCAATAACTTTTTAAGTTTTCTTGATTAATTTACTAAACAAGTAATTGATAGAAATGGTCATCATTCTTAATTATTAAAGAACCCTCATGTTTCCATCAAAATGTTTTAGGATATATACCTAAATTCACAAGTTGGTTGTCAGTGATTAGTATCATCATTTCGTTTGGGATCAAAACATTGATTCGAATTGAATGCATATATTCATTATACAAGTTTATAAGGTAGTGTTATAACCTTGTAAAAACACTTAAATTGTAGATATCAATCTAACATCACTTCAAATGAGTATATGAGTATTTTCTTTTAAATTCTAGAGAAAAACGTGAATTCTTAAATTAATCATTGTTAAAATATATTCTATCTGTTTTTAATTAGTTGTCGTTCTAGAGTTATAATTTTGTTTATAAATAGTTGTCGTTTTAGATTTCTATACAAATGTTTAGTGAAATTCCAATTTTATTCTATTTTTAAATGTTTTGACCAATATAAAATTAGAAAGTATATCAAAAAGATAAAATAAAATATAATTGAATTGTTTTTTTAATTTGTGTGTAAAAATCTTAAATAACAATTAATTAATTCAAAAAATTTATATATACTATTTTTTTTGTTGCTTCTTCAGAATACGCTAAAATTAATAAAAGTAAGAAATTAATTCACTCTTCTTACCTTTTTCTATTATAGCGTTAAAGAGTTTTTACGAAAATGTTTTCATTGTTTTAAGTGGTTCTAACTAATTTTCTATTATTATTTCCTAAATGAATACAACATATTCGACATTTTTTTATAGTTTAGAAACAAGATTATATGACGTCAAAAAACTAAATTATATTTATTATTTATGCTCGACAAGAGACGTCAAGTGATAACTTGATTTAAGCAAATTAATAAAGACAACAATATAAACAATCCTGACTGGTATGTTACAAAACTTTTTTTATCCAATTCACTTTGTTTTACTCGTGTATTTAAAACGTAAATGTTATACCATTTATTTATTTATTATTTATTATTTATTGGTCAAAATACCATTTATTTCTTAAATTTTTCTTCTGTATGTCTAAAAATTATATATTAATGACAATAGAAAAATTATATATAATAATTTAATATTCTTGAAAAATCCTAATAATTCAGATACATACTCTTAAAATATCTGTTTTTTTGGAGACAGATCGAGGATATTTTTTCCATCCATAATTATTTTTTTAATCACTAACCAGTTGTCTTAAATTGTAACTCTCGAAACTAAAACATATTCATATAACTACGTTACTAAACTTGTTCTTATAGTCTGACAGTTTCTTAAATTAATTGAGAGTTACTTTGACCAAAATAAATTACAAAATAAAAAATTCCTCTAACCTCTATATTCAAACCTTCTTTAAATCCATATAATATTTTCCCTAAATTAGAATATATCAAATCTCATCATAAATCTAAAATTCCCTTATATAAAAAAAAAAAATCAAATCAATTTCTAAAACTAAGGTTTAATCTTTAAAAAGTCATATTTGACTAACAACAAATTTCATTTCCCTTTTACAATTTTTTCTTAATTTAAAAAAGTCATAAGTTGTACTATTAAAACTTTTTAAAATTTAGTTAACATACAACTACACTTTAAACAAAAATATCATAATCAAAAAAAAAAAATTGTGTCCCCAAGACAAAGAAAGCTCAAAACTACTTAAATTCGCCATCTTTCATCTCCACTCTTCTCTTAACACACACACACACAACACAACACCCTAATCCATTTCTCTCTCTCTCTCTCTCAACCAAAACCAAAAAAGAGAGAATAAAGAGGAGAAATCAAAATAAAGCAAACCCAATCTTTAACCTTCTTCAAGAACCCCAGATTCGTTGTTACTTTCTCATTCATTCATTCTTCTTCTTCTTCTTCTTCTTCTCAACATTTTCTTGATTCTTAAAGTAAAACAAGAATCACACTTTGTTGTTTCAAGAAGCAAACAAAAACAAAAGTTTTCATTTCTTTCCCAAGATGAGAGATTTGGTGTCATGTTTTAGCGAGAACTCAATAAACGTGACACATCCATTATCATTATCATCTTCATCATCATCATGTTCAAAGTACAGTACAAACAACGTTTGTATCTCACCATCATCATCATCTCTCATACCATCATCAACACAAACAGCCATTACAAGCATCTACAAGATCACTCTAACCAAGCATCATCTCATCATCAAAGTCACTTGGTGTAATCCACACAACAACAATGGTCTAAGCATCTCTGTTTCTTCCGCAGATCAAAACCCTTCAACGCCTCTCAAACTCAACACTTCTTCTCGTTTCTTCCGTAAGAAGAAAGGTAACAAATCTGTGGACTCTGATCTCGGCAAGATCGAGGTCTTTTGGGATCTTTCTTCAGCTAAATACGATTCAAACTCTTGTGGTCCTGAGCCTATCAATGGCTTCTACGTTATCGTCCTCGTTGATGGTCAATTAGGTCTTCTTCTTGGTGACACATCCGAAGAGACTCTCCGTAAAAAGGGTTTCTCCGGCGACATAGGTTTCGATTTCTCTCTTGTTTCTCGACAAGAACACTTCACAGGGAACAACACTTTCTACTCGACCAAAGCTAGATTCGTTGAGAAAGGAGACTCGCACGAAATCGTCATCAGATGTAATAAAGAAACAGAGGGTCTAAAACAGAGCACTCATCATCATTACCCTGTTCTCTCTGTTTGTATCGACAAGAAGACAGTGATTAAAGTGAAGAGGCTTCAATGGAACTTTAGAGGGAACCAGACGATCTTTGTTGATGGGTTGCTAGTGGATCTGATGTGGGATGTTCATGATTGGTTCTTTAGTAATCCAGGAGGAGGAGCTTGTGGAAGAGCTGTGTTCATGTTTAGGACAAGGAATGGTTTAGACAGTAGCAGGCTTTGGTTAGAAGAGAAGATGGTTAAGAAAGATGAACAACAAGACAAGCTTGACTTCTCTCTCCTCATTTACGCCTGTAAGAGTTAAAAGAAACACAAAACTACAAAAAAAACAAAACTAAAGAAAACTCAATTTTTTTTTGTTTTCTTTGTTTTTGAGATTTATTACAAGAAATTGGTGATTTGATTATGTTTTTTTAATATTTGAGAATTTTTTTATGGGTTTTTTTTCTTCTTGGGAGGAGGAGTATAGATTTTTTATTTTTTTCTTACATATTTTATATTATTTTTGAGTTGTGATTTAATATTGAGAAATTCGAAAAATGTGAATTTCTTCATAGGAGTTGTTTTTATATTTTATTTTTGATGGTATTCTTATGAATTCAAGAACATTGGATGATCTTTAAATATTGAAGTCATTTTGTTGGGAAAAGTATTGTTGTTGTCTCTATGACTCTTTTTTGTTTTTGGCAACATTGTGATTTCTATAACTATGTAGGCTCATCTACACAGTTATACATTTATTTGATTTCATAAATGTTTGAAGTGTAATTGATGATTATATATATATGGTTAAGGAAGAAGAATTGAAGAGTGTGAAATAAGATGAGAATAATATTTGGTTGGGGGAATATGTGCACGCCTATAAAGATATGCATGGAGCCTCTATTTAAAGTACAAAAAGTTATATAAAGGTCTTTAGAATCTCTCTACTCTTCATGCTAATTTTTATTTTCATCTTAATCTAATAAAAGTATATAATATAAAAGTTTTTTTTTTTGGATTATGTTTTCAAGTTGTAACTCTAGTTAGGTTGTTAACATCCAATTGAATTAAGGAACAGTTTCTTATAGTTTTAGGTGACTACATTGTAAATTAGAAGAGTCAAGTAATGGTTTAATTTTAGTTAAGTTTGTTTCGGTTAGGAGAGATTTAGGTGGTGACAACCTAATCAAGAAACAATTTGTTTCTTCTAGGTTTGGTTGATTTGGAGAGTATTAGGTGACTGCATTGTAAATGACAATGTGTATGTTTTTTAGTTTTAGAAAATTTTCTGTCTAAAACCATTATTAGTAAAAAGAAACCTGAACTAGCTAGACTTAGGTTTACTTGTAAGTTTGAACATTGATATATTGGGCTAGAATCTAGATATTATAATAAAACAGTATAAATATTTTGGTCAAAGAAGATTTCAATATTAGAGATTCTTAACAAGTGCAGTAAGTACACATTTAGCCAATACACATAAGCCGTTGTAGAGGGGTCGTCGTATATTATGAAGTAGTGCCACACTTACTTCATTGTGTACTTTGCCAGTTCGAAGAAGCTCTATGATGGCTTATGAGCTCTAATTTGATTTTAAACCGAGGAGTAGTCTAAAGATAGCTGCATGCAAATATCCCCTGCCTTGATTGCTAGAACCTCCTCTTGAAAGGCAGTATGAGGCAAAATGAAACTGATCTCTACATATATAATCCATCACTTGGAGAGATAGAACGAGAGATCTCAAAATGAAACTGTGGTCACATTGTACAAACTGTAGTCTAACATATTTTTCTGTATAATGTGTCACTTACTCCAAAGTTAAGCCATCCTTAGCATACTCTAAAGTATCCTGATGATTCATTTGATCATATTATATATTGGTGGAGAGTTTAGAAAGTAAGTGATTTTTATTTTTATTTTTTTTGAAGTAAATGAATGATGTGGTCCTCTGTCAGAGAGATCTTAACATCTAAATGTCTTCAGTTTTGTAAACTATTAACCAATCATCCAAATTTTTATCTATTGACTTCTCTCAACTCATTATTTACTTTGAAACACTCTCAATTCTAATTGTATATGTATTATTTAAAACTATTTTGTAATGATTTTTTTTATAAGTAGAACTTATTTTAAGTTTTCAACATTGCATAGAGTGGTCACTTCATTGATTACATTTTTCAGACCTTGGGTATCCAAGACCTAGTAGTAAGAAATTCATACTTAAAACCTCCACTGTATTTTCTTGCTTAGTCTATAGCTCGGATCTATATGAGATCTTTTTATTTAAGATTCAATTGACGAATCATAGCATAGCATTTTCAAATCTCAACTTAAGCCTATATATAAATTCTTTTATTTATAAAATATAAAACGAATTTTTAATTATTTATTATCGATTTTTGTTTAAAATCCGATTATTCTTTTTCTCCAAATTGTTATGCTCTAATACCAATTACCAAACTAATGGGATACAATGATAATAGAGTTTTTAGGCTCAAATTTTTTAATTTCTTTCTAATAAAAATGTTTTTATTTTCTTTTTATCAATGTGAAAGAAACAAATAAAATAAAATAAAAAACTGAAAAGGGAAAGAAGATACATGTGCCACACAGTGACTATATTGCTTTCACCCTCCTTCATGAGTGGTCCCTTTTATTGTCTTACAATTTAATTTTCGAATCAAAAATCTATCAGTCCTTATATATACTCATCCAACAAAGTACTCTTTTCCTCTGCAAAATTATTTAATTTCTTCATATACTCCAAACTTAGATGCCACAAACAATCATATCAATTTTTATTATTTATTTATTTATAACTCGGATAATCCGGTTCGACAAACACCATGAACTCCAAGTATAACTCGGATAATCCGGTTCGACGAACACCATGAACTCCAAGCCACCTCGCAGGGAATTTTCTCCCTAATTAGTTCTCGGGTCAACGGACTATAAAATCTGACTCATCTCGAAACCATATGAACCCGGGAAAGCTCTTTACAACCTCTCCTTCGTGTGATTATGCCCACTAGATCATGCCTATATATAAGCAATCCTTTCAATTTTCTTGACTCAAATTTGTTAATCCTTACAAAACAAAAATTAATTTAGTAGACTAACACATTCCATGAAAATTAACAATTTTAATATGGAAATTGAAAATGACAAGATAAAAAGGTTAAAAGGAAGAATGAGTGAGTAACGGTATATCAGAGAAATTAAATTTGGCAAAGGCTCTCTCATCGTCACATGGCACTGCATGTGTCCTTTGTAAATGTTAGTGTACCCCATTTATATAGCCACACAACCATCTATTTTTTTAATATATTTTTATCCTTTATATTATTTTTTAATTTTAAAATATATGTCCTTCAATGCAATTATTTTTTTTATAGTAATTGGTACAATGCCAAATTAACATCAATGCGAATATAAAATAATACTAATAATAATAATAATAATTTTTTTTTTGGTCAAGTTATTATTATTGTATACTAATATATACACACATTAATAGGTACAATGACAGAGTAACATAAATGTAACTATGCATTTGATTTGTTGAGAAGTGACCTTTACTCTACATATCCCTCAGTTCTCTCTTTTACAAAATCTTTGACATTATTTACTTCTTTTTTTCTTCAGTCAGGTCGGCCAACACAAATTTTCTAGAACACAATTATTGTGTGAAACTTATAATATCCAAATACCAAAGTTTATACGAACGATTAAGACTCTTTTTGTTTCTAGCTAGAAAAAATTAGATTGTTCCCAAAAAAAGAAAAGTAGTTTCTTTTATTTTATTTTTCTGATACATTTTAATTATTTAATCATGAAAAATGTAAATTTGAAGAAAAATAAATAGTATTGATTAAGAGTTATAGAAATTTTTTAATCACAAGAATGTTTATTTATAATTAGATTTTGATTTGTTTTTAATATTTTTGAACAATTTTAAAGTTAGATTAATTAGCAACTAATGGAGTACTTTTTATTTTTATATCTTAAACTAAAACTACATTTCACAATGGTAAACATAAAACTCAGAAATCTGTAGAATATATTTTAAAGGTGTTTTTTTATTACAGTTACACAAATATACATATAAATTTGCATTATGATACATTTGTGATGAAATCGGTATCATGAATTGTTTTCATAACCAAAGAATTCCATATCATAATAATAATCTTTAACATTTACTGAAAAATTTGAATGATATATCTCACTCTATTTTTTTAATGCTAACAGTAATCAATCCATAGCTAAAATTATAATAATTGAAAAGAAAAAAAAATCTAGCCTAGAGACCCACATCATAAATTATCAACCACCATAAAACAAGAATTTGTTTAAATCTTATAATATCTTATTCTGATTAGTCTACCAATAGACTAGAGACATTGCAAATTTCAGACAAGTCATAATCTTATAATATCTTAAAACTTCATTAGGTAATGAAATATCTCCAGATATATATATGTATTGATCATAGTAAAAAAAGTCTATAGAACATGATGTTGGCTTTTACGTTAGAATCATTTTAATGGTCCAATTCAAACAAACCTGTTATGGTTGAGTGATTTTGAAGCAGTCAATTTTGAAGAGTCTTAACAAATGTGTTAACATAGTTTTGTTGTTGCACATGAGTGAGCTCCCGCTCGTTTTGTCAAAAAAATTTATTATGATCGCGAGTCTTTTTCTAAGAAAAATTTCAAATGACTTCCACAATAATGAGTTATTTTATAGTCTATACAATCATTTGAAACGTAACTTTTAAGAATACATTAGTAGAAGTGTAGTCTCACCTATATTATATACACTAAAAGAAGTGTAAACTATAGAGTAAATTTAGTGCAGCTAAGTTGAACCAAATTCGTAAATTTTTAACAGCTTTTAATCTATTTTGAAATGGTTTCGATCACCATTAAGTTCGTGTCTGGAATTATATCTTCATCGGACGGTTAGTAAGTTGTTCTTAAAAGTTTCAGTGACTTGTTGACATCAACATAATTTTTTTTTCTTTGTCCTCTCATTCACACTTACGATACCATGAATCACTTTGTATTCGAACTCAAATATAAATAATTTCTAAATCGGACAAAATAAATACACATTTTGATAATATAGAACCAAATCAATTTTTGCAGTTTTTTCTTCTGCAGTACCTCGGCGTGACTTATTTAACCTTTTCAACATGTACCACCATATTAATATATCATGTCACAAAAGCATTCTCAAAAAAGTGAAAAATCTAACCTTGTTACTAATTCATTTTGCGGTTAAACTCAATCAACTATTCTATTTATTTATTTTTTGTTTATATCCGCGGACTGTTATTTAGTAAAATAACAATAGTGACTTAACTACCCATGTTGCCCTAATGGAAAACATTAAAAGTAACTGTACAAACACGTGTATATTAAAGGATCATAAGGACCATTCTTGTAGTGAGATGATGATCATTGATGGGTCTATCTTCTCTTCTCTTGTCCTTTAATCAATTTATCTCGTGATCACTTTTTTTTTCCCTTTACAGCCCCATTCCTCCACCTATCTCTTTGGACAACTGTTCCTCTCTTTTTCCCTTTTTGCAACAACTAAAAACTATTTCTTAACTTTGTTCCAAATTTTTAAAACAAGTTAATCAGTAAAGTGTTTTTTTTCTATCAATCAAAGATGGCCCTTAACAAACTCTTGTCATTAGAATAGACATATTCAATTTTTTTTGGTGATGCTTTTAGAGACACTGATGTGATTAGGGAAATAGACATTAGATTTTTCGGACATGCAAAAACCAATCGTAATGTGTTTGATGGGATGGGTTTTGAATATTCTAATTCATATCGACGACATCACTTTTAACATCTCAAAGTCACTCATTGATATTTTGGTTCTTCTTCTTGCTTCTCTCTACTTTTGAAAGTTTGGGACTTTCTGAGTCGAGTGGTTCTCTTACGATGTGTACGGCCTTGTTTATGTTGCTCCCACTCGTGTCTTCCTCTTAGTACCTTGTTTCCACAAGCCTGCTTCCAACAACATGTTTCAGTATCTAGTGATATTTCCACTCGAGTTTAAGAGAAACTGCATATGACAGAAACTTAATGTACCTCGCAAACGTATTGACTCCATAGATCTCTTTCAAGCGACTTTCCTGATGTTATATCGCTACCCGTATCAGTTTCTTTCATCAGGAAACACCGGAGAATCTCTGCAGCAGGTTTAATCACTTGTGCATCCCATGACTCTTCAGATTTGCCTTTAATAACAAGAAAAAAAAAACACCAACAAGAGAGATCTTAAAGTTTGTTCTCCAATTAAATTAGCTTGTGGTATTTACTAGAAACATTGCTGAGGCACATAATGCATACTTAATATGTACTCTGTTGCATCAATGTAATGAATATTCCAGCCAAAGACCGTTTCTAGCCTACTCAGTCTTCTTTTCTGAAACACGACATAAAATGAAACGTTTCAAAGTTGATGAATCAATTTAGACAAGTTAAAGAACACAATTTTTGCATCAAGGAGGACTTACTTGTCGACGAACAAGCCTTCTGGTATTTAACTTCACCCTATCAATAGCGTCCTCTAACATAATCCTCAACTTATCGTCTTTAGGAAAATTCAGAATCTTCCTCAGATTCTTCTTCATAGTCTTATCATCCTTGCTTGAGCTCGTTAACTGACTCTCCGAGAGATGTATTTTTAGAAAATCTTCAAACTCTCGGACACCTATTGATTGCCTTAAGCCTCTAGTATAGTCGGCTCCCGGTTTATAGATGTCATATACTTCATCGAGTAGTCCAGCTTCTACCATGGAATCGACTCTTTGTTCCACGTATCTGTCCAGTACCGGGGTTTCAGCGTCTATGCATATCAAACAGTAATCAAAATGAGAGGCATCGATGCAGCCCCAGTTCTGCTCTGCCACAATACATTAGTTAATCAACTTCTCAAAGCAGTTAAGGGCTATCAATAACTCTTTGAATATAGAGGATAATGGTTTATGTAAAGAGAAATACCCACATCTAGATGCATGTTTATAAAATCAAATTTAACCCGGGTAAAGAAGGAACCTACCTCTGCAGTCTTTCCCTGATAAAGTTTGCTTGGAAGAACTCCTTTACTAGCATGCAAGCTCAGGTATTGATTAATCTACAAAAATCGGACCAGAGTGAGTAAACCATAAACCGCATCAAAATGTGTAAGACCAGCAAACTCATATTCTCAGGAGCATTGTATATCTACACAGAAGGAAAATTGCGAATCAGAAACCTCACTTTTCTGTGATTATTAGGGTGAATTCTGTTTGCTGCCACAGGATCAAGCTCTTTTAGAAGGTCATAGCCATGGCTCAAATCATCTCTCCCAGAGACAGACTCGACACCCAAGCCAATTTCAACCACTGTCAGCACATTGTATCTCATTATCAAGTCATAAAATTTCCCAATAAACTCTCATGCTGATCGTAGATTCATTAATACCTGAAGCAACATCTGAACAACACTCCTCGGTATCTTCTGCTGCTGTATCATCAAGAAGAAATTTACTCACAACAGCCTACATGAACAAGATAAAAAATCAACTGCTTTAAGTAAGGTGGCTTATAAGATGATCTAGCCACAATACAAACATGACTTAAGCCACCTATAAGATTACCTGTATATAGTAATTTGTTCCTCCAACAAGAACTGGAATGTGATTGCGAGAAACGATCTCTTCAATAAGCTGAAACAAATCAATCAAAACTACATCATAATACTGATATACAGATACAGAGCAGCAGAGTTAAAAGATGTCTACTCACAGGAACAGTGAAGTCTCTAAAATCTTTAGCTGTGAACTCCATATCTGAGCTCACAGTCCCAAGTAAATGATGAGGCACTCCTAAATAATCACCAAATTCACATCAAAACCAAGCTTAATCTACGATAATTTACTAAACAAAATCGGAACTTTGATACCTTTCTGCTCGTTGATGGTGACCTTATTGGTGAGAACGTCGAGTCCAGAGTAAATCTGCATTGCGTCGGCGTTAATAATCTCCACCGGAAAATGAGACGCCAAATCAACGGCGAGCTTAGATTTCCCAGACCCTGTTGGACCCATTATCACAATCACCTTCGCCTTCTTCATCTTCATCTTCATCTTCTCTTCCTCGATTCCGCCATTGCTAGGGTTTAACATCATCGCCTTCGTCTCTCCCTCTCTTCCTCTCCTCTCCGCCGCTCCTCCGACTTGTCAATGTAAACCGGAGTTAACAGAAAAAATTGATCTGGTTTATAATTGAACCGGTTTCAATTCAGTTTGGTTTGGTTTACTAAAAGGCCCATTCACGTAAAAGTCCAGTGAAAGATCGGCCCAAGATGCGTGATTCGTAAGTCTCTGTCCTCTGTTTTAGAAGATTTAGGTTACGGTTTGTTTCTGCAACTTGTCTACGACTACGAGCATAGGCATTGTTCTGATTGTGATTGGTTTGTGATTATCATATGACAAAGAAAAAGGAGAAACTTGATCTTGATGTCGATATGATTCATCGTCATGGTGAGTTCTCGGACAAGTTAATAAACCTCATCCCTGCAAGATTCTATCTGTCCGATGATGATACAGAGAAGAAGTGGTTTCAAGGTCTTAGCAAAGCAGAAAAGGCTGATGCCAAGAGAGAAACAGTTGAAAATATAAAGAAGGCGAAGAGAGATAGGTTAGATCCAGACAAATCTGCTTTGAGCACTCTTGACTTGCAGAAACAGAAACTGGAAAAGGAAAAGTCCGGTAATGAGACAGATATTACAAAGTCTATGTTTCTTGGCTTGCAAGAAAATAATACATTTGAGAAGATGAGGCAACACTATCTTCAGAAAAATAAGAGGAAGAAGATAGACTCAGCTGCTGAGGAGTTGAACGTTGTTGAAGAAGCTGTGAAGGATCTTACTTATGGTTATGTCAAGATTGAGGACAATGATGCGGGAAACTGGAAAAAGAATAAGAAGAAGAGAGTTTCTAAGGCGAAAGAGCTTGAAATGGCGATGAAGTTAAGGGATTTAAAGAAAGATCCAGAGAAAGGGGATGTTGTTGCAAAGAAGAACTCATGGCAAGCTGCTATTAAGAGAGCTGCTGGTATCAAGGTTCGCGATGATCCAAAGCGGTTGAAGCAGAGAATCCACAAGGGGAAGAAAAGGCGCGAGAAGAACGCCGAGAAGTGGAAAGAAAGGGTTGAAGTGCAAAAGAAGGTAAGGGAAGAGAAACAGCAAAAGAGATCAGAGAATATTACTGAGAGGATTCAACAGAACAAGATGAGGAAGATTGCCAAAAGAGAGAAAAAACTCTTACGCTCTGGCTATTAATTTTGTTATCTATATATTACCGAGTTCTTGGAGCTATGTAACATGTTTACATATGCTTCTCTGTGTATTCAAGAATGCTTTTGTAAGAAATTATGAAAGAGGTTAAAGTTTGCTCTTACAGAAAGAAGTCAGGAAGAAAACATCATATTTGTGGAGCATTGTCACATACATGAAACTGAAACACATTTATGCTAAGGTTACTGAATCAGGAAAAAAACAGATTTGGATCACACAGACGAGAAAATATCGAATCAAACAATTACAAAAGCACAAAAGAAAGAAGAAACCAAAGCTAGCTGCTTTTGCAGCCTTTGTCATCATAATCTTGTGTCAGCGTAGAGAAACTTCAATGCTTTTGCTGAGTTCCTCAAGCTTTGTCATCCGTAGCTTCTCGCTTTCGGTAACCAGCTGAAACACACATTTCATACCAAAAAGATTCAAACAAGAACCATGTTTGAAACTAAATGACAAATGGAAACAGAGAATGTTTCACCTCAACAAGCTTGCTAACAAACATAGATTTCTCTTTGTTCTTTTCATTGTAAGCTTCAAGTGCTTCTTTGAACTCTCTCTCCTGTAACAAAAACAAGAAATAAGCACAAGAATCTGCAAGAAAGATAAGTTTAGTGTGTAGACTAAACATACATTAGTTTACCTTTCTCTGACAACTCTGTCCTAAAGGCTTGAGTTCTCGGTTAATAGTATCGACTCTTTTCCTTATCGCGGATATCTCTTTTCTCATTGGATCGGTAAGAGCTTCAAGCTCCTGAAAAAATGTACAAACCACACAACTCTCTCAAAATTAAAACCCTATATCCTAAGCATTCTTGAAAATGTTAAAGAAAATCAAACTTACTTCTCGAATCTCGGCTAATCTTCTAGTAGCTTCTTCCGCGAGTCCAAGCTTTGTCTGAACCCTATCCTTAACCTCCATCTTCCTCCTCTCAATCTCATCTTCTTTAGCCTTAAACAAAGCAAAAGCAGACTGTGAAAGCTCCTCTTCTTTATCATCAACCATGGGACTACTACCATTGATACTTATGTTCCCTGAGCTCTTGATACGTTGAATAAATGGCGATTGTGGCTGTTCCAAGATCTGTCTTGTCGTTGCCATTGTTCTTGATCAGATCCTTTTTTCTCTCTTCCTCAATGACTAGAAGATGACTTGTTATATAACCCAAGACTAGCCTTAAGAGCCTATCAAGACTTGTTACAGCTGTTGAATGACCAAAATGTCCTCTTAGTCAAACACACACCATATATTTTAGAAATTTATAAGCTCAGAATTTGGCTCATATAAGTAAAAAGAAGAATACCAAGTGGGGCTAAAAGGTCTAGTAGGTTTAACATGTTTATATTGAATTGGTAAATCTAACAATATTTCTCTAAGAGTTTGGTATATTTGAAAAAAATAGGTAGCTAAAATGTTATTCTCATTGTTTGGTTTCTCAAATTTATAAATAAGACAAGATACGTATAGATAAAGTAGGCCAATGTATGGATTAAATTTAGAAAAAAAATGTTAGGTGTGAAGTTGAAGGCAAAACAGAAAACATATATTACAATATTATGCAATTGAGTTTTCATGAAGATGAATTCTGAAAATAACAGATAGATAAATATATTTTCTTTTTCTTTACAAAAGACATAAAAAGCTAAAAATATAAAGATGTTAGAGAGTGCTTGTAATTGAAGGCTTCTTGTAATGTGGAGGAGACAGTGAAATATGGGGTTGTACTGTGGCTGAAACTTACGGGAAAAGCAATATTGTTGTTTTGATTATTGTTATATATATTTGAGAGAACATGTTTACATATTTATACGAATAAACAGTTAGAAACAATTTGGTATAGTTTCTTACAAGTTTTTTTTTTAATAATCAAAGAGATTCTGGGCTGAAACTCATACATTCTCTCATGTCCGAAACCAAAACATATTATATGGTTTCGTCCCAAAGCTCTATTCGAACCGGCGACCTCTGAGTTTTTGCTAGAAATCTTTACTACTTAAGCTATTAACACTTGGTTTTTTACGAGTTCTTTCAAGTAGCAAGTTACATTGAACAAATTATATAATTGGATGTATCATTTTAACTAAAAACTTTAGTTTAGTGAACATGATTGAGCCAACTTAATCAGTTAACTAGTGATGGACCCGCACGTACGTGCGGAGTTATTTTTACAAAATTACGATTTGTTAAATAGATGCTATTTTGGTGAAATTTTGTTATATGAGTTTATTTGATAAACTATATATAGACACACAGTTGTAAAATATAGATATTGTATTAAATAATACAATTTTAAAATTATTTAAATGAAAATGATAAATGATATTACTTGTTTATTTTTTAAACTAATCAAAATATTTCACTGTTTGCTTAGAGATGTTAAATCGGATTTGGGTTTGACTTTAGTCTGAACTGTTTTATGTGTAGTTTAGAATGAAAAATCCGTCATGTCCCTTTCCGTCTTGTCCTGAACTGTCCCGTCCCACCCCGCCCCGTCCCGTCCCGTCCCACCCCGCCCTGTCCCGTCCCGTCTTCTATGTGTCATAAAATTTCTGTCCCGTAATCGTTTCTTTTTAAAACATAATCATTTGTCAATGTTTATTATAAGAAACTTGGTAAAATATTTAGACGGGATACCTGTATTCCTTGTTTAAATATTTATTTTTATCAAATTAATAAAAATCTAATTATCAATCTAAGTCACATGCTCCCACCAATTTCATTCACAAGGCACTGTCTGTAATCCTAGCATACACAATCCTTGTTCGATTTTTAATTTTATTGATCTTTCCGTTTCATCTTTATTTCTCATTACTTTTTTCAATTCAAAGATTCATGTTTTAGCCTTTTTGTTTTCTAAAGATTTAGGTATTTCTATGTTTTTAATACATGGATTTATTGTAGTTTTGTTATCCGAAGTATACGTTATCTTCTTGTACCCGTCATATCATGTCTAAATATTTGAAATAAATAGGAAAGTGGAAATTAAATTTAGCAATTTAAATTACATGTCCCCGTATCATACTCGTAGTTTTATATTTGAAAGTTGAAAGTGAATTTCACTTTATAACCATGTCTCATAACAATTATATCTGTTCATGTTTTTTTTTAATGAGAAATAATTCAGATAATGTTTGTTTTCGAATTATAAGTTCCCGTCTTGTATCCATATAAGTTTATATTTTTTTTTAATAAATAACACCATTTACATGTAACTAAATATTATTTTAATATTTGTAAAATTTCATATAATCGTCCAAAAGTAGAGATTTATACGTCCCAATGTTAAATTTTGTACAATATTTTGAGATTTTGACAATTAAATATAACTACCAATTTTTTTATTTCAACCGGTTATCCAAAACTTATATATCATATTTTTCAAGGATAGTTTAAAATTGTATGTATATGTGAGATAATGTTTGTAGATATTTATTTATTATATCATACCAATTTGACATTTTATTTGTTTTCAATTAGATTAAATCATAAAATATAATCCATTTATTATTTAAAAATTGGTAATAAGTCGTTAAAATCATTTAAATGTGATATATCCACTTGTTATTTAGTTTTAATCTTAATAGAAATTTTATATGTTTATAATCTCACAATGTAGTTAATGATTTGATAAAACAATTATTTAATATTTGATAATAGTAATGATATGCAAATTGCCAATGGATGAAGATTTATTTTGTTAAGATTGTGTGAAATCATATATATAAAAGTGAGGTTTCACTCTCTCCTTATTGGTGGAAAAATATTTAAGGTTTTAATTTTTTTTAAATAAATAAATAAATGTTTATGACAATCATTCAATACAAAATTTAATTACACTATAAGTTATAATCAAATGGGAAAGAAAATGATTATATATTTGAGCTCAATTAAGATAGCATTGTAAGAGCTTGATTATATATTTGGTTAAAACTTTTGTTTTCAATTATATTTCTTCTTTATTTTATGTACTTCTTCAGTTTTTCATTGTTTTTATACTATTAAATATACAATACATATGTATAATAATATTTTATGGCTATAAGGAAATTACTTTATCGATGTGATTCAAAAATATTGATTTCTGACCATCGCACCATAAGAAAATCATTCTAAATAAACCATTTTCATTGTTTTACTTTATATGTTTTTTTCTTTCTCACAAATTCATGTATATTTATTTTATTTTCAAAGTATGTAACTATTTTAACAAAATAATTTTTGGTTAAATTCAAACAAATTTGTAAGACATTGAAATAAATAAAATTTTATACACAAATAAAGGTAATTTGTGTGTATATTTATAAGTTTACACACATATATGGATAAATTTTAACATTTTTAGTGGTTGTTTTGAAAAGGGGGTAAATTTAAAAAGTGGTATTTTTAAAAGTGTATTTTTTAAATTCTCCCAATATCATTCCTATTTTTATCATTAACAATATTATTGTTTTATCAAAAAATACTTAAAAGCACTAAAGAAAATTATTATCAAAATTGAACAATTAATCAACGAATAAATTCAAAAGATATAGATGTATACTTCTATGTATGATTTAATTAAATAAAATGTAAAAATGTCATAAAGATTAAAATTTATTTAATCTATTTTTTATAAGTAATAAATAAATTAAAATAATTAAATATATATACAACAACCCGCTGATATGCGCGGGACATTACCTAGTTAATAAGAAAAAAGAAGTTTAGAATAATCATTAACTAATTGAATTAATGATACATTTTGTAGATATCTTTTGTGCTATAATTGCTAGATTGCTTTTTGAATATGAATATTTTTTATGTGAAAATAAGAAATTTATGTGATCTAAAATGTTTATTCGCATGATTTTAGCAAACAAATATTTAATTATTGATTTGTTTAATTTTTATTTATATTTAAAAATTATATAATTTTTAAAAATTTGATGATATGATCAGTTATGTGTATATACTATGTAGAATTTGATTAGTTGATTATTTCATATGCTAACATATTTTTTTATCTTTTTATTAATCTAAAAAAATGTTATCTTTTTAGATATATGATAATTTTGTTTTATTAGATTTCTATCTATGTCTATACTATTAATTTCGAAATTATATTAAAATATTAAATATGTTTATGTATATTCAAAATAGATATGTTAACATATATTTAATTTTGAATTTAATTGTCCACTTTTTATGGTAAAAGATTATTATGATTTCCATAAATATAGATAGTTTTTGTTTTTTTTTTTTGTTTTTTTTTTTTTGCTGTCATTAATTCTGTTTGGCAACTGGTTTTATATTCATGAAATTGTTTTTTAAAATTGGGGGATGTTTGGCTTCAATTTGTCCTTCCCAATTAATAGTATAGATTGGGTTTCCACAACTTTAAGTGCTAGATCACGTTATATGTTGGACCTATTTTGGTCGTTTCGAAAAAGACCCATCAATGCAAAATCTAAAGCCCATATAAACTTGGGCTTGGAATACAACAAGGCCGAAATGAAATTAAATCCCGGTTTACACGATGACTTTTTAAACCGGAGAGACTCTAATAGATAAAACCCTAAGTGTATATAAAGCATATAGTTTCCATTTCTCCGTACTTCTTCTCCATCGCCGTCTCTGCAAACATAACCCTAAACTCTCTCACTCCGCCTCCTGCGAGATCCATCTAACACTTGCTCAGTAAGTAAACGAGCTCGCCTCTTATCCATTTCTCCTCCTTCGTTAGTCTTTTTTGATTTTTAATGTGTTGATTGTTTTTTTTTTGTTTTCTCTCAGAAAATGAAGGTTGTCGCCGCGTATTTGCTCGCCGTTTTGAGTGGGAAAGCTTCCCCAAGCAGTGCCGATATCAAGGGTATTCTCGGATCAGGTTCGTTTTCTTTTGTAATTTCTTTGAATTGGAGCTTTACATTGATGGAGAATTTGAGTGTATACATGGTTATTTCGAGTTAGTGAGAATTGGGTTTATTAGCAATTTGTGTGAAGTTGTGTAAGTGGAAACTTTCAAGGTTATTGAATAGTGTGTGATCCAGTAAGAGGCTTTTGGACTTTTGTGTTGTGAGGTTTAGTGATTTGAGCTCAAGGAAGATGAAAGCATTTAGCTATTGGTGGTGGTGGAGGAATTTGATTGAATGTGATGGTTTTGTTGTGTTTGATTTTTTTTTTTGCAGTTGGTGCTGAGACAGAGGATTCTCAGATTGAGCTTTTGTTGAAGGAAGTGAAAGGGAAAGACTTGGCTGAGCTAATTGCTGCTGGAAGGGAGAAGTTGGCTTCAGTACCTTCAGGTGGTGGTGGTGTTGCGATGGCTTCTGCTCCATCTGCTGGTGGTGGTGGAGGTGGTGCTCCTGCAGCTGAGTCCAAGAAAGAAGAGAAGAAGGAAGAGAAGGAAGAATCAGATGACGTAAGTTTGCTTTTTATCTTCCATTAGCTTTAAACCTTTGATAAGCTTGAAACAAGATGATGCTTACTTGTGTGTTGATTTTGCAGGACATGGGTTTCAGTCTGTTCGAGTAAGCTTGGTAGGCAAACGAACTCTGGTTTTTGTTGTACCCTTTTGAAATCTATATGTTGTTGTTTAGTTTGTATTCCATTATCTTTTTAAACTTTGCTGAGATTCTCAAGAGATTTTTGACTCGAAACATCAGTCCACTTGTGATTTGCGTTTTATATTTCTATCTATTGCTTTAGTTACATCATCGATGGTTTATACAGTCTAGTGCACAAGAACGATCATCATCAAATGTGTTTACACCAACACTTAGCAAATACTTTTCTTTTGAAAATACATAAAACCATCTAGTGTTTCGTTCAAGTTCAATATCATGAAAAGTTAAATTGAATTTGTAATAAGAGTGGGTTTAGAGGTTTAGTTAAACTGATTAGCTGGTTTACTTTGTGGTTCAGATTCAATTATGGAAATGTGAATCCAGTCATACAATTTTTTATGATATGTCGAACAGATTATGATTGGTCTAATAATTTCAATTTGGTTTTGTATCCCGATTGGTCTTTACTTTATCCGAATTATCAACATAACTAATTATGATCAGAAAGATCTGAAAAGTCTATGGAGTTAAGATTCGGAAACTAAAAAAAGTCAAAAATCCGAAAAAAACTGTTTCACGATTAACCAAAAACAAAGAGAGCAACAACATGATGTTTTGATTCCAAAAGTTTCTCACAAGAGAGGAATGAGTGTAATGCCACTTCCTGTTTTATTCACTCACTAGTCCATCATCAATCACTTCGATTACTCTTGGACCTCTGGCTGCTTCTTTCCACCTGATTTCAGGTACCAACCAATTGCTCCGAAAACAGTCACCACACCCGCCACCACTGCATAGTTTCTGTTCTTGTCTTCTGACACCTTTGGGCCTGACTCAGCCGATGCTGTTGATGTTGCACCACTAGCTGCCTTTGCTTCACCTGCTGCTTGTTCTCCCGGACCCTAAATTCATAAGAAGTTTCAGCTAGAGTATTGACAACACAAGATGTAGATCCTTTTTCTTGATGGAAGACTGCTTCATTTAAACAAAGCTATTTTGTAGTTTCAACTACTTAAGTTGAAGGAATTATTACCTGTCGCGCTATCTTCTCAAGCTTCTCCTGCTCCATTTTCTGCAATGTAGACAACCAATAACCAAGCTTAAATATAATGACAGAAGATAACTGCTAAAAAATTCTGTAAAGTGATTATCTATTATGTTTCGTTCATGCTGGATGCTACAAGATTTAGATAAGAAATGGATTTTAACTTCTACAAATAGACACAAGATAAGTTTCGTATAAGTAAAACCAAATATTGTTTAATAGTTTACAGCAGAGACAGATAGAATCAAGCAAGAGCTTGACGAAAAGTTTTCAACATCATAAAAGGAAAGCAAATATACTTAAAACTTTGAGGACTCTTAGCCTACAATCCTTATTCAAATCAATAAGGAAAGCTTGTGATGTTTACCTTAATGAAAACGTTCTCAGCAGCTTTCTCCTCTTCGCTCAGAACTTTGCCACTAGAGAACCTACGAGACACAATTCTCAAAGCATTTCTGGTTGCCATGGTAATGAAGAAGTATCCTGTACATAAAACAACAGCTCATTTTAGCAAAGGGAGACCGTGAATGAAAGACTAGGACCTTAACAAACTGTAACAGAAGAATCTAAGATGAGGAGAAACATTGGTTTATTTCTCACAATACTTTTCGTCACCATCAATCATCTAATGGAGAAGCAAGTAACTATCTGTTTGAATCACTTAAAACCAAAAAAGAAAATCTACTACTGCAAGTATCAGCTACTACTCTAACTGATACTTATTCCACAGCACAGTAGTGATGAAAGAGGTTCCTGCCTCCTGGAGTTGACAAACTCGTTAACTTTGAAACCCTGAAGTTTTCACAAGACTCCATACAAACAGTTACAGAAAGAAAACACTTGTCACTCAAAAACCTTTTTCGTCATCATCATTCAAGTACCAGCTACTACATTGAAGTACACATTCCACAGCATGATAGTGAAACAATTTTACTATTCAAAGCACAAACACAAGTACTCATGGATCCTTGTGGTGGTCATCAATGTAACTAAGTAAGTGTTTGTTACCACAGAAAACAATGTAACAAACACAGTTTCTCACATACAAAAACTGATCCAACACCTAAGGTTAGAAAACGTATAGATGAAGCACAAACGAGCTCAAAATCAATCGATTAGGTTATGCTCAAAGCGTAAACACTAAAATAGATCATCCAGTGGACGGCACCGAAGACCTAAACAGGTCGCTAATAATACACAGCAAATCATCGATTATCGCAAATGCAAAGCATAAAATCGAAACCTAATCCTGATCCGAAAACAGATAAACGAAAACCCTAGCTCCGACCTGGAAATGTTGGTATCGCGATTGAAAAAAAATCGTTGAATGTTATTAGATCGACGAATGGAGAAAATGTTAGAAGAATAGCTAAACGAATTTAAAAACGAGAGAATCGTAATCGGAGAAGATGATCGGAAGAAGAAATGAGAACCTTGTTCGAAGATAGATCGTTAAAAGTTTTGTCTGGCTGCTTGATGAAAACCGCTTACAGAAGAAATGAATGACTCGGTGAAGAAGAAGAAGAAGGTCTGAGAGAGATATGAAAGGAGTTAAATGGGCTTAAACTTAACTATTGGGCCTAAAGCGTTGTGTTGCCCATTATATGGTCGTTGAACATTCTACAGAAACGCCTAAGTATTTGAAGTGAAGATTAAACTATTTTTAATGGCTGCTTACAAAACATTAAACTATTGATATTGATGATGAAATCTGAAATTTGTTGAGTTTTTTGTAAAATTTAAGCACTAACTGGATTTTTAAAAATCGTTTCTTTACCATTATCACCATCGTTCTCTTTTGTTTTTGGTGGAAATTACATATATTTGTAGAGAATGTGATTTGAAATCATGATTTTATGTTTGATAATGGCTGTGAGAAAATCTTAGTTTGTAGTTTATAGGTTGAAGATGAGAATGAATGAGTTTAAAGTTGTGGAAACACAATTAAGTTACTCAAACAAAGGAACTACCATTGTGTGAACAAACTAATATTTACTTATGCATTTGTCATTTTCTAAGCTATGAGACCTTCTCGTAAATGTTTTGAAGTCGTACGTCAGCTATCGCACACTTTGGGACGAGACAGGTCAAAAACTCTTGAGAATTCAAGTAATGTCTAAGAAGATGATGGAGTACAAACTAAAACAACAACAACAACAACAACAACAACAACATATAGATATTTCATCAAAAGGTTACAATACAAAAAGAGATGGCAACAAAACCAGAATTACCATCTTACTCGAACAGACTGAAACCCATATCCTGCAAAGTAAACAAAAGCGCACAATTAAGCATTATCTCAGTGTTTTTAAGATACTACTACACTTACGCACGAAAGAATGTAAACTTACATCATCTGATTCTTCCTTCTCTTCCTTCTTCTCCTCTTTCTTGGACTCAGCCGCAGGAGCACCACCTCCTCCTCCACCAGCAGATGGAGCAGAAGCCATCGCAACACCACCACCACCTGAAGGTACTGAAGCCAACTTCTCCCTTCCAGCAGCAATTAGCTCAGCCAAGTCTTTCCCTTTCACTTCCTTCAACAAAAGCTCAATCTGAGAATCCTCTGTCTCCGCACCAACTGCAAAAAAAAATCAAACATAACAACAATTGCCACACTCCATCAATTCCTCAACCCCAATTACAAACATCCCTAAACTAATTGCATATCCACCATATAATCACACTATAAAATTTATGGAAGTCTTTGAAATTGAAACAGATAAAAGAATGAAAAGGCGTGCGCCATCTTGCGCCATGGCTCATGGCACAAAGCACAAGTGTCGTCGCTGTGATGCGCCATGAGCCATTTCAAACACAGCTATAAATGCTTACTATTGAATCACATTGTTCACTAGATTCACAGATTTGAAGTTTACTCATAACATCAACTAAGCATCTCCCTCCATCAATCACATTGTTTCACTTTAACTATCTTAAACACATTGTTGAGCTAAGAGGAGACTATGAACAAATCATATCAGCTTTAAGCAAGTTCTCAACAAAAACAATCAAGCTTTCAAATCATGTAAACACACACACACAATAACAACATCTACCTACCTACAAATCGAATTCTCTATTGACTATTTGCAGCGATTCAAAGACAAGTATTTGTCAAAGGAAGATAAAAACGAACCTGATCCGAGGATAGTCTTGATATCGCCACTGGTTGGTGAAGCTTTGCCACTCAACACGGCGAGCAAAAACGCGGCAACAACCTTCATTTTTTCTCTGTGAAATCGATGGATCTCGTTGAGATTTCTGGGGGTTTTTGCAGACGGCGATGAAGAAAGTGAATAAATAAGGAAAGATTTAATTTATACAGTTAGGGTTTATTTTTTTTCCTCGGGTGGGTGGGTGGTCTCATCTCACAAACCGAAGTCTCCGGTTTAAAAACTAATATCGGTTTGATTAAATGTAATAGGCTTTGGATCGGTTCTTTGCCAGACCCAAAATGTAAAAACTAGTCATGAAATTTGTTGAAAAGGCTTATGAAAATATATAAATGCAAAAACTAAAAATATTACTTAATATCTATTATAACATTTTTGAAGTACAATTTTTTGGCCACTTTTGTTTAAAATCTTAATGACATCGATTACCCTTAATATCAAACTAATTATTGAAACTCATTAAGGTTAATGATGTAACTTAACGAGACGGGTCGGCTAATTTTATCAATTTCAAACCCGATTTCATTCATGGATCTATATTAACATTTGTGGAGCAAGTTAGAAAATAAATATTGGGTTTCAACAGTATTTACAAAAAATGCCATTGATATTAATTTTTTTGAAAATAAAACTATAAAACCAATATTTAAAATCTCCTAAAATCTCTCTATAATATTTTTGATATTCCTAAAATAATATGGCTATAAAATCGCCAAACAAAATTGATTCCTACAATATCTCTCTTAAATTTATTAATTTTCCTAAATCAATTTTTGTTTAAAAAAGTAATAATTTAATATTCTAAAAATCGTTTTTAAATTTAAATTCAAAATGTCTATAAAATCTATATTAAACCTACATTTATGGTATGTTGAATTAAATATAATTTTGACCAAAAAACGTATATAGAAAATTAAGGAATATATCAAACACGATCTTGCATAAAATCGGAAAATAATTTACCCATACTCGTTAAATAATTTACAATCATTTACCCATATTTTATAATGATTTATAAAATAATTATGAAAATAGTATTATTTTTGTAACCACAGGTCACGGGTCATGTGATTTATTTTTACATGAAAGTATAAAATGGAGTTTTTACATGAACTTATAAAATGGAGTGTTTTAAAGAAAAAAATCACTTAAATATTATAATACTATTACAAAATAGTATAATTTTTGAAAATGTAGAAGAAAATTTTCAATGTCCATGGGTCATGTGAGAGAGTAGTTTGAGTATATATATATTTATGAGTTGTTTACATACAAAATATTTTAGTCTAAAATCAAATAACTTCAACTAAAAGACGTTATGTCATCATCAATTCATTGTTTTAAATATTATACATATTTAATTAAGTTGATTAAATTATAATTATGTAAAAGTTTGATTGACTCGCGGTCCACGGGTTAAATTATAAAATAAACAATCAAAATACAATTGTACAAGGTTAAATACAAAACAAAACAAACAAAAAATACAACTTATTTTTTTAACAAAAAAATAAGTTATAAAAACTTATCTATCAAAATTAACAAATATAACTTCAAAATTAAAAAATTTAATTAAAAAAATTGTCCCCGCGGTACACCGCGGGTTAACATCTAGTATTTAGGCATAATCGAAAACATTGAGTAATGGTAAACGTTAAATGTTAACAAGATTATCTATGATATTTTTTTGTTCCTATAAATTAGCAAAGCAATAACTACTAACCAAACTTAGAAAATAATTTTCAAATCTTAACAATATTGACGATTATATGAACCTTATAACTAGGATTTATCCCGTGGTACACCACGGGTCCATAATTTAATATATTTGCTTGATTTATTATTTTTGTAGTTGGTTTATATACTATAGTTTTATACGTGTTTATATTATTTTAATTTTATATAATTTTATGAATTTGTATAATAAGTAGATTCATATATATATGTGGTCAGTCCGCGATACACTTCACAAAAAAAAAACTTGCAGTACACCGCATGATGATTTGTTGTAAATAAAAATTTATATTTTAACTTAACCCGTAAAACTTTTTTAATATACACAACCCGTAAGAAACATATAATCATATTTATATAAACTCAAAACCGTTCATTCATATTTATTTACAATATTATTATATTTGAAATATTTTGAGTGAAAATATTAATAATATTTTAAATTTTTGTCGAGTTTAAATATTTTTTATATTTTAAATATTCTATAAAACTTTAAAATTTTAATTTGGATACATGAGAAATCAAAGTTCATGTTCATTTGAAGTTTTGAAAATATAAGTATTATTTATAATGGGTTTGAACTATCTAATTTTTTTACCTTATAGACGTTGTACATATATTTTTTCCTTTATCGTTTGAGTTATATAAGCCCGTTTTCAAAATTTTAAATTGCAAAATGTGTGAAAATTGTATTTTTATTATAAATATATTTTATGTAATAATATAAATTAAAAACAAATAAGATTACATAAATATATTGGAGAGATATTCGATTTATTAGAGAGAGACATTTTAGGAAATCTTGTTGTTGTAATAAATATGTGTTTCCAATTTTACAATTTGCTGGTGATTTACTTACAAAATTTACTTTTAAGTTTTGTTATTTATTCAATTGGCAAGGGTTTGATTATGCAAATATTATAAAATAAAAGGTTATAAACCTAAATAGATTTTAGTACCAAATGTACTTCAAAAATGTATATATAGATATTGTAATCTTAGATTATATACGATTCGTGCAAGAAAGTTTCCTAATGTTATGTTTTTTTGATTTCACATAGCTGTATATATCATCCTCCTTAATTACAATCGTCGACATTCCTAAGATTGAGTATTCATATTTCCGCAATATAGTAACTATATTAAAGATTTATGATTACAATCCCAAATTACTCGCTAGAATATTCTCAAAAGTTAATGGCAAAAATCTTATTAAATCGTTTAAACTTTATCTCCAAGCAACCGTCATTGCAACTAGAGTATCGCGACCTTTACTTCCTAACACTATAAATAGGATTGTTCATTAGCAACCTAAAAGCATCCATATCCACTTCAATCGAATACACTATTTGCAAAACGCAAAAAAAAAACTAATCATCATGGTGCTTCATTTGCTTGAAAATATTGATTGTCAGCAAAGAAGGAAAAGTTAAGAAGCAAACAACTAATGTTGTTTTCAAAGAGGTGTTCAGAATTTGGGGCTAAGTCTACATTCTACGAGTAAGACCATCTGTAACGATGCTACACATCCTATTCTACTATCACATAATGCTTATTGTATATTATTTAATGATGAAGTTTTGTACTTTCACATTTTCATTCTTCGTTTCCTATCTACAGGAATCAAGGTAGCAAAATACAATAAAAGCAAGGTGCACGGATGTCTCTATTATAGAGTTTGTGAACATCCTATGATATGTTTAAAAATTACCGTTGAGCATATTTCTTGGTCAGTTTAGTATGACTTTAAACTAAACAGCCTACAATAGAATGAATATCAACTTTCCCAAACGAAAGGTTTAGTTTCTAACCTTAAATCATCATGTTTGTGCTCACTATATAGGAAAGCAATGATTAAATTTAACTAAAAGACTTTACGACCTGCAAAAAAAAGGAAAGATGATTTTGAGCTTAAACAATATTAGAAAGAAGGAAATAACCAGTGAAGATTTATCGTGATTAGTAACTGAGTTCTGTAAAGCAACAAAAAAAAAACATAGAAACAAGACATATGCTACTGGAACTGTATATTACAGAACTCTGACTCTCTGAGTTTCATATTTGAGTTTCATATTTGAGTTTCTACATAATTATTGGTATTTTGCAAAATACAATGTGAAATTGGTTTTTGTTTTCTTCTTCATTGTTAACATCGACATGCATTTATTTTCCTTTTACATTGTTCTAACAATTAATATTAATATAACTTTGCTATTATACTATGTTTTAGGTCATAATTTTATAAACCAAACATAACAAATTAAAATGGTTTAAAAACAAATTAAACAAGTGTATTGAAATTTCGTGACATATTTATGAGCATGTATACTAATATTAATGACCATCAAATCAATATATTTATTTGTTGTCACGTTCAATTAACAAGTGCATGTCGATGTATATATATTTGCTGTAATGTTCCAAAAAGAAAATGGGTTTACAACAAATTAAACAAGTGCATTTCAATTAATGACAAAAAAACAAGTGTATTTCAATTTAGTGACATATTTTCAAACATGTATACTAATATTAATGACCATCAAACCAATATATTTATTTGCATAGCGCTAAACGGTAAAATATGGTACACTGCACGGGCAATTTGTTTATTTTTAATTTTTAATTTTATATATGATTTTTATTTTGTATTATAAACTGTTTGAGATTATTTTTTATTTAATAAAGATGTAAAAATATTATATATTATCACAATAACTAATAATAGATTTACTGAATTTGAAAGAACTATAAATTTGTGTATTTAAAAAAATAAAATGTACTATAACTAAACACAGATTTGCTAAATGATTTTATAAATATAATTCATTTCTATTTTTAAATATAATTTAGATTTGTGAGCTGAATATATGTGAGTCAAATTTGAAAAATAAACAAATCTAAATATTAAATATATGTGAGTTCAATTTTAAAAATCTAGAATATTTTGTATTTTGAAATAAAAATACATAAATTTTAGTTTGTATTTTGAAATAAAAATACATATATTTATTTCAAATTTAACTCACATATATTCAGTAATTAGCTGTATTAAGTCTTACAAATATAAATGTAACTTATTCATATAATTGTTTTAACTCAACCCACATAAGTTTATTAATATTACTAATTTGTTGCAAATACACCATAATATATACAACACTATAACATTTATTTGAAAAACAAAAAACTTATTACGGGGTAAATTCAGTAAATACAACAACATATATATAACATTGTAACATTTATGAACCAAGAATTTTAATCATATCACTATATTAACTTATTTAAATAATCTATCAAAGAAAAAATAGATCCATGGTGTATCATGGGGTAAATTATATATTTTAAAACTTTAACTGAACCTTAAAATCCAAAAAATATATTCTTCCGGTTCGACCTCCAAGATTATGCTACACAAACTTTGTATGGAACTGATTAAACTAGAAGGATTAAAGATTTATTTAAAAGAGACACATTAAATACTAGACCCGTGGTGTACCACGGGGTAAAATCTAGTTTTAGAAAAGGTAAAAAAATATATCTATCGATTGGATTTTAACATATGTAAAAAGAACAATTATATAATAGAAAAAACTAAAAAATTTTGAAAGTGAAAATATTACGGGGTGTATTCTCAGTAGAATTTCAAGTTATTTGTGAAATATTCAATCATAGGTTTTAAAACTTCTAATGAAATTAAGTGTTATTGAACTAGTGTTTTTAAAATCCACTTTAAATCCCAATGTTATTGGAAAGTAGTTTGTGGATTTTATTTTAAATGATTTTAGAGGATTTCCTTGGTTAAAAACAGAAGTATCTAAATCCCATAGTTCGAGGAGGGATTTAAAAGGGTTTTACGATAAATCACATGAACTTCTATAAAATTATCAAAATCATATAAAAACTCAAAAAAAATCTCAGATCTCTTAAAATGCTACTTTGAATACACCCAATTTTTTTAAGAAAAGGTACATGAAAATATATAAATAAAAGGAAATTCTACAATAAACTACAAATCCTAAAACTAAAAAGATTTCAATTATAATTTCTGAAATGGTAAAAAATTAATATTATAGTAAATTATCAATCATAAAATAATAATTTTAAAAGATTTATTTTTTGAAAGATTTCGTATTAAAAGGTTCTTAACTTTTTCCTCAATGATGCTATGATTTATTTTTATATTCTTTATGTTTGTTTGCGTTGTTTATATAAGCTTCTTTCGGATGTCAAAAAAAAAAACAAAAAAATGTAAGCTTCTTTCCAAGCTTCTTTCCTAATGAATTTATTTGAATTTAACATCATATTTTGGGCTGATGTTAATTTGAAAGAACTTTAACATCAAATTTAGTTAAAGGCAATATATTGCATAATGTGAGAATGTTTTTTTGATTGAAAGGTGGGAAATAATAAATTTTAGAAAATGGTATAATCATATTTTTGAAGATAATTGCTAAATAAAGTTTTAAATATTTTTGGCAATATCTATACTATTAAAAGGGAAGCATTTTTTATAAGTCAATCATAGTTTATACAATAAAAAAAAGTTAAAAAAAAAACCAATATGCTTATAAGAAAACTACATAACCGAATCCTTTAATTATTGAAATAATTATAAAAACAAATTAAGCTGATAAAATTTAATTCGACATCATCATAACCGAATCCTTTAATTATAGAAACAATTATAGAAACAAATTAAACTCAAAAAATTAAATGCACCTTCATCGACATAAATTTTGGAGAAGATTATATAATATAATCACTCTTTAAAATACATTACTAAAATATAGCAAACATTTTATTCATTAGTTTGGATTCATCGACTAATGTTTAGTATAGTTAATAAATTAATTTAATCAATAATTAACTAACCTTCCTAAAATAAAGCAAGCAATTAATCGTTTTCTAAATACACATTACACAACAACTATGCTTATAAGAAACATATTTCAATGAATCAAATTCGGTAAATCAATAAAATAAATCTAATCACTCATTATGTTCATTTCCTAATCCATAATTATCTAATTAAATTTTGCTTGCTTTAAATAAAATTAATCAAATCACGATTAATGTTTGTTTCCTATTACAGATGAAGAACGAGTATATCTCAGTTCAGATTCTATAGATCTGTCTGATCTACGTTATGCAAAAAATCCAATGATGACTCTAGAGTTTTTTGAACAGCATTAAGGTATCAGAAATTCCTAACCATCGTATTAGGTTGAAAGGTTGGTTGTCCAGTTATGCTCTTACGGAATATTGAGGCCAGAGGAGGCCTCATGAATGATACAAGGTTGCAAATCACACAATTGGCTGAGTTTGTTATAGAAGTAATCATAATAACAGGAGATCGAGTTGGAGATAAAGTGTTGATTCCACGTAGTATATTGTTATCTCCATCAGACGCAAAGCTTCCTTTTTGATGCGTCGAAGACAATTGCCGTTAGCTGTTGCGTTCGCCATGGCAATTGATATAAGTCAGGGACAGTCTTTGAGTAACATTGGTCTTTACCTCCCTAGACCATGTTTTTCACATGAACAGCTCTATGTTGCTCTCTCAAGAGTTACTTCCAAAAAGCGACTGAAGGTGCTCATCGTTGATAAAGATGGCAAATCAAAAAAGAAAACAACCAATGTGGTCTTCAAAGACGTGTTCAAGAACCTTTAAATTATAATTCTGCATTTTTTCTTTTCATTTCCTACAAGTATGACTTCGGTTACATTTCTTTCAATACCATCTTCAAGACTTTCTTATTATAACTTTGGTTTTCCAATTCAACAATTTCTATTATACTACTCCAGTTAACAAATGCAGTCTTTAATCCTTCAACTATATGAAATAAAAAAAATTATAAAAAGGCAAATCACATTACATTATTTAAGAAAACTAAACCAGCAAACTATGCTTTGAAAATACACATGCACGTACGTGCGGGTCATCATCTAGTTATGAATAATATGGAATAGCTCGCAAATTTTTTTGTGATTGACAATTTAACATTACTATAATTTTATAATTAAAGTTTACTAAAAAGATATAAATATATATATATACATATATTAATTTGTTCAAACAAAAAAATCTCTATACTAATTATGTTTTTCTCTAATTGTTTTTAGAAAAACTTTGGATATTATTTTATTATTAGTTATAATAAAGTTTTAACTTTTATTTTTATTTTAAACAAAGATTACCCGTGAATCAGACGGGTGCTAATCTAGTATGATATGTTTAGTTAATTGGTATAGCATTGAGTGATTAAATATCAAATTACAAGAATATATATATATATATACACATAATATTTTGAAACGGTATATCTATATTTTAATTTAATAATTTTTTACATATTCACTATATATCTATATTATATTTTAATAATTTGTTTTCTATATTCACTATATGATAATTGATAACAAAGCAAAAGTATTGTATAAGTAGTGAGCAAGAAGCAAAAACCCTAAAGAACAATCAAAGCCGCTTCCTTGAGAGATCAGATTTGCTGCTAATGTCTAATCTTCCAGGAGATTTGGTAGAAGAGATACTCTGTCGCGTTCCAGCCACATCCCTGAGCCAATTACGGTATGCATGCAAACAATGGAACAATATATTCAACAACAGGACATTCACAAGAAAACATTCGGACAAAGCCGCAAAGCAGTTTCTGGTTCTCATGTCGAAGCATGTTAAGGTTTGTTTGATGAGAGTCAATTTTTATGGAGATCCATCTATAGAGATCAAAGGTGAACATGGCCTAACTAATCCTCAAGCTGGTTTAGACGACTTCAGGATTTTTAAAGTCTCTCACTGCGACGGTTTATTGTTATGCAACAACATAAAATACAATAGAATTGTGGTTTGGAATCCTTGTACTGGCCAAACCAAGTGGATCCAAATCCAATCAAAAAAGGTACGTTCTTATGTTCTTGGATCCTACCAAGACAAGAACTATGGCGATACTACTAGCTATAAGATCTTGTCTTTTGATGGCAAAAAAAACAACGAATTTGAAATATATGAGCTTAACTCTAATTTATGGAAGACTCTTGATCTTACTTTGGACTGTGAAACGAGATTGGGTGACCATGGCAAGTCTTTGAAGGGAAAGACTTACTGGTTGGCTTCAGATGAGGAACAGCCTTTCATGGTTTTAGTATATTTTGACTATACAAGAGAAATATTCGAACGTTTGCTTCTTCCATTTCAGAGTATTTATTATTTTGCCATTTCTCTAAGCGTTGTCAGAGAAGAGAAAATTTCTGTGTTATTAATGCATGGAGATAAAGATGCACCAAGAACAGAGATATGGTTGACAAATAAGATTGATGACACCAAAGTTGTGTCGTGGAGCAAGTTCTTGACAGTGGATAAACCTGATCATTTTATTTGGGACCTCATAGATTTCTTGGTCGTTGAGGAGAAGAAAATTATCGTGTGTTGTCATTTTTCATCGAGGGGTGCACTCCCCTTCAAACAGGTGGTATACATTGTTGGAGAGGACAATAAAGTAAAACAAGTGTATTCTGGATCCACATTGTCTGTGCCAAGTTTGTTCTATTATGTTCCAAGTTTGACTCAAATCCAAGCAAGTAGTCTGGTGTGCCCTTAGAAAGAAGATGTTCTCGGAGGTGCCCGCTAGAGCCTTTCGTGGAAGGGAAAGCCATATCGTCGATGGGAAGACGAATAGCTTTCGATCCAGAACTTGACAACAAGAGCAAAGAATAGTTGTCTACTTGTCTTGGTCGTGTCCTTTGAATAATTAGTAAACTAGTTACCATTTCAATATATATACATTTCAAAGCTTTCTCTTTGCTCTGCATCACCCTTATTTTCTTTGTTTAGTTTGCATAGTTGCTAATGTCGTAAGCACCTGTTGGCAAAAGAGTTCATTACTTCCTAACCTGCTTTACATTTAACATCTTGGTTTTAAAAATAGGCATTGAAAATGTGGGTTGTGATAATAGAATCTCATACCTACATATACATTTTTTAAAGAGATTAGAGAACGAAAGTACGAAACACACTTTTTATTGAGCCTAGTCATAAAAACGAACGCCAGAGTTTGTGGCAAAATGTAATATCGCAACACTTACAATTTCAAGAACACTACATAAATCTTTAATCTATCAAACAACGAACATCTTTTTTCTCATTTGGAATGTCAAAAGTTTGAACCAAAATCATGAGAATATGAATGGATTTTTAAGTCTCATCCATTGTATCCTTTGATTGCGTTGATACCGAATCCTCAAGTGCCTCAAGGAATGAGACAACTGTGAACTTGACTGCAAGAGAGTTTTAAAACTGCTTTAGCAAAATGAAACAACAAGACTGATGATGCCTTAAGAAAAGTCTATTGTAAGAATCTGACTTACATTTACTTGGGTCTATACCAAACTGAGTCAAATCTATTTGTCCTGTGCGAAGTACCTAAAAGATATTGAAGTTGGATTAGAATATAAAGCCAAGAATTGAAAACAACATTGTCACAGATGGGCTTACATAGGTAAATGCATCTATTTGTTGACGAAATGGTGGGCTCTGCAATAACTCCAGAATATCTTCTGCCTTACAGTGTCCCTGTGATTAGCTTTTGTGTTAGTCTAGTACATAACCATGTAAGTATGCTTTATAGCGAATTGTAGCTGTGTTGTCAGCTCCACAAACAATAGTTGACCCTGTTAGCTAGAGAGCTAACAATTTAAAAGTAAGTTAGCTTCATTCTGAATCTGTCTAGGGTCTCGGTTTGGGCATTGGTAAAGAATTAAGTGACTTTTCTTGTTGATAAAGTCCAAACCTATGGATTGAATATAGGAATTTACTGGTTGAATTCCCGAGTCAAAGCCATTCCCGTGTACAATTCAAACACATATACATGAAATTTAGGTATAACCCCTACAACAACCCTTTGTAATCCTACCCCTAAACCATTTCATAATTCAGTGACTTTCTGTACTACTTACCCTAAATACACAACTTGACTTGGTCTTTCCTCTGACATTTTCAAAAATCAGAAGTAACAAGAATAGTACTGCATAGAATACAGAAAGCAGTAAAGCCAAAGATATACCTCAGGTAAATGTGAAGACAGTCTTTCTTGTACCGGCAACATCTCAAGCAATGGCATAATCAACTCCGGTTTCAAGATGTCCCCTAATGCTAAACCTATGAATGATTTAATATGAGTGGACAATGAGGTCAAGATGGCAGAAAGAAAGAAAGAAGAATAACAGCTGCAGATAGATAACTAATCACAAACAAAAGCTGGGCACTCCCATTTCCAATCCAGACAGACTTCAGCATAAAAAGATATTGTATTCGCTCCACATCATAATACATTATAAAAAAATAAAAATAAACATTGAAACTACTTACCTTCTTCTTCTCCAGCAATACCTACACAATACCGACCATAACTAAATGAGTATAAGAGGGAAACCAGAAAAGCCTATTGACAGGAGAACCTAGGGATAGAGAACTGTACCTACAGGTCCAGCAGAGAGGTTGTTCAGAATTCTTTGCAGGTCTGCCAGCTTAACTGGCCCAGACGCAGATGATGTCACGTCACTCACCTCTGCAGACAAATTTGGTACAACCAAGTTTCCAGCTCTATGCAAGATGAATAAATTCATATAAGCCATACCATTAATATAAGATACTACCATTTGCAGCAATTAATAGCGTCTTTTCACATGGTATTTAAACTCTAGTTCAAGCATATCTGTTAACTTGTAGCCTTGTAGGTCATTCTTTATATGAATACGTTCCAGAATCTCATCAACATAGAGAAGCTGATAGATTTTGACAGAACATCTATTTACCATTGGGTAGCTATGTCGAGAGAAACTTTAATGTGCGCAGTAGGATGTAAGTTACCAAAGCATTCCACAGATGCAACATAAAGAAAAAAAGCAAGAAAATATCTGTTTTCATGACACTGACAAGTGACAACACAGACATCAAACCCCCTTCTGAAGATAAAATGGTAGGCCAGTTATATACTTTGCAAAGCAACAGTCAGATTACTATATTGATATAATTAGTACCTAGATGAGGTATTATCTTCTGCCATGTCTTCCACTTCCTCCGTGACAGCGGCTGCGAGTTCTTCTTCATCTTGAAACTCTGGTGCACAGGAAAATTTATTAGATTGATTCACTTTTTTCTCCTATCCAAAATGACTAAGAATTGCCACTATCAAGGGCATGCGTAATAGTAATACACACAAAAAAAAAGAGTGATGATAAAATAACATGTACACGCTCATATGTGAATTAATGCAGAATTAATTACAGTACAAATAAAGATAGCTGCAATATGTGGCGTTCATCTGGGATAGGAAAAGTTGTGTAGTGCTAAAAAACAGTACACATTTAGCTCCTCACTTCAAACTTCTAATTACACAATCCAATAATGAAAAGCAAGGAGTGAACTTATTATTGCAAATCTGATATTTCATACTTATTAAAAACTTCACATGAATTAATGAAAGCGAAATTGTGGTGGATGCTCATTGGAAAGGAAGTTCCTTATTATAGTGCCATGACAGTATTTCAGAATCCGTGTTGACACATAAAATGCCAGAACAATATGCATGACAGTATGAACGAATATGTATTTAAGGATAAGAAAGTTAGTTTGCTTTTTTTTTTTGAAAGCCAGAAAGTTAGTTTGCTAATCATGCAAGTTGAAAGGTTAATTAGCAAGAAAGACACTGGTACCAGGAGTCCAGGATACAATCATATCATAGACGGTTTGTAACAAGGGTAGGAATGTTACATGCCTAGTGGTTGATTGAGGTATTGATTGACCGAAGAGCACAGCTCCGCATCACCTTCAGCTCTTGGCTCCTGTAAAATAAGTTAGAAAAAGAGTTCTGAGAAACAAATAAGATCAAAGTTGAAATTAATTAGGTGCAAAGATACACACACATCTTTAAAAAGACAAACAAGTGACCTGCATCCAAAAGAATAACTTGCGGTCATCACTGTTGAACTTCAGAATATACACCCTGTCTGACGATTGATTAACCTAAAGAGAATCAAGAACAATGTGGTCACAGTCTGATATTACTAATGCACATGCTTGTAACCTCAATTTCACAGGGATACCTTTTCAAATAGAGCTTCATCTGGGAAAACAATTTGATCCTATAAATGATATTGTCAAGGAGAAAACTTTGTAATTGAAACATCTGGCAGCAACAACTAATAAATTCCTGAATTTAGTTTATATTTAAGCATGTCAAATCAAAAAGAAACAATCTTTCTAGATACATCGAGCTAAAAAAAATCGATTATCTTGGGACAAAAATCCAGTTAATACTTAAAGAACCTTTAATCCAATTCTAAAACCTCAATAGAAAAGTGCAGAGGATACATCTTCTACTGTACGAAGGTTTCGATCAAGCCACATGAAATGAATCAGTCCCTCTTCACCCTAAAAGAGAAGATAAGAGAAAAACAAAACCCAGGTTAATTTTCTACAGAGAACCAGTAATGTACGTACTCTAACACCAAAAACTACATTCAGAGATGCTTTAGTTTCAATAATAGCACCATCAGAAAAGCTGATACACCCAAACAAACATTCAACGGAACAAAATTCTCATATGTGATAACTACATGGAAAAAATAAAAGTGTCAGACATTACTCTAGCTATGCGGACAAGTCCTTTTCGTGAATCAGGGACAACTCTTGTTCCCTGCAATGACATTTTCCCAGCACGAAACTCAAGCATGACCTCCTGCCAAAATTAGTCTCAATGTAAGATGAAGAACCTTACTAGAAGAAGGGAAAACAAAATAAAACTCCATATAGCAACATTGAATATATATAAATTCAATTTAACAATTCACCATTCCAATCAAACTCCCTAATCCCAACAGTAAATATATAAATTCAATTTAACAATTCACCTAATAAGATTATGGATAACTTTTTTTAACAAAATAACATACTTGTGCTGTTGTGCATCATCATCATCATTATCATATGCTCTCTAAACACTTAATTGTAATGCTCATAAAACATAAAGCAGCTTAGCTAAGTCATTCACTAAGGTTTAATCAAAGTCAATCTCAAGTTACCTGCATCACGTGATACACTTCACTAGTCATAATCACCACACCTCCTGCTTTCTATACTAGTGGAAACGCCAAAGCAAGCAACAAGTAAATATGAATCAGTAATCGAAGAAATCACAATAAAACCATATGTAAGCTAAATCAAAATCGAAGCAATTAGAGTAATTCCCAGTAATAAAAACTTGTTTCGAAGCGAAATCAAAAAACCCAGAATCGAGCGAAGGAGAATCTTACAACGCCTAAGGTTATATAATCTCGACTAGTTCTAAGGAGGAGAAATCGAATCGAAGCGAAATCAAAAACCCTAGGGTACCAAAGAGACAACGATTGCTTCCTTCTTATTTTTTTTTGTTTTTTATTTTTTTGTTGGTTCTATTTCAATAACCTCGTTTTTATTTTTCTTGATATCACAGAAGAAGAAATGCTTTCATTATTTCACTTAATGGACATAGGCCCAACAAGTATCAAGTCCAGCCCAACAAGTATCAAATCCTACATGCCTTTTTCCCCGCACCGGGTTTTGGAGGTTTTTCTCAGACGTCCGGAGCAAGTAGGAGCTTCAAAGTCCTGCAAAAAGTTTTGGAGGTGCTACGTTAAGAAGATGGTACTACTAAAATGGATCTTGTAGTGTTCACTAAGGCATTATTAAGAATTTAAGATTACTTAAAGACATCAAAGTTGTAGACTGCACAGCAATCAAAAACCCTAGGGTATATATATATATATATTGCCCGCACAGCAGTAGTCCACTGGTAAGGGAGAATTGGGGAAAGGTTGGAAGGAACTAACCCAGTTCGATCCACCCTGGAAACAACAATTATTGTTGTGTGGAAAGTCTGTCAGTTGGGCCTTGGCCCAATTGGTTTACTTGGTAGTCAGAAAAAAAGGCGGCCTGACTACCCCTGGCATTAGTCGGAAAGCATTCCAAACTCGGGATAGACAGTGTGGTGGCCCTTTGGGGAGAAGTACTTTGAAGCACTTCGATGTGTTTCTACCGAGACTGACCGGATCAGCCGATAGGGTTTATCAAAAAAAAATATATATATATATATATATATCACTACAAGAAAACATGGTGATTTCCTACGAAAATTCCTACAAAATTTTAGGAAAGAAATATTTCCTATCAAAACACTTTGCATTTATTATAAAAACAGCAACAGGTAAGAAAGAAGAAGGAAATTTACTACGAAAAAGCGTGTCAGAAATTGGAATGAAAGTTTCCTACCAAATTCATTTAAATATTATTTTCGTATGAAATCTTGAAGGAAACAGAGAATAATAGTGTAGGAAAAAGTGCGGATGAATTTTGGTAGAAAATATATTCCTACCAAATACCTTCAGATAAAGGTTTGTAGATAAGAGCGTAGGAAAACGATTTGTAGGAGTTAATAGGAAAACTTGTTTGTAAGATTTCGGAGTAATAAATTAATTTTGTTGTTAAAATCAATTCCTAACTCGTTTCCAATTTTTTAAATATTTTCTTATGTAAAATTTATAAAGTTTTCTTTGATAATCATATATAATTTATGTAATAATTCTCTATTATTTTATTGTATTAAATAAAACCAAAAACTAATCAATAAAAAAACACTGAAATTTAACATGAAGAAATACCCAATTAAAATTTGAAAATACCATGTTAATTTAATTATTCTTTATTTATGATCTCAATTTTCATACTTTTTTTTAGAAAAAAAAAAAAATCATAGAGAGTTTGATAATTGTCTTTTCTAACTAATCTCTCGATATATGTTATTATATGTAATAATAATTGGTGAAATAAAAAAATAGAATAAATTTTATTATTTGTGTGTTCAGATCAACTAGATTATATCGACTAGTAGTTTTACTAATAAAAAATTATATCGACTCTTAATATTATATTGTGAAGGTTAACACTAGTAGTTTGTTGGTAAAATATTATACAAGATTAAACCTAAAACGAAGGAAAGGCACCACCGACTAATAGAATAGGTACACAGCCCCGATTTCACCACCTGGTTGCCAAGAACCGATACTATAGGCTATTTTACCCCAATTGGATCCGAATACATATTTTAGGGTATTTACATATCGCTTAAAATAAGGAAACCCTAAAGAACCATCAAAGCAGCCACCGCCCGCCGGCACTTTCTTGCTTGAGAAATCAGATTTGCTACTTATGTCAGATCTTCCAGGAGATTTGGTAGAAGAGATACTTTGTCGCGTTCCAGCCACATCCCTGAGCCAATTACGGTATACATGCAAACAATGGAACAATATATTCAACAACAGAACATTCACAAGAAAACATTCGGACAAAGCTGCAAAGCAGTTTCAGGTTCTCATGTTGAAGCACAATGAGGTTTGTATGATGAGCGTCAATTTTTGTGGAGTTCCATCTATAGAGATCAAAGGTGAATATGGCCTAACTAACCCTCAAGCTACCTTCGAGATTTTTCAAGTCTCTCACTGCGAAGGTTTATTGTTATGCACCAACAGAAGATACAGTAGAATCGTGGTTTGGAACCCATGTACTGGTGAAACCAACTGGCTCCGACCAAGAAAGAGAGGTTGGTCTTGTGTTCTTGGATCTTACCAAGACAAGAACTATGGTGGTAATAGCTACAAAATCTTGTCTTTTCCTGATGGCAAATACAAAAGATTCGCAATCTATGAGATTAACACTAAGGTATGGAAGACTCTTGATGTTACTTTGGACTGCAAATTGGAATGTTTTGACTATGGCAAGTCTTTGAAGGGAAAGACTTACTGGTTTGCTTTTGATAAAAATGAGGAACAGCTTGGCATGTTTTTAGTAAGTTTTGACTATACAAGAGAAATATTCGAACGTTTGCTTCTTCCATGTCTGTGTCGTTATTATGAGGCTTTTTCTGTAAGCGTTGTTAGAGAAGAGAAACTTTCTGTGTTATTACAGAATGGAGATGCATCAAAAACAGAGATATGGGTCACGAATAAGATTGATAATGACACCAAAGTTGTGTCGTGGAGCAAGTTCTTAACAGTGGATTTGAAAGCTCAACTTTGTATTGGGGGCTTCACGAATTTCTTGGTCGATGAGGAGAAGAAATTTATCGTGGTTTGTCAATGTTCATTATTAGGTGATTTCCCCATCAAGCAGGTGGTATACATTGGAGGAGAAGACAATAAAGTAATTCAGGTGTATTCTGGATACACATCGTCTTTGCAATGTTTGTTCTATTATGTTCCAAGTTTGACTCAAATCAGCTGTGTAAGTAAGTAAGTAGTCTGGTGGTGAACCCTTTGTGCCCTGATGCCCTCCGAAAGAAGATGTTCTTGGTCTTGGAAGTGCCCGCTCCAGCCTTTCTGAGGACGACGGGAAGACGAAGAATAGTTGTCTATTAGTTATGAATTGTTACAATCCATTATCCTTAACGCATTATGCTATCTTTAGGATGTTACTAGGTCACCTTTGTTTACCTCATGCATGTCAGCTCTAAAACTTGGCTGTCGTCTAAGTTAATACCCTTTATGTTTAGCTTACTTTTCCTCGACGGGAAGACAAGACAATACCTTAACAACAACAATAAAATTATGTTTACTTGCGTAAGTCATATAAACATGTTGACAAGAACAATAAAAGCTAGAGAAGTCTTTTAGTGTAAAAATGATTCTCTACACATAAGTAGAATTACACAAGTTGATACTGTATATATACAGTATAGAGTACATACAAGTACAACCACATCATACAACCTTAGGACTTAATATCCGTGATCCGTGATCCGCTTTGTTCCACTCCGAATCAGTATATAATTGAATTAAGTGTATAAAATATGTACGTATATAAATGTCCAAATGTTTTTAGTAAAGAACTAACCTCATCTCATTGCGAAAAAAGACCAGTCTCTCATCGAGACATTTTTTAGAATTAGTTCATGTTGTTTGTTGTCACCAGTCGCGTCACCACTCACCACCACTCAGAATATTCACCTAGTAATGGTTTAAATTTAATTCAATAACGAAATGTAATTTAATCATATTTACATCCAATAAGAAATATTTAATTAGCTAGTAACAATTTTTTGATAAATATATAATTCTAACAACATATTTTGTGATTAATCATGAGCTAAATTAAAATAATAATAATAAGCAAAATAAAGTGATAGACAAAGTCATTAACTAATAATAATAATGTATTTAGTTGATTGGTATAGCATTTGAGTGAAAATATTAAATTACAAGAAAGTAATTAAATTATATATATATATATATATATATACGTATATATATTTACACATATATATATTGAGGCGGTATATCTATATTACATTTTAATAATTTGTTTTATTTATTCACTAAATATATCTATATTATATTTTAATAATTTTATATATTCACTATATGATTACAAAACAAAGTACTGTATAAGTAGTGAGCAAGAAGCAAAAACCCTAAATAACTTAAGCAAAAACCCTAAAGAACAATCAAAGCCGCTTCCTTGAGAGATCAGATTTGGAGCTAATGTCTAGTCTTCCCGGAGATTTGGTAGAAGAGATACTGTGTCGCGTTCCAGCCACATCCCTGAGCCAATTACGGTATGCATGCAAGCAATGGAACAATATATTCAACAACAGGAGATTCACAAGAAAACATTCAGACAAAGCCGCAAAGCAGTTTCTGCTTCTCATGTTGAAGCACGATAAGGTTTGTTTGATGAGAGTCAATTTTTATGGAGTTCCATCTATAGAGATCAAAGGTGAACATGGCCTAACTAAACCTCGATCTAACTTCAAGATTAATGTAGTCTCTCACTGCGAAGGTTTATTGTTATGCATCAACAAAAAATACAGTAGAATCGTGGTTTGGAACCCTTGTACTGGTCAAACCAAGTGGATCCAACCAAAAAAGGGAGGTTGTTCTTTTGCTCTTGGATCCTACCAAGACAAGAACTATGGCGGTAATAGCTACAAAATCTTGTCTTGTCGTGGTAGCTACTACCAAAAGTTCGAAATCTATGAGCTTAACACTAAGGTATGGAAGACTCATGATATTACTTTGGAGTGCCAATTGAAATATGTTAACCATGGCAAGTCTTTGACGGGAAAGACTTACTGGTTTGCTTCAGCTCATAATGAGGAACAGCTTGGCATGTTTTTAGTAAGTTTTGACTATACAAGAGAAATATTCGAACGTTTGCTTCTTCCATGTCAGTGTCTTTACCATAAGGCCGTTTCTCTAAGCGTTGTTAGAGAAGAGAAACTTTCTGTTTTATTACAGAATGGAGATGCACCAAGAACAGAGATATGGTTGACAAATAAGATTGAAGAAACCAAAGTTGTGTCGTGGAGCAAGTTTTTAACAGTGGATTTGAAACCTCATCAACTTCGTATTTGGAACTTCACAGATTTCTTGGTCGATGAGGAGGAGAAACTTATCGTGTTTTTTCCTTTTCCATCGTGGTCCAAACATGTGGTATACATTGTTGGAGAGGACAATAAAGTAAAACAAGTGTATTCTGGATCCATATCGTCTGTGCCAAGTTTGTTCTATTATGTTCCAAGTTTGACTCAAATCCAGCTGTGTAATTAAGTAAGTAGTCCGGTGGTGAACCTTTGTGCCCTCCGAAAGAAGATGGTTCTCGGAGGTGCCCGCTCGAGCCTTTCCGGAAGACGAAGAATAGTTGTCTATCAGTTATGAATTGTTACAATCCATTATCCTTGGCGCATTATGCTATCTTTAGGATGTTATTAGGTCCCCTTTGTTTACCTCTTAGTTTCTATGGTGTCATGTCAAAGCTCTAAAGCTTTGTTGTTGTTTGAGTTAATACCCTTTATGTTTAACTTACCTTTTCCTCGACGAGAAGACAAGACAATAGCGTTTGATCCACAATGATTGTCTTTTTTCTTATCAAACATACATAAACATGTTGACAAGAAAAATAAAGCCAGAGAAGTCTTTTAGTGTAAAAAGGATTCTCTACACATAAAAGTATAATTACATGAGTTGATACTGTATAAATTACATACTACCATGTGCATTCATATACGTCTGTATTCGTCTCCACAGTCACCAATCACTTGGAGAAGATCTTTACCTTTTTTGGTAACCTCTTGTATGCTATTAACATCTTCTTCATCCAATACCAATGAGAATATAGCATTTGCATCTTGTATGTGTTCCGCTAACCCGAGTCTCACCCCAATCATTGATCCAGCTACTCCTTGCTGAGATGAGATCCCCATTTTTCAGACAAATCAACAAACCAGACTAATACATGTGACGTGAGGAAGAACAAATACCTGATCTAGTACATATCTCACAGCAACTGTCGGAATAGAGACTCCATGTTTTGTGGCTACTGTCTTCATCGTTCGAAGTAAACCTTGAAATAGATTCCACCCTCCCCGTGCATCAATCATCTGTAGTTTAACCCTCAAAATCTTAAAACAGTAAAATCCATGATGATACTGTAATGATGAACCTTAAACTAAAACAATGAGAACTGCCATTGACAGGGTTAATCTGTAGATGATTTGAACTCTTACCCTTTTGTACTTTTGAAGAGAAGGAGTATCTAAGCGAGGGCCAGCAAAAGGGATTGTTAGATTTGTACCAAGAAACTTTTCTGACAGGAGACCACCCATTACTGTCCCATAACTGCACCCAAAGACCAACGATGTGTGGTTAAGTCTAAGAGGAAAACGCCAACAAGATTTTCATAGAGTATAATTACGTTATAAGCTTGACGCCTGTAAGTTCGCAAAGCTGAGCCATTCTTTGTTGAGGACGCATGTCTACAATGGAGTGTTGCACCTTGAAAGAATTCGAAAAGAGATTTACAAAAAAAAAAAAACTGGATTAAGGCATAAAATGTTTGGAGATCAAGCTGGCATTCACCTGATTGCTGACAACAGGGATTCCATTCTCTAAGATTTTCTGAAGTCTCTCTGTATCAAAATTTGTCAAAGCAATTGTCTTGATTTTACCTGCAAGCAACTCAATGTTGCAGTTTAAGCAAGCCGGTAGATTAATAAAACGAAAAAATCACAAGAAAGGAGCTTACCTTCCTCTTTTAAGTCAGTGAGGTGTTTCAGTGCATCAAGATAACCATCATTCGCATAATCCCACCTATTCAACAATTACAGATTAGCATATAATAAAGCACGGAGTGTACAATGGTCAGTACAAATGATATCGATACTAGAAACTGATAAAGGAACAAACTTTACATCAACCCTTAAACACATCAATTACTATAAATTAAGTGAAGAGAGAAACACCAGTGAAACTGAAGCATGTCAAGAGAAGCCACATCCATTCTCTTCCGCGATTTTTCGATGTTCTCACGAACAAAACTACTAGTCATTTTCACTGGAGGAGGTACCCATTTTGTCAAACTGCATCATGAAAAATAGCCTAATCACTTAGCCAGTTCTTATACAAAACTCTGAATCCTACATTACAAGAACTTATAACTTACCCTCTAATCTTTTCCAAGTACTCCGGTGGACGTTCTCGACGAACTCTATTGATAAAAATGCCATAAAGATCTTCAGAAGGACCATCTGAACATAAAGAGTAACAAACTAAGCACAGCTCCATTTCACTAATCTCCACTCTAAACCTTTCTGTGAGTTCATCAAAGCTCAGTAATCAACTTTTTTTTCCAATTTTGTTAATCTCTAAGCTGATTTTATTAAGCTACTCTTTACTCAGAGCTACTTACAAATGTCAGCCATGTCGAAGGTAGAGAGACCAGCATCGCTGTATCGAAGCATAGCATCAACGGCGTCGTTTCGATCAATCTTACCCCATCCTCCACTCGTCTGCCACATGCCGTTAAGAACTCTGCATATCTCCAGTGAATCGTTCCCGTTCTTCAGCTTCACCCACCGATTAGCTTCCGCCGTCTCCACCGAGTATTTCACGGAGCTAAAGTTGATTCGACGGCGAGAAACATTCCGGTTAAACGAATTCGATGATACTGTCGGAGCTAGGTTCGTGGCGATGACGGAGTGTACGGTCATCGGCATAGCCTTTTCTCTCTCTGTCTCTCTATCTGTGGAGGAAGAAGACAACTGAGATTTATGGGCCTTTGTACTAACGTAAATGTGGCGTCTGGACCTTTGAGGCCCAAATAGATTTGGGACATTCGTTAAACCAATGCACTGGATAGAAAAGCAAACCAGAAAGATGAAAGACAAATATATATTTTTATACAATTAATTTATACCTTAATTTTGATTCTTTAAATTAATACAATTTCGATCGTGAAAATTTTTTTCCTTAATTTTGATAATGTGGTGATTTCAACCGGAATAAAACATTTTTAATACAAAATGTCGATTTAATTATCAGTTATTTTCAAAGAAATTAGATTATATTAACTTAAAATTAACTTTGTTTTTTTTTTTTTTTTTTTTTTTTGTGCTAAGAGTGTAAATATTCATTAAAATGAAAATGTTTAGGTTTACAATCATGGATTTTAAACTTATAAATTGGTTCCATGGCAAAAAAAAGATAAAAACATGGAAGCAAATTTCAATCAGTCTATCGACTCAACCTATGCCGTGAAGCAAACGGTGTCAAATGAAGTGATACATGATTATGGAGATCCTCCAAAATTAACTTTGTGAGAAACCGTTTTTTTTTTTTAAACTTCACAACATTAAAATGTTACTTCAAATCACTTTATAACTCACAACAAAAATCATTTGTTAGCAAAGTATTGCTGTTCTGCCTTTGTTTTTATTATGATTCTTTTAATCCGCCTCATTGGCTAACTCAACAATTGTATTCTGGTTACATTCATTCATTTATATAAATTATATTTTGATGGAAAAAAACTCACAACACAACCTATGAGTTCTTTGTTCTCTTAGGACAGTTTTCATATGTGTTATTAAATTTTTTCTTCTTTCTAAATGAGTTTCTATGGATAAGAAAATCTTAATGAAGTTTGTCAATTCGTCACATATAGTTCTACCATGTAGAAACGGGTCATCTTCATCCTCTAGCTCTCAAGCAATCTCATTCTCATCAAGTTTACTGTACAGTAAAAACTTAATTATAAGAATTTTCAATATTTCAATATATGAAGTATAGTATATTTTCTAGCGTTGTATTGTTTACTATTTTGTTATTACATACTTTATAACTTTATGTATTTTTTCTGATTAAAGATAATTAATACAAAACTGAAGTGAGTAATGTATTGTTCGGTTCACCGTTTTGCATAAAACAATCAACATGTCAAATCTAAGTTTTTCACATTCTTACATATCAGAAGGAACAAAGCTGTCGACATAATTGTGACCTCTCGATGCGATTGGTGAAATCATGTGAAATACATCAATACATAACACCGGCAAAAAAGTATCTGATGTTTATATTGTACCCGATCATATGACTCATTATCACATGTCTCGTGATCATAACTTATATAAACAGATTCGAGAAATAAATATATACTGAAAAAAAAATGTGTAAATTGTAAGATTGTGTAATTAGTTTAGTGTCTTTGTCATTTGCTTAATTTTACAGAATGCTTAAAACACCATGCATGGCTCACAGTACACCATACGAGTGTCGTGTGCTAAGAGCCCATGATCCTAATTAATACTTGCCATAAGCTTCAGATCCTCTACGTAGTCTAAGAAGATGTAAGCTTTACTATTCTTGTAAGCTTCCATGCCTTGCATTTCAACTATAGTGTACGTATAAGTGTTCCTTTCTGGATTAATATAGTAGACAAAGAAGAAAGAATCGAAATTATAATTAGGTGATGAAGATGTTGTGTTGACTGGTTTTATAAGGCGCTTGGATTATAAAACTCAATCATCAAGGGAGAGATTGAAGATGTGGTGTTGAATGAGTTTTATAAGCTATCTTAACATGTCAACATATTACGATGATACATGAAGTGATTGGATAGAATTGTCATAGAAGATGAAGCAGTGCTTGTACTAGTTCTGACGTCAATACAGGAAGTAGTACAAGAAGGTGAGTTGTGCGAATACTTGAAGTAGTACAGGAGGCAGTACAAGAAGCCGAGCTGTGTGACTACTTGAAGAGTTGGAGAAGATTAGTTTGGGACCGACTTGGACAAGCCAAGAGGCGGTTGCTGAGCTGGATGAACATCTTGAATAGTACATTCAAGATGAGAACGTGAAAGGCAAATTTCCTTATCTATAAAGAACAAAGGAAATTAGTCAATTCCTATTTGGTGAAGGAATAGGAAAATTGTCAATCTTTAGGGTTGAGCAAATTGTTATAAATACCAAGAGGGCGCTTCATGAAGACTTGCGCGCCTCAGGGTATTCTCGAGAAGATGCACACAAGGTGTGTGGCGTCGCCCCATCAACAAGATAGAGAGATCTTTTGATGGTTTTGTAGAAGAGCTACACTAGTCGGAAAAGACAATTAGTGGTAGTCTTCTTTCATTGTAATTCTAGGAAAGAGTTGGTGGATTCCATATAGCAATTGTAGGTTGCGAACTTTTCTAGTTAATGAAGTCTGGACTAGGTCCCGGGGATGTAGGTTATCCGAACCCCGTTAACAAAGCTTGTGCCTTATTTACTTTATGCTCATACATACTCGAAGTAGATCATACACATAGTTGAATTAGTCACACATATGCACTTTCAGGTGAGAACACAGTTTCACCCGTGTTAGTCATTCCAGCAATGCGTATCTTAGTCCATGCAAATGCAGACAACTAAGGAGAAGGCAAAACGTAGGTATGCCTCCACCATTACTTTAACCCTTGTAGTTGACCAGAACTGATTCAAGAAGTACCAGTGTTGATTCAAGCTGTCCTTCCATGTCTTGATTTCTCTTGATATAGCTGGATTTCTCAGCTCTATAATATCAAAGCAAACTATGTCTCAGGGAACCTGAAATCGCACTCAGAGAGAAAAGCTAAATAATACAAAACACCGTTGATGCATATCCAATCAAAATGACCGTAATCACTAGGACCAAAACCGTCATCAAAATGTGGTATATCACATTTGATCATTCTCCATGATAAACGTTTCCCAAATATTAGAACATCATGCTCTACATGACCCAAGATAAGTGGATTAGACCATGAACAATACTTTGAGTTGTTTGTCGATTGGATCATACCCTAAACAGCTAATCATTATAAATTAGATCAATTGCACAAGAAGTGCGAAATTTGCTTCTCTATGCCTAAATTTAGCGAGATTTAGCTTCTCTATAACTAAATCTCGCTATAGAATTTACAGGTCGTTCTAAGAGTATCTCGATAACAAGCTCATCTCTTGCGTCGTGTCATCATGGTGGAGAGAGATGCTTTTCTTGATCCAGTCTCTTCTTTTTCCCATTGACGAACAAAACAATCACTTGAAATTTGATGACTGGGCATATCGGTTTATTTTTGGTTTAATTTATTTTTTGTTTCTATAATAATTCGGGAAAATCCTACATAAGCTTTTAAGGTGCCAATGACTCCTATTTTAAACCATCAAACCGACAACTTTTGTACTTAAAACCTATAGTGGCTTTTATATTCATGAGCTCACAAAAATTGGAGGACAAATTGATTCCAAAGAGCCGTTCATTTTTTTGTACAAATAACGACATGGATTTAATAATTAATTTTAGTTTGATAAAAAAAACAACTTGTTATCATTTATAACTAAGTTGTTATAAATGATTACTAATATATCTAAAATTTTTACTAAATTTTTCTACTCATTACTAATATATCTAAAATTACAAACATATAAATATAAAACAAAATTTATTATTTTTAATTAATGTTAAATATAAACTTTATAAATATTTTAATGATATTATCAATGATAAATGATAATTGTTTTTTTAATTGGTTTATTTTTCAATAATTTTACCATATATTATCAGTTATAAATATAAATTAAATAGATAAAATTAAAATTTGAAAAATTAAGGAGGCTGAGAATAGAATGAGCTTTTCAACTACTTCGAGGTCTAGTCGAGGGGGATATGGTAGGTGACCTCTACATTCCGGTGTTATAGCTTTGAAGAATACAGAGACAAAAGATTGTGACTAGAGGGAAAAAAAGAAGATTGTGATTCTGAACTTTGTACTCCCTTTTGAACTGTCAAAGCATGTAAAGAAATTTTTCAACTATTACATGAAGAGAATGAGCGAGTGAAAAGAACATCACAAATAATGTTGATGATCTTAGACTCATTTCTACCAAAACAAGGAAAATTGCTCTTAATATGCTCAGTAATTATTGTGACAAACCTAGAAACGAAATGTAAAAAGGTTGTAAGTAGGATACTACATCGTTCCGATTCTTTTTTCGAACATGGCTTTGTCAAAATTTTGAGCTCATATCAGATACAAAAGAAAATACTCAATTAAATGAACCGAGTCATCATAGTTCAGATCATGGGAGATTTAAGATGTGGAAAAGGAATTTCTCAAAGTCTTTTTATGATTAATTAGGGGAATCATTGTTTACTTGTTTACCTTAGTTCATGTTCTCAAATAGATATATTAGAATTTTTGCAGAAATTCTAGTTTACCTTGTATTTTTTAAAGTGATTATCTAATAAACTCTTGATTCCTGTTCAGTTGGGTTATAGAGCAATATCCAATATGTTACTGATATTTGGTTGCTCTTTTGATGTGCCAAGATCAAATAAATCATACCATACAACTGATACGTTTATTAAACATAGGGCTATATTAATTTGTAGCTACAGATAATTGAAAAACAAACAAAATAACCTTACTTATCGTTTAATTAGTTATTTCTCCTCTGATTCAGTTAATGTCAGAATCACCCTTTCTTGTATATATATATATATATGCTAACAAAAATAATAGCAAGGTAAAAGTTTAGATCTTTTTTTTGTGGACAAGTAAAAGTTTAGATCTAATAGCAATAATTAGCATTGTTTATTTGTTGTCGATAATACTATTTATAACATATAATTCACATTAGCGTGTCATTATACAATTGGTATCATTTAACTTATTAATTAACATATTACTTACGCTTGATAAATTAGGTACTACAGTTAACTTATACATTATCATACTTATTTATCATAAAAATTTAAATGATTTATCACCATAAAAATAAGGTTATTTTTGTGGTTATTTTATTTATTATGAAGGTAAATCATCTTTTATTTGGATACGTTTATGTGGTAAACTTATATTTATATATATTCGTACATGTGGTAAACTTATATATATCATGTTAAAAGATTTCTTATTTGAAAGAAGATATTTAAAACAAAAAAGGGTAAAAATGTATAAACACTACTCTCTCTTGTTTATCTAATTTTTAAAAGTGCATAGCTAAATACTTAATTATATAGTCTTCTAGGTCTATACAATGGTATTTCCCTTAAACATAGTATATTAGTGATCCAATACAAAACATTATCCATTCAATCTATTTTGGGATAAAATTGAAAGCTATAAGTATAGGTATTAATTTCTATTAAATCATTTTATACGCCTTTGGCATATTTGCTTGATCCCTATAAAACTCTTAGATACACTTTGGGTGTAATTGGCCATATCTCAACACAATTCATAGGCAATAAATATGTTATAAAAAATTCCATCTTCTTGATACAATATTTACGAATGCATTAATTTTGTGAAATGGTGATTATTATAGGTGATAAATTGGCAAATCAGAATAATTAATATATTTTTATCAGCTATATAATAGTTTACGTATTTTTTTGACAACGAAACAAGTTTATGTATTTTTTTTATCAGCTGTAAAATATTTTAGGTATTTTTTTACGACTAAAAAATTCATGTATTTTACTAATTAATATTAAATAAGTCACGTTTTTTGGGAATATTAATTTATTCAAAAAGTTCTTATAGTTTTTAAATTTTTTTCTAATAAAGTTGAGTATTCTTCAAAATGCTCTGTAAATTCTAACATCAGCTATTTATATTTTAATTTATCTCTATTGTCTCCCTCAAATATAGTGCATTTTTATATTTTTGGTATGTCTCCTCTAAATCTTGTTTAGTTTAATTTACTCAAACATACTATAACAAATGTATCCACCCCACCACAGCACTACTTCTAGTGAATTATGTATAATACTATAATAACTTCTTTTAATTGTATGGATCCAAACAATTCGTACACTTGTACTAAGCCAATATCATCAATTCGGTTGGTCTTTTTGGCATAAAACAGTCGACATGTCAAATCTACATTCTCAACACATCACAAGGGAACAAACCTGTCGACATATACAAATTGTGACCTCTCTCGGTGGTACGATCATGTGATCAGCATCATCAGTACGTACATAAACACCGGCAAAAGATCTATCTGATGTTTTTTATTGTTACTTAGTCATATCACATGTAATGTTATTGTAACGATAGGCATAAGTCGTATATAAGAAGATAAGAAGATTAGAGAATAAATAAGGACCACTTACTATATGTGGAAAATTGTAAGAAATGTGTTAAAATTTTAGTTAGTTAAGTGTCTTTGTCATTTTCTTTAAATCTTACATAATGCTTAACAATTTAGGACCACTTAACCCCAAATTTGATGAGATTCCAACTCGACATCCACCATGCAATTCACATTTTCAACGTGACTCTTTGCAATTTCTCAATCATACTAGTTTTGTAACTAAATAAAACCCACCGCCGCAAAGGTTTTTCTATAACTCAATGTGTAATTATCTTAAATAAACTAAACGATAGTTTTCTAAAAAAATATTAAAAAGAAAAATTATATTTAAGTATGTTCGTTTCGTCGTCGCAGACAATAATAGTTACAGCATTATTAAATACAATATTTTTAATCGCTAAATTTAACTAAAATTCGAAATTTTTAATCGAAAAATGTAAAATCGCTGTTTATCTGGAGGATATCAACATTGAAAACTTTCTCTATTCCCTAAAAGTATGAATGTAAAAGCAGATTATTTGGCTCGACAAAAGTTTGTTCCACCCCGCACCTAATCAAATATGTAAACTATTATCTTTCGCATTGGCTCATTTAAGCTATATACTTTGATGATAAAAAAACAAAAAAAAATCGTAAAATGAGTGTTTATTGAAATGTCATTTAACAAACAGCTGTAACAACCAAACGAACAAAAATATATGTGTTGTTTATTGTAGTCGCATCTACATGAAACGAACAACACCATGTATTGTCTACCTTGCAGAAGTTTGAATCCTTTGGCCTTGATCTTAGGTTACTCTTTTGAATTAGTTTATGTTTAATCTCTAATCATTTGGAGTTTGCTAGTTGTACGTTTCCTCATTAGAAAGTACACAATGTAATATAGTATGATTAATTATATATCCCACGTTATAACATATTTTATCAGATACCACCTTGATCTAGAAAAACAAGCTAATCATACTATGGGCACCAAAACGACTTAGCTTCAACAAATAATTTCAATATATATATTCTAAATCTAACTAAAATTGATTCCACCTCTAGAAAAAAATGAGTCAGCTTCCCCTTCTCAATTAGAAAAAGTTGAATAGGAAAATATGTCCAAAATTGTATACAATATAAAATGAAAGATATGTTGTATCTTATGATGTGCTTTGAGTAATTCCTCTTATATATATTCTTGTCGTTTGTAAAAGCTAAGCCGACAAACTAAAGCTTATCCCAATATATAATATAGGATGAAAGCAGTTATTGTAAGGTCAGATTAATATAAAATTTTATAACTAAATTAAGGTGAACGAAATAGTAATGTTTAGTATAAAGTACACATTAAGTGATTAGTTGACATTATTTAATCCAACAAATATCTACTAATAGAAAATTATTATTTAATTATATGGTCTTTAGGAAGAAACTATATCCAATTCGATCTCAAATCCGATCTTTAGTTTATAAAGAGTCTGAATAGTTTTTTACCCATCTTTGTTCATGACATATGAAAAGAAGGAAATTGTACTTTAATTTGGCTGTTTTTTTATATAAAAGAATTTATAATAATTTTTAATGTATTTTGTTTAATATATGTAATAATATAGTAGATTATGTAATTAGAAACGAATAAATGTTTTTTTAACATTGTTTTTGATGTTAATAATTGTTACTGTGAAAAAGAAAGAAAAATCGGAAAACAAAATTGTAGCATAAGTTATATTACATCGATAAAGTAATATATATTTTTTTAACAAACAAAAAAAGTTTATGTAAGTTAATAAAACAATCAAATAAGTTAAAAATCTAAAAGTGTTTTTTCGATTATATATTTTAATAACTATTTTACATATACTGTTTATACGTAAGTGGGACGTGAGAAAGCGTTTACCCGAAAATATCAAATCAAACATTCATTTTACAATCTCTACATTTTGTAGTAATAGTCATAAATATATTTTTCGTCAGAAACATTACACAATATGCCGACAAAAGAAAAGAAAAAGAAGATTACACAATATACATTTGTCCAAATGGTAACAGTAAAAACTTCTATTGAACAATGAATTGGTTATGACCTAAGCATCCAATAAAAATCTAGTTATTCTTTAATCACTTATACATTCGTGTAAACCTTAGCATAAACCACCATCATCTCAAAATATTAACTATTCAAATGTACATAAATCTGAACCACTTAGGTAATAATCATTATACAATTAAGGCATTGAATGTAATGACAAATTAAAAGCAGATATCAAAAATAAAAATGATATTTGTACTGCACTATGAACAGTAAAAAAGCTGGAGATTTGGAGTGTTTTTAAATGAACTGTTTTTTTAATAAAAAATTAATAAAACTTGATCTACATTTAGTATGACATATCTGCTTAATCTGCTTTTATTCTGCTGGATATATTTGAACTGCTGGATATATTTGAACTGCTTGATCTGTTCGGCTATATTTACTATCTCCATTCAAAGCCTAAGATTCCAAGAAATTAAGACCCACTTGGCTTTTTTTTTTTTGATAAATTAAATAAGAGATAATGATACACAATTACACATAGATGTTGCCAACAATTTGTTTTACATGTTAACAATAATTTGTCAGTTAATAAACAGACTATATCTATGTTTTCATAAAGTATTATTTATATATCTTGACTTAATGATCTCTATGAAGGATGAACCTAAGTCCTTTCTTGGATCAAAACCGGCAATCCACCGCTAACCGTTGCGGTTAGACCAGGCGCAAACCGGAGCATATCGGTAGACTCGGGACAAGCGACCCGTGTTTCGAACCGCCTAATGATGGCTACCGCTATGGATTTCATCTCCATGATGGCCATTTCTTTCCCCACACAAACTCTAGCTCCGGCCTGGAAAACCGGGTACTTAACCGGGTTTTCGGGACGGAATTTACTGTCGTTATCCAACCACCTCTCCGGTTTAAACTCTTCGCAATCCGGGCCCCAGATCCGGCCCATCCGACCCATTGCGTAAGCATGGTACGTCACTCTAGTCCCTCTTTTCACAAACGTACCATCAGCCAAAACGTCATCGTTCAAAGCGAATTTGGAGTCGAATTGAACCGGCGGAAACAATCTCATGCTCTCGTACAGCGTCGCATGCAAATAGTTCATATCTCTCATTTCATTACAAGAGGCAGTGACTGAGTCAAAACCGGTACCCATGACCCGGTCTAATTCTTCCTGGATCCGGTTCTCCACTTTCGGATGACGTGTCAATAACCAGAAAAAACCGGTTAAACCGGCAGCCACCGTATCTCTCCCAGCCAATAGAAAGCTCACGACGATGTCTCGAAGATACTCATCATCATCCTCCGCCACAACCGCCATGAATCTCGATATCAAATCGTTGTTACCAACTAAACCGGTTAATCTCCTTTGCTTGATCAAATCACCAGCTAACCGGTTTATCACATCGATCGATTCTTTAAGCTTTTTCTCGGAACCGATTCTAAAAAACCTTTTGAGTTTCCATAACAGAGGAAACGAAGCTAAAGCTCGTTTCGCCGATAACGTCGACGCCGTATCAAAAGCCACGGCGAATTCCGATGTCGGTAGAGGTAACCGGAGACAATCCGGGTCAAACCCAAACGACAGTTTACTAATCGTATCAAACGAGAATCTTCTAAACACGTCTTGCAGATCAAGAACAGAACCGGGGCTGTCGGAAAACGAAGTCAGAATCGGAAGAAGACGTGTCTCGATCTCGTTCCTAACAATCTCATGAGCGAACACTCTAACGGAAACACTCCCGAGTTCCAAACTCGCGAGTTTCCTCTGGAACCGCCACGTGTCGCCATCGGAGTTAAAGATTCCACGGCCTAAGAGATCACCGAGTATGACGGAGAACTGTTTCCCTTTAGGGTAATTGTGGAAATGGGTTTTGAGTATATGCTCAACGTTCGAAGGATTCGCCGTGATAACGCTGTTAAGAACGTGGACTTTGATCGTAGACGTCGGAGATCGCCGGAGAAGATGAGTGTACCAATCGCTGAGGTTGACGAAGTCTTTTCTCCAGCTTGAGGTTAGGTAAGCATTGCAGATCTCGCAGTTGCAGTAACGTAGCTTTTGTAAGAAGAGTATGTGAAAGAGTGAGAATGTAACGATGAAGACGATGATGAAAGATATGATTAGTAACATTGTTGAAGAGAGAGAAGAGAGAAGAGAGAAGATGAGATGAAAGAGATGAGTTTGTGTAATAATACGAGAAAACGTAGAGTCAATTAAATAGAAGATTCTTTTTTTTCTTTCTTTTTAAAATCATTTATTGTGGACAGACATGTGTTCTGTTCTCTAAATGTGCGTTTTATTATTATTTTTTCAAAAAGAAACATTTCTAGATTCGTAGAAAATTCAAAAATTAAATGAAATTGAAATAATCAGTGATTAGTTGATTACGATATTTTTTGATGTTTTAAGATTCGTTTATTTTTTTCAGCCAACAGGTTTACACAACCTTATTTATTATGTCGACAAAAAAATGTTGTTTATTTGGTTTTTCGTACGTATGACATGAGACTTTGTCAATCATGGTTATAGTCTAATAGATGTTGTATTGTATTATTTTGTTGGGTAATATAGGTACATTATAATTGTGAGAGTTGATTAAGTAAATTACTGTATAGTTTACTAATTTGAGATGCTGTTTTTATTTATTAAAAATTGGTGTGATTATAAATAACATGGTTATGTGGAGTAAAATATGGTGCTACTTTACAAAAAGGCATATTGTTTTGGAAAATAGTGGCATTGTTATGTTTTTATTATTTTCGGGGGAAAAGTCCAAATTTTCACTTACCTAATCTAACAAATATTCGTAGTCATTTTAATACATTTAGATTTTATGGGGCATGCAAAAAATAAAAACTTTATTTTTTTATAAAAGAAACTAAATCTACGTGTAAACAGTTTTATAAAAAAAATAGATTGGAGATTAATGCAGCTTTTATTTTTATATAGAGTAAAATTTCTATAAATTAATACTCTATAAATTAATAAATCTTATAAACTAATAAAATTGATAGTCCCAAATTTGGCCAGTGTAAAAATTAACTAAATTCGATAAGATAATAAGATAATAATTTTTTGACATTTCTATGTAAAATATAGTCCTAATAATATCATAAATTAATAATCACTATACATATATATCTTATATATAAGTAGATATGTTGAAATATGCTTTTACCTTTTTTTGTAAAATGAATTTTCTCTTAGACCTCATCTCTATAAATAATATTTATGTTATATTCTTAAACAAAATTCTCATCTTATAATATACTATGTAACCTCACAAAATAACCAAAATTTTCTTTATGTTTTCTATTTATAAATATGCATCATATTAATTTTTTTTGTTTTGTTTTATGGATGCTAAAAGATATCAATTGAGGTTTTAATCATATATTTGATTTTTGTACATAACTGTATTTACTTTTTATATTTTTAATTCATTGTTAAATTATTTTTCTAAATTTAGAATTCAATTCTAAACTACAAATATTTATATAATTTTAAAATGAATCATATTTTTGTGAAATTGTCCCAATTCATATTTTCAAAAAAAAACTTTAAGAGTTAAACATACTACTATAAATTAATAATTAATTATTAATTTACACTATAAAATAATATAGATAAATTAATATCACTATACATTAATAAAATATTGTGGTGTCAACATTATTAATTTATAGAGGTTTTACTGTATATACATCAGTAATCTATAAAAAAGAAAAAATCCAAACAATACGCCATCTATTTTATATCTGGATATTTAATAACTCGTCTTTTATGATTAGAATAAAAATACGTCGTTTATTTACCTTTTGTCTTAAAAAGTATTCGTTTACATACTCGTTAGTAGATTCCTACCTTACCGTTAAAGCCTTCTACACGGGTGACGAAATTATTTTGTGGGGTTAAACTCTAATATCACATGTTTAAATGATATATGATGTGTACAAATAAAAAAATAGATAGCGTATTTTTCGTAAAAAAAAAAAAACGTTATGGCATCAAAAAGTGTGGTCGCCAACGAAAACCATAAGAACAAGATCTCAAGAACCAAACCGAATGGACACATAACCAAACCGAACCAAATTGGAACTCTTCAATCCTCTTATATATATATCCTTAAGGGTTGGAACCAAAGAGCCAGAAAAAACCGATAGGAATAAAACCGAATAACCAAACGCCTAGGCCTATTTAAAACTACTCGGTTCATGCCACCAAAGATAGAAATCAAGAACAACATTGTATTCTAATATAGCATGCTTTTGTCTAAAATCCGAGAAAATGTATAGATTCGGTTCAAAACCTCTTAGTTGTTTAAAATACATACTGTTCAAATTTGAAGAAAATGCCAAAATTACACCAAACTATTGAATGGCCAATATTTTCAAAAAAAGAAAAAGAGGCTAACGAAGATGTAAATATGGTTATACGTTTCAAAAAGAAAAATGAAAAAAGTTAAAGGCAAGTACAATAAAACACGTGATGCGTAGAATGAAACACGTGAGGTATAATAAGGACCGTGTGAAGTTCGTAACGCAAGTGGTGAAGTGTTCAAAGCATATAAACAGCAACTGGGTCGTTGGTTTTTATCGTGCATGTCGACAAGCGTCTCTCATGCACTGAGCTGGCAGTTTCAAGTTGACGATGTTTTTATCAGTCAGTTTTAGCTTCGATAGACTCAGACGAAAACAAATAAAACTTTTTAAAGCTGCGACAAAAAGACAAAACACAGAAAAGAGATAAAAGTTTGGTTACTATTTCCACTTGCAAACTTTAAAATTGATGTCTACAAGTCGATTCGTTTTCGTCCAATATATATCGACATATTTGGAATTCGTATCTCTAGCTATATTTTAAAGTTCAAACAGTAGTTGATCTTTATTTTTTTTTCTGAAAGATTTGTTTTTTAATAGGAAAATACAATATAAATTAATAAGATAGTACCACAATTTTTCAGTATTTAAAATATTTCGTGGTTTACAGTAGTATTTTTTCACTTATTAATAATAACTATAAAATGTTTAAAATTTTATATAATTACAATACATATATAAAATCATCTTCGTCTCATAATCGTAAATAACTGCAACTGATCTTTAAAAAACGCGAAATATTGTTCATTTTGTAATCGTGTGACTAGTCGATGCGATTAATAGCAGTTTAAAAAATCGCATCGTTACTTTTTGTGATCTTAAATTTCAATTATAATCATAGCTTTTAGTCGTAAAGTTTTGTAATAGTCATTAGTACAATTTTTATAATCGCAGTCGTAATCACATACTTCATCGAAACGAACAACGCTATAATCACACACAAAAAGTATAAATGAATATCATCTTCTTATAGTTTTAATAGTTTATGACTTGTTTAGTTATTGGTTACAAATTATCAGCCACTTTCACACTTTCTTATAGCACAATTCTACCACCTCTTCTAAATCATTAAGTAACAAACCATTAAAAATTTCCTGAATATGGATAAACAAAATTTTAGAAATCTGTGGTATAATATAGAAATTGAACAAAAGAATAGAAAAACAAAATTTTCAGGACTTTTGAGTTTTAAGTTTGGGGTCATAATGGTCAAAAATAAAATTGGGCCTGAAAGGCAATAGAGGCCCAAGAGCCACAGAGTTGTTATCATCACTCTGCGGAGTCAGAGTGACGAGAGTGAGAGACGATGCCTGTGTCCGTACATTCCGTTATCGCCACGAACCTAGCGACTACAGCATCGTCGGACTGGCTTCACCGGAATGTTTCTCGCCGTAGATTCTGTTCCAGCTCCGTGAAATGCTCGGTGGATACGGCGGAGACTGAACGGTCGGTGAAATTGAAGAACGGGAACGATTCACTGGAGATATGCAGAGTTCTCAACGGAATGTGGCAGACGAGCGGAGGTTGGGGTAAGATTGATCGAAACGACGCCGTTGATGCGATGCTTCGATACGCCGATGCTGGTCTCTCTACCTTTGATATGGCTGATCATTGTAAGTAGTGAAATTGAAATTGAATCTTCAGGATAGACTAGTTATAGAATTGTGCTTTAGGTTTTGGTCACAGAAGAATCGAATTGAAAGGTTTTGTGTTGAGATTAGTATAATAGACTTTGTGTGGAGAGTAGCTTTAGTTTTAGTGGCCTTTCAATGTTTGTTGCTATGTTTTGGTCACAGAAGAATCTAATTGAGTGTGGAGCTTAGTATAATAGGGTTGTGCTTAGTTTGTTTCTTTGATGTTCAGATGGTCCTGCTGAAGATCTATACGGCATTTTTATCAATAGAGTTCGTCGAGAGCGTCCTCCAGAGTACTTGGAAAACATTAAAGGGTAAGCAAGTTTAGTCTGTAGTGATGTAGTATAAGATATGGTAGAATGATTAAACGATTAGGCTATTTTAATGATGTAGTTTGACGAAATGGGTTCCTCCTCCAATAAAGATGACAAGTAGCTATGTTCGTCAGAACATTGATATATCGAGGAAGAGAATGGATGTGGCTGCTCTTGACATGCTTCAGTTTCACTGGTGTGTGTTACTCTACTCTCGTTGCTTAATTGCTAGTTGTTGTCTTGTCCTGTGGCTTCTTGCTAGTATAAACCTTTGATGTTAAGCAGCTTTAATAGATTTTTGTAGTGGCCATTGTTACCTATTATTATCTAATCTGTAGTTTGGGATAGGTGGGATTATGCGAATGACGGCTATCTTGATGCATTGAAACATCTAACTGACCTAAAAGAAGAAGGTAAGGCAGAGAGGCTATATATCTTTCTTCTTTGCTGTGATTGTCTTTGTGTTTATCTATTGGGCTTCTTTAAATGTTAGCATTGAAATGCTTGCAGGGAAGATCAAGACGGTTGCGTTGACAAATTTTGATACAGAGAGACTTCAGAAAATCTTAGAGAATGGAATTCCTGTCGTTAGCAATCAGGTGAATGCCAGCGCGGTTTCTGAACATTATATGGTTTTAATCAGATTCCCTTTTTTGTAAATCTCTGTGAAAATTCTTTCCAGGTGCAACACTCCATTGTAGACATGCGTCCTCAACAGAGAATGGCTCAGCTTTGTGAGCTTACAGGCGTCAAACTTATAACGTAAGTATACTCTATGCTTGACTTCTTTCTCTTTACTACTGACTGAACCACACATCGTTGGTCTTTGGGTGCAGTTATGGGACAGTAATGGGTGGTCTCCTGTCAGAGAAGTTTCTTGATACCAATCTAACAATCCCTTTTGCTGGCCCTCGCTTGAATACTCCTTCTCTTCAAAAATACAAAAGGGTAAGAGTTCAAATCATCCACAGATTAACCCTGTCAATGGCAGTTCTCATTGTATTAGTTTAAGGTTCATCATTACAGTATCTTCATGGTTTCTACTGTTTTAAGAGTTTTCAAAGCTACAATACAGATGGTTGATGCATGGGGAGGGTGGAATCTATTTCAAGGTTTACTTCGAACGATGAAGACAGTAGCCACAAAACATGGAGTCTCTATTCCGACAGTTGCTGTGAGATATGTACTAGATCAGGTATTTGTTCTTCCTCACGTCACATGTATTAGTCTGGTTTGTTGATTTGTCTGAAAAATGGGGATCTCATCTCAGCAAGGAGTAGCTGGATCAATGATTGGGGTGAGACTCGGGTTAGCGGAACACATACAAGATGCAAATGCTATATTCTCATTGGTATTGGATGAAGAAGATGTTAATAGCATACAAGAGGTTACCAAAAAAGGTAAAGATCTTCTCCAAGTGATTGGTGACTGTGGAGACGAATACAGACGTATATGAATGCACATGGTAGTATGTAATTTATACAGTATCAACTCATGTAATTATACTTTTATGTGTAGAGAATCCTTTTTACACTAAAAGACTTCCCTGCCTTCTATTTTTCTTGTCAACATGTTTATGCATGTTTGATAAGAAAAAAGACAATCATTGTGGATCAAACGCTATTGTCTTGTCTTCTCGTCGAGGGAAAGGTAAGTTAAACATAAAGGGTACTAACTGAAACAACGACCAAGCTTTAGAGCTTTGACATGACACCATAGAAACTAAGAGTTAAACAAAGGGGACGTACCTAGTAGCATCCTAAACTTGGAACATAATAGGACAAACTTAGAAAAGACGATACGGGTCCAGAACACACTTGTTTTACTTTATTGTCCTCTCCAGCAATGTATGCCACCTGCTTCATGAGGTCACTTCCCAATAAAAACTGACAAACCACGATAAATTTATTCTCCTCATCGACCAAGAACTTTGGGACGCCCCAAATACAATGTTGAGCTTTCAAATCCACTGTTAAAAACTTGCTCCACGACACAACTTTGGTGTCATCTATCTTATTTGTCAACCATATCTCTGTTCTTGATGCATCTCCATGTATTAATAACACAGAAAGTTTCTCTTCTCTAACAACGCTTAGAGAAAAGGCCTTATGGTAAAGACACTGACATGGAGGAAGCAAACGTTCGAATACTTCTGTTGTATAGTCAAAACTTACTAAAAACATGCCACGCTGTTCCTCATTTTCATCTGAAGCAAACCAACAAGTCTTTCCCTTCAAAGACTTGCTATGGTCAACATGTTCCAATTCGCAGTCCAAAGTAACATCAAGAGTCTTCCATACCTTAGTGTTAATCTCATAGATTTCGAATTCTTTCTTGTTGCTACCAGGACAAGACAAGATTTTGTAGCTATTACCGCCATAGTTCTTGTCTTGGTAGGATCCAAGAGCAAAAGAACCTCTGTTTCTTGGTTGGATCCAGTTGGTTTGACCAGTACAAGGGTTCCAAACCACGATTCTACTGTATTTTCTGTCGTTGCATAACAATAAACCTTCGCAGTGAGAGACTGCATAAATCTCGAAGTTGGCTTGAGGGTTAGTTAGACCATATTCACCTTTGATCTCTATAGATGGAACTCCACAAAAATTGACGCTCATCAAACAAACCTTGTCGTGCTTCGACATGAGAAGCAGAAAGTACTGCTTTGGGGCTTTGTCCAAATGTTTTCTTGTGAATGTTCTGTTGTTGCATAAGTTGTTCCATTGTTTGCATGTATACCGTAATTGGCTCAGGGATGTGGCTGGAACGCGACAAAGTATCTCTTCTACCAAATCTCCGGGAAGATTAAACATTTGCTGCAAATCTGATTTCTCAAGCAAGAAAGTGCCGATGGCTGCTTTAATTGTTCTTTAGGGTTTTACGTTTTCTTCTTCTTCCTCATATATATATATATCTTTAAGAATTAATTTAATTTTTAATTTTTGTGTTAGTTTAGAGTATTTTTCCTTATTTTAGTATATATTTGAGGGTATATATTTCTCTATTATTGTTGTTAATAAAAATTTAATATATAGAACTGTTAATATTTACTCTTAGTAAAAGGTATTAATAAAGTGTATGAAATAAAGTTACGACTATATTTAATATTGACACCAACGTAACTTTCGATGTTTTCTCTACTCATGGACGTCAAGAACTCACTCACACACGAGAATGGAGCTGCCTACTTCTGCCGTACGTAAAACTTAACGTGCATGAACCATTCTCTCAACATGCAAACATTGTATTTTTGAGATCACTCACACCATGTTAAATACAAGCTTTTTAGATAGTCATTTTCGTACTCTTCCTCTTATAAGGTAAGTATAGTTTATAGACTCAAAACTCCCGAATATAAATTAATATGGGTGTATTTACTAGATTTGGTGGCTCGATTAATCAAAACATTCAACAGCCTCTCAAGGTCAGTTTCATTATTTCCATCAATCAGAGGATCCGTGGAAGTCGAATAAAATATAAACTGCTTTTTGGCTTCTTGTTTTGTATAGGCCAAGTCGTCCAAGAAACCTCATGAGAATGTTAAATCTAGTTCAGTTTCAGAAGAAGATAGTAATATTATTGAACCTTGGTATTGGGATCCTGATATTGATCCTAAGTTGAAGGTAATACCAAATCAGCAAACAATATAAAATATACCATTATCATGTAACTACACAAATAGAATTATTTGTTGTTTATTTTAGGCCGAGTACAAGAAACATTCACCTGTTAGATCAATGCCACTGTATGTTACCGATCCTAAATATTATGACTTAGATGAGTTGAAGAGGCAAACAAGACTTTGGATAGTTCCAAATGATCATAACAAGCATCCATGGTATGATGCTCCTGCTACGGTGAAGGTAAAATAGCAAATCAGCAAATACTAGCTAGAGGAATTGCTATGATTAGGAAAAAATAAATTAATGCTAATTAATAACACTTAGTTATATTTTTATATGTTTGAAAGGTGAAAACAAAGAAAGGTGTTTGCCATTTGAAAATAGAATTCACATTGGGATGGCCTCCTCATGGAGTCTATGAGATGCTTACTAATCCAAGAAACCTAAATTTCTTCGATTTATTCGACAGAGAGTTTCGCCAACGTCTGGTTTGTTTTTATTTTCATATAGTTGTATAATTCAAATTTAGTATTAGTTATTATCAAATTGAAAGTGTAATCTTTTAATTTCTATAAAGGACAATGAATCAACAAAGGTTTTGAAGAAGGATGGACCAAGGCAGGTCACAGATGTAAAGAAAACTTTGAGATGGAAGGTCCTTGGATGCACTATAGCTATCCCAATACATCTAATCATCGATGAAAACCATAAAAATCTTACTGTAAGTAGAGCTTCTCTAAACCCCCCTAACATGAACACAACATGTGTTTATGTTTTCAGCAAAGTAATATGTGGGTTGGTCTTTTTGGTTAGGCAAACTATAAAAAAGAGAAAATGAAGTGCATGAAAGTGTTTGAAGGTAGCTGGAAAGTGAAGCCACTATACGCAGATCAAGAACGGTTATGCAAGTCTAAGTCGCGGATTAATGATGAAGAGTACAAAAGATGTAGTAATGGAAAAGGAAGGATTGGATCAAAGGTGACAATGGAACATATCTTTCAGCCTTGTTCTCTTCTTAATGTGCCACCGATTTCTTGGTTCATACGTAAAATCACCATCAGAACAGTCAAGGATCTGCTCGAAGATCTTAGACAATATATTATCGACATGCACAAAAGTTACAGCCCGGGATGAGCTGTTTTATAATGTGGTGGACTTGTATTATCGCACGGTTTCATTATAAATTTATAATAGATATGGTTTTTTTTTTTTTTTTTTTTTTTTTTTATAAACTTTATCGGCTGATCCGGTCAGTTCCGGTAAAAACACACCGAAATGTTTCAGAGTGGACTTCTCCCCAAAGGGCCATCACACTGTGTATCCCGCACAGCTGTGGTCCAGTGGTAAGGGATAATTGGAGAAAGGTTGGAAGGAACTAACCCATGTTCGATCCACCCTGGAAACAAAAATCATTGTTGTGTGGGAAGTCTGTCAGTTGGGCCTTAGCCCAATTGGTTTACCTGGTAGTCAGATAATAGATTTGGTTGTTATTACGTTCGTTATCTTAACTTTTTAGTCAACTACTAGACCAAGGAACTTCTACAAATCTTTATTTCTTGAAATAATTTTTTTTTCAGCTTTTGACCCAAAAGAGATTTTTACCTTTTGTTTTTTTTTTTTTTTTTCTTGGGTCAAATATTTAAAATTTTCCTTACAAATCTATATTTACAATATTATCAAAACTAAAAAGGGAAAGAAGTTATGTTGAATATAATTAATGAGAACTAGTACAGACAAAGAATCAATGGCTATGAACTTTTCATGTAAATAAATAGATCATCTCATACTCAACTAATGTACATATACAATATTGGTTTTGTTAAAATGGGTTCCTCCAAATTGAGTATTACATGCGTTTTTGTTGCTATGCTGGTCATTTCATGTGACCTTCTCTCAGGTACATGTTATTTCAAATATATATTCGATTATGACATATAGAACACATTTGTATTCTTCTTGTGAGCAAATTAGATTCTTATTTTCTTTTTCATGATTTGATAGTTGAAATGGGAATTAGCGTGGAAGCTAAACCACCTCCGACTTGTGGACCAGATTGTACTGATGAATTCTTGAAAGAAGACTGCAATAACTATTGTTTAGGTTTGTCTTATGAAACTGGTGCTTGCATTTTATTCAGAGGGATGCCTTCACAAAATCGTTGTTGTTGTTTTTAAATGAAAATTATATAATTCTTTCATCCTCTTTGATATGATCTACTATGTTTATGTTTTTTTTCTTTCCTTTAACTATTATTATAAAGAGTTTTATTTTTCAAAGGTTATATTTATATAATCTTAATCATAATTAAAATTAATAGTGGATTTGATATTCTTATAGAGTTATAGTAGTCAAATACAAATATAAACGAAATGGTTATCTTGACTTGCTGGTCGATGCTTAGAAGCGATCGAGAGCTCAATTTATTTGAGCGTCAACCTATAAATCAAGACAATTTGGTAAAGGGACAAAAAAAGAGTTGTCTTCTAAGATAATTTCTTTATGCTCTAGTCAGTATTAGCCAGAAAACACAAAATGCAAATCAAACTTATCCTAGTCTTATCACCTATGTGTGTTATTGTGTACATGTCATGTGTGTTATTGTGTACATGTCAAAACTTAAACGAATGTGAAAACGCTAATACTGACTAGGAGATATTGTGTGACAGGATACATTCAATGTATTAGGAAGACAACGTCCACGTTTGAAAATCTTTGCATTACGATCTTGGTCAACAAAAAAATAGAATATCAAATCTATATTACCCTCTTGTTTTATACAAATACACATATACTATGTCTATACAAGACAAAATAAAGAAAAATAAGAGGAACCAAAACCACATATTATTAGAAAGTGCAACTAGTTAAAGTCAATGTGTATTATTCCATCACACATGAAGAGACGTGCAACGCGTTACGTTGACTGACTTAGCCTTCTTTTATTAACACCAAAGTCAACCCTATTGTTATCTCTATTAACTCTAAAGTTGTGTTTCTCACAAGTAACAATCTCATTTTCAAGACCAAGAAAGCAAAAAACACACACACAAATTAGAAAATGGGGAAGCCAACGTCTCAAAACAATAACTTCATAAACCACTTCAGCCACCCACACAGACTTCAATTAGCCCCGGCGACGTCATCACCACCGTGCTCAGCTTGCAAACTCGCCGGAGGCAACGGCAGGGTTTACTCATGTAGGCCATGTAACTTCTTTCTACATGAGTCTTGCAGCAAGATGAAGCAGGTAATAACACATCCCTCTCACCCTTCTCATACGCTTACTCTTCTTGTGGCTCCTGTCTACGATGGTGGATACTTCAACTGTGATGGTTGTGGTGTCCATGGGACGGGTTTTAGCTACCAATGCTCTCTATGCGACTTCGACATCCATGCTCTTTGTGCTTACAAGCCGCTCTCGATCATTCACCAGTCTCATCCGCAACATAGCCTTAAGCTCACGTTTCACTCTCCCTATGGAGCCAATAAAGGTTTCTCTTGTGATATATGTCTTAAGATCGGGAAGAACCAGTGGCTCTATCGATGCATCCCTTGCGAATTCGACGCTCATGTTGCTTGCATCGCTGCTACTAATTCTCACCTCCTTCAACATAGTGCTTCTTCACCTAATCCTCATGCTCATCATGCTGGACACCCTCACCATCAAAACTCGCTTCCTGTGCCTAACCAAGGCAGTAACAGGCCCAGACCCATGCCCATGACAAGGCCCAATAGGCCTTTAGCTCAACATGTTTCTCCCAATGGACCAAGAAGACAGAACAACAACTTGGTTTATAATGCTCAAGTTGGACCATTCGGACAGAATGAACTTATTGGTCAGGTAGAACAGAGTTTTGGTCAAGGGTCAACGGATGGGAGTGGCTACGATGGTAGTGTAGTAGGGGACGAAGAATTTAACGTGGAGGTTGATGTTAATGTCGAGGTTGAATATGAAGGTGATGAGTATGTTGAAGAGGCTAATGACGAAGGAGAAGATATTGATGGTAACGGGCTTGAAGTTGTGGCTTATGGTGATGATGTAAGTGTTGCTCGTAGTGAGAGTGATTTTGGAGGCAGCAGTGATGCTCGTAGCCAATGTAATGATATGTCTGATGCTGATCTTTATCCACTATCTCTGGATAATTCACAAGGACCAAGACCAAGACCAAGGCCACTTCGTATGAACCAAGGCCCGGGTGGGGGGAAGAAGAAAAACACAAACCTGAATGGTCCGGCCGCTCGGTCTAAGAATATGGTTCTTAATGGGCCACGTGGTGGCCTTCAAGGTTCTAAGAGTCCAATACAAAGCCCTAGAGCACCTCAAGCTGGAAGTGTGCAAAATGTTCGTTACAATGCGATAAGAGGTCGTGGTGGCGCTGTGAGTGTAAGAGTTAATAGACCTCGTGACCCATCTGCATTTGGTGCACCTCAGGGATTTAATGGGCCTAGTGTTGGACCTTCCAATGCAATTGATGGTAGTGGCAACAATGATAACTACAACGAAGGCGATGGCACTGATGTTTATGTTGGTGAAGATAATGTTGGCTACAATGAGAGTTATGGTGATCATGACTATGCTGATGGTGATGGTGATTGTGACTTTGAAGTTGGAGGTGACTTCGCTGATGATGGTTGTGATCAAGATTATGATGATACTTATGGCGAAAACGATTTCGAAAACTATAGTGACATCACAGGAGGAAGTGGTTCTATGTATGATGAGGGTGAATCTTATGGGACTAAGGATGATTCACAATATAATGGTTTAAATGAAGATCCCAATAACCAGTATTTACCTATGGTTGGTGGACCAGGAGTGAATAACCAAAACCAATACGGTCAAAATGGTAGGCCGGGGAATATTGGCACGTATGGTCGAGGTGGTACTTCAAATATGAACAGATATGGAAACGTGAACCAAGGTGGAAATAGGATTCAGCCTAGAGCTATGGGTCGACCGGTCCAATATAGGGCCAACGGAAGACCTAATAGGGCAAATGGAGGACCTTATGGTCCCAATGGAGGGCCTATTAATGGACCAATGTTGATGAATACAATGGTGCAAGGTTTATGTCAAGGCATTGCTATGAACATGCTCATTGGTGATGGTAATGGTGGAGCGAGTGATGGTGGTGGATCATCGATCTTAGGAGGCTTGCTTGGTGGTGAAACGGAATAAGAATACTAAAAGAGATGAAAATTAAATGGTTATGCTAAACAAAATGTATTGATTTCGTTATGTATTTTTCGAGTTTGTATTAATTAAAGTATTTGTTTCCTCTTTTGATTTCTTAAGTAGTTGATAAAACTATACGTTTCGATATTTTGAAATGTAAGAGAGTATTTGAAATAAATTATTTTGGAGTAAAATATATTTTTGAAGATGATAATTGATAACAGATAAATATATATGAGCCTTTTGTTTCTCCTTATCTAATTGATAAATCGATCGATTACAACGAACAAATCTTTCATATAGATAGAGGATAAAATAAATTTTTATCATGTGTTATTGCACATATATAGTGATGGTGAGCTCCATATATGAAGCAAGTTATCAAATCAAAGTCTATGAAACATAAAATTTCTCAATATTTTAGTTTATCATTAATATATTATTTAATATTTTGTTAGGCTAATCGTTATATTTTTTTTTTTTGGAGTAAACGTTATAGGTTAATCGTAATTGAAAAAAGAAATAGGTAAAACCATAGAGAATACATATAAGTAATAACATTATTTTCATAAAAATACCATTGTTGATTTGTGTTTGTCGGCAAAAACGTTTATTTTAAAACCCTTTAATATAGTGAAATCACGATCTAAATCGGATCATGTTAAAGATAATCTCAATCTAATTAAATCCAGAAATCTTTTTGGTAGTTTGTGTTAAAAAAAAGGAAACATATCACAAATATTTCCTTTTTGCTTACTTCCAAGTCCTAGTAAAGTTTGGAAGAACTCAACGTAACGATGATTATGATATAAATACACCTTTTAACCCTCTCATTATTTCTCACAATTCAATCGATCAAAGCTCTCCTTTGTTTTAAAAGTTAAAGACGAAAGAAGAGTACTCTGCTGTTCTTAGTACACGACCGTCAAGTCTCATTCGAACATGTCGGTTACGTTGATACACAGTTACCTCGTCCGAGACTACTTTGCTGTTCCGTTTCTTACACCACAAGGAATTGGTTACCACCACTTTTGTCGTAACTCCTTCTTACATGTTCCTCAAAGAGTTGTTCCTCTCTTGGGCTTGAAGAAACGTTCACAAAAACCTTACTTCAAACCTTCTACTACTACTACTGAAAAGCCACAATCTAACCCTAATCCTGTTCATGATGAGAAGCCTGTTCATCAAGCTAAAGCACCACCACCGACTCATCAAGAAGCACCACCGACGACTCATCAAGAAGCACCACCGACGACTCATCAAGAAGCACCACCGACGACTCATCAAGAAGCACCACCACCGACTCATCAAGAAGCGTCACCACCGACTCGTCAAGAAGCACCACGAACTCATCAAGAAGCACCACCACCGACTCATCAAGAAGCACCACCACCGACTCGTCAAGAAGTAGAGTTTTTTGGTGGTTCGGTCACGATGGGTGCTGCTCCTTCCCCAAGACACGTACCGATTCCCATGTTTTGTGTTAGAGAGAAGATCAAAGAGTCCTCGAAGCTGATCAAGACTTGAATGAGAGAATTCAAGAGACCAATCTCTTTTCTTTTTTATGTTAATTGTAATTATTTGTGGCAATTTTTTTTGTTCAGTAAGCAATAGTCACCAATGTTTACTGTACTAGAGTCACAAGTTGTCAGGAGTTGTAAAGGTGTTCCTGTTAATTACAATTGATATTTCACTATTGCAGATTATGTTTTTAATATATTATTAGAAATTTTTTTAAAAAAATCTAGTTATCAGAATCGTGAAATCAAACAAGTGGAATACAAAACATGACTACAGTTCTAAATTAGATTTATGGCCAAAGGATAACACAACAATCCTTTTGGGAGTAAATATACTTGTGAAGATGATAACGAACATATATACGAGCCTTTTGTTTTTCCTTATCTAATAGATAAATCGAATTCAATGAACAAAACGTTCATATACGTAGAAGATATAATAAAGTTTTACAATGTGTTATTATTATTATTATTTTTTTTGGTAAGAAGTTTTACAATGTGTTATTGCATGCAAATGTATAGTGATGGTAAGCTCCCTATATGAAGAAAATCATGAGTCGACTTATTACATCATCAAAGTCGATAAAAGTATTTTTGGAATTCCATAGCCAAACCGGCACATTTCTCTATAAATTTAGAACGTAATTAATCATGTTCATTTGGCAAGTCTCGGATATGAATAAGAGATTCTTCCCACTTGTCTTGAAATGCATCACATATTTGTTAAATGGGAATTTATATAAACAACATTGCACAAAACCTAGGATTGAAAAAAAGTGAGAGAGAGGTATATCACATTCATCACAACATCAACCAACTTAATCACTGCTGTCGAGTTCCATGGATTCATGGCAATTTGGCCATGCATGGGTAGCCACAAACCATTAATGTGGATTCACTAATAAATCGAAGTCTTGATAAAAATCTATAAAAACATATAATTTGTCAATATCTTAGTTTAGAAGTATTCACATTTATCTTTTAAAATATTGTTAAAATTTTGTTAGGTTAATCGTTTTTTTTGTTTGGAGTAATATTGTTAATATCTTAGTTTAGAAGTATTCACATTTATCTATGATTATTCTTCAAAAACCGTTAAAGACCGTGAAATTCAACAATCTAATTAAATCGGATCCGGTTAAAGAGATAAATTCAAGACAAGTGGGAAAAATCTAATTTAACAAATATGTTATGGATTTAACAAACGCGTATGGATATGCATATTTTCTTTTTGCTTAATTCCAAGTCCTAGTCAAGTTTTAAGGAACTCAACGTAACGATGATAATGATATAAATACACCATTCAACCCTCTCATTATTTCTCACAATTCAATCGATCAAGCTCTCCCTTGTCTAAAGCTAAAGAAGAAGAAAGAGTACTCTGCTGTTCTTAGTACACGACCGTCAAGTCTCATTCGAACATGTCGGTTACGTTGATACATAGTTACCTCGTCCGAGACTACTTCGCTGTTCCGTTTCTTACACCACAGGGCATAGGTTACCACCACTTTTGTCGGAACTCCTTCTTACATGTTCCTCAAAGAGTTGTTGTTCCTCTCTTGGGCTTGAAGAAACGTTCACAAAAACCTTACTTCAAACCTTCTACTACTACTACTGAAAAGCCGCAATCTAACCCTAGTCCTGTTCATGAGAAGCCTGTTCATGATGAGAAGCCTGTTCATGAGAAGCCTGTTCATGATGAGAAGCCTGTTCATCAAGCTGAAGCACCACCACCGACTCATCAAGAAGCACCACCACCGACTCAACAAGAAGCACCACCGACGACTCAAGAAGCACCACCGACGACTCATCAAGAACCACCACCGACTCATCAAGAAGCACCACCACCGACTCGTCAAGAAGCAGAGTTTTTTGGTGGTTCGGTCACGATGGGTGCTGCTCCTTCCCCAAGACACGTGCCGATTCCGATGTTTTATCTTAGAGAGAAGATCAAAGAGTCCTCAAAGCTAACCAAGACTTGAGAATTCAAGAGACCAATCTTTTGTTTTTTTTTAATGTTAATTGTAATTATTTGTGGCAATTTGTTTTTGTTCAGTAAGCAATAGTCACCAATGTTTACTGTACTAGAGTCACAAGTTGTAAAGGTGTTCCTGTTAATTACAATTGATATTTCACTATTGCAGAGTTTGTATTTAATATATCACTAGAAAATAATAAAAAATCTAGTTATCAGAATCGTGAATCAAACAAGTGGATTCAGACATGTGGAATACAAAACATGACTACAGTTCTAAATTAGATTTATGGCCAAAGGATAAAACAAACAATGAATAATAAGAGGTCACTAGTAAAGTGCATGTAATTTGTTTAGTTGTCTTAAATATTGTTTTAATAAAAAGAACTTAATGTACAACTTGAAAATAAAATTATTATTCTTATTATTTTTATCAAAACGTTTTTGAAATTATAATCAGTATTTTATAAATCAGTTCTAAAATAAATAATAAAATCCTATTTACTAAATGTTTGATAAGTCTAAGGGAAATTAAAAAAAAAAAAAGGTAAATTTGTCAAATCGCCTCAAAGTAGATTATGTTTGGCGTATGTTGACTTAAGGCCACTGGAGACAATGTGACTTTTTTTGTTTTATAATATACGGTGAATATATGACTTTTGCAGGAAAAAAAAAAGATTTGACTTGTTGCATATAATATAAGGTACAAAAGTTTTAGAAGTATCCTAAGTAGAGCATGATCAATGTTATGAGCTAGTTAAAGCACTCACCTCCAATGGTAAGCATTATTGAAGGGTGCTAATCATTTTTTTTTATTAAATTTTTAAAAGTGGTGTTTATGTGTTGCTTATAATCACAATTTAATCTATGGTTCTTGCAATATTTTTTTTTTTTATGATTATATTCATTACATACAATGATAAGCAATATCTTAAACATACACTAAGCAATATCTTAAACAAGGAGGTGCTCTTAGCTGTTGTAGTGATGAAATAGAAAGGCTAAAAGCACAAACAAGTAATTATGAATGTTATATACCACTACTCTCTCATGCTAGCCTGCTTCGGAAAAAAGATTATTTATATATATATATATAATAACTAATTACTTCTTTTTTTATTATCTAAAAAGAAGATCAAAAACTATAATAAATTTGTACTCACCAGGCTATAATAAAATAATTAAAATCAGGCGGTGCAGTTGATTAGCTGGTGCTTATTGATTAGTCGGTGCTTATTGTTTACGTGGTTGAAATATTTGAAAGGACGTTTATCTTGTTTTTTTATAAACACAATCTTAAACGCTGGTTAAATCCGCGATGCCTGTGATATTGCATTTTTGAAGTGTAAATCTTGATATTTTCTCCAAGTCTGGGCGTGTTTGAGCTGTGATCATGATGACATGCTTGTTCATTGGTTTCCTTGCAACAATGGTTCAATATTGGAAGACAACAAATGCGTATCCACAGATGAAGTCGACCGTTCCGGTGATGTAGCAGTCTCTATAAAACTGATGCTTTCTGCGAGGGTATAGAGCATCCTGACATCTTTCCATCCTGCATCGGTATATGACGGATATGTCTCCACTGACATGGAGGACTACCACTGGTCCCTTTGTCGGCCCGGCTGTGTTTCGAAAACACATATCAGTTACCCAAAAACCATCACCATTAGAAGCTGCAATTGAAAATATAATTATGATATTTTAATAGCTTGATATAAAGAAAGAGATAGTGGGTGAAGGTATGCAACAAATAAAACAACAAAAGTGTTTTGGGCTTAAACAAAACTACTTCAGGTCCAATAACGGAAACAATAAATGATTTAGGCTTAAACAAAACTACTTCAAGTCCAATAACAGAAACAATAAATGATTTGGGCTTAAACAAAACTACTTCAGGTCCAATAATAAAAACATGAAATAATAGTCTAGCCAACAAGTTCATCATCTGAACACATTTATTGTGTTTTATCTGAACTCTTTGAGCCCAAAACACTTGTTGTTATCCCTCGTAAACGCTTATTGGGAACTATTATTATTCAAGAAGAAGAGAAGAAAATTCTTACCAAGAGTTGCAGTATTAAACGTCACTACAACGAAATAGTGGTATTGCAACATAATATTTGCAACAATTTTGCCATATGTTTGCAATATAAATGCAATGTTTGCAATTTTCTTTGAAATTTATTGCTAATTAACTACAAAGGTTTAAATTGCAGTTTTCATCCCAAATTAGCAATATGTTTACGACATATAAAAAACTCTTGCAAAATTTCTAAGAAATATTTAACGATTATGAACCGTAGCTATTTTACAACAAAATTATAGTAAATATATGTGACAAATTATGTGACAATTTTGCCATAGTAATTACAACATTCAATTACTCTATTGCAACATATAAGTTAAATATAACTTATGTCTATATATATAATATTATATATTCATATGTTCTTACTAAGTTACGAAATGAAACATATTTGTTGCGTTTTAATTAATATTAAATTATATATAATATTATTTGGTTATTTAAATATTTTGTGCTTATTCTTTATGTTGTGCCTAGTATAGTTCATGGCTGTAGAGTCAAGAAAATTAATTACCACATTTTAGTTAATTTATCACTTAATAATGATCATGAATAAGCCAAAAAGTACTTAATATTATGTACAGCGTAGACAATGATTAGATATCATTTAGATAAGCCAAAAGAGTACACATATATTTTCTAAAGCATATCCACGAGACCACGACCCTTTTTTACTGTAACCCTTTTTCTAAATCAATTTGTAACTAAGTGACTTAAATCATTTCGAAAACAACTGAAATCCAGCAAATGAAATCTTATTAGTTTAAAGTTTTGCATTTCGGTTATGAAGAAAAAAGAAATAATATTCCCACCTCTTCCCGCTAATTTTTTGTTGTTAATAATATTTCGGAGATTAGGGTAAATCTAAAAAAATTTGATATCAAAGATACGATTGTGTTTTACTTTGATTATATATATTTTAAGAACTTTTATCAATACAATACGTTCACAAGAACAACTTCTTCTCTAAACGTAAACACAATTTTTATTATAGAATCCCATTTTTATTTTAGTATTAACGTTGTTATTTTGAAACATATTTTTTCAGATCAATCCTATGGAAAACGAAGGCCAAGTTCATGGAGGCACTCCGGTTTTTAGGTGTTCTTAATACATCAAGACTTAATGGAACGTTTTGGTAAGAAAAACTTTATATTTTCTTGATCTATTATGTAGTATTATTTGTGTAATTAATTTGATTTTATTTGTAGGTTCAAACATGATTATGTAATCACTAGTGAGATAAGAACAATCATTCGTCAGAAGTGGAGTGTCAACTATCTTTGAAAATCATGTAGAAAATGAAAAGGCAATTAAACATAAATTAAAGAAGATTTATCAAGAAAATGAGCAAATCAAAGAGAGGATTAACAAGCTTGAAAGGTCGAAAAAATGATCCACATATTGTGCCCGTCAGCAGCGGAAGGAGACATTTGAGTGAGCTTTTATAGAGAATATATACATAGATATATATATATATATATATATATATATAGTTATAGAGAATATATATATATAAAAGTTATAACATTATTTTCATAAACAAAACCATTGTTTATTTGTGTTTGTCGGCAAAAAAGTTTCTTTTAAACCCTTAAATATAGTGAAATCACGATCTAAATCGGATCATGTTAAAGATAATCTCAATCTAAATCAAGAAATCTTTTTGGTGGTTCGGTCACAATGAGTTTTGTTCCTTCACCGAAACACGTGCCAGTTCCAATTCCAATTCCAAAACATATCGCTAAGTCATAGTAAACATATCCCAAATATTTCCTTTTTGCTTAATTAATTCCAAGTCCTAGTAAAGTTTTAAAGAACTCAACGTAACGATGATTATAAATACACCATGCAACCCTCTCATTATTTCTCACAATTCAATCGATCAAGCTCTTAGCTCTCCTTTGTCTAAAGCTAAAGACGAAAGAAGAGTACTCTGCTGTTTTCTTAGTACACGACCAACAAGTATCACTCGAACATGTCGGTTACGTTGATACACCGTTACCTCGTCCGAGACTACTTTGCTGTTCCGTTTGTTACACCACAGGGCATAGGTTACCACCACTTTTGTCGTAACTCCTTCTTACATGTTCCGCAAAGAGTTGTTCCTCTCTTGGGCTTGAAGAAACGTTCACAAAAACCTTACTTCAAACCTTCTACTACTACTACTGAAAAGCCACAATCTAACCCTAATCCTGTTCATGAGAAGCCTGTTCATGATGAGAAGCCTGTTCATGATGAGAAGCTTGTTCATGATGAGAAGCCTGTTCATGATGAGAAGCCTGTTCATGAGAAGCCTGTTCATGATGACAAGCCTGTTCATCAAGCTAAAGCACCACCACCGACTCATCAAGAAGCACCACCGACGACTCATCAAGATGCACCACCGACTCATCAAGAAGCACCACCGACGACTCAAGAAGCAGAGTTTTTTGCTGGTTCGGTCACGATGGGTGCTGCTCCTTCCCCAAGACATGTACCGATTCCGATGTTTTATTTAAGAGAGAAGATCAAAGATTCCTCGAAGCTAACCAACAAGACTTGAGAATTCAAGACACCAATCTTATTTTTCTTATGTTAATTGTAATATTTGTGGCAATTTTGTTGTTCAGTAAGCAATAGTCACCAATGTTTACTGTACTAGAGTCACAAGTTTGTCAAAGTGTTCTTATTTACAATTGATATATTTCATTGTTGCAATTTTTTTTTAATATAACATTACAAATAAAAAACCTAGTTGATTTTCTTTTAATATAACACTATTCTTATTATTTTTTTTATTCATCAAAACTTTTTTAAAAATATTAATATTTTTTTAAATCCATCATATATATAATAAATTTCTATTTACTAAATATTTGATATTTGTAGCCTCTAGAATTACATAAATATGAAATATTAAAAGTATAAGAAAAAAGTATTTTCATTTTGTTAAAAATTAAATCAAGAAATAAACACAAAGTCATTTATGATTAAAAACGTCAAAGGCCATAACAAACAAATAGAAATCAGAAACGTAGTAGTCTCTTTGGTTTCTTCTCCACCGCCTTCAAAACGAGAGAGAGATCTTACGAGCAGTCCAAACATGACTACAGCTCTCACTTCGAAGATTCACAAAAAAATTGACTTCTCTTCTGTTGAGTTGTTCGTGAAACATCCCAAAAGATTAATGCACACAAGGTGTTCGATAAAATTCCCCAATCCTCACAAAGTCTCTGTTTTTTTCTTCTTTACAACCCTTGTCACGTGCTTCTCACGTGATATGATTGTACCGTGCTGTTATATTCGTTGACGTTCCCGCCTCGACTCTGTTTCTTTCTCTGAAGCAGAGAGAACAAGAAAGCTCAAGAATCTTGAGAATATGGTTGTTGCAATGGAGACTACTACGTTTCTGAGAGATGCTAAGAGAGTAAAACTCTACAAAGAAGCAAAAGATCTCTTCGCTAATGGAGATCACAGCAAGGCCTTGGGGATGATTGAAGATATGATTTTGGCACATAAGGGAGACAAGAACTTGTGGTTACTTCATATCGAACAAGGTAACATGTTCATGGATCTAGCTAAATCAACAGAGAACCCGTACGTTGATTTTGTGTACATGTTGGGTTCTGTAGGATGCTTTTCGAAACATGTGTTGTTATCACGACCTTATGCAGATGGACTCTTTTATTTGGCTGAAGTGCTTGGGTCAGTATTGTATTACAAGAAATGTGTGAAGGTAGCTAAACAGGGTTTATCTGTTACTTACCCTGAAGACTCAGGATCTCTTGCTCAAGAGACTTTGCAAGTGCTGAAGAAAGATATGGAGACAGAACTGGAGAGTTTAATCGAAGATGCAGAGTTTAATATGGCTGGTTCCAAGATTGGAGAGCTGACGGGTTTACTACAAAAATACAGTGAGGCAGAAGTTTTGCAGTCAAAGGAATGTGTAGAGCCGGTTAAGAGTGAGTTTATAGGATTGAGGTCGTTTTGGTTAGGTTTGGATGTTAAGGTCAAGAGAGACTTTATGAAAGTAAGCATTCCGAAGCTTATGAGTTTTGTCGAGGGAGTACATTCCAGAAAGGGAAGAGATGCTTTTGAGCAAGTTCTCGCTTCTGCCAAGGAAAACAGAAAATGGACACTCTGGATGTGTCGAATGAAATGTTCAAAGAAGTTCTCTAGTGATGAAGAATGTAAGAAACATCTTGAACAAGAACATGCTGCAGATTTTAAACCTTCTAAGGAAATGGATATGGTCAAACGGATAGGCAAAGAATGGGCTCGTAAGATATCGGTTGGAGGTTGGGAACCAGTGGATACGGTAGCTGCTGTTGAAATGATTAAAAGTCAGCTTGCAGACGTGAAAGCGTTTTCATATAAGAATGGATGGTCCAAAGAATGGCCTTTAGCTGCAGATGAAATGCGCAGTAAGTTACTTAAGGAAATCAAAAATTTCCTTGTGATGTTTTGTGACCTAAAAATTCTCTCCTGTAACATTCGAGACTGGGTGAAGCTTTATCCGGTTACGCATCTTGGAAAGTTTAACGTTTCTGAACAGATTCTTGTTGATTCTCACCTAGTGGAAACACCTCAGAGTATATGTTTTCTGGAATGTCAACAACTCAATGAAATCCTAAACTTACTAAAACTTATCAAGTGTGAAAGGGATGATGGTGCAAAACTAGTCTGCAGAGCAGTGGACAGTATCTTGGGTTCTACTCGAGCTACAGAAAGTATCGACTTTGACCCGGAGTTTTCATTTCTGCTTTTAGACAGAAGATTGCTAAAAAGTAATAATGCTCCACTTAATGATGGGGGGACAATCAATGTTTTCGATCCCAATGTTCACTACGGGAAGGCACATGCTCGGGGAGATGATATCATATCATGGTTAACTGACTACAATTCAGTAGAGAAGACCTTACCCAAACCTATCAGGGAACATAATCTTGATATTTGGTTGGCTGTTCTGAGAGCTGTTCAGTTCACATGTAGAACTTTGGAAACCAAATATGTAAAGAAACTACAAGTCTTAGATTATAGTAAAGCTCTTCTTGTCGTCGAAGACTTGTGCAAGGGGGAAAAAGAAAGTAGAAGAAACCTTCAGGAAGATCAGTGGAACAGCTATGCATCTCTTCTTTGCAATAGATGCGAAGAGCGTGTCCCCGGAAATTCCCTCGCTACAAAATTGTTTTTGTGTGCAGTGCGAGATGTTCTCCAAGGAGCTTCGGATCTGACATTTGATCTCCCTGATTTTGAAGGTTGCATGAATCTTATACGTGAGCGTAAAAATCTCGGCGATGATATAGTGCTGAAGTCCTTAAAACGTCTGAAATCAGTGGTCACCTTCAAGGTTCATTCTTGGTTTTTAATTTTCATTAGCAACATAATGACATAAATTTGCATCTTAAAATATCTACATGACTTACAGGTTTTACTAATCGACTCGAGGATTCTGCTGGTTGATAATTCAAGGATTAGTTTGCTGAACAACCTCACCAGGCTTTCTATTTTTGATAACCGCACTTACATCCTTCAACTGCTGAAACCTTTCTTGCTGGTTAGTTTGAAGCTTCAGTTATATACTGTGAGATTTTTGTTTTTTTGCTTTATTTGGCCTTTGAATTGTTTCTGATATGATATTATGTATTTTCTCATCTAGAATGAAATTGTGAATATGGAATCCAAAGCCAAGTTAGATGCCGTAGTAGCAGATCTTTTACTCGAGGAGGAGAAGTCACGGCCTAAGAAGAAGAAAAGTAATAGCAAAAAGGTTCTAAGACTTGCAGTTTATAAATTCCCAATTGCTTTTTTGAATTTTTGTTTATTTTCGTTTGTAAGAATGAATGGTCTTCATGGTGCAACAGAGAACTTCAACGAGCAGGTCTCGTCCCCTTTACAAGACTGTTGAAGAGTAAGTACCTCAAGAGTCTTTTTCGCATGTTGATAAACTGTTTTCGAATTTTCTCTGAGCATAACATATTCTTACATGTCTAGTAAAACTTCTGTCAACCATGAACCGGAAATTACGTCTCCATCACTAACAGTGCAAGAAGATTCTATGGAACCAGGTGATACTCTTGCAAGTGAAAGGGGTCGATTGGAAATTTCATCCAACACTGTCAAACAAGAGGAAGGTACTAGAGTTGACCAATTTGAGTTATTTGCAAAATTCTTAGTACTTATTTGAGTTAAACATGTAAAAGATCTCAACGGATGAATGATTTGAGTTATATGCATAATTCTTATTTGTTTCATTCGCCATCTTCAAGTTATGCAAAACATGCCTGGAGAAAATTCTCATTCAGAACATTTGGAATCAGCACTTGGAGAAGCTGCAGCCAGATACAATTCAGCTCTTGACATGACGCTGAAGGTGAAGCTTACCAACCGAAACACTATTCAATACCTTAAATTCTAGTCTTCTGATTTAATCCACTGCATATCTCTTTACTTCGATACTCTCTTTGAGAAGCAAAAAAAACTCACGTGGTATTGCAGGCCCTCTTGAATATTAAGATTCTCAAAGAAGATTTGATGCACAATAGGAAACCATTTCAAGACCACCTGGAAGACCAAATTCCTTTTGCGCTACAAAAGTTCTTTGCTGCTTTTGTGTCAGAGGTGATAAAAGATGAGGGAATGTACAGTTGCCTCTTGAGAGACTTACTTGCTTCCTTAGAAGAAGTTATTTCCATGGTTCGTGTGGAGAACAGAAGGTATTATTGTTACTTTGTCAGTACGCGTAGTTGTTTTATAATTTTTTTTCTATTTTCTGCTTTTTTTCAGTCGAGCAGTGCTGCTGAGGTTCTTGTAGCCATCCTTGAGTTTTGGCATTACTGGAAAAATGCTGAAAGAGAAAGCTTGGTAACTCGCTTCTTCGAGTTGGAGGAAAATGAAAGAATGAGTTGTAGAAAATGCAGAAAGAAACTAAAGTATCCAGAGCAAAGTTCTTACGGCATTGTTATTGCTGCAGATTCGACCAGAGACTTGAAGGTATGTTTCATTTAGTGCCCTCTTTATCTTTCCTTATAAGTAGGTACTTCCCCTTATAAGACTGTTTTGTGCTTTCATATATGCAGCGCGCTCTGGGGAATATAAGGTTTGTGGATATCCTTAAGGTGATCCGTATGGAATATAAGATGTTTTGTGACATAAAAGCAGACGGATGTGGAATAACAAACTTTGTTCATCACATTATAAGTAAATGCCCACCTATCTTCACAATCGGTAAGTTTTGACCACCATGATTGTGATCTTATATACTCATTTCATTTGATATGCTTATGATTAAGCAATGTTGGTATTTTGTGGGTTTGTAACATTAGTGTTAGAATGGGAGAAGAATGAAACTGGAAAAGAAATATTTGAGACAGCAAAGGCTTTGGACTGGGAGATAGATATCAGCCGACTGTACAAAGGCTTAGAACCAAAAACTAACTACCGGCTTGTGTCAATGGTAATACATCTAAAACTCGATCACAGATGCTTTTGCTATTGTTCCTCTGTATTTATCTAAGAAGATGAACAATTTTTATGCAGGTATGTTGTCGTGAAGAAGAACACATTTGCATAGTTTATGAAAAGAATCGTTGGGTCAATCTCAGACGTGATACTTTTGCAGGAGAGGTAAGGCCATACAGTTGCCTCTTGTCTTCTTTGAGTTGACATGTGACTTTAGTCTGGCCAGATATGATTGATATATGTGTTTTGTGATGCCATAGGATGTTGGTACCTGGAAGAGTGTGGTTAGATTCTGTGGAGAAAGAAAGGTTAGGCCAGAAGTTCTGTGTTACGAAATTGTCCGATCAACGTCCTAACAAGGGTTTCAAAATGAAGACTCATCTATTGATTTTGGCTCTTGAATCACCAAACGTTATAAGATTAACATCAATAGTGTGTTTTAGATTTAGTAGATTAGAAGCAAGCAAAATATCATAAACATAAGATAAATCTTAAAAGGTTACATTGGTGGGTTTAAGCTGACTAAACTTGGAACATAACTAAAGAGAAACCACTTTAAAGGATTTGATTGGTTTGTATGATAATCAAATATTCTGCAGTGATGCTCTCCATCAATGGATATAATGTTCTTCTTGTAATCCCTTCTTCTGCCACAGGACACAACCACTTTCTTCTCTTCGTCAACGACGAAACTCACAAATGTTTCAAACGGATGATCAAAGTAAGAGGATGATTCAAAGGATTTGCTCCACGACAGTACAGTTTCAGCTGTATCAATCTTACTCACCCATATCTCCACAAATACCTGTTTTGTATCAAGTTTCATATGTAACACCGAGAGTTGCTCTTCTCCGACAACTGATATGCCTAAAATATAAGAATCAATCATAACAGGAAGATGTAATGGAAAACACAAACATCTAAATTTCTCTGTTGTGAAATCAAAACTCAGTATAAAGAAGCCATCATCCTCCTCAAAACTAGAAAGCCAATAGGTATTTCCCTTCAAAGACACGCCTCTTCCGATAATGCATTGTTTCACTATGAGAGGTATGTTAGCAAGAACTCTCCATGAGTTAGACTTCAGCTCAAAGATTTCCAAAAGGTTTTGATAATCAGATGGAAACCTCAAGATTTTGTAGCTTTCGTATGAGTTTTTATCCTTGTTTTCGTAACCTAAAGCATACTTATCAGACACCTTGTAAACACTTCTTGGTTTGATCCATCTGGTTTCACTAGTACATGGATTCAAAACCACGAGTTCACTCTTGCTGAACTCTTTAGTTGAACATAACAATAGGCCGTTGCACTGAACTACTTGAGTTATCTTGACTTCTTTTGACTTCTCTAAGTTAAGTTTAGCAGTAAACTCTATAGACGCATCACCAACAGCAACATTGTTATTGATACTCAGCGATGAAACTTTAGAACTACTGAACAAGAGAATCATACTTGGCGACTTTGCTGCTTTAGCTAATTGCTTCTTGATGAATTCATGATCTTTGAATAAAGCGTACCAACGTTTGCAAGTATATTGTAACTCTCTAAGATATGTAGCTGGAACTCTAGAGAGTATCTCCTCTACCAAATCCCATGGAAGATGGAACCTCACCATTGTTTTCTCTCGTTGATGACCAGTGCGTAAGAGAAATAAATTAAAACTTAGGGTTTATAAGTTTTTCACGTTTTTGGGTTTGCTTATATAATAAGTTAACTATTTTCCTTTTCGTTTTAGGTTTTCTATTTTTGAACAGTCTCGTCCCACTCGGATAAACTCAAGATTAAAATAGATTTTATTATGTATCAGAAATAAAAGAAGTTTGTTTCAAAAAAATAATAATAATAATAATAATAACAAAAAATATAAGAACTTGAAGGTTTCTTTGTTTCTTCGAATATTATGACTTGTGTTGTAGATTGTTAGACTATTTACAGGTTAGGTTGTGTTTGATGGAATTAATAAAATTAAGAAAAAAGATAATGGTATAAAAAGACTAAAAATCTTTGATTTATGTTTTTCAAATCAATATTTTGTTATATCAACTTGATGTTCAGTATTTTATTATTCACTCTTTCTTTCTAAAAGATAATTTTTTAAAGATTTTCACGCATATTAAAAAAAAATCTAAAATTTGATAATAATTGTATTAATTTTTGTAATCTACGAGTTTTTAAAATGCTAAACCAATAGTATTTAGTTATTTATCTTGAAATTTGTAAACCGCAATTAATAAAGCATTGATAATTTAAAAAATTATCTTTTTGAAACAATTTTTTCCCTAAAATAATTATATTTTAGAAACAGAGGGCGTATATTTAAAAAAAAAAATGGTTTATACACTTTCAATTTTTTTTTTTTTTTTTTTTGCGTGTCCTCTTCTAATTTCATGTGATCTAACTTTCTAAAGAATGCAATATTATGTCACCATTGTTTAAAAAAAAAAAAAGAAAAAAAAGAATGCAATATTATAATATCTCACCATTTTACTCTCGACATAATAATCAATATGATTCAATTTTTGATAAAATACTGGTTTTAAAGAACTTATATAATAGAAACCCCATTGACCTAATGGTGTTGACCAAAAGTTTAGTAATGTTTCTACACCAGGATGTCTGGGGTTCGAACCTATATAGCGGTTTATTAATATTTCTGTAGATTAATGGAGACAACGGTTACACGAGATCTCCAACGATGCACAATTAGAATCGTTCGCCGTGATTCTAGCTATCGAAGGAGAAGATAGTGTCCAAGGTTAGCATAGAGAAGGAGACGTTCAAGCTCAGCAAAGAAGTGTATTCAATAGTGAATCAAATAGGGTCGGAAGGAATTGCCCATGGTAGATTATCTTTGTAACAATTCTCATAATATGTAATAATTAATAATTCTACATACGATACAAAAAAAGAACTTATATAATTTGAAAATATAATTAACTTTTACCAAAATAATATTTTTATAAAATATAATACAATCGGCTCAATTCCTATAGAATAAAATTTATTTAGTGACTGTTTAATAGCTTTAATAAAAAAATATATAAAAAGTGGAAGTAATGTAATACAGCACACTATAATATTCTTCTCCACAACACTTGTCACAATCTTCTCTTGCTACACTATACATTCTTCGAGTCTCTTTGTATCGTCCTCTCACTGCAAAATCTTTCAAAAGTCCAAATTTTGTTCATCCCCAAATATGAAGACCATTGCTCTTAACTCAAATTCGAAGATTCACTCAAGTTTTGGGTTCTATTTCGTTAATTTATCCGTCAAAAATCCCAAACGAGTGAAATGCACATAACGTGTTCGACAAAATTCCCCAATGCTCAAAATTGGGTTTTCTTTTTCTTATTTTTTTTACCAAGCTTTGTCACGTGGCTCTCACGTGATAAGCTGTTATATTCGTTGATGTCCCCGCTTCAACTCTGTTTCTTCTCGCAACACACATATCTCTCTGAAACAGAGAGAGAGAGAGATCAAGAAAACGCAAGAACCTTGAAGATCGTAGCTATGATGAACGCTACTACATATCTGAGAGATGCTGAGAGCGTTGCGCTTCACAAAAAGGCTAAAGATCTCTTAGCTAATGGAGATCACATCAAGGCTTTGGAGATAATCCAAGATATGATTGAGGACCACAAGGAAGACGAGGGCATATGGTTTCTTCATGCGGAAGAAGGTTACATGTTTATGAAACTATCGGAGATAGCAGTGGACTATGAAATGGATTTCACAAGCGTGTTGGCTTCTGTTGCATGTTTTTCTGAACATGAGAAGTTATTAGGAGCTTTGGCACATGCAATCTACACTTTGGCACAGATTATGGGGTCAGTGAGGTATTACAAGAAGTCTGTGAAGATAGCTAAACAAACTTTATCTGTTTCTAAGCAAAAGGAAGACTCGGCTTCTTCTTCTGGTGCTCAAATGAGTTTGCAGTGGAAAATGAATCTGGCCAAAACGAAGGAAGACCTGGAGAATTTAATCGAAGATTCTGAGTCCAAGATCTCTGCTTCCAAGACTGGAAGACTGAAGGGTTTAATAGGAAAAGAACGTGAGTCAGAAAATTTGGAGTCAAAGAATAGTCCAGAGCCGCCTCAGGACAGGTTTAAGGGATTGAGGTCGTTTTGGTTAGGTTTGGATGTTAAGGCCAAAAGGGATTTTATGAAAGTAAGCATTGCAAAGCTTAGAAGTTTTGTCGAGGGAGTACATGACGAAAAAGGACAAGATACTCTAGAGAAACTTCTCGATTCTGCCAAGGAAGACAGAAAATGGACATTCTGGATATGCCGAGAAAGATGTTCGAAAAAGTTCTCTAGTGCTGAAGAATGTAAGAATCATTTTGAACAAGAACATGCTGCAGATTTTGTACCTTCTAAGGAAATGGATATGGTCAAGAGGATAGGCAAAGACTGGGCTCGTAGGATCTCGATTGGAGGTTGGGAACCAGTGGATACAGTAGCTGCCGTTGAAATGATCAAAAATCGGCTTGCAGATGTGAAAGCGTTTTCATATAAGAATGGATGGTCCAAAGAATGGCCTTTAGCTGTGGATGAAGAGCGCAGTAAGTTACTAAAGGAAATCAAAATTTCCCTTGTGAAGTTTTGTGATCTAAAAATTCTCCCTTGTAGTGTTCGAGACTGTGTGATGCAGTATCCTTTGAAGTATCTTGGAAAACTTGAAGTTTCGAAACAGAGTCTTGTCGATTCTCACCTAGTGGAAACACCTCAGAGTATATGTTTTCTGGACTGTCATGAACTCAGTCAAATCCTAAACTTTCTAAAACGCATCAAATGTGAAAGGGAAGATGGTATAGATATAGTTTGCAGAACAGTGAACAATGCCTTGGGTTCTACTCAAGTTACAGAAAAGATCGACTTTGACCCTGAGTTTTCATTTCTGCTTCTGGACAGAAGACTGCTGAATAGCAATAATCCTCCATTCGATGATGACGGGACAATCAATGTTTTTGATCCCAGTGTTCACTACGCCAAGGCACATGCTCAAGGAGATGATATCATATCATGGTTAACTGACTACAATACAGTAGAGAGGATCTTTCCCAAACCTATCAGGGAACATAATCTTGATATCTGGGTGGCTGTTCTGAGAGCTGTTCAGTTCACATGTAAGACTTTGGGAACCAAATATGCAAAGAAAATGCAGCTCTTCCATTATTATGTAGCTCTTACTGTTGTTGAAGACTTGTGTATGAGTGAAGATGCAAGGAGAAGAAATCTTCGGGAATATCAGTGGAACAGCTATGCATCTCTTCTATGCGATAGATGCGAAGAGGGAGTCCCTGGAAATTCTCTCAATACAGAACTATTTGTGTATGCAGTACGAGATGTTCTCGAAGGTGCATTGGAAATATTTGATTTCCCCGATTTTGAAGAATGCGTAAATCTTATATGTGAGCGTAAATGTGTCAGCGATGATATAGTGTTGAAGTCCATACACTCTCTGAAATCAGTGGCCAATAGCAAGGTTCATTCATGATCTTAAAATTTATTAACAACATAATGGCATGAATTGCCCATCTTAAAGTATCTAGATGACTTACAGGTTATCCTAATCGATTCCAAGATATTGCTGGTTGATAATTCAAGGATTAGTTTGCTCAACGACCTCACCAGGCTTTCAGTTTTTGACAACCGCATTTATATCCGTCAACTGCTGCAACCTTTCTTGCTGGTAAGTTTGAAACTAAAGCTATATACAGAGATATTTCATTTTCCGTCTAATTTGGCCTTTGAACTGTTTCTAATGTGTTACTATGTATCTTCTCCTCTAGAATGAAATTATGGATATGGAATCCAAAGCCAAGTTAGATGCAGCTGGTGCAGCAGAAGCAGATCTTTTATTCGAGGAGGAGAAGAAATCACAGTCAAAGAAGAAGAAAAATAAAAGCAAAAAGGTCTTGGAAGTTCTACATTCTCAGTTTTCTTTTTTTTTTGAAATTTGTTAATCTGTTTGAAACTAAAGCTACATACAAAGAGATTTCATTTTCCGTCTAATTTTGGCCTTTGAACTGTTTCTAATATGTTACTATGTATCTTCTCCTCTAGAATGAAATTATGAATATGGAATCCAAAGCCAAGTTAGATGCAGCAGGTGCAGCAGAAGCAGAGAAGAAATCACAGTCAAAGAAGAAGAAAAATAAAAGCAAAAAGGTCTTGGAAGTTCTACATTCTCAGTTTCCTTTTTTGAAATTCGGTTAATCTGTTGTAAGAACGAATTGTCTTCCTGACGCAGCAGAGAACTTCAACGACCATATCAAGTCCTCTTAAGACTGGTGAAGAGTAAGTACCTCAAGAGTCTTTTTCGTATGTTAATAAATTGCTTTCAGGTTTTCTCTTAGCAAAACGTGTTCTTACATGTCTAGTAAACCTCCTGTCAACCTTGAACCGAAAAGCACGTCTCCATCATTAAAAACAGTGGTAGAAGATTTTGTGGAACCAGATGATGCAAGTGAAAGGCGTCAATCGGAAATTTCATCCAACACTATTAATCAAGAGGATGGTAAAGTTGGCTTTGTTTGTAAAAGAGCTTCTCAATTGACGAATAATGTGAGTTTTATGCATAATTCTTATTTCTTTCATTCACCACTTCAAGTTATGCAAAATCTACTTGGAGAAGATTCACAGTCGGAACATTCAGAGTCAGCTCTTGGAGAAGCTGCAAGCAGATACAGTTCAGCTCTTGACATGACACTGAAGGTAAAGCAGTTACCAACCAAAACATTATTTTATACCTAAGCTCTCGTCTATTGAAACAAATCATTCTCTTCGAGAAGTTCACAAAAATTGTGGCATTGCAGGCACTCTTGAACATTAAAATGCTCAAAGAAGATTTGATGCAAAATAAGCAACCATTCCAAGACCACCTGGAAGAACACGTTCCTCCTGCACTAAAACAATTCTTTACTGCTTTTGTGTCAGAGGAAATAAATAGTGAGGGAGTCTACAGTTGCCTTTTAAGCGACTTTCTTGTTTCCCTAGAAGAATTTATTTCCATGGTTTCTGTGGAGCAGGTAAGCTTCTAAGCATGGTAGTATTATTATTTTTGTCTGTAAGCTTAATTGTTATATTAAAGTTTTCTCTATTTTTCTATACCATTTTCAGTCGAGTGACGCTGCTGAGGTTCTTGTAGCCATCATTGAGTCTTGGCAGTGCTGGAAGAATGCTGAAAAAGAAAGCTTAGTAACTCGCCTTTTTACGTTGGAGGAAAATGAAAGAATGAGTTGTAGAAAATGCAGAAAGAAACTGAATTATCCAGAGCAAAGTTCTAATGGCATTGTTCTGGCTGCAGATTCTATCAGAGACTTGAAGGTATGTTTCATTTGTTTCCTTCTTTATGTTTCCTACAGAACCTAATACTACCTCTTATAAGGTTGTTCTGTGCATATATATTTGCAGTGTGCCCTTGGGGATGTAGAGTTTGTGGATATCTGTAAGGTGATCCGCATGGAATATAAAATGTTATGTGACATTAAAACAGGAGGCTGTGGAATAACAAACTTCGTACATCACATTATAAGTAAATGCCCACCTATCTTTACAATTGGTAAGTTTTGACCACCATGATTGTGATCTTATGTACTCAATTCATATATTATGCTCATTAATAAAGCAATGTTGGCGTTATGTGGCTTTGCAATGTTAGTGTTGGTATGGGAGAAGAGTGAAACAGAAACAGAAATTTCTGAAACAACAAAGGCTTTGGATTGGGAGATAGATTTTAGCAGGATGTACGAAGGATTAGAACCAAACACTAACTACCGGCTTGTGTCATTGGTAAAACATATAAAACAGTGTCATAAAACGTTGTAGCTATTGTTCTTCTGTATTAACTTCTTGGTTACAGTCTCATAATATGGTATATGATGTTGATGCAGGTTGGTTGTGGTGAAGAAGAAGAACACATTTGCTTAGCTTATGTAAAGAACCGTTGGGTCAATCTCAGACGCGATGCTTTAAAGGCAGAGGTAAGACGAAAGAGTTGATTTAGTCTTTCCATATTGTGAATTTAGAGATAGACCAAACATGACTGACACATTTGTTGGTAATGCCATAGAGTGTTGGTAGCTGGAAGAGTGTGGTCAGATTCTGTGGAGAGAGAAAGGTTCGACCAGAGATTTTGTTTTATGAAGCTGCCACCAAATCGATGGCCTATTAACAACAATTGACTGAATTGTATCAAAATGGAGAAACCCACCCAACCAACATTGATGTATAAAACATCAACATGTTCTAATTCAAGTGAAGGTGTGCTCTCTGTTCTATAATATGTTTTGTCTTGGAAACTACATTTTGTTCTTTTACTCATTTGTAACGCCAAAAAATTGGACAATCACATTGTTGTTATCTGTTATGTGTTTTTTCGTCTCAGCCAATTTGATTGAGATTTCTGAGTTTTGGGCTAAGAAAGTTATAAACTTTATCTATTTTTTTCTTTATTAGGAGAGAGTATATATAGTGATGCAGATGAACAAGTTCTTGAGCTTGATAAGCAAATGCGATTCACTGTGACAATATGGAGACCTCAATATTTGGGAAATTTCAATCCCAAATTTCGTATGTACGCAAATGGCGTTGCCCAAGTTCGAGTCTTTTTGCTTTGGTGATGTATCATCCTCTCGTTTATATAGAGCACACAAACTGTTCGACAAACTGTTCGACGAAAGTCCTAAGCGAGATCAGAAAAGTTATACGAGGTTGCTTTTTGGGTTTTCTTGTGATGAATTCAGTCCTTTTTTTCTGTTCTAAAGGTTTCTACTACTTTGTGTGATGAGCTTCTCGGTAGACAGCTGCATGCATAGTCAGTGTGTAAAGTTTGGGTTAGAAAAGCCAGAATTTTGTTTAGTTAAACAGAAGTGAAGAGTGTAGTAACTTGGAATAGTATGTTTTACTCAATGATGCTTAACCATGTATGATTATCTGAAGCAAGCTTTGCCTCCATTACCAAGAACCTCAAAGAACTGAGGTTTATGGAACAGCTCCGTTAAAGACCTTTCTTATTCCTCTGCGGACTCACTATCGTCGCCCTCATTAACCAGAGAAAAGCAAGACTTAATTCTCATGGGTGTAGGATGAAGCCTCTGAAACAATATCACTGTTAGAGAACTCTATTCCTTCTCTACCTAAAATATCCAAGACTCAACAAGGTGTCTATGATTTGTCTCTCACTTGGTGTTTTAATTTAAAGTGTTAAGGGAAATTGATTATATGTAAATAGTGAAAGGAGCAATCTGTAGTTCCTCCAGGGAGTGAGACTCAACAATAATTTGCACATAGGGTTATAAATGTGTTGTTTATACTCGGACTTGTTCAGAGAGACAAAGGAAAAGCATTTATAAGGAGCCGTTGGACAGATATGGAAGACAACTATTTTGAAGACTTGACTTATATACCTTTTAGTAGGTGATACTTCAAGATACATGTTTTTCTTCTTGGTATGATGATCCATTATCTGATTTTCTACACGAAAGAAAGTTAGATTCCACGTCGAGCTTGGGTGGAAGAGCCTTTAGCTTTGAGTACTCTTCTGATCTCCAAAATTTACGAGACTTGGGCATTGGTGACATTCCCACTGGAGGAAGAGAACTATTTAAATTTTCTTTCACCCATTCTTGTCTTCTTTTGACACAATTCACCAATTCCTGGAAGTTACACTCGATAGAATAGAAAGAGAACCCCATCAGAGATGCGCATCCAATGACAGACAAGTACTTGAAATTTGTGGCATTCCTAATCGAGAAGATGAGCTCCATCAAACTTGAACATCCAGTGAGATTCAGTTCGTGGAGATAAGTAGCATTCTCAATAGAGGTAGGGAGCTCCACAAGACTTGAGCAGTTGCTGAGATTTAATTTCTTGAGATTAGTGACATTCCCAATAGAGGAGGACAATCCCGCAGAAACTGAGTATCCCTTAAGATTTCGCTGCTGGAGATTAGCGGCATTATCTATAGAGGGAAGCTTTGTTAAACTTGAGCATCCACTGAGATCTAAATCCTGGAAATCCACATCAAAGGGTCCTCGTTGGAACTAGAGAAATTGTCGAGATTAAATGTGTTGAGATTAGTGATATTCCAAATACAAGAGGGGAGTTGCACCAGACTTGAACACTCAACAAGAAATATCTTGAGATTAGGAATATTTCCAATAGAGGTAGGGATAGTCAGCAAGCTTGTGCAATGTTCGATATTCAAAATCAACATACTAATTGCATTTCCAATTGAAGATGGTAGCTCCAACAACTTTGAGCAGTGACTGATATCTAAACTCAAGAGATTAGTGGCAAAAGACAGATCAGGAAGCTTCTTAAGGTTCTTGGAATAACTCAAATCCACCCACTTGAGATTTTGAAGAGGCTGCCCAAAAAAAGCAAAAGACAACATACAAGGAAATTATTATGTGCTTTACTACTTATTATACCATCTAAGTTTCAAATAAGTTAAAAAAAGACAAGAGTATTATAATCAATTTTTTCTTTTTAACAAGAAGATCCAAAAAGTTGTATTTACTTACTTGAACTCCTTCCCACAGCTTCTTAAGTTTGCTGTAACGCATGTTTAGCTCGACAAGGAAAAATGCATTGAAACTAGAAGGTAAACATGTCATTGGAAAATATTCCCAATGTAGTAAACGAAGCTTTGGAGATAGATATTTCAGACTTTGTGGAGAGTGCAATCTACAACCATTATAATCATCAACTTTTCCGTAGAATCTTAAGAATTGGAGATTGGACATTCTCTCGAAGCATCTTTTGCTTATATCAAAATCACCGTTGATTTCAGATAAGTCGAGATTCATACCTACAAGACTTTTACTACCCTGAAAATAATAGTAGAGAGAGTTAGTTATGATTTGAATTTAGTTTGGAGGGAACAAGGCAATGATTGACTAATGTGAAAACTTACAGTTTTCTTGGTGAGTACTTCACATATCTCTCTAGCATCAACCAAAAATTGGCGTCTTCCAGGTTTTTGAACAGATTGGTTTCGAACAATTTCTCTACCTAGTTGTACTACAAGACTAGGCATCTTTATAAATCCATATTCCCGAGATATGAGAGATTTCTCAGCTAATATGTTAAGCCCATGACTCAAGTCCAAAAATGTATACGCAAGAAAATCTTCAAGTGTTTGGATACTTTTATGGCTGAAAAAGCAAGCTATATAATGAAATAAAGCTTTATCTTCATCGCATAATGCGTCATAACTGAATCTTAAAATACTATGAATATCTTGGTGAAGCCTAGCTTTTAACCTTGGTAGTGCATCTATCCACTCTTGCTTGGACATTCCTCGGAAATAGGAGCCCATTACACTTAATCCCAAGGGGAGCTTCCCGGAAAGTTTTGTAACTTCCAAGGCAAGCTCCTCGAAACCATCTTTAATGGACTTTTGGCCAAAAGCATGCAAGCAGAAGATTTGAAGTGCCTCTTCATCAATTGGATAATCCATCTTGTAAATATGATTGATCCTATGTGCCTTTAAGAGATTGTAGTCCTGAGTTGTTATGATAATCCGACTTCCAGTACCAAACCATTGAGTTTTTTTCGCCATAGCATCTAATTGTAGCAACCGATCCACATCATCAAGAACGATAAGCACTCTCTTATCTTTCAACCTTTCCGGTGCAACACCTAAGTGACGTATCTTCAAATCCTTTTGATTTAAGGTCTGAGATAAAAGTTGTTCCTGTAATTGCAACATAAGAGCAAAGTTGTCGCGGCCATGTACTGTATAGACTCCTTTTATACTCACCATGAATGCAGTATGAGTGAACTTACTACGAAGAGTTTCATATAAGGCTCTAACGATGGTCGTCTTACCAATACCCGCAGGACCCCAAACCCCTACCATTCTCACTTCATCACATTCTAGGCATAGCAAAGACAACATCTTTTGCATGTGAGCTTCAACCCCAACTAAGTCTTCAAAGTAGTTTGATGGGATACGATTATTTAGTGCATTTGAAACATCAGTCGCAATATTATCGATCATGTCGGCTTCGTTACACCTAACGGGCAACAAATTAATGTAAAAACCATTAGAAAACAAAGAGACAGAGAGATCTATATGTCAAATTACATGGTATTAGTAATCAAAATAATCATTTACATCATAAAAGCTAACTAGTTGCAAGAATCTTTCTTCGGAAAAAGTAACAGGAGGTGATCAAGAAGGCTAACCAGTTGCTTGAATGGTAACCAGCAATTATTGCCACTTCAGCCAAAACATGTCTCCATGTCCTAATGTCCTCTTCTGGTTTACCCTTACAAGTTTCTTCGAAGACCTTTCCAAATTTTCCGGTTTGTTTCTTTACATTAGTTGGATCCACTTTATAGAAAATGGTCATCACCGTTTGACCAAGCTCTTTACTACAATTCATAATCTCCACCAATTCATTTAGGCACCATGTCGAAGAAGCGTAGTTCTTCGAGAGCAAGACGATCAGGATTCTCGACCCTTTAATAGCTTCTACGAGTTCTTGACCGATCGGTTTGTTCCTTGGGACATCATTATCAATGAATATATCGATTCCTTTTGCTTTGAACTCCTTGAAAACGTGGCTGAGAAAGGCTTTGCGAACATCTGCTCCGTGGAAGCTTGGGAAGACATCGTGTATCCAACTGCGAGATGAAGGATCAAGAGCCATGTAATGAATATAATTCAAGAGCTTGAGTCTTTTTAGAGCGATCAAGGTCTGACACAAAAGAATTGACTTATGAGAAGGAGATAGCAAACGTGAAATGCATAACAACGTTGTGCGTGAAGTCAACCAAAGAAAAAGTCTATTTAGACAACAATAAAAGTGTATTACTAAATAAGATCGAGTGACCGATCCATCAATATAGTACATTCTAGGTTTCATTGTATAAGATGTTTTAGACATTTTTTATTTTTTCATAGTATAAGATGCTTTGGAAATGAGAAAAAATAAATAAAAAAAACAAATAAATTTCGTGGCAATTTTGTAGCAAGAACAGGATAATTTTATACAATTTTATGACTAGTTATATTTAAACGTAAAGTTTATCATTGACCTATTTTTAGTTTTTAGATATGAAACTCGATGTAGAGAACACAAAACGAAAGAGATTAATTAGTTTTTAAAATTTAGTATTTTTATCTAAAAACATCTTATATTTCGAATACAGGAAAACACATTACAGTATATATGCTAATGGAAGTTAACATATATATATATATATATAAATTGATAAGCAATCATTGGAATTTGAAAGTAGACAAAAAAAAGGATAGTTTTTTACTATTTATTTTCTGTAACTTTATTAATGGTTGGTTAATTTTTCTAAACTAAATAAAATAAATATTTTGATTAAAACCAAATTATCTAAATTTGATTTGTTTTTATTTTGAAACATCTTATATTTCGATCTGGAAGGAGTATATGCATTATAACAAGTTAAATTAATGGTGCACAAAAAAAAAATTAATGAAAAAAAATCCAAAACCATATAACAGACTAACAGAAATACTAAACCGAAACAGACCAAAATATGAATTGAACACTATTCACAATGATAACCAAAAAAAAAAAAATCATTCACAACAAGAGCTATTGAACAACACTTGAACTCCCTTCATGTCGAAGTAATGTACATTACGCGCAAATGAATAATTTTGAAAACACAAAAACTTTGGTTCAGAGCAAATGCGATTCGCAACGACTATACGGAGACGTCAATCTCTGGAGAAGTTCAAACCCAATCATCGGATTCATGGCTTTGGCGTTTCATCCTCCTCTCGTCTATATAGTAGTGCACGCAACGTGTTCGACAAAAGTCCTGACCGAGACCGGGAAAGTTATACGAGTTTACTTTTTGGGTTTTCTCGTGATGGAAGAACTCAGGAAGCAACTAGACTCTTCTTGAATATTCATCGTTTGGGAATGGAGATGGACTGCTCAATCTTTTCCTCTGTTATAAAAGTTTCTGCTACTCTGTGTGATGAGCTTTTTGGTAGAGAGTTGCATTGCCAATGTGTAAAGTTTGGGTTTTTAGACGATGTGAGTGTGGGAACATCGCTGGTTGATACATATATGAAAGGTAGTAACTTTAAGGATGGAAGGAGTGTTTTTGATGAAATGAAAGAGAGGAATGTTGTTACTTGGACTACATTGATAAGCGGGTATGCTCGGAATTTGATGAATGAGGAAGTTTTGACATTGTTTATGAGAATGCAGAACGAAGGAACTCAGCCAAACTCATTTACTTTTGCAGCTGCTCTTGGAGTTTTGGCTGAAGAAGGAGTGGGTGGGAGGGGAGTTCAGGTACACACTGTTGTTGTAAAGAGCGGTTTAGATAAAACGATTCCGGTGTCTAATTCCTTGATTAATCTGTATCTCAAGTGTGGGAATGTTAGGAAAGCTAGAAGTTTGTTTGATAAAACAGATGTAAAGAGTGTGGTGACTTGGAATAGTATGATTTCAGGATATGCGGCAAACGGGCTTGATTTAGAAGCGTTGGGAATGTTTTACTCTATGAGGCTTAATCATGTGCGGTTATCTGAATCGAGTTTTGCTTCCATTATTAAGCTGTGCGCTAACCTCAAAGAACTGAGATTCACAGAGCAGCTCCATTGCAGTGTTGTAAAGTACGGGTTTGTGTTTGATCAAAATATAAGGACGGCTCTAATGGTAGCGTATAGTAAATGTATGGCGATGTTTGATGCTCTTAGGTTGTTTAAAGAGACAGGATCCCTCGGGAATGTTGTGTCATGGACAGCAATGATTAGTGGTTTCTTGCAGAATGATGGGAAAGAGGAAGCAGTGAATTTATTTTCGGAAATGAAGAGAAAAGGTGTTAAACCAAACGAATTCACTTATTCTGTCATTCTCACAGCTCTTCCTGTAATTTCTCCATCAGAGGTCCACGCACAGGTTGTAAAGACTAACTTCGAGAGATCTTCAACCGTTGGAACCGCTCTTCTAGATGCTTATGTGAAGTTAGGTCAAGTAGATGCGGCTGCAGTAGTTTTTAGTGGTATTAATGATAAAGACATTGTCGCTTGGTCAGCGATGCTTGCAGGATATGCTCAGATCGGAGAGACGGAAGCAGCGATTAAGGTGTTTAGTGAGCTCACTAAGGGAAGGGTAAAACCGAATGAGTTTACATTCTCTAGCATCCTTAACGTGTGTGCGGCTACTACCGCGTCTATGGGACAGGGAAAGCAGTTCCACGGGTTCGCTATAAAATCAAGACTTGATAGCTCTCTGTGTGTAAGTAGTGCTCTTTTAACCATGTATGCAAAGAAAGGCAACATAGAGAGTGCGGAAGAAGTCTTTAAGAGGCAGAAAGAGAGAGATCTAGTATCATGGAATTCGATGATCTCTGGGTATGCACAACACGGGCAAGCTATGAAGGCTCTCGATGTTTTCAAGGAAATGAAGAAGAGAAAGGTGAAAATGGATAGTGTAACATTCATTGGAGTATTTGCTGCTTGTACACATGCAGGGTTAGTAGAAGAAGGCGAAAAGTATTTCGATATAATGGTGAGAGACTGCAAGATTGCACCTACAAAGGAGCATAATAGTTGTATGGTGGATTTATACAGCCGAGCCGGACAACTTGAAAAGGCTATGAAAGTCATAGACAACATGCCAAACCCGGCTGGTTCCACCATTTGGAGAACAATTCTAGCTGCATGCCGTGTGCACAAGAAAACAGAACTTGGGAGATTAGCTGCAGAGAAGATCATTGCGATGAAACCAGAGGATTCAGCTGCGTATGTGTTGTTGTCTAATATGTATGCAGAGTCAGGAGATTGGCAAGAGAGGGCCAAAGTAAGGAAGCTGATGAATGAGAGAAACGTGAAGAAAGAACCTGGTTACAGTTGGATTGAGGTCAAGAACAAGACTTACGCATTCTTGGCGGGTGATCGGTCTCATCCTCTTAAAGATTTGATCTATATGAAGCTAGAAGATTTAAGTACACGGCTGAAGGATTTAGGGTATGAACCAGATACAAGTTATGTGCTTCAAGACATTGATGATGAGCATAAAGAAGCTGTTCTTGCTCAGCATAGTGAGAGATTAGCTATTGCTTTCGGGTTGATCGCTACTCCAAAAGGAAGCCCTCTTTTGATCATTAAGAACCTTAGGGTTTGTGGAGATTGTCATGTAGTTATCAAATTAATTGCAAAGATTGAAGAAAGAGAGATCGTAGTTAGAGATTCAAATCGGTTTCATCACTTTAGCAGTGATGGAGTTTGTTCATGTGGGGACTTTTGGTGAGATAATAAAAAGAAAATATTGTTCAGAACATTTTTTACACGTTTCGAGAAATAAGCAAATTCAATGTTTTGGGATGAAATAAAAGATGGGTTTGAGATTTGTTTTGCTTCTCAGTACATACATAAGCAGAAGGTCAAAGAGACTAATATGATTATGAAAGGTATTTGATGGAATATCAAATCTATTAACCTTCTTCTCCAAACTCCTGTGTGAATTTCTCATGGACTTCAAGGTCAGACTTGCTCACTGTTGGCCTTTGTCTTGCAAGTACCTTCTCGAAATCTGTTCTGGTGATAGGTGGTGGAATAATCTGTCACATAAAATACACAAATCAGTCTTTTGTTTACAGCATCAAAGGCCTTTGTAGAATGAATTTTTAAGACCAAAAGCATAGCAGTGCATATCTATGCTTCACATTTTATGTGTTGTGTCTTCCAGCAGATATATGTAAAGATTGAAAGGATTTATAAATCAGAGAAGTTTGAAACACAAAACCTCAATGATATATTCAGAGTTTTCGTGTAAGTACCTTTTCTGCAAGCCCTTTTGCTGCTAGATCTTGCATTGTAGTCTGGATGGCACCAGGGTGCCTAGGCCCACATGGCATCCATGTACCATCAGGAGACTTAAAAAAGAACATCGCATCTTGCGTTTTACGAACAGGTTCAAACAGAACATCTTTTACCTGCATGAATCAAAAAAGATTCTCAATACAAAGGTTCATCTATCTACAACAACATTAAGGACAATAAGAAATAACTTAAGGATTAAGACAAGTCACGTACACAAACAGACACATCTGAACCAGAAAACCCTTCTGTCTTTTGGCCTAAATATTCAAAATCAGGTTCAGTTAAATTATGAGGTGTGTCTCCCAAATGGACCTGCATTTACAAAACATATCTCATTAGTAAACTGTTTGGGTCTCCCTTGAATGGTTTTTTACTTAAAGGAACTTGAAGCAAATGAATAATACTTTGAACATGTGCTGTCGAGCCTTGGCCTCTGGGAGAGGAATATAAATACGCTTGTCAAAACGTCTTCGGATAGCCTGAAATCAACATGGTGTTACCAAGATGGCATTTAACTGGCAACAAAAATATAGAAACAATCTGCTCTAACGAATTTTTCACCTGATCAAGAGCATAGGGTGTATTGGTTGCTGCAAGCACAAGTACTTTCTCATCATTGTGTCCAACACCCTAAAATAAAAAGAGATAAGGAATGAAAAGAAATGTTTCCAGTAAAACTGAATGACAGAAGTTCAGTTCAGAGAAGCTTTGCACCTGCATCTGCACTAGAAGCTCTGTTTTGATACGTCTCGAAGCTTCACTCTCATTTCCTTCTCCACGTGTACCACACAAAGAATCTATCTCATCAACAAAAATAATCGATGGAGCACTTTCGCGGGCCATCTCGAAAAGGTTTGATACCAGCTTCTCACTTTCACCCATCCACTTTGAGACCAGGTCTGATGAAGACACGCTGATGGTTGGGAAGTAAAAAGGAAACAACTATTCTTAAGCTATAACGTGTTTCCAAATATAAACACTGTAAACACAAGATAAGATAGAAAAACAACCAACATGAAGTACCTAGCTAGACATAATTCAAAACCCAAGACCCTAGCACAGGATGATAGCTAAGGAAGTTTTCATCTTTATGATCAAGTATCTTGTGCAACCACCAAAAAAATAAGAATTTGTAGCAACCTTAAACCAAAGGATCTGCATGTTTGCCGAACTAATACCACATTTATCGGTTCTCTAATATGCCATATAGATTCTACCAGAGACTACGCTTTAGAATCTGGCTGTAGATGCTTGTGTATAGCATGCATAGATAGCAGAATCTAGTAAATCGATCGCAAGTTGCAACATATAGTAGACTCAGAGAAAATCAAATCTTATAGACAAGTGTCTGAACTGATTCCCATACTACTATCTGAATTTGAAGAAAGCCATTAGGAATCAAAACGCAAACAAAAGCAAAGAACCTACCCTCCTCAAACTAATCCTGAAATACTACAATCAAAGAGCTAAGACACTGAACTATCCTCATGAAGCTTGAGACACTTTTAGACATATGTTACCTGAAAAAGGTAGAATCTGCTTCAGTAGCAACAGCCTTAGCCAAATACGATTTTCCTGTTCCCGGTGGCCCATACAACAGGAAAGCTCTCCATGGCCGTCTCTTTCCTAATAAGTAAAAAACCAAGCTTTAATCAACCATACATAGATAAAGGTCAAAAATTTATAAACAGAATGGTTTCAATCTTCAATGAACCGCTCCAGATTGTTCAATTTACCCGTGAAGAACTGTGGAAACTTAACAGGCAAAATCACAGCTTCCTGTAAAGCTTGTTTAGCACTTTCAAGCCCAGCAACATCTGACCACTTAATGTTAGGCTTCTCCCTAACAATCGCAGAGTTTAACCCAGCTCGAAGCTTCGATTGCTCAGGATCTTCTCCATCTTTACCACCACCTTCTCCATCTTTTGGCTTAGTCTTCGGCTTCGTCGCAACCGCTGCGTCCCCGTTAGATCCCGGACCCGATCCACCTTCATCTAGAACAGCACGGATCTCCTCTGCACGACGGAGATACTCGGTGAATTTCTGGGTAATAGCTTCTCTGATCTTAGGGTTCTTCTCATACTTGAGATGAGTTTTGAAGTACTCAAGCGCGTTCATGTATAGAGGAAACGCCTTATTGTAATTCCCAGCATTGTCTTCGTGAACAGCTTGCTTCACGTACTCGATCGCTTGTTCCTTGAAATTGCTGTACATAACTTAGGGTTTTACCAGAAATTTTTCTCGATTTGATAATTGTGTACTCCTCCTGCTTAATTGAATCCTTGAGGATCAAGGATCGAAGGAGTCGTGATAAGAAGAATTCGAATTGGAGAAGAAGAAGAATAAGGGAAAGGAGATGAAGAAGAGAGAAGAAGGAATGGATTATGCAAATCGATGAAGAAAAGCCAGATTTGACGACGAAGACGAAAAGGTCTTGAAAACAGCGGAGCGTAGGTTTGTAGAATGATTAAACGTTGAGTTGTTTTTGCAAGTTGTGAAGGGTTGGCTCAGCGTTTTAATGAGTGACAAGGAAAACGCTTGCCGTTTTTTTCTTTAATATGCCTATTTTTGTCCAACATGTTTGTATTAAAAAGCAAAAAAATAAAACCCAAGTATATTTTAATCAAAATCCCACCTTTCAACCAATAAGAGAAAAAATAATGTAATTACTTTTTAAACTATTTTTCTCAATTTAACTATTCTGAAATTCCGATGATTTAATTCACCTGATTCACAAATTTAAATTGATCAAATTATCCTAATTATTAACCATTTAAATAGAATTTTCATTTAGTCCAACTAAAAAGTGTTATTAGCATATGTAAGTGATTTGATGATAAATCATGCATGTGACCAAGAGAATTTAGAAGCTAATGGATCATATGAAATAGAAGAACATAAGGATCAAAAGAATGTATAATTGACTCACAATAAATTGGCAGTTATGAATGTAACAATATGTGTCGCTAAAGAGTTGTTCTAGATAGAGAATCTCTAAAGACTCTATTTCAAACATTATAATATGTTTACATATAAAGAAAAATCGTACACATTTTCTTTCTTATCAAATGGTGTCCATGACCGAGAGCAAATCTTGTGATAGGTTTGTGGATATATATACAGTAAAACCTCTATAAATTAATACTCGATAAATTAATAATCTCTATAAATTAATAAATTTTTCCGGTCCCAAGTCGGGACCAGTGTAATTTTAGACATATTTCGATAAAATAATAAGATAATAATTTTTTTGAAAATCCTTTGTAAATATATGGTCCCAACAATATTATAAATTAATAATTAGGTAAATTTTTCAAAATATATGCATATATAGACACATTAGTTTTTGTTATAGTTTATTTCTAATATTTTACTATATCAAAAATAGTTAGCATTCTCTTTCAAGACATAATAATTATTATTTTCTTTGTAATTGATTATATAAAATATTAATTCTCATGATTAAATTTTATTTTTAATTATTTTTTTGAAAAAACTTTCCAAATTAGGAAAATCTCTCTATAAATTAATAATTATTAATTTATCGATAAATTAAAACCTCTATAAATTAATAAATTTTCATAGTCCCAACATTATTAATTTATAGAGGTTTTACTGTATTGATTTTCTTAGTGGATTGTTGCCTTTGTATGAACATTAACATTTTTTGTGCAATATAATATTTTTAATAAACTCCATAAAACACATCCCAGAGATTTATTATAAATTATATTGTATGTGAATTTCAAGCTTTGGTCATGGCAATGGAACATGTTTGGAGTCAAGGTTATCGTAAGGTCATTTATGAAAGAGACTTTAAACAGGCTATTGATTTGATAAATGAAAGAACTAGGAATTTCAGGATTTATAACTGGATCCGGGAAGCAATCCGTTGGAAAAAACTGTTTCAAGATACTCAATACTGCTGAATATCAATGTCAGAGAAGAACAAATATAAAGCTTTCTCTCTGTATTTCTCTCAATCGCTCTTAGAGCTGTATATATACACAACACTTTAACCTAGGAAAACACTTACGATATACATACAAAAAACCAAAAAGGACAATATGAATATTAACATAAGTCTGCTCTAATACCCCCCTCAAGTTGCAGCATGCAAATCAAGAATGCCCAACTTGCCAAGAAACGAGGAGAACTCCTTTTCGCCCAATGCCTTTGTAAAAATATCTGCGAGCTGAATAGTGTAGGAGACATGTTGTGTAGCAAGAACACTCCATTGAATTTCGTCACGAACAAAATGACAATCTTTCTCAATGTGTTTCGTACGTTCGTGAAAAACCGGGTTCGCTGCTATATGAATTGCAGCTTGGCTATCACAAAACAGAGACATCGGCGACGTATGATCAACCCCAAGGTCAAGCAAACAAGCTTTAATCCAAATAAGTTCCTTTGTAATGTATGCCATGGCGCGATACTCCGCCTCCGCTGAAGACATGGAGACCCGCTTTTGCTTCTTCGTTCTCCATGAAATAGGTGAGGAGCCGAACTGAATAAACCAACCAGATAAGGAACGACGGGTTAACGCACATCCATCATAG